ACCCTAACACCCTAACACCCTAACACCCTAACACCCTAACACCCTAACACCCTAACACCCTAACACCCTAACACCCTAACACCCTAACACCCTAACACCCTAACACCCTAACACCCTAACACCCTAACACCCTAACACCCTAACACCCTAACACCCTAACACCCTAACACCCTAACACCCTAACACCCTAACACCCTAACACCCTAACACCCTAACACCCTAACACCCTAACACCCTAACACCCTAACACCCTAACACCCTAACACCCTAACACCCTAACACCCTAACACCCTAACACCCTAACACCCTAACACCCTAACACCCTAACACCCTAACACCCTAACACCCTAACACCCTAACACCCTAACACCCTAACACCCTAACACCCTAACACCCTAACACCCTAACACCCTAACACCCTAACACCCTAACACCCTAACACCCTAACACCCTAACACCCTAACACCCTAACACCCTAACACCCTAACACCCTAACACCCTAACACCCTAACACCCTAACACCCTAACACCCTAACACCCTAACACCCTAACACCCTAACACCCTAACACCCTAACACCCTAACACCCTAACACCCTAACACCCTAACACCCTAACACCCTAACACCCTAACACCCTAACACCCTAACACCCTAACACCCTAACACCCTAACACCCTAACACCCTAACACCCTAACACCCTAACACCCTAACACCCTAACACCCTAACACCCTAACACCCTAACACCCTAACACCCTAACACCCTAACACCCTAACACCCTAACACCCTAAAATCCTAAATTTATTTAAGAATTTTTCTTCTATTATCCAATTAAATCTTGCATCTTAATTTATGATAAAATGCAGCTGAACAAAAATATAAATTTTTCAAATAGAGACAGGCTTCTAAAATTATAATCACAATAAAAAATTGCACACAAAAAACCAAATATTATAAAAATTCTAACTTTATGATCTATGGTGAGAACTTAAGAAAATAAATGAAATTATTAGTGCTTAATTTCGTCTCCTTTTTATTGTTTACCTATTCCGCATGCCCTAAAAATAGTATTTCTGGCTCGTGTGTTGATGCTAATTATAGCTTAATGATAGATGGGAAGGTCTGTGCAGAAATTTGTCCTTCTAAATTCACTCCAGTCTGTACAACAACAGGAACTACTGTTTGCACGGCATGCAGCCTACCAACTTCTCCAATTCTATTCCAACTTGATTTTTCAGCAGCTCAGGATTTGACTGCAACTTATATCTCAAATTTGATTAGTCCTGGACAGCATTTCAATACACCTGGAGGAACCCTTTTTGGTTCTAGTTCAAAAAATGCCCCTCTTCCTACCGTAGATCGTGGCTTTTATTTCGATTCAGCTTCATCTCTATCACGTACTCCAGGATATATTGCAGCACTTTATTTTACAGCAAATATATGGATTCACCCTTTAAGTTCGGGTCAAATTTTAACCTTTTATTATAAGGACCCCCCCTCATTTGTCCAATTTTCTAGTCTTTTTTTTTTATAAGAAATTGTTTTTTTCAGGATCTCATTTGTCCCAAAATCTATCAAAAATGATTTGTCCAATTTTCTAGTCTTTTTTGCATTTTTTCGAATGCCCTAAATTCTAGTTTTTTACTTTAAAAAAACTAGAAAATGAGACAATTGAGGTCCTGAAAATTTTTTTTCTCTATCAAAAATTTTGACTAGAAAATTGGACAAATGAGGTCCTAAAAAAATTTTTTTTTCCTATAAAAAAAAACTAGAAAAATGGACAAATGATAAAAGACTAGAAAATTGGACAAATGAGGGGGGGTCCTTAATTCTGGATATTATATTGAATGCGTAGCAGAGGCAACTACTTTTGTTCTAAAAGTGATTTTGCAAAACTCTAACGATTCTGGCGAGACTAAAGTAACAGCTTATAGCGATCCATATACTTCTGCTTGACAAACAGTGTCATTTCAGCTTGAGCAAGCATCTTGCAATCAAGTAAATTTAAAAATATATATAAACTCAAACCCAGTTGTGACTACTTTTTATAATTATGAAGCAAATTTTCCAGTAGACCAAACTGATAAAAATATATGAAAAATTGGAAAGCTAGTTGGAGGAGATGCTCCAGATTCTTTTAAAGGGTTTTTATATTGGATGGAAGCGAGAAACGATTTAACTATTAATTATGCTACAATGACAGCTAAATTAGAATGCAAAAATAAGCAGTATTGGGATGGAACTTCTTGTCAAAATTGTAGTTCAGCTTGTCCTAGCTGGCCTTGATGTATAAGAGGTGACAGCTGCAGCACTTGCAATACGGTAAGTTGTGGATCTTGCACCGGATATTCTGCATCTATGTGCACATCATGCACCACAGGATCTTTGCCATATTGTTGTGATATGCTAGCCAGTGCTTGCACTTCTACTTGGCAAAGCACTTCATGCACTAATGGTATAAGTCCTATTAACGGGATTTGCCTATATGGATGTCCTTATGGCTTTGGAAATTGCTCTCCTGTATCTACTCCTGTAATTACGATAGATTTTACTGATGATTTTGCAGGAATTTATGATAACGTTTTTGTTACTGGATCTGATCCTTTAAGCTATAATTTTTGAAATTCTCCAGAAATCTTCGATCCATTTCCAGCAAAATGGAGAGGACTTTATTTTATTGGGTTCACTTATCTAAAAGGGCAAATTGATCTATCACCTACTTTAAGTTTTGGCGCATGAGTTTACTTAATTAGTGGAAGCTGAATAGGGCATAGCTATAGCAATTTTCTACTGAATTCAAATGGTTTTTTTCAGACTTATATGCAAAAATATGATGGATCAATCCAGCTGTTAACATCTTCTATGGCAACACCTTTATGGCAATGAAGTTATATTTCTTATTCTTTTGGATTTTCAAATGGAGTGTCTACAGTTACTCCATATCTAAATAATGCTCATGCTGCAGCCAGTTCTACAAGCGATCATATTTTTAGACCATTTTCTGGAGGCTATTTATATCTTGGAACAGGAGATTTTAATGGTTTTATAAGTTATTTTCAACTATGAGGGGTCACTATAACTGATTTCACAAATGCTCTAACTTGCCCCTTTGAAGTAAAATCATTAGAGAGAGAGAGCTTTATTACTTAAAGGCCTTTATTTCAGGGCCAAGTCCCGATTAAAATTTTTTTAAACTTTCTTCTTTTCCTAAAATAAAATTTTAGTAAAATTTTTTGAACCCATGTAATCTGTGATTTTTCTGATTTCTGAGTCTGATCTGAATTTTCTGCTTTCCATAATTCTTAATTCTGATTTGAATCTCAATTTTCTGTTAATATTTGAATCTGGTCTGCATTTTATTTTTCTGGTAAGCTTTGAGTCTGATCTCAATTTTGTATTTCTGATAAGATTTGAATCTGATTTCAATTTTAATTTTCTGATAAATTTCGATCTCCTAAGTTTATCCTTATACTCTTCTTCAAAATCTTCTTTAAGCTTGTCTTTGTACTCATTTTCAAGATCTTCTTTATCTAGATCATCATCTTTCAATTTTTGGGTCAAATTCTTTTGTGGAGCTAATTCAGTAATTTCAAAATTGGTGCAATCAAGAACTTGAATCACTTCATCACAGTCCAAAATCACACCCTCCATCCTATTTATTGTTTCAAGTATTTTATCTTCTATTGTAAATGAAATTTCTTCGATTTCTCCAACTTTTTCATCTCAGTCCTTATCGCCAATAAAATTTTCTGAGTCACTATCGTCAAATAGTAACTCAAGTTCTTCAAGTAGATCATCATCATACCGATGAGATCTTAAAAATATTTCGAAAAATTCCTCATATGAAGCCCTGTTTCCTTCAAAGAAAGGAGAAAAGGAATCCTCACTGTCAGAACCTTCCATTTAAAAAAAAAGTAAAAATCATTAGAAGAAATTAATATTTTTGGGAAAATTAGAGCAAACAATTTTTTTTAAAATAAATTTATATTTTAATACTTTATTAATAATTGTTATAATGAAATCTATAGCTAATCTTAATAGACAGCTTGCAACCTTAACATTAAATTTTATTAATTCGATTTTCCTTTCAAATGCTTGAATTTATATTTTTAGAATCCGAAAAAACCCTTTTATATGTATTTTAAAAAAACTCCTTCCTTCAAAAGTTAGTAAAATTATATCTACTCCTCTTAAAAGGGAGTAAATTATTATAATTGCAATATAGGAACAGATGTTGAGTGTTTATGAAATTGCGATTATGATTATTATTTTGATGGGGCATCTTGCGAGCAATGCTTGATATCTTGTCAAAATGGATGCGTAAGAGCAAATTCATGCAATATCTGTGAAACTGATAAATGCCAGAAATGCTCATCATTTTCATCTAATTCTTGCACTTTGTGTATACCGCATGCATCAAACAGCACATGCGATTGTGATAGTGGGTTTTTTCAACCTTCTGGGCAAGCTTTATGCTCCCAGTGCTATAATTTGTGCGTAGATTGTAGTGGAGGATTTTATACGCAATGCACCTCTTGCATATCTGGCTACTTTATGCTTCAAAATATATGCTCTCTCTTTTGTCCAACTGGATATATTTTGAATAATAATATTTGCGAGATAGATATGAACTATAGTGGCTTCGTTTTTAATTTAAAGCCACATCAAATAAAAAACATTGTAAATGATTTACAAAATAATATCCCTGTTCTTACCGGAAAAGATAATACATTTTACCCAAATTGGTTGTATGTTTATATTTTTTTGGAAGAGATTTTTGGTCAAAAATTTTTCCTTGGAATTTTAGCATGTTTCATTACAAATGTCTTATGAGGAAAAGTTTCGACCAAAATACCCTAAGCCAGCATGAGTTAAATGTTTTGATCAATAGACAATTACCGACCCAAACTATGGAATAACTGACCCTTATGCAGCTATATATAGAGGTTATTATTTCACTGGAACTTCTTATATGCAGCTTCCTCCTTATTTAAGCACTCCATCTCCTTTACTTACTTTTTCTCCTCAATTTGCAATTGCAACCTGAATAAAGCCAATATCTGGAACAGGGGTTATTTTTTGCAAGCAAACTGATAATGGAGCATTTACTAAATATGTAAGTTTTGAACTAATTAATAAATACCCATCACTCACTTTAACTCTCAAAGATTCCTCAACTGTTACTTATATAGGCACTAATGCATCATTGCAAGTTACTCTTGCACAGTGAGTATTTATTTCTGCTACTTCTGGAATAAGTTCTACTCCCGAGCAAACAATTAGCTTTACAATGAACTCTTTTAGCGATATTTCAAGCGATTTAGGTGATAGCTGATTGGAAGACTTAGAAAGCTCATTTTTTATATCGATTGGAGCACGTCACCTTGACTCAACACATTTTAGCTCATTTTTCAATGGTTTTCTATGAGATATGAAAATATATAGAGGTTTCCTCTATATAGCGCTGAAAGCGCAGACATTTTCCCAGGAGCTTTCCAAGTTCGTCGGACCAAATCGCTTTTTGGTCCGACCAAGGCATTGATTTGGTGCAACCGACCGATAAATTCCGATCAGAATTTATCGGCCTTACAGCGCCAAACATAGGAAACTTCTATATAACACATTAGCTATCCCAATCTTGACTGAAGGATCTTGCAATGGATGCTCATTATGTCCTAATGACAATTCCAATATTTGCTTACTCCCCCTCTCGTAAGCTAGCAAAATATTGGAAAAATCCTTATTTTTTGCTAAAAAACCCACCTGAGCGAACAAAATTTTTTAAAGAAAAATTATTGTGATATATAAGTGATAATTATTTTCTAAAATATTTACCTAATTCTGTTTAATTTTTAACATCTTGCATTTAAAATTTAATATTTTTGCTTTAAAATTATTTTGAATATGAATTTTTAAATTTCGAAATGTAATTTTTAAAAAAAAATTAACCCCCTCCATCAGCGAACAAAATTTTTTTATTCGCTCACAGAGGGGGGGAGAGTTAGATAATTGTCTGATAGGAAGTTTTTGAAATGGTAATAGTTGTGCTTCTTGCTTATCAGGATGCTCAAACTCTGGCTGCGTAAGAAAGGACAAGAGCTGCAATCATTGCCAAGATGTTGTTTGCGAACTATGTGATGATTATACAAGCACATGCATTACCTGCAAATCAAATGCAAGTTTAATTGGCTCAAGCTGCCAGTGCAATGTTGGTTTTTACTGGAATATTGATAATGAAAGCTGTGATGCGTGCGATGCTTCTTGCAAATCCTGCACATCATCGAAATATTTAGATTGCTTAGCTTGTGCTAATGGATTATATCTGGTTTCAGGAATTTGTTTGGCGAGTTGTCCACAAGGATATTCTCGATCAGGAACTAAATGCGTGCAGACTCAAGAAAAGATTTTTGACTTAGACTTAAACACATTAGAAGGAGTAATTTATGATAAAGCAAACTCAATTCCAGTTATAACCGGCTCAACTAAACAATTCTACCCGAATTATGAAAATGATGACCCCATCCCAGCCTATTTAAGAGGATTTTACTTTAATGGCTGATCTTCAATTTTAAGACTACCTGAATACTCAAGCTATATATCTCCAAAGCTTGTAATTGCACCTATTTTTACAATTTCTATATGATTAAATACTGAAACTTCATTCTCTACAATTATTTCAAAAAATGACATCTCCAATAATTTATCAACACTATGAGCGGTATATTTAATGAATAGTAAGCCAGCGCTATCTATCATTATTAGCTCATCTGCAATTGCTTATACATGTCAGACTGCACTTAAAAATAATGAATGAAATCACGTGTCATTTACTTTAGAAATAACTACAGATGGGAATAGCATGGCTTCTTGCTATATAAAAGGTAATTTTGATTCATCTGCGATAGTCAATTATGGATATTTTCAAGATAGAAGCTCTAACTACTCTCCTTATGTGAACGAGCAAAACTATTGGAAAACTCTTTTTGGCAAAAGAATTTACCTCCTTGTCAAGCAAAAAAATTATATATATATGTGATATAAATTTTAATGAAATCTCTGTTAATTCTGTTGATTTTTAAAGAGCTTGCATTTTAAAACATAACTTCACAATTAAAATAATCTACTTTCTTAATGAGTTTTTTTTTAATTTTTGAAAAAAAATCTGTTCACTCATGGAAGAGAATTTAACACTGCAATGACAATTGGAGCTCAAATCTCATCAGATTCATTATATAATTTTCACCAAGGATTTATTTATATAATTCAAATATTTAATGGAGTCAAGCCTATATCAAAATTATCAACTACAGCCTGCACTGAAAGCTGTGGGGTTTGTCCTACAAATCAAATATGTATTCCTAATTGCAAAATAAATGAGTATTGGAGCGGCCCAAGCTATAATTCATGCTATCAGTGTAATATAAAGTGTAAGAAAAGCTGTAGGAATTGAAGATCAACTTGCTCTCTATGTGATAATTTATTATGTGAAATTTGTACAAATTACTCAGAAACAGGGTGTGAAACTTGTAAAATAAATGCAATCAACCCTGATTCATGTATATGCGATATAACCCAAGCCTAGTTATGGCTTGGAGTGTGTTGACGACTCCCGACATCACTCAGGAGTATAAAAACCTACATTTGTTGATAAGAATTCACTGGGATGACATTCTGGTATAAGTGGATTTACCAAATTTTGGTTTGTAACTCCTTTGGTGACGTCAGGAGTCGCCAGCACACACTCCAAGCTATAACAATGCTCGGGCTATACAAATTTTGTATTGGATGGTTCTACTAATAGCACTTGCGTACAAATTCAATCTGGTGGATACAAAGGTCCTGATGGAAAGTTTTATTCATGTCCAAACTTATGTATTTCGTGTGAATCTCAAATTAAATGTACAGCTTGCGTAGATAATGCAAGCCTATATAATGACTTATGCTATTGTAATATTGGCTATAACGGTATAAGCAATTGCACTTTAGTTTCTTTTTGAGCAAAGCTTACAGTTTTAAGCGACAATTCTTTATATCTATCTTTTTCTGATACTCTAGCAAATAATCTCACAGCCTCTGACTTTATCATAACAATTAAAAAGTATGATGTTTCATGAAAAATTGAGCAGGTGAATGATACAAGCTATTATATTACATTAGATTTAGAAGAAATAATCCCTAAAGGTACATCAGCTACTCTTGAATTTTTGAACTTGGCTGAGTTAAGATCCGTTTCGAATGGAATTTTAAACACGTCTGAAATTTCAGTTTCTCTTAATTATTATGATCCAGCACCTTATTCATCAACTATAGAAGGAATTAGATCTCAAACGACAACTGGAACTCTAGCAATTGTTTCAACAGCAGCTGCCTTATCAATTATGAGTCTAAGTCCAAGCTCTTTGTGGAGCATGATGAATACCTTGCAGATTCTCAGCTACTTAACTTTGTCTGGTATTCCGATCTCTAGTAAAATGAGTGCATTTTTAAATGATCTGAATTCGTTTAGTCTATTTCCAAATGCTTTTTCTTATTTTATAAAAGAAAAGGAAGGGACAATTCCATATTCTCAAGCGAAAAGCTTTGGATTTGATACTGATCTGATCCTATTAAATCAAGGAGATGATTTTACACTTATTCTGGCCTCCATATTTGCATTTCCTGCAGTTTTTCTATTTTCTAGATGCTCATATAGGTGGCTCGGTAAAAAATTTAAAAAATCAATGAGAGCTTATAAATACTCTTTTTATCTAAGGTTTTGAATACAATGCTATCTTGAATTAGGAGCAGCAGCTAGTATAGGAATTTCCACATTCAGTAATCATAATTTTACTCAATGCATAAATATTATTTTATGCACATTTGTGTTTTTACTATTGGTTTTCACCCCACCTCTCTATTATTTGTTTTCTTACAAAAATAAAAATCGTATTCAATCACGTGAAAAATCTTTATTTGCCTTATTTAGCACTTTTTATTACGAATTTCGAAGCGACAAAGGCTTGCTCGGAACACAATTTTATTTTGTATTTTTTTCAAGGAGATTTATTTATATTGTAAGCTTGGTTTTCTTGAGAAATTATCCAGAATCAGAAGTCACCATTAATATTGTTCTTTCTTTAGTAACAGTCCTTCATTTAATTTTCTATTGACCATTTGAAGACCTTATATTACAAATCAACAATTTATTGACAGAAATACTTGTTTTAATTGTAATGTGTGCAACGTCTGTATATTTATTTAATTTAGAGCAAGATATTGTGACAGGGGTAGAGAATGCTATTATTCTAAGTGTCTTTTTGGCAATAATTGTCCAATTTGTATCATCAGTAGCAATATTTTCAAGGTATTTATATCAAGTGATTTACTATAAACTTAAAAAATCAGGAATTATAAAAAAGATTGCTTAATTTGTAGCAATGAAGCGCAGGCAAAAAGTTAGCTAGTAAATAAAATTATTTTCATATTTGGGAAATTAAGTAAAGCTTTGTGCTAATTTAAATTCTTTGTTCCTTATAATAGCCTTTTTAACGTTGCTTTAGAATAAGGCTTTTCTGTTGCTTTTTCTCTTTTTTATTACATACCATCTTTATGATCCCATCTATCTATAAGCTGCTATGAAAAAATTAACTTTTTATGTAACTCCCACTCCCTCATTTCCTCCTTGAGCGAACAAATAAACTTTGTTCACTCACGAAAGAGATTAATTTTTTTTTTAAATTATATATTGTAAATGCTTTTTCTGAAATTTAAAATAATCCCAATTAACAAAATTGGAAAGTAAATATTAATTTAATTTGTAAATTTAGCATTTTGTCCAAAATTAACTAAAGATTTCATTATCCTAATTATCACTTATATATCAAAATCATTTTTTATAAAAATTTTTTATATTAAAAAATTTTTGTTTACTTACGGAAGGCGAGGTTAGGTAAAAAATAGGGATGGTGTAAGTGTATTAATTTACAGTTTAAAGTCATTTCTTTTGGTTTTTGGTTTTAGATTTTGTTTTTGCTTTTGAGCTAAATTTTCCACTTCTTATCTTATTATTTTATTGGCATTCCATATCTTATATGACATATATAATTTAATTGATATTACTCCTGGTAAGCCGGACTTTTCTTATAAAATTTATACTGCATAAATTACATGTTCAGATTTTAAGATCTAAATTTAGGTGTCTCCTTCATGAAAAATCGTATTTGCTCGATTTCTTTTGTGCACATATTTGTTGTAAAAATTAAATTAAATATATAAGTAAAACAATTTGATCTCATGAAATCGGTAATTCAATTTTGTTTTAGAAGGAATCAGTAAAAAAATTTCTGAGTTGAAAAAATATAATATTGATTTATCCAATATTGCCAGTCTGATTATTAATTAACTATCTTTTATTAGCAAGCTTAACCTTCCAAATAATTAATAAATTATCCTTATTCCTGCGTTAAATGCAAACAGCTAAAGTTTAATTAATTTTTTAAGAGTTTATAATGGATTTTCTTAACTTTTTGTTTTTTGTCAACAATATATTGTTGACTTTTGTGCTATATTCAGGGGTAGGTGCCGATGTAATGTGCAATGATGGGACTAATGATTACTGAATTGATGATAAAATTTGTGGCGAAGTATGTCCTTCACAATTTATCCAAGATGTAGACCGAGATAAAGGACAATTGTGCAATTTACCGAGCTCCAATGCTGAGCTATTTGAGCTTAAATTTTGGATGATCCAAAATCTATCTCAAACTTCTATAACGAGCTCAATCAACTCTGCTGATAATTGAGAAAATCCATTTTTAGTTCCTTACAATTCTCCAACGAATACATCTCCATTACCTACTAGGAGCCGTGGATTTTATTTTACTTCAAGTTCATCAATCGCCAGCAACCAACCCTATATCCCATCTCTTTATTTCACAGCAGCTCTATGGATTACAGCAATAACCCCTGGAAAGATTTTGACTGTAAGGGCTGAATCAACAAACTATATAGAATTAGTGCTTGATGATCACTACTTTGCTTTCAATATACTGGCAAAAACGCCACATCGTGATAGCGATATGCCAAAAATTACCTCTATAGCTGATAGTGTTTGGCAATATGTGTTAATTCAAATTAATCAAATAGATTCTGATACAATTAAATTGGTTATTGCAATAAATGAAGATCCGGGTAGTATTCCAAACCTTTTTGAGCATGGCTATGAAGCAAGGTTTCCGAATAAAGTATATAATTGGACAATCGGAAAATCAGATGAAACTTCTTTCAATGGATTTTTATATTGAATTAAAGGATGAAATGTTTTATATCACTATCATTGATCCCCAGATTTTTCACAATTATGCAATATTAGACTACCTTGCAATAATTTTGATGAGTGAAGAGTAAAATAAAATATAAGTGCATTAATTTGTGTGGGGAAAGGTTTTAGCCTATTAAGAATTAAAGTCGATGATATAGAACTTAATTTAATTATTCATATACTTTATGATAACAATTGTATAGTATGTGATGAATCAGGACACTGCGATCCTCCATCCTCACTATGCATGCCTGGCGAGGATGACTGCACTAAGTGCTACTCAGACCAATGCCCAAAGTGTTATGGATACTCTCAAAATATGTGCTCAAAATGTACAAGTGGAAAGGAGCCATCTTGTTGTGACTGATTAGCAAGTTCTTGCTCTTCAACTTTTAATAGTATTACCTGCAGTATAGGTACAGTTCTCATTAATGAAGTTTGCTTGTATGCAATCCCATATGGCTTTGTTAATAATTTGCCAGTAAATACTCCTGTTATTAATGCTGATTTTACTAATAGCTTTGCAGGAATTTACGATAGCATATTGGTTACTGGAGAAAGTTCATCTACCTATAACTACTGAAACTCCCCTGAAAGCATTGATCCATTACCTGCAAAACAGAGAGGGCTTTATTTTATCCCCAATTCTTATTTGAAAGCTACAATAAATCTTTATCATACATTCACGATTGGAGCATGGGTTTATCCCATCAGTGGATATTATATAACATATACTGGGAATCAGCTGAAAGTGCATTCTAACGGGACAATTGAGATCTGCATGCCAAATTTTGCTGGAAGTAGCAAAACGTATTCCACTTCAATATCGTCAAATCTTCAAAAATGAAACTATATTTCCTATTCAATTGAATACCGTTTTAATGGAACTTCATCAATATCTCCATATATAGAAACTGACATTACAAATCCATATTTTGTGCAAGAAGGGATTTTCAGACCTGAAGCAGGCGGATCTCTTTATCTTGGATCAGCTGATTTTAATGGATTTATAAGTCTTTTTCAGTTGTGACAAATCGCTATTTCAAGTTTTCAGTCTTATCGAGGTTATTTCAATAATAATGCAGGAGCATTGGATTTGTGAAGTTGTGATTTTAATTCCTTCTATGATGGAAGTTCTTTCAAAAAATGTTTAGATTCATGCCAAAATGGCTGCGTGAGAGCAGACTCATGCAATATTTGTGATAGCGAGCTCTGCTTGAAATGCTCATCATTTGACTCTAAATCTTGCTTTTTGTGTGTTGAAAATCGATTAGGTAATTCTTGTTCTTTTTGCACAGATCTTTTATGTGATACTTGCAATAGTTCATCAAATGGATGTAAAGCATGCAAACCAAATGCTTCAGTTCAAAATAATTCTTGTGCGTGTAATAGTGGCTACAATGGAACCACAGCGTGCAAATATGTCCCATTTTCTGTCGATCTCTTAATTTTTTCTAATGATTCTTTATCTCTTGATTTCTCAGATCCTTTGCAATATGCACTTTCAAATGACAGTTTTAAAATTTCTATTGAGAATGATCCAAAATTTAGCTGAAGCCTTGAACTGGTAAATACAACCTACTACAGTATTCAAACAATATTTAATGAAAAAATAGAAGAATATACAATAATAAATATCACATTTTTTGATTTGACAAAAGTAAAGTCAATTTATAATGGGATTTTGAGCTCCTCAACAATTAGCTCTAGGCTTAATAAATATGACCCAGCTTCTTATAGCTTAGCTATGACTGAAATTACTTCACAAATATCTTCAGCTGTGCAAGGTGCAGTTATTGGATCTATAGCTGCATCATTTGTAAATCCAAATCCAAGCTCACTATGAAGCTTTTTAAGCTGCTTACAAATTCTCAGTTATTTATCATTATCAGGAATTCCTTTTTCAGAAAAAATGAATAAATTCTTATCAAATTTAAATTCATTTAGCCTTTTTCCAAATGTTTTTGAATATTTAATAAATGAAAAAGAGGGAAGCAAAGCTTATGATAATGCTATAAATTTTGGATACAATACTGATTTAATCTTATTAAACCAAGGTGATGATTTTTCTATAGCAGCTGCCTCAGTACTTTTTATTCCATTAGTATTATATTTAGCTAATTGTTCTTACAGAATGGTTGGAAAAAAATTTCAAAAAATGTACCAAAATTATAAATATGCTTTCTATATAAGATTCTGGATACAATGCTTCCTTGAGCTTGGAACTGCTGCATATGTAGGGCTAAAAATGTTCAAAATCCAAAATTTTACTCAAATAACAAATATTATTATTTGCTTTGGGATTATTTCATTATATACAGCTTCCCCTTTTGCATTTTTTTGGTTTTCTTATAGAAATCGAGTAAAAATTCAATCAAAGTCTAAAACATTCTTTTCACTATTTGACTCCTTTTTTTATGAATTTCGGACTGAAAAAGGATTTCTCTATTCTCTTTACTATTTTGTTTACTTCTTGAGGAGACTTATATACTCGACTAATTTGGTGTTCCTGAGTGATTACCCAAGGACGCAAGTTTCAATAAATATTATATGCTCCTTGATCAGTATATTTTATTTAATTGCGTATTGGCCTTATAAAGATAAAATTATTCAGATTTCGAATTTAGCTAGTGAAATTATGATCTCAATAATTATGTGTGCAACTTCTTTTTATTTATTTGATTTAAGCTCAAGCATGATATCAGATATGGAAAACTTTATAATTTTCACATCTATAATGGTAATAGGGGTACAGTTTTGCACTTCAATCTCGATTTTTGCAAGAACTATTTATCAACTTTTTGGTGGTAAATTAAATCCATATGGAAATTCTAAATTAAAAGTTCACCCTATTGAAGAGTTTTCAGAAACGATTTAAGTATATTTACTAAATTTTTATAACAAAATAAATACACATGCTTGCTTATTAAGCTTTTTATATTCTTGATAGTGAAATATAATTATTTAAGAATTTAAAGATGAAATTGCAATTCCTTTTGTTATTTTTCTCCAATATATTGCTAGCTTTTTCACAGTGCCAGTCGTTTACGGATACTGGTGCATGCAATGATATGATTAATACTTTGCTGATTGATAATAAAATTTGTGCCAATGTTTGTCCAACTCACTTTAGAAAAGTATGCGACTCAGTTCAAGAAGATTCATGTACAGGATGTTCGATGCCAACTTCCCCTGCATTATTCGAGCTTGAATTTTGAAAAATAGAGGATCTATCAGCAACTTATATAGCGAATAAGATCGATCCAACTGATAAATGGGCTAATCCATTAGGAACTCCTTACAGCTTAGACACCAAAACGTCACCATTTCCAACAAGAAATCGTGGGTTTTATTTTAGCTCAACTTCATCTATGACTAGCAATCAGAACTACATTCCAGCACTCTATTTTACATCAAATGCATGAATTTTACCTATTTCGACTGGACAGATATTGACTGCAAATTTAGACTCAAAAAATTACATAGAACTAATATATAATTCAGATATTTTTACTTTTAAAATTTTAGCAAAAAGTGCAATCAACATTGAAAATCAAATAAGCGTAAGCAGTGATATCATTGATAGCAATTGGCAATATATATCAATCCAAATTAATCAAATAGATTGTGATGTAGTAAATATAACGGTATCTAGAAATAATATTGATAGGTGAACTTCAAAATGGGGCAGTACAATAGCAAATTTTGCTGACGGGGCTTATACGTGGACAATTGGAAAGTCAGATTCAGATTCTTTTTTTGGATTTTTATATTGAATTGAAGCAACAAATAGCTTGAACTCAAATTATTGAATATTGGATACAACAAATCTATGCAGCATTCTAAACTATTTTGGCCAATGTATGAAATGTGATAATGATTCAGGCTGCCAAAATTGACTTTGCTCGACTGGCGAAGACGACTGTTCTAGGTGCTATTCATTGGAATGTTCAGAGTGTTATGGATATGCTGAAAATATGTGCACAGGATGCAAAACTGGAATGCTACCTTATTGTTGTGATTGACTTGCAAATACTTGTATTTCAACATTCAATAGTACTTCCTGCAGTGAAGGGACAGTTCTTATTGATGGAGTTTGCTTGTATGCTGTACCATATGGTTTTATTAATAATTCACCGGTAAATACACCTGTTATTAACGCTGATTTTACTAACTCACCCTTTTTTAAATAAGCACAAAAAAAAATCTGTTCTAATTTTACAATGAAATTAAATTTTCTCCAATTTAAAGGGAGAGTAAAAGCTTTGCAGGAATTTACGATAATATTATGATTACTGGAGAAAGTTCATCTGCCTATAACTACTGAAACTCCCCTGAAAGCATTGATCCACTTCCTGCAAAGCAGAGAGGGCTTTATTTTCTTCCCAATTCTTATTTGAAAGCTACAATAAATCTTTATCGTACATTCACGATTGGAGCATGGATTTATCCCATCAGTGGATATTATATAACATATACTGAAAATCTCAAAGTGCATTCTGATGGAACAATCGAAATTAGCATGCAAAATTTTTTGGGTGATTATACCGCGTATTCCGCTTCAACATCACCATCTCTTAATAATTGGAATTATATTTCATATATAATAAAATACCGTGATGATGGATCTTCATCAATTACTCCATATATAGATGCTTCTGCTGAAAATTCATATATAGTTCAAGAAGGCATTTTTCGACCCATAGCTGGAGCATCACTTTACCTTGGTGCTGATTTTAATGGATTTATAAGTCTCTTTCAATTGTGGCAAACCGTATTTACAGACTTTCTGTCTTTTCGAGATTATTTCAATGACGATCAAGGAGCATTTTCCTTGTGAAGTTGTGATTATGGTTTCTATTTTGATGGGAATTCTTGTAATAAATGCTTAGACTCGTGCCAGAGTGGCTGTGTTAAAGCAGACTCGTGCAATCTTTGTGCAACTGAATTTTGTTTGGAGTGTTCATCATTTGAGCCTAATTCTTGCAATTCATGTGAACAAAATCGATTAGGTATTCTATGTCAATGCGATATTGGATATTATCAAGCCGCTGGACAAACTGCATGCTCTCAATGCTATACTGGATGCTCCAACTGTAGCGGATCACTTTATTATCAGTGTACATCCTGCATCTCATATTATTATTATTTTGTTGCAGCAGGGAGTTGCTTATCTGATTGTCCTATGGGATACACTAAATCGGTCAGCGAATGCTTATTCGAATCTGATATTATTTTCGATTTAAATTTAAATACTCAAAGTGGAATTATCTATGATAGTGTAAGTTCAATTCCAGTAATAACAGGGTCATCTGAACAATTTTATCCAAATTATGAAGAAGATGATCCAAAAAGTGCATATTTGAGAGGCTTTTATTTTAATGGAAATTCTTCTATATTGAGATTGCCTGAGTATAAAAATTATATATCACCAAAGTTAAGGATTGGACCTATTTTTATGATTTCTATATGATTAAATGCTGAAAATGAAAGCTGCACTATAATGTCAAAAAATAATATTTCTGAAAGTTTAGGTTTAGAATTTACAAAACCATTTTATGGAGGAATTAAAGCTCATCACACTAGGCCTTAAAGTCGTTATTACTCACTTCTAGCAATAGCAAGGAGATTTATCTTCGCATTTTATACCCGCTACCTTCTTTAGGGTATAGTCTTCAGTACCATAGCACCTATTAACTTGCATCTCCTTCATTTGAGTACAATGTGCTGCAGACTTGCTCATATCTTGCCTTAGACGATCCACCTCTCTACCAAATTTGAAGCATGTAGAGACTTGGGTAGCTTACACTGCCCTGTCTTCTTCCTGCACAACTTGAAGTCGGTCCATCACCAGTCATCTTATTCCAGAATCCCAAGGCCCGTTGACTCGATGATATGACTTGGCATGAGGAAAGATGCTCTTCTAAGGTGCAAAATCTCACTGGGTAGAAAATTAGCCAAAATAAAAGTAGCTTACCCCCCCCTCGTGAGTGAACAAAAATTTTGTTCACTCACGGAGGGGGGTTAATTTTTTTTTCGAAATTTATAAAAATCCTAATTCGCAAAAAATTGAAAGCAAATATTAATTTAATTTATAAAATTTATGTTTTAAAAAGCAATTTGTTTAAAATTAAACAGAAATTAGCTCTAGATTTCATTATAATAATTATCACTTATATATCAAATTTTTTTTCCATAAAAAATTTTTCTATTAAAAAAAATTTTGTTCACTCACGGAGGGCGGGTTTTTGGGCAAAAAATAGCGATTTTTCTAATGGTTTTGTTCACTCACGGAGGGGGGGAGTTAGAGTCGGCCGAGCTACGCATATTATAGGCCATATTTTTCTTGATATTTCTGATAACTATTCAATTGTCTATGCTATCACTTTAGTTAATGCAATGCCAATTTTAACGTTTTTAATAGACAATTCTATATTTATTTATTCAAGCAAGATATCACTTCACAATTTTGAATGAAATCATTTAGCATTTATAGTTGCAGTTGATACTAGTGGGCATTCTGTTGCAACATGTTATGCTAATACTAATCAAGATACTCCGTATATTGCTGGTTTTGGATATTTTCAAGATATTAATTCTGACGTAGTTACTCTTATTGGTGCTAGGCAGATTTCCCAAGGAATTGGAGACTTTTTCCAAGGATTTTTGTATGAAATAAGAATATATAATAAAGCTTATGAGATTGGACTCTTATCACAAACATCATGCTTGGAGAACTGCAGAGTTTGCAATATAACTGGGACATGCATACCTAATTGCAACATCACTGAATCTTGGGAAGGGCCAGGGTATAATAATTGTCTTAAATGCGATTCAAGCTGCAACAACAGTTGCAAAGACACCAAGGAAAATTGCTTAGTTTGTAAGATTAAGATTAATATTGGCTTTAAATGGAATTAGCCACTGACTATTGCCTTTTCTTAACTCCAAAAGACCAAGCCACCATAAACTTCGGAACCAAACGAGGAAAAAGGAGCCTACCATTTTGAGTGAGCTACCTCTAGAAAGTAACTCGACAGCCTGGGATAAAAAGAATATGTTGGATGGATCCAATCTGAATGCGCTTCCGGAACCACCATCTATCAAAATCACAATTTTATTTCTTTAGTTTCTAATGATTCCTTATGTGATATTTGCTCAGATAACTCTCCAAATGAATGCATAAGTTGCAAGCCAAATGCTTCCCTCAAAAATAACTCTTGTGTCTGCAATATTAGCTATAATGGAACCACAGCATGCACATATGTTTCATTTTCTGTTAATCTCTTAGTTTTTTCAGATGATACTTTATCCCTCAATTTTTCAGATCCTTTGCAGTACACACTTACATTAGATGATTTCATAATATGAATTGAAAATGGCCCAGAAATCACTTGGAGCCTCGAACAAATAAATAATACTTATTATATCATTCCAACACAAATTAAGGACAAAATTGAAAAAAATACAATAGTCAATGTAAAATTTTTTGATCTGTCCCAGATAAGGTCAATTTATAATGGGATTTTGGACTCTTCTACGATTAGCTCAACACTCAATGAATACGACCCAAATTCTTATAGTATAGTAGTAGCTGCAATTACTGCAAAAGTAACAACAACTGTTGAAAGTGCAGTTATTGGAAGTGTAGCTCTATCATTTTTCAATCCAAATCCAAGCTCCTTATGGGGTTTATTGAATTGCTTACAAATTCTCAGCTATTTATCATTATCAGGAATTCCTTTTTCTGAAAAAATAAGTGAGTATTTATCGAATTTAAATTCATATAACCTTTTTCCAAATGTTTTTGAGTATTTAATAGATGAAAAAGAAGGCAGCAGAGCTTATGATGAAGCAAGAAATTTTGGATATGATACTGATTTAATTTTACTGAACCAAGGCGATGATTTTTTTATAATAGTTGCATCAATAATTTCACTACCATTCGCTATATACTTTGCTGATTGCTCGTATAGATTGGTTGGTAAAAGATTTCTAAGAATTTTCAAAAATTATAAATATGGTTTCTATATAAGATTCTGGATACAATGCTACCTTGAACTTGGTGCTGCTGCACTTGTGGGCCTAAAAATGTTTAAAGTCAATAATTGAATTCAAATAGCAAATATCATTATTTGTTTTATAGTTGTTTCGCTGTTTATAGTTTCTCCTCTTGCGTTTTTGAGATTTTCTTATAGAAATAGATTCAAAATCCAAACCAAAGAAAAAGAATTCAATTCTTTATATGATTCATTTTTTTATGAATTTCAGACTGAAAGAGGACTGCTCTATTCCCTTTATTATTTTGTTTACTTTCTAAGGAGATTTATATATGCAACAAATTTGGCGTTTTTAAGTGAGAGCCCAAAGATGCAGATTTCAATTAATATTATATGCTCGTTGCTCAGTATATTTTATTTACTCATTTATTGACCTTTTGAAGATAAAATTATTCAGATTTCAAACTTGGTGAGCGAGATTATGATTGGACTAATTATGTTTATCACTTCATTTTACTTATTTGATATAAGTCCAAAGATGATATATTATACTGAAAACTGTATTATTTTTATTTCTATTATAATTATTGGAACACAATTATGCACATCTATCGCTATTTTTGTAAGAACTCTTCATCAAATTCTCAGATATAAGCTAAATTTATATGGAAACGCTAAATTAAGTATTCACCCGATGGAAGAAATTCAAGAAACTATGTAAATATAGAACGAACTATTAAGAAAAACTAGCATCGAATAGAATCAATTAAACATAATATTTATCAGTTAAAATATTATATATAAACATAAAATTCTCTTTTAATGATTTTATTTTAGAATTTGACCTCTGCAAATGTGGAATATTTGTAATATTTCCCAAAGCATCATAATTATTAATCCCAGAAAGAAACAATAGTGAACCTTCAATATTGATGATGCAAAAATTAGTTTAGACTAATGGAAAATTCATGCTATCATTTTATTAGCATTGATCTTTTAAAAATGTATTAACTCCAAAATTCTATTGTTTTCAAATAATATTAATATAAAGCCCGTATATCATTAAGATTATTATAAAGAAATTAATTAAGCTAGATATTGCTATTAATTCGGATTATTTATTTGAACGCTGTTTAGCATTTTATTTTATTTCTTAAAAATAGGCCTATCTTATATGCGCTTCTTAGATAAAACAAGATCTAGGGCTTATCTTTTTTCTCTTTAACTCTAAATTCTATGCTTGAACAATAATGTAAGAAAAATCGGTTTAGAAACTGCGATTTCGCGATTAAGCTGATTGTTTTGTGTTTATAAAACTAATTTTCAAAGGTTTTTCGATCAAAAAGCATGAATTTTTTAGAAAAATTAAAATATTTATAAAAGATGATTTAGAATATTCCTGCGTGGTTGTTGCATAAAATGGTGCATTTGATGAAAATATATTTTTAATTCTCTCAATATATATAATTAATGAGGGTGAAGTTTTATTTATTAATAGCATCTCTACTTCAATTGGCAATTTCTCAATGCTGCATATTTTGTGATTCATCTTCTTGTGCAGTTCCTTGCACTCTTTGCTCAACTGGCTACAGTCTGATAGGAAATTTACTCTGTGTGGAAACTTGTCCATCTAACTCAGTATTTTCTTCAACTCCAATACCATCCTGCTCATCTCCATTTGGCCAAGTTTTTACGATTGACTTTACGACTCAGAAAGATCTTACTGCAAAAACAGTTGCAAGCTTCTCAAACCTTTCTAATCTTCAATTTGGTGATTCAAATCAAAATACTCCTCTGCCCACTGTAGATAGAGGATTTTATTTTGCGAGCACTTCAGCAATAGAAAACTCAAATATTTATATTCCTAGCTATTTATTTACAATGAACATTTGGATTTTTCCTATTTCTTTTTCTGGTGTTATTTTTTATGCTAAAATTGGAACTTTAGAGTATATTAAAATTGAAACTTTGTCTGGCAACTATCATATGAGTTTATTATTGAAAAACCAGCTAGACTCAGGAAATAGTGTTTTAGCATCTATTCAAGGACTTGCATTAAGTAATTCTTGAGAGGGCGTGACTTTTCAATTTACTCAAACAGCTTATAACTCAATTGATTTACAAATTATTATAAATAATACCCCACACATACTAACTATTTCAGGCAGAGAAGCAAATTTCCCTAATGGGAGCTATGACTGAGTAATAGGGCATCCAACAAATTCTTTCCAAGGCTTTATTTATTGAATCCAAGTTAATAGTGATAATACAATAAATTTTCCTTCCATCAATCCTCCTACCTGCTTAAATTCTTATTTCTGGGGCGGATCAAATTGCCAATTATGTAGCGGCTCTTGTCAAAGCTGACCATGATGCATCAGAAGTGAAAATTGTTTAGTATGCAAAAGCTTAGATTGTACGGCTTGTAATGGTTATGAAACTTCAATGTGCACAAGCTGCAATACTGGACTGGTTCCAGGCTGTTGTGATGCTTTGTGTGATGCTTGCAGTCAAACTTGGAGCTGCAATACATGCAAAGCTGGAAAATTTTTGATTGGTGGGATATGCTTAAATTCATGCCCATATGGTTTTGGAAGCTGCGCTGTAAATCCTGGAATTTTTATTTCGACTGATTTTAATGTTCCTTTTGCAGGAAGCTATGGGATTTTTAACACTGGGACTGACTCTTCAAGTTATCAATTTTTTAACTCTCCAGAAACTATAGATCCTGTACCAACTCAAAATCGCGGTCTGTATTTTACTTCTGGGAAATATTTAGCAGGTGCTATTGATCTTTCGCATACATTTACAATTTCCTTATGAATAAGACCTCAAGCAGGCGATATTTTAGGGAATTCATATGGGAATCTTAAGGTTTCTTCAGCAGGCTTAGCTACATTGTTATTAATTTCATGGGATAATACATCAACAGCCTCTTTATCTAACTCAGTCTCAATAAGTACCTCTAGCTGAAATTATCTTTCTTTTTCAGTCAGCTTCTCCAATAAACAAACATCACTTATTGTGTACTCCAATAACTCTCCCAGTGCACCAAATTCCATAAGCAACTATGTATTTAGGCCTTCTAGCAATGATAAATTATTTATAGGAAAGAGTGTTTCGAATAATTATAATGGATTTGTAAGCTATTTTAAACTCTGGGGAGGGATTATCAATGATTTTTCCGGAGAAATGGGAGATGGAGGATGCGGGTCAGGGAATGGAATCAGTTGCTTGTGAAATTGCGGATTTTTGTTTTGGGGATCAGCCTGCACTGCATGCGACGGAGGATGCACACTTGGATGTGTTTTAAACGGAAATTGCAATATTTGCAATGATAATTTATGTGGAATTTGCAGCTCGTTTAACAGCGGAAGCTGTAGTCAATGTATAACAAATGCAGCGGGAAATCCATGTGCATGCAATACCGGATATTATAAGCCAAATGGGCTATCTATATGTAGCCTATGTAGCACTTCTTGCATAGCATGCTCTGGACCAGGCTATTATTCATGCACTGCCTGCTCATCAGGGACTTATTTACTTAGAGGAATATGTATGACATCCTGTCCATCAAAGTATTCGCAAGACAGCGTATTAAATAAATGCATCCAAATAACAAATTTGGTTGTAGAAGCAACCTTCAATGAAATTATACTTCTGGATAAAATTTCAGACTTTCAGGTTGGCTTATTAAATAATAATGTGTATCCAAGTTATGATGTTAATGACCCTGTTCCTTCTTATAACAGAGGATACTATTTCAAATCTTCAAGCTATTTGACAAGTACAGGAATTTATATGTCACCTTTTTTATCTTTGAATTTTTGGGTATACCCAATATCTGGAGGTGCTTTGTTCAGAAAAACTTCTACGACAACATACATTTCAATCTCAATTACGGGGGCAGGTATTCCTTCGGCTTTTCTGACTTTATCTGATTCTTCTTCAATAAATATATCAGGGACTTCTTCAGTGCTAAATAATTGAAAGTATTTATCAATAGTTGGGCTTGTCTTCTTGGGCAAAACGAACTTGATTATATATATTAATAATGCTCTTGTGAGCTCATCTTTATCATCAAATTTAGCATATTTGAAAGATTTAGGAAGTATGTACATCGGGAACGCATCGGGAGGTTTTGTGGGATTTTTATGGAGTTTTTCAGCTTATAATGATGAAACTCAATATAGCACTGACTGAAATACGGCTGGATGTGGAGGCGCTCAGTGCCCAAATGGAATAATATTTCCTATGTGCTCATTCTTAAAGTATTTAGATACTTCTACTTCAACTTGCACTAATTGCCTCACTCTTCCAGCAATAAGCAAAGTTTTGATTTTTCGTGTGGATTTTAGCTTAATATTTTAATATATAGTACATTTTATATGAATAGAATGAAATTTACTGATTTTGGGGATTAATTATTTGAATTAGCAGTTCGTCCTTAGAAGACTGAGGATTTCCACCCTAAAATGTTCACCTCCAAGAAAGACCCGGCAGGCACCCTTTCTCCCCGCTGCAGGCATGGATTCGCACGATCAATCTTAACTTCCATTCTCCTGGAGCCTATGGACCCACCAACTGGATCGAAACTCAGTTTCTCGCTAGGCAGATGTTACTTCGTGACCCTCTGGTGCTTTTGCTGGCCCTATCTTTTCAAATGATGTCTTAGTTCCAGAAATTAGCTCCTTAGGGCCAAGCCCGATATGCACAAAGGATTCAGGCCTTTTTCTGCCATTGCCATTCATACCTGCTGGCTTTGAAGAAAATGGGTCAGGAGGCGGCTTTTTTGTCATCATTTTTATGTATATTTTTGGAGGATAATTTGGGAAAAATGGATTTTTTTCACTTTAATCTGAAAGCCACTAATAAAAGTAATTTCGATCTAATTTACTATTTGAAAATTTTGTGTAAAATCCCGATTAATAACCAAAAACTTGCTTTATTACTGGGAGGGGTTAGTGGATGCACAGGAGGCTGTAGAAATAGTATCTCATGTGGACTATGTCGAATGCCTGCATGCAATAGCTGCCTATCATTTTCAGGTCCATGCACTTCATGTGTTTCAAACGCCTCTCCAGATGGAAATGGCGGCTGCGTCTGCAAGAATTCTTATTTTTGGTACCCAGAAACTCTCTCATGCTCATTCTGTGACAGGTACTGCAAAACATGCCTGGGCACTACCTTTTACGAGTGCTCAGTGTGCTATTCAGGGTCCACTCTTGTAGGATTAATTTGTTTACCCGGTTGCCCATATGGCTTTGGCTCTGGCTGTTCTCCTGTATCAACTCCAGTTATCAATGAACTATTTAATTCAGGTCTTCTGACAACATATGGGCCATTCAAAACCAAAATTGATTCAACTCGCTATAACTTTTTTAAGACACTTGACAGCTATGACTCTGCAACTTCAGCTCAGAGAGGATTACTTCTCACTCAAAATACCTATTTGCAAGCTGACTCTCTTTGGCTAAATCATGATATTTCAGTTGGAGTTTGGGTGAATACTCTAATCCATGGAAACCTGGTATCTTATTTTATTACGTATTATAACTATGATTTTGTGTTTTCTACAGATGCGTCTTTATTGTATCAAATAAGCAATGGTTGGGCTACAAAGATTAAATTTTCTACGAATGCAGCAATAGTGCCGAATGATGCATGGAATTATTTATCATTTACCATGAACTACGGATACAATAGCGTACAAATAAATGCTTTTGTGAATGGAGTCCCAACGTATACTATAACTAGATCAGGTGCAATTTATAGACCACTTTTTAATGCAGGCTCCTTAAGAATTAATGCATATTATAATTGCTTTGTGGGGTATATTTATTCGTTCCAACTATGAAATGTGCTAGTCACTGATTTTTCTTCATGAATTAATGATAATATTTGCGGATTAGGGTTAGCAAGTTTGTGTCTCTCTCCCTATACTTTAGCTTCGTATAATGATGCTACAAACTGTTCTACCTGTGATAATTCTCTTACAGGATGCCCCAGAAATGTCTTTTGTAATCAATGCGCTGACCCTCTATGTGCTTCGTGCACCAATTTCAGCCCAGGATCATGCACAAAGTGCGTAGGTTTTTCTTCAGATGCTCCTTCTCAAGCTTGTGCTTGCATTGACGGCTATTTTATCAGATACAACTATATTTGCTTAGCGTGCCCTGCTGGCTGCAAAAAATGCTTGAGTTTTATATTCAACTCTTGCACATCATGCTTTTCGGGATATTACTTAAATAGCGGTATGTGCATTTCTAAGTGCCCCAGTGGATATACAATGAACTCTTTAACAAATACCTGTGATATTTCAGGATCAACTCTATTTTTCTCAGATTTCTACAATCTGATTAAACTTGATGCTATCAGCTCACTAAAAGTAGGAAACATTGATACAAATAAGTACCCTATCTATGATTCAAATGATCCTTGGCCTGCTATAAATCGCGGGTATTATTTTTCTGGCAACAGCTCTATATCTACAACTTATATGATTGGAACGAGTTTTACTATTTCATTGTGATTAAAAGCACTTGCCCGTCAAAGCCGGAACGCTGTATTGTGCCAGTGCCATGGTACAATAAAGTGGATCGATCCAGAGGTCCATGGGCCCGACACGTGGACAAATATGGCAGAAGCTCTGGAAACGGCTGCCCCGTAAGACGTTAAACGTAATAGATAATACAACAATAACGATTAAAAGTATTTGGAGGTGGCTATCTTATGGCGAAATATGTTTCTGATTATAATTTCCAATTAAGCATAAAGAATACTGGCCAAGCATATTTTAATTGCACATTTAGTTCTTTTTGAACCTCAGTTTGAAATGATTTAACCTCAAGTTCTAGCTTACTCAATTCATGAAATTTAATTTCAGCAACTGCAAGCTTAAATTCTGATACTTCTCAAATATCGAATATTGATGCTTTCGGATCGACCACTGTTAATTTATATGTCAATGGAGCGGTGGATTGTGCTCCAAAAACTGCTATGCTTTCATATCTAAAAGATAATCCTTCTGGGTTGTTGTTTATAGGAAGCAGTCCTAGCATGAATAATGGATTCACTGGATTTGTTGATAGAATTACTATATACCCAGATTCTCTAAGCTATGGATTAGACTATGCTAACAGTGGATGCAATGGGTCATGCTCTAAATGTCCTAGCAGTTTAGTGTGCCTTAGTGAGTGCTTGATAAATACATACCCAGGAGCTAGCTGTGGAAACTGTTTGTCTTACTGCGCTTATGGCTGTAGAAATGGCTTAACTTGTAGATTGTGCAAACAAAGCACATGCTTATCATGCGAAGAATTCACGGGAGACTGCTTTTCTTGTATACCCAATGCTTACTTAATATCCCTCCATGGGCTAGCAAGATATCTTGCTTGCTCATGGAGAGGGTGATTTTTTTTAAAATTTTTATATTAAATTTTATACAATTTTTTTTTTGAGATTTTAAATTGGAAAATAAAAATTAGTTTAATTTGAAGAATTTATGCTGTTTAAGTTTCCAAAAATTAGCTAGATATTTCACTATAATACTTATCACTATACATTAACACATTTTTTTGTAAAACTTTTTGTTCGTGGAGGTTTATTTTGGATTTTCCAATGGTTTTTACTTATACACAGAAGTGAAGTTAGAATATGGCTCTTGCTATTGCGACACTGATGCATATTTTAATGAAACCACACAAAACTGCCAGACTTGTTCTGCAGCTGGATACTTTCTATGCACTACCTGCAATTTTGCTGTTGGGAATTTATGCATTCGTGAATGCCCCTATGGATTCACTTCTCCTCATTGTAAAAATGTTACAAACCCTGTAATCGATCAGACTTTTTATGGAGATTTTGCGGGGAGCTACAGCATTTTCATAACAGGGGCAAGCTTAAATACCTATCAGTTTTGAAATTCACCAGAATCTGCTGATCCCATTCCTGCTTATAAAAGAGGACTTTATTTTTCTTCTGGAAAATATATATACTCTAGTGCAGAGGTGTATCTTTCACATAGTTTTTCAGTAGGTACTTGAATATATTCTATATCAAATGGTGACATAATATATAAAGAAACTTATGCGGCCTTATCATCTAATGGCTCATTAAAAATTTTACTTGAAGACCTAAACGAAGCTGTAACTCCAATTATTACTCCAGCTATCTCGAATCCACCTGGATGAAACCATATATCATTTACAGTGATTTCTTCGATCACAGCGACATCTATTACTATTTACTCTAATAATGAAGCAGTAACACCTATTACTGTAAATGGTAAGATTTTCCGAGATCAAGCTTCGAAAACTTTGTATATAGGAAAAAGCACAACTGCTACCTTTCAGGGGTTTATTTATTGGTTTACGCTATGAAATGTCCCAATTACTGATTTTTCTTCACAAGTAAATAATTTATGTGGAACTGGGCTAGGCAAAAGTTGCCTGTGAACTTGTGATATAAATAACTATTATACGGGATCTTCATGCAGCAGCTGCAATTCATGCAGTTTAGGATGCAGAAGAAGTCAAAATTGTAATATTTGCTATGATTTACTATGTGATACTTGTAGTGGATTTGATTCAGGAGAATGCATTAACTGTGTTTCGAATGCAACACCTTCAGCAGGAGTGTGTGCTTGCAATACAAACTATTTAGTTTCAGGAGACGGGCTTTCATGCAATTGGGCCTGTACAATCGGGTGTGCAAGTTGTACTGGATATTTGGTGTACAATCAATGCATAACTTGCAAATCAAACTATTATCTGCTTATTTCCTCCGTGTGCTAGCAAAAACTATATTGGAAACTCCCTATTTTTTGGGAAAATAACTGATGAGCGAACAAAAGATATTTCTACAAAAAAAAAATAAGTGATAATATATGAAATCTCTAGCTAATTCTGTTAAACTTCAAAGCATGCATTTTTAATTTAAAATTTTGAAAAATTAGTTACCCCTCCAAGAAAAAACAAAATTTTTTATCTGCTCAGGAGGTGGGAGTAATAATCAATGCTTTTCCTCATGCCCAGCAGGCTACACTCAAGATACTTCTTTAAATCAGTGCACAAATCCTCCAGCAACTCCTATAATTTCATTGGCTTTGCAAAATTTAATTTATTTAGATTCAGTGGATGATTTTACAGTAGGCTCATCATCTGACCCCTACCCTTCTTTTGATGCAGCAGATCCCATTCCTTCTATAAGCAGGGGATATTATTTTTCTTCTGGAAAATACATGACTTCAGCTGCAAGCCTCATTATAAGTCCATGATTTACGATTACCATATGAGCAAGGCCAATTTCTCAGGGAAATATAATATCGCAATTGAATGGATCTGTTTTACTTATGGTTGCTTCAGTTTCTGCAAGTGGATATATAAATTTCATAGTGCAATTGCAAGACTCATCAGCAATAACTCTAACAGGAACAGAAAACTTATTTGGTGCTTGGCACAACATAGCATTTTGTTCTGATATCGTTAATGGGTATTCTATAGCATCATATATTTTAGATGGAAGCTCAATTTCAAACTTATCAAGCACTAATAAACAGCCCTTTATGAGTTTAGGGCAGATTACTATAGGGAAACAAAGTATTTCTGACTCATTTACTGGATTTTTGTGGAGTTTAAAAATATATAACGATAATTTGCATTCATTAAGCGAATGAATTGGATCTGGATGCTCTTCTGGATGCACAAACTGTCCTTCGGAAAAAATATGCCCTGACTCTTGCGAATTTGGAAAGTTTTATTCATCTTCTTGCAGTGATTGCTTAGGAAGCTGTAGTACATATGGGTGCAGATCAGCTCTAACCTGCCGATTGTGCAAGCAAAAGGAGTGCTTTTCTTGCACAAAATTTGATGGAGACTGCACATCTTGCATTGCAAGCGCTTCATTAAACAGCGGAAACTGTGCTTGCAATCCTAATTCTATTTGGATTCAATCGTCAGAAACCTGCGAAATCTGTGACATTCTTTGTAGTAGCTGTGCTGGAAGCTATTTTTTTGAATGCACTTCTTGCGTTACTGCAAAAACTTTAGTAGGAGCTGTCTGTCTACATCAGTGTCCTACTGGATTCAGTAATTCTGGTTGTACCAGTACATCATCGCCAATAGTTGATACTTCTTTTTATGGTACTTTTAAAGGAAATTATGGAATTTTCGAAGCAGGTGAGAATTCAAATACCTATTAGACCTGCTTATAAAGAATATCTCAAATAAGAGCATTTTATGATTAGGCAGATTGCAATTGGGCTAGCCAAGTTTGATTACAAGCCATATTTTTTGTCTAACCAAATTTAAAAATGGTGAGCCAAAAAATGCTACTGAGTGGGCAATACTTCCTAAACAGTTGTATTTTTTTAATAGCCCTGAAAATGATGATCCAATTCCAGCTACTCACAGAGGACTTTATTTTTCAAATGGAAAATTCTTAAAAAGCTCACTCCCACACTTCATAAGCGAGCAATGCCTTTGGAAAATCTCTAATTTTCGGGAAAAGCAAATGATCACAAAAAATTTGATATAAAGTTAAAGGGTCTAGTAGCATTTTCACTGATTGGCCAGCATCCTATTTCTTCTTCCATGTAAACTATTTTGAAGGAAAAAAATAAGATATTAGCTTGCTAGTAAAATGGTGTCTGTGTGCAAAAGAAGTCTAATATAAAACTTTTTTATAACAAATATTTTAATAATTTATTATAATGAAATCTCAAGCTAATTCAGCTGAATTTTAAATAGCCTTACATTCTAAAGCATAAATTTAATAAATTAAACTTTTACTTCCAATTTTAGAAATATCGATTTTTAGTATAAAACAAATGAACTATAAAATTATATATAAAATTAAACAAACCTATTCAGTTAGCCAGCAAAAGTTTTTGATCTCTTACGATTGTGGAGTCAGTATCTTTATATTTATCGACTAGTTTCTCTTTAGGTTTATGAGTCCTTGTAAAAAGCGCTGGTGATTTTTTAGAAAAGGAAAATGGCTTTATAATAAACAGCAGCGGTAAGTTGGTAATTAATTTGCAAAGTCCATTACAATTAATTAGCTCACTGGCAACATTGCCAATGAGTCTTGATGGATGGAGCTATTTATCAATTTCAGTAGATTATCTTAATGGCGATTCCATCATTACTACTTACATTGACAATATCCCAAGTATCCCAATAATTTCTGGCAATAAAATATTCCGAGATTCCACTGCATCAAATCTTATTTTTGGGAAAAGTTCTTCAAATGCTCTATTTTCAGGATTTTTATATTGGGTAACTATATGAAATTCAGCTATCAACAATTTTTCAGCCCAAATTGACAACTTGTGTGGAGCCGGAATGGGACGAAGCTGCTTATGAAATTGCGACATTTCTCAATTTTACACAGGAGCTGCATGCGAATCTTGTAGTACTTGTTCATTTGGGTGCAGGAGACTAAATTCTTGCAACATTTGTTATGACCCTCTATGCAAAATATGTAGCTTTTTTAGCGCTGTTGAATGCTCAGGCTGTGAAGGCCATACTTGTGATGAATGTGATGGCTATCCAAGCGCATGCATTGCTTGTAAAGAAAATGCAAGCTTAATAGGCTTAAGCTGCCAATGCAACACTGGATTTTCTTTCAATAAGGACAGTGAAATTTGTGAAGGATGCGATATTTACTGCAAAACCTGCGTTTCATTTGACTATTTTAAATGCTTAACTTGTATTGATGGGTTCTATCTCTTCTCAGGAGTTTGCTTATCGCCTTGCCCTTTAGGGTTTTCTCCATCTGGAAATCAGTGTGTGAAAGTTAAAGAAAAGATTTTTGATTTAGATTTGAATACATTAGAAGGAATCATTTATGACAAGGCAAGCTCGATTCCGGTAGTATCTGGCTCAACTAAACAGTTTTATCCAAATTATGAAGCTGACGACCCAATAGCTGCTTATTTAAGAGGATTCTATTTTAATGGGCAGTCTAGTGTTTTAAGACTGCCTGATTATTCAAATTTTACATCTCCAAAGCTCTTAATTGCACCAGTTTTTACAATTTCTATATGGCTAAATCCCGAAGCTCCCTTCTCTTCAATAGAAAAATATGAATCATGGAAATGATGCTCTGCCCGAAGAGCTATTTTATTGAGTTAATTTTCCTTCCAGATTCATATTAGCTGGAAAAGAGCTTTTCCTTAAGACAGGCTCAACCATCGTGCCAACGGGCCTTGGGCTCCTGGGATAGGATGACCGGCTAGACAGGCTTAAGGCGCTTGGTGACGACTGGGTAGTGTTGAATGCACAGTCACTTTATGATTCAAAATCAGCACAGAGATGGATAATCTTAGGCAAAAATAGAAGCAAGTCAACAGCTCATAGAACTCAATGAAGGAGCTGCAAATCTATCAGTGTAATCGCATTGAAGACGCTAGAGATAGATATTATGGCCTTAAAGCCTAGAACGGTGAGTTTTGACTAGCTTCTAAATAAATTTGTTCGTTTGCTCCTTCTCTTCAATTATGTCAAAGCATAGCAATTCTGACTCATCAACAATTTGGGCAGTCTATTTAATGGCCAACAGTCCAGCATTATTTTTGATAATGAATTCTTCTCCTATTTTATATACTTCTAAAGCATCACTGAGTGAATATAAATGAAACCATATAGCTTTTTCACTACAAATTACTAGTAAGCAAGACTGCACAATATCTAGCTATGTTAATGGTGTATCCGATTCATCTATGATAACAGTTTATGGATATTTTAGAGATAGAAGCCTAGATACAGCGTTAATCATTGGTGCCCAGGCCTCACCAGAAATATTATATAATTTTTTCCAAGGCTTTATCTATACCATTCAAATATTCAATGCTATAATACCTATAAGTGGACTGTCAACTGCTGTCTGCACTGAAAGTTGTGGTGTCTGCCCTACTGATGAAATATGCATTCCAAACTGCAAAATAAATGAATTTTGGAGTGGTCCAAGTTATAATGCCTGCTCTCTATGCGACATAAAATGTACAAAAAGCTGCAGAAACTGAACTTGCTCTCTCTGTAATGATCTACTATGTGAAGATTGCATCGATTACTCTGAAACCGGATGTGTGGTTTGTAAAGAAAACGCCAAAAATCCTGATTCTTGTGTCTGCGATATAGATTTTGTGATAGATTCTTCTAATAACAGCACATGTATTCCTATTAAATCAGGAGGATTTCGAGGTCCTGATGGGCATTTTTACTCTTGCCCAAACCTTTGTTCTGCTTGTGAATCTCTTACAAAGTGCATAATTTGTGTTGAGAATGCAAGACTATCAAACGGTTTATGCTATTGCACTCTTGGGTATAATGGAATTAGCAACTGTACCTTTGTTGGCTTATATATATTCAAATGGCGGCATGTGCCAATCTGCCCTCTAGACAAAACAGTCCAGACCTTATGGCTAAGGTCAATTGAGACGGAGTTAGAGCCAAGAGTTAAGTGCAAGCTCAAGTGATGTGTATCTGGGTAGGTTAGCTGCTCTTCTGTGGCTGAAAATGGAAGTGCTCAGCAGCGTCCTTTTGGATCCTAGAACCCATGGGCATTCCTCTGCCGATAAATTGGGGGGTTTCGGCCCAGGCCACAGGGAAGTAGTCTTTTTCCTGTAGTTGTCGAAGGAGTCACTTCGGCGCCCCGCAGACTTCAAGGAGTTGATCCTCGGAATCAAGCTACTCCAATCACCTGCAACAGGGCTTCAAGGTTAAAGCCTCAAGGCAAGGAGGAGACAGAAGGCACCGGAAGTAGCGCCATTATAGCGAGTGCCCCTTTATAGATCTTTAAGAGCAAGACTTTTAAAAGAAAAAAGTTGATTTAAAATTCGAAGAAAATCTAAACGGCCAAATTAAAATATAAAAATTTCATCTTATATCTCCTATTTGTCAGTTTTAAAATTTGGACGTTTTAGACTATTATAAATGTCAAAAGGAATTTTTCTTTAAGAGCGTTTTTCCTCAGGAATCAATAAGGAGTCAGGGGGATAGATTTTCTGGCTAGAGTCGATAAGTGGATGGACCTCCAGTATGGGAGGTCTTTTGTAATTGCGTCACCAATATGGCCAACACCCTGTCTTTAATAGTCTAACCTAACCTTAGTTGACTTCTCAGCTTAAATTTAAATTATTCAAAGCGACACTCTCTTCTGCTTTTGAGTAATAAATATCACAGCTCCTTTTTTTAAATAGTAATTGATGACGTCAAAGGCTATTTTGTGTCGAAATCATTCCGGGGGAAGAACCAAAAGGACCAAAACTATTTACTGTTGAGTTGACCTCACTTCTAGCTTAGCTCCACCATGTGCTCCTTCTATGGGTTACCCTAATCAATGCGAGAAACCATAAATACCTCATGCCTCCATTTTTTCATGGCCAAATTCTTATCTTATCAATAACCATCTTTGAAACTGCAGATAATAATATTAGCAAAAGAGGAGAGTTCTCGGATCGAATCATCCCATATGTAGCTATTTTATTATAGTTGACTTTTCTGCAAAGCTTACAGCCTCAGATGATAATTCCTTATATCTCACTTTTTCAGATGATCTTGCAAGTGATCTTGAAGCTGATGATTTTATTATTAAGATCAAAAATTATGAAATTTCATGAAAATTTGAAAAGGTTAATAATACCTGCTACTATATTACTTTAAGCTTTGAACATATAATCTCTAGCGGGACACTGGCGTCTCTTGTTTTTTTGGATTTGACTAAATTGAGATCAGTTTCTAATGGAATTTTAAATTCATATGAACTTTCTGTTTCTCTTAATTATTATGATCCAGCGCCATATTTGACTGCTATTGAAGCCGTTACTTCTCAAACGATAGCCGGAACACAAAGTATAATTTCCATTGCTACTGCTTTATCAATTATTAATCCCAGTCCAAGCTCTCTATGGAGTCTGATGAATACTTTGCAGATTTTAAGCTACCTGACTTTATCAGGAATCCCACTATCAAGCAAAATGAGTGCATTTTTGAACAGCTTAAATTCATTTAACCTACTTCCAAATGCTTTTATATATTTTATAGATAAAAATGAAGGGAATACTCCATATTCTCAAGCCGAAAAGTTTGGGTTTGATTCGAATCTGATATTAATAAATCAAGGAAATGATTTTACATTTATTCTGGTCTCTATATCTCCATTTCCGATAGTTTTACTGCTTTCTAGATGCTCTTATAGATGATTTGGTAAAAAATTTAAAAAGACAATAAGATCTTATAAATATTCGTTTTATTTGAGATTTTGGATCCAATGCTATCTAGAATTGGGTGCTGCTGCTAGTATCGGACTTGTCTCGTTTTGTCAAAATAACCCTACACAGATTATAAATATTATTTTATGTTTGTTGGTTTATCTATTTTTAGTTTTTACCCCGCCTCTATTTTTTTTGCTATCTTACAGATATAAAAATAAAATTCTTTTAGGTGAAAAAACTTTTCATTCATTGTTTGGCACCTTTTTCTATGAATTCCGAACTGAAAAAGGACTGCTTGCAACACAATATTATTTAATATTTTTTGCAAGAAGGTTGATCTATATAATAAATTTAGTGTATTTAAGAGACTACCCAAAAACAGAAGTCACCATAAATGCTGTACTTTCCTTAATGACAATAATCCACTTACTTTTCTGCTGACCTTTTAAAGATCCAATCTTACAAATAACCAATTTATTTACTGAGATATTGGTTTTTATAGTTATGATGCTATCATCAATTTATTTGTTCAATACAGAGCAAGAAATTATTACAGGTATAGAGAGCTCTATGGTTATTATTGTTGCAATAGCAATTGCTGTTCAATTTTCCAGCTCAGTTGCAATTTTTGTAAGGACCTTGTATCAAGTGATACGCAGCAAATATGGGAAAATTGAAATTGCAAATAATGACGAAAATCCAGCTTATAAAGCTGTAAATTAAGCTATAAATATTTTTTTATTTGAATTAATAGAAAATTCTGTTTGAGAAAGTTAAACTATGTTAAAGTATTAGAAGTATTTAAGCTAATTTATTTCTAAATAAATCAGATAAATAAAAAAACAAATCTCCAAAAATTTTTATAGAGCTAAAGAATAGCTTAAATTTTGAAAATAGCAATAATTAAATTATTATATTAGAGCCAAAGCTATTTATTTATAAATGCTTCAAAAATGCAGCATTCCTCTCATTTTCCCAATAATCTTCTAAAATCCTCACTTCAACAGCAAAGAATTAGGCAAGCATACAGCTAATTTTCCTTAATCATTTTCACCTCGAAGACATGCTATAAATAGTATCGCTGTCAAGAGCACTGTCACAATTATCAGCACCACCATCGCCAGCTTCACTATTATCAGTACTAGCTTTCAATAAAAATTAAACAAAAAGAATTTCTGCTATACTTCAACTCCATCAGAGAAATCAGCAGTAACTCAAGTAATCACTTCAATTCCATTTCCATCAACTTTTAATGATTTTAATTCGATCATTCCTTGGCCGAACCCAGCCACCAAAATCTAGGAATTTCACCCTCCCACTTTCGTTCTTCCAAAATCTATATGCAATACAAGCTCTGGCTTAATTCCCTCTTTTGATACATTATCACTTAATTCAAAAAATAATATAACTTAAAGGATGAGTACAACTATTTAATCTATATTATTGGATAGAGCTATTAATTTAATAAAAATTAAGTATCAGGCATAAACAGAGTTAATTGCTGACCATAGCATTGTCTTGGCTACACAAAAGCATGTTCTACATATCTCTGAGTTATATTGAGGAAAATCTAAGGCTAAATTTACTATCTAAACAGACCCAGCTTCCTGAAACATAGCCACTAATGTAGCCCCTAATGATTAATTATAATTTATTTAACAATCACTTAAATTAATTCAAGTTGAAAATCAAATTGGTAATGCCTGTAAATTAAAAAGATTAGACTTCTTCATATTCTGCTTATTCTATAATGAGTGTATGATAATTAATTATTTCAATAACTTTAATGCAAATTGCAAATTTTAGCATCACCACTTTTATTTCTTCAATGATCTTTCCGATTATAAAAGGTATAAAATTACGCTGAAAATTTAATCAATTCTATAATAATGAAGTTTTTATTAGCAATTTTTATCTCCAAAATAGTGTTGACGTTTTCAGAATGCCCAAAGCATATGGTTTCTAATGAATGTATAGATTTGACCTATCATTATAAGATTGATAATAAAGTTTGCGCTTCAAAATGCCCTTCAAAATTTAGTAAGAAGTGCGTACTTAGTATATGCGCAGGGTGCAACCTTCCAACATCCCCTAAATTATTTGAGCTTGAATTTTCAAAATCCCAAAATCTATCACTCCCCCCTTTTAAAATTGGAACAAAAAATTTTGTTCCAATTTAAAGGGGGGTTAAGAAAATTTTTTATGAAAAAAAAAATTTCAAAAATTGATCGAATTAATAAATTTGTTTAATAAAACGCTATTTACTCTTCATCCTAAAAACAAAGCATGATATAACTAAATTTTCATATTAGTTAATACGCAACTATTAATTGGTATTAAAACTATTTACACAAAAATTATTATTTTTATTGATAAAAAAAAAAAATTCGAAAATTTATCAATCAAAGTGCTAATTTTGTTTAAATAAGATACTATTTATACTTTATTCTTTAATATAAAGCAAGAAATAAGCAAATTTTGAATTTTTTGTAAAGAATTCGTATTGAATTTATATCAAAATTATTTAAATAAAAATATCATTTTTATCGAAAAATTAAAACATTTTAAAAAAAAAATTTAGCAATTAAGGATAATAAATTTATTTAAATAAGATGCTCTTTATAGTTTCTTCTTTAAAAAATCAAAATATAACTAAATTTTTAATTTTAGTTAAGAAGAAGCATTTAACTTATATCAAAACCTTTTACATAAAAATTATGATTTTTATATATAAAATTTTTTATTATAAAATTAAATTTATTCGAATTTTAAAGGGGGGTTAATTTACCAAAAAAGTGGAAATTTTACCTATATTTTGTTCCAATTTAAATGGGGGAGTCAGAAACTTTTATAGCAAGCTCCATCGATGCCGCAGATAAATGAATGAATCCTTCAGGAGTGTCTTATATTTTAAGCCAAACTGCTCCACTCCCTACAATAGACCGCGGATTTTATTTTGCCCAAACTTCATCTATAACAAGCAACCAGCACTATATCCCATCTCTTTATTTTACAGCAAATGCTTGGATTTTTCCGTATAATCATGGTAATATTTTGACTGTAAATTTAAATTCACAAAACTATATAGAATGAAGGTATTATGCGCTGCCTAAATTGCTTATCTACGCTGGGCATTTTAAAATTTTCTCCAACGCTTGAAGAAAATCTCCATACGTGAAAATCTCTATATTTTACGTGTGAAAATTTTTTTCCAAATGTTCAAAATGCCAGCCTAGATAAGCAATTTAGGTAACACATAATATGATTTTGATGAAAATGGATGAGATACCTTAATTTTTATAATTATTGCTCAAAATTCAAATGATGATAATGAAAATGCACTTAAAATTACAAGCCCACCAGTTGATTCTGTGTGAAAGTATTATTCAATTCAGATTAACCAAGTAGATTGTAGCACAGTTTATCTATCTATTTATAGTGAAGGGACCCCATCAAATATGCTTGTGGACAATCTTTTCACTCTACAAGAAGCAAATTTTCCAAGTGGAAATTATTTGTGAACAATTGGGAAATCAGGATCAGGCTCTTTCCAGGGATTCTTATATTGAATTGAAGCGAGAAATGACTTAACATCGGCTTTTTGAGACTTAGGTAAAGAATCTTCATGTTATGATAATAAATATTCTGATGATTGCATAGCGTGTGATGATTCTTGTCAAAAATGGCCTTGATGTATACGATCTACTGATTGCTCCATATGCTATGCAACAGATTGCTTAACATGCGATGGATATTCAGCTGGAATGTGCACAAAATGTAAAACAGGTATACTTCCTTATTGTTGCGACTGGCTAGCAGATAGCTGCAAATCAACTTGGGATAGCTCTGGTTGTGCTACTGGAAAAGTTCTTATTGATGGAATTTGTCTGTATGCAACCCCAGACGGATCTAGTGATTATTCTGTACCTATCATTTCAGTTGATTTTACTACTGATTTTGCAGGAGTTTATGATCCTTTAATAACATCAACGAGCGCATCTAGCTATAACTACTGAAATTCCCCAGAAAGCACAGATCCGCTACCAGCAAAAATGAGAGGGCTCTATTTTATTCCTGACACTTACTTGGTAGCACCTATAAACTTGTGTCACACATTTAGTGTTCTAATGTGGGTTTATCCAATTAATGACATTAGCATTAACTTTATTATTGAGAGACACCTATTACCTAAGGTTTCCCCGGGTCTACCTTCAACCTTACTGCTTCACCAGGTTGCTCACCAGCGATCGATCACAACCTTCAAAGTGTTGCTCCTACTGGACGAGAATGTGTATTCGCTTCCCGTAGTTGGGTGAGTTGTGCCACCTAGCAGTGCATCAACAGAGGCTGCCCATTCCAAAATTTTTAAAAAACAAATTATCTGGTAGGATTGTCAGTCAAATGGAAGTTCAAAGCCTGAAAAATAACGCCCAGTTTAATGCTAGGGACTTTCCCATGGACTAAGCGGGTGTCCTTGGTGCTGCTGAGCTTCCCCTTTCCTACCTTGGAAGACCATTTCTCAGAGGCAAAAATCCTGGCATCAGAATGAGCTGCGGCCGACCAAAGTTCGACGTTGCGCTCGACTGTGCCAAGGAAAAAGCCTAGTCGGATATCCTCCTCGAGCACCAATTTCCCTTCCACAAGGTCACCGGCTACAGGTTTTGAGAAAAAGGGCTGATTCACCATCGCGATTTTAATGTATATATTATCCAATTAGTGGCACTTATGTCTGATTCACTGGAAATAAAATTCTTATACATTCTAATGGAGCAATTGATGTTACATTTGAAAGATCAAACGGAACAAGTATATCTGCTTCCGCATCATTATCAATAAATACGCACCAATGAAACTGCATTTCTTATTCAGTTCAATATTTCTATAATGGAATTTCAACAATCACGCCTTATATTGATGCTTTACCTGAGCATCCAACCACCATAGATGATTGCGTTTTTAGACCGCATTCGGGAGGATCGCTATATCTTGGGTCTTCCGACTTTTATGGATTCATAAGCTATTTTCAATTATGACAGAAAACTATTCCAAGCTTTATGGATGGTATGAATTATTTTAATTGTGAGCCAGGTTCTAGTTTAGACTGCTTATGAAACTGCGATTATGATCACTATTTCGATGGATCGAGCTGTGAAAAATGCTTAGTATCATGCAAAAATGGTTGTGTAAGGGCAGATTCATGTGGTCTTTGTGAAAACGATTTATGTCTAAAGTGCTCATCATTTTCAACTAACTCTTGCATATTGTGTGCAGCCAATGCATCAGGAAGCCCATGCGAATGCAATAAAGGGTATACTCAAACGCCTGGCAAAGCTGAATGCTTAGCATGCTATAAATTCTGCTCAGACTGCACTGGGCTGCTTTATTATCAATGCACATCATGCATATCGGGTTATTATTATTTATCTAAAGCGAATGTTTGTTTATCTGATTGCCCTTTAGGATACACGAAATCTACAAACGAATGCTTGTTGAAGGAAGATCTCGTTTTTGACATAAGCTTAAGCAGTATCAGCGGAATCATTTATGATAGCGCAAATTCAATTCCAGTAATTACAGGGTCATTAGATAAGTTTTATCCAAATTATGAAGACGATGATCCGATAAGTGCTTATTTAAGAGGCTTTTATTTTGATGGAAAATCTTCAGTTATGAGGTTGCCTGACTCCCCCACTCCGTGAGCGAACAAAAATTTCTTTAATATATAAAAATTTTTATAAAAAAAAATATTTCGCAATATAAGTGATAATGAAATATCAAACTCATTTTATTTAAGTTTTAAACAGCTTGCATTTTAAAACATAAATTTCGCGAATTAATTAATTTTAAATTTCTCAATTTTTGCTTTTATATTTCGAAAAAAAAATTACTATAAAATTTTTTAAAAAAAAAAATAAGCGAGAGGGAGGAGGAGGAGTGAGTATAAAACTTATGTAACACCAAAACTAAATATTGGACCAATTTTTATGATTTCTATATGGTTAAATATTGAAAATGAAAATTCATCTCTGTTTTCAAAAACTGATATTTCTAACAATTATTCAACCATTTATGCTATCATTTTAAGCAGCTCAAAGCCTGCTCTTCAGTTGCTGATTAAGGATTCAGTTGTTTCTATCGCATGCCAGGCTCCTCTCAACTCTTATAAGTGAAGTCATTTAGCGTTTTTAGTAAAGCTTGACGGTAATGGGAATACTGTTGTAATGTGTTACATAAATACAAATCCAGATCCTATATCCACTGCTGGGTTTGGATATTTTCAAGACATTAACTTAAATGCAGCTACACTCATCGGAGCTCAACAAATATCTCAAAATATAGGGAACTTCTTTCAAGGATTTTTATATGAGATAAAAATCTTTAATACAGATTATGATATTAAGTTATTGGCGGCTACATCTTGCTTGGAGAACTGTGATGTTTGCCATGTAAAAGGATCATGCTTACCTAATTGTAAAATCTTTGAATATTGGGAAGGACCTGAATATGATCAATGTTCGAAGTGCAACTCAAAATGCAAAGGATGCAAGGATGCTATAGGGCTTCTCCTTGAATAGCCCGATAACGGGATGAAGCCAGCCCGTTATCGGGCTATTCAAGGGAAAGCCCTATATGCTATCTAAAGTTAGATGTTAGCTATATTGTCATGCAGTCACCAAAACCTCCTGTACAAGAGGTTTATCTGCTTTTCGACTCCAGCCCAGAGGGTCTGTACCACTTCCGGTGCCTTTTGTCTCGTCCTTGCCTTGCCGGCTTCAGTCTTGAGCGGGCGGCTCATGGATTTTTAAAGGCGATTAGAGTAGCTTGATTCCAAGAATCCTTAAATCTGTTGGGTGTTGAAGTGCCTTTCATCAATTGCTACAGAAAAAGGCGACTCCCTGTAGCCTGGGCTGAAGCCTGAACTTATCGGTAGAGAATGCCCGTGGGACCTTGGATCCAAAAGGTGATGTTGAACACCTCCATTTTCAACCACAGGAAAGCAGCAAAGACCTCCCAGGATTTACACTTTTTGAGCCTGAACTTGATTCTCGGCTCTGAGTCAATCCCAGCTCGTCGTAGCCATAAGGTCTAGACTTTTGCACCAAGAGCCAGGTTCACTCGTGTCGCCATTTAATGTATATATGGACGCAAGGATAGTCGAGAGTCTTGCTCAGTTTGCTATAGTTCCTTATGTGAGACTTGCATCGATTATTCTGAAAACGGATGTATAACTTGCAAATCAAATGCTTCTCTCATGAACAATACGTGCATATGTGATACTGACTGTGACAACAGCGCTCATAATGAAACTACAAATTCCACTGACCCTACTTTTTTTGTAACCCTTTTAGTATTTAAAAATAATTCTTTATCTCTTAATTTTTCAGATCCTTTGCAAAATTCTCTGAAAGCAAATATCATTAAAATAGCAATAGAAGATAATCCAGATTTCGCATGAGAACTTGAGCAGATAAATACGACATATTATAGCATCCCAATGAATATCAAAGATAAAATCAAGCAAGATGCGATAGTAAACGCCACATTTTTTGATTTATCACAAGTAAGATCTATTGGAAATGAAACTCTAAATTCTTCAACAGTCAGCTCAAAACTCAATAAGTATGATCCAAGCCCTGATAATTTAGTAGTAGCTGCAATTGCTTCAAAAGCTACAGCAGTTGTGCAAAGTGCTGTGATAGGGAGTATAGCTTTATCATTTTTAAACCCCAATCCAAGCTCTTTATGAGGCTTGATGAACTGCTTACAGATTCTTAGCTATTTATCATTATCTGGAATTCCTTTTTCTGACAAAATGAGCCAATTTTTGTCAAATTTGAATTCTTATAACCTTTTTCCTAATTTTTTTGAACATGCAATAGATGAAAAAGATGGGAATAAAGCTTATGCTCAAGCTCTTAAATATGGGTACAATACAGATCAAATTTTATTAAATCAAGGCGATGATTTCTCAATCATTATAGCTTCAATGATATCATTGCCATTTATAATATATTTAGCAGATTGCTCATATAGATTAGTTGGCAAAAGGTTTAAAAATTTATTCAAAAATTTAAAATACTCGTTTTATATAAGATTCTGACTGCAATGCTACCTTGAGCTTGGTGCTGCAGCAGCTGTAGGACTAGTGAAGTTAAAAAGTGATAATGCAATTCAAATAGTAAATATTGTTATTTGTTTCGGTGTATTTTCATTATTAATCGCTTCCCCTATTGCCTTTTTTTATTTTACCTATAAAAATAGATACAAAATCCAAAGAAATCAAAGAAACTTCGCACTGCTCTATGATTCATTTTTTTATGAATTTCAAACTGAAAAAGGCTTTATATATTCTCTTTATTATTTTGTTTTCTTTATAAGAAGACTTTTGTACACAGTCAATTTAGTGTTTTTGTGTGAATACCCAAAGACTCAAGTCTTTATAAATATTATATGTTCTTTGATGAGCATTTTTTATTTAATTTTTTATAGGCCATTTAAAGATAGAATTCTACAGATATCCAATTTAATAAGCGAAATTATGATAGGTGTTATTATGTGTGCAACTTCCTTTTATTTATTTGAAGTAAGCTCAAGCATAATTTCTGGCATAGAAAATGCAATTATTTTCATTTCCATGATAATTATGGGAGCACAGTTTTTTTCTTCTGTTAGTATTTTCTTGAGAACAATTTATCAAATTATTAGACATAAAATTCATCGGTATAGAAATGATAAGTTTAGTATTCATCCATTACAAGAAAGTAAAGTGGTTCTTAGTTAAGTAATTTACTAAAATTTAGGTTTAGAGTAATCAGTATTCTTCTTCAACAAATATCCTAACGCATATAATAATAGTCTCTTTATACTATTTTTAATTGTACGCAGTAATTTGTCAATCAAGCTATTAAATGCAGTTTTAAAAATTTATGCATCAACGTCAGAAAATTGATTAATTTTAGAATTCAATTATAAAATATAATTAAGCTTTAAAAATGGCGAAGCATTTAATACTTTTTTAATAAAATTAAATTTCGAGCAAATAAATACTTTAGAGCATATAATATGCACTACTTAATTGAAATATGCTCAAGGCTATATTCAGCTAATAGTATATCACCTGCATTCGAATATATTCAAAAAAAATTATTCTTTAATCCAGATCAAAATTAAAAGGGATTTTATTTTTAGCAAAAACCAATTATTTCAACACAAACCCTTAACTATTTAATATCAAAAATATTTAGTTGCTTATGTTGACTTTTGTTTACTCTATTTAAACAGCGAAAATTTTATAAAATTATTGAATCCTTAATTTTATATTGAGCGAATTTATTTTTCGCCAGACAATCCTCTAAAATTAATAATTAAATAATCTTTATTTGATCATCTATATATAATCAGACAAAATAAGCAATTAAATTCTCGATATATAATCCTGATGAAAACTAATTAAAAAAATTTGATTTATATTTTATTTTATGAGGTCAATAATAAAGCTATTTCAGCTTATTTTGCTCTCATATCATATTAAAGCTTTACCATCGTTCCAAAAGAATAGTATATTTGGATTTTGCACAGATATGAAGTTTAAGTACATAATCGATGGAAAAATTTGCGCTGAAAGATGTCCATCTCAATTCATTGAAGAATCTTCACCTTTTGCCAAATGCAATCTACCAGTATCACCCAAATTATTTGAGCTTGAGTTTTGAAAAGCCCAAGACTTATCAGCGCCTTCTATCCAAAGCTCAAATAACCATATTTTTTAAATAAAATTAGACTTAAGTGCAATTTAATAACACCATGAATTTGAATATCAACAAGCCTTACAATTGAAACTTTTTATAAATTTGAAATTCCATATAGGCAACGCCTTGGCATGTCGAAATTTGAAATGCTTAAATCTAGAAAAAATTATTCAAAACCTGTGCTACACTAATTGTCAATTACTTAAATAATTTTCTGTTTAAAAATCGATTATTTGTTAATGCTGCTTGAAGAGTAACTAACTGATCAAATTAAAAGCAAAAGTATTTTTATTTTTATTTATTAATCCATAATAATTAGCCACAAGGGTGTTAAATTACTCATACTACTCTTTTAATAAATTCTTCTAAGTTTAATTGTATTTTTCATCATAAATTTAAAATACTAAGTTTTATTTTAGCTCATAACTCATTACTCATTTAATTTTTTTTAAACAAATTAAATTAGAAGGGAAATTCTATTCCACTTAGTGAAATAGTTATTAAAATAATTGAGAATTAACTTCTCAGCATTGAGTTTTCATAAATAATTCATAAAAATATTCTGATCATAGTTGCATATGGGGTTAATAATGAAACTATTCGAGTTGATTTTACTTTCCAACACTCTTCTAGCGTTTTCATCCACACAAAAGAACAGCACTATTGAAATATGCACAGATATGAATTTTAAGTACATGATTGATGGTAAAATTTGTTCTGAAGCATGCCCTTCTCAATTTATTGAAGAATCTTCACCTTTTGCCAAATGCAATCTGCCAGTATCACCCAAGTTATTTGAGCTTAATTTTTGGAAAGCTCAAGATTTATCAGCTTCTTTTATTCAAAGCTCAAGTAACTATACAGATAAATGAGTGAACCCTCTTGGAGTTCCTTATAGTAGTTTAACAAAAAACTCTCCACTACCTACTTTAGACCGTGGATTTTATTTTGAGCCTTCCTCATCAATAATGAGCAATAAAAGCTACATCCCATCACTTTATTTCACTTTGAACTTTTGAATCCATCAAATCTCCCCAGGGATTCTTATAATTGTAGATATAAACTCAAAAAATTATATTGAGTGCATATTAGACAGTGGAATTTCTTTTAAGATTATTTCTAAAAATTCAGGGAATTACAATGAATCTCATTTATCAATCAAGCATTCAAATACCTTATCCCTATGAAACTATTTGTCATTTCAAATTGAACAAATTGCATGTGATTCAGTTAAGCTACAAATTTTTACGAAAATGAGTAGCATGATAAGCCAACTTTTTTTTGGACAAGAAGCAAATTTTCCAAATGGTAATTATACCTGAACAATAGGAAATCAAGGGAATTCTTTTCAAGGATTTTTGTATTGAGCTGAAGCAAGAAATGATTTAACCTTAAACTATTGGGAGATGAGCACTCAAATACAATGTCTTAATCTTCAATACTGGGATGGTAACCAATGCCAAGACTGTGATTTAAGCTGCTCACAAAAATGACCATGATGCATTCGCAGAAACTGTTCCTCTATATGCCATTCAATAGATTGTCTAGTATGCACTGGATATGCTTCTGATATGTGTATGGAACATAAAATACGATCATTACCTAGTTGTGACTGATTAGCTGATACTTGTGACTCAACCTGATACAGCAACTCATGCAAAGTTGGATATTATTTTATTAATGGAATCTGTCTATATGGGTGCCCATATGGTTTTGGCAATTGTGCTCCAGTAGCTACACCTGTTATTACAGCTGATTTTACAGGTGAGTTTAAGGGGATTTATGACGATATTTTAGTAACTGCTGCAAGTGATTCTCACTATTATTTTTGAAATGATCGAGAAACTTATGATCCAATTCCAGTAAAGAATAGAGGACTTTATTTTACTAATAATTACTATTTAGAAGCAAAAATCAATTTTTCATATGAGTTTACAATTGAAATATGGATATATATCTATTCTGGAGCCTATTTGCAATTTAAGAAAGAGAATAGTGTTTTTTTTAGTACTGACGCTAGATCATTTAATATTGAAATGGAAGATAATACAGGCAGTACTTTTCCAAGTCCTACTTTATCTTGAACAGGAGGTCCAAATTCTCTGCAGTGATATTATTTGTGTTTTTCGATGGCATTTGATAAAGATAGCGGAGTTTCTACATTTGCATGGCTTCAAGATCTTTCCGCCGATGATAGCTACCTTTTTGCGAGCAATATTATTTTTAGACCGCCAGAAGGAGGATCGCTTTTTCTAGGCTCTTCAGACTTTAATGGCTTTATAAGTTTTTTTCAACTTTGGCAAGTCGCTAGTTCCAGTTTTTGAAGGGAGAGATTTCATCATTGTGATTCAGGAGAGGATCTTGATTGTCTTTGAGATTGTAATGTAAATCAATATTGGGATGGGACTGGATGCTATGGGTGTCCACCTTGTGAACGCATGCAGGGCTGCGTGAGAGACTCATGCAATATTTGTGATAGTGAATTATGCTTAAAGTGCTCTTCATTTTCGCCCAATTCTTGCACTTTATGTGTTGCCAATCGGTCAGGTAGTTCATGCACATGTGATAGTGGATTTTATGAGCCTCCTGGGCAAACTATTTGTTCGCCTTGCTATGAAGGATGCTCTGCCTGCTCAGGATCATTTTATTATCAATGCACATCTTGCAAACCTGGCTATTATTATTTCTCTGCAGCCAAAACTTGCTTATCTGACTGTCCTTTAGGATATGCAAAGTTATCAAACGAATGTTTATTGACAACTCAGCTCTTTTTTAGTTTGAATTTAAATACATTGAATGGAGTTGTCTATGATTCAGCGAGTTCAATTCCAGTAGTAACGGGGTTATCTGAGCAATTTTATCCAGATTACGAAGAGGATGATCCAATAGGCGCTCATTTGAGAGGCTTTTATTTTAATGGAATATCTTCAGTTATGAGGCTGCCAGAATATAAAACATATATATCACCTAAGCTCAAAATTGGTCCAGTTTTTACTATTTCTATATGATTAAATATTGAGAATGAAAATTCAGCTGTGATCTCAAAAAATGATATTTCCAATAGCTATTCAACTGTTTATGCAGTCTATTTAATCAGCCGCAAGCCTGCTATTCAGTTATTGATTAATAATTCCATACTCCTATATATGTGCCAAAATTCACTTCTAACTTCCGAATGAAGCCATATAGTATTTCAAGTAAATATAGATATGAATTGAAACACGGTTGTGACATGCTATGCAAATACAAATCCAGATCCTTTATACACTCTTGGATTTGGATATTTCCAAGATATAAATTTTAATGCAATATCTCTTATAGGTGCTCAACAAATATCTCAAGATATAGTAGGGAACTTCTTTCAAGGATTTTTATATGAAATCAAAATATATAATGTTGTATATTCCGTTGCGTTACTATCTCAAACATCTTGCTCTGAAAATTGTGGAGTTTGCCCTATAAATGGTTCATGCATACCCAATTGTAAAATAAATAAATTTTGGAAAGGACCTGAATATAATAAATGCTCAAATTGTAATTCGAACTGTAAAAATGGCTGTAAAGACAGTCAAACATCTTGCTCAGTTTGCTATAGTTCCCTATGCGATAAATGTATTAATTATTCTGCTACTGGGTGCAAAACTTGCAAATCAAATGCTTCTCTTGAAAATAGCTCTTGCATTTGCAGCATAGGCTATGTGCTTGATAATTCTAACTCTTGCATCTCAGTTCCTGCTGGAGGATATCGAGGTTCAGATGATCTCCTTTATCCTTGCCCAAACTTATGTTCAACTTGCGAATCATCTCTGGTATGCAGTTCCTGCGTAAATCACGCAAGCGTAATTAATAATTTATGTAGCTGCAATGATGGATACAACGGAGCGACAACATGCACCTATGTGCCATTTTCTGTGAGTCTTATAGTTTTCTCTAATGATTCTTTAGCACTTCATTTTTCAGATCATTTACAAAACACACTTTCTATTAATGACGCTACGATATCAATTGAGACCAATCCAAAGTTCACATGGAATCTTGAGAAAATTAATGAAACATATTATTATATTCCTATGTCCATTAAGGACGAAATTCCCCAAGATGCAGTCGCAAATGTAACATTTTTAGATTTATCGAAAGTAAAATCAGTTTGAAATGGGATTCTGAATTCTTCGACTGTCTGCTCACCGCTTAATAAATATGATCCAAATCCTTATATTTTAGTAGTATCAGAGATTGCTTCAAATATCGTCACAATTGTGCAAAGCACTGTAATCGGAAGTATAATACTGTCAATTTTAAATCAAAATCCAAGCTCTTTATGAGGCTTGCTGAACTGTTTACAAATTCTTACTTATTTATCACTATCAGGGATTGATTTTTCCAATAAAATGATTCAATTTTTATCAAGTTTAAACTCATATAATTTTTTCCCTAATTTTTTTGAATATTTAATTGAAGAGCAAGAAGGAAGCAAAGCTTATAAAGAAGCTAGAAATTTTGGATATAACACTGATTTAATTCTATTAAACCAAGGCGATGACTTTTCTATTGTAATTGCATCAATAGTTTTATTGCCATTTATTATATATTTTACTGGGTGCTCTTATAGATTTGTTGGTAAAAAATTCAAAAAAATCCTTAAAGCATGTAAATACTCATTTTATATAAGATTCTGAATACAAAGCTATCTTGAACTCACTGCAGCTGCAGGTGTAGGCTTAGTAGTGTGAAGAAGCGACAATGCAGCACAAATAACAAATATCTTTGTTTGCGTTTTATTATATTTTTTATCCATGTTAACTTCTCCTGCATTTTTAATATTTTCTTATTGAAATAGAGATAAAATCCAGAAAAAGAAAAGAATTTTTAATTCATTATTCAGTTCGTTTTTTTATGAATTTAGAACTGAAAAAGGTTTGCTTTGCTCTCTTTATTATTTTGTATATTTTCTAAGAAGATTTATATATATAACAAATATAGTGTTTTTGAGTGACTATCCGAAGACTCAAGTTAACCTTAATATTATATGCTCTCTTATGAGCATATTTTATTTACTTGCTTATTGGCCTTTTAAAGATCGAATTTTACAAATTTCCAATTTGCTTAGTGAAGTACTTATCGGCCTTGTTATGTGCGCTACTTCATTTTATTTATTTGATGTAAGTTCAGGTATTATATCTGTTGTGGAAAATAGCATTATTTTTATTTCATTAACAGTCATAGGAACACAATTTTCTGCATCTGCCGTTATTTTTTCAAGAAATGTTTATGAAATATTAAGGCACAAATTCGCTGAGCATAGAAATAAAAAAGTCTGCGTTCTCCCTATTAAAGGAGTCTAAAAATAAATTATTGATTTAAAAATTGACTCTTTCACTAAAATTAATACTATTCTTAAAACTATCAATTATTTTATTCAATACGCTATAATATCTTTGATTAAATAATAGCATATAATTATAAACTTCTAAATCATTAATAATTCAGCTTTAAATTAAGCAAAATATATGCTTATTTGTGGTGGTTTGCAAATTGTGAAGAAATTAATATATTTTATTATGGCTTATTTGCATTATATAAAAAGTATAAATTATTAAAATAATATACTTTATAAAATTATTAAAATGGATAAAGTATAAATTTTAGAAAGTTTTAATTTAGTCATACTGCTGCTAGTTTTACTTTGCCTAATAAAGATCTAAATTCAAAACCAAAAAAATCTAAAATTTTCTCATAATTAGATATAATTTAAACTAATGGGCTTGCTTTTGATTTTTCTCTCCAAATTTTTCTTACTCCCCTCGATGAGCGAACAAAGTAATTTTGTTTGCTAATGATGAAAGAGGGCAGGGAGTTAGCCTTTTCTAGCACTTGCCCTTACGATAGTTGGACCTCAGGTGGAAATTCTGGTTGCAACAGCTCAAAGTATATGATTGATTCAAAAATTTGTGAAGCTTCTTGCCCTTCTTTATTTACCTCTTATCAGCAATGCAGTCCTACATGCTATAACTATTGCAGCAGCCCTACTGGTGCAAACGCAATTCTATTTACGCTAGAATTTTCTACTATAAAGAATCTGCAATTAAATTATATTGTTAGCTCAACTGATTCAACTGAAAAATTTATAAATCCGCTTTCAATTGCTTACAACTCCGCAACAAAAAATTCACCACTCCCAACACTAGATCGTGGCTTTTATATTGTTTTATGCATTTCTCTAATAATCAACCCAACTAACTTAAAGCAAATAATTTACTTTAAAAAAAGAATATAATTGCTATCTAGGACAAAGGACTGAGTTTGCACTAAATTTAATAGATAGTTATGAATTATAGCAGAAACTGGTGTAAAAATCTATAAATTCAGTTAATTTTGATATATTTCGCTCCAACATCAAAAGCAAGTAGCAATAAAAGTCATATCCCTGGCCTCTATTTTACTCTAAATTTATGAATTAAGTCTCTTGCTAGCGGACAAATTTTAAATGTTATTTCATCGACAAATAGCTATATACAAATATCAGCAGATCCTTCAAATGCTTATACGTTTACAGTCATAATATATGATTCTAATGGATCTGCACTTTCTGTTTCTGGCTCAAGCTCAGTGCATTATACATCATATTGGCATACAGCTTCAATGACTCTTTCTCAAATCTCTTGCAGCGATATAAGTTTTACCTTTAGTATCAATGGACTGTCAGCTGGCTCTATATTAGGTCATGCATATCCCTCAATATCAAACCACTTAGTTTGATAATAAGAAATGTAAAAAATAAATTGCAGTATTTTCGCTCTACGCTATTAAAGCGCGATTTATAGTATGTTTACACATAGCAAAAAATTTTAAATTAATATATAAAAGAGTTAATAGAAAAAATGGATATCGCTTAATTATCGTAGATAAGTATGAATCCAATTGAATTCCGCTTTAAAATGGATAAACACAAATGAATCACCTCAAGCTTAATTATTTATCATAGGCATATATATTATCTAGTATCGATTTCGCTAAATTAAATGCATTTTAAAAGATTTAATCTGTTAGAGTAACTTATTTTAGATATAAAACATGATATATCTTATCTAAATTTAACACAAAAGCATCAGCTAAATTTGCTAGCCATTTATAATGGGGACATAAAATAAGGTATAAAATATATGTAAGCATGCTATAAATCACCTTTTAATTGCTTAGGAACTAAAATGCTGCAATATCTCTTATATTTCTTATTATTAAGATTAGATAACTTGGAATAGGGGAGTAGGGTCTATTATTGACCATATATTAATAAATAATGCTGAAGTAAGGTATCCTGGCACCTCTTTTATATGAACTTTAGGAGATGCTGGAAATTCATTCAGAGGATTTATATACTGGCTTCAAGCAAGGGCTGATACAACAGCTTTCTATGGAGCTATGAGTAATACTATTGAATGTGTTGATAAACAATATTGGGATGGGTCAGCTTGCCAAGATTGTAATGTAGCTTGCAATGATTGGCCTTGGTGTGTTAGAAGCAGCAATTGCAATTATTGTTATTCTCCTGATTGTTCGTCTTGCTCTGGGTATTTATTATCAATGTGCACAGCATGTGGAACAGGCATTTCTCCAGGGTGTTGTGATGTCAATGGGGCTACATGCACTCAAACTTGAACTAATACAGTTTGTAATGCAGGGAAATTCCTTATAGGAGACATTTGTTTGAATGCGTGCCCATATGGGTTTGGTAACTGTTTAGATCCCTCTTTATATGTGTCTACACCTGTAATAACAGCAGATTTTACAGGCCCATTTGCTGGAAGTTATGGAACAGCTTGAATTACTGCTGCAAGTTCTTCAAGCTATAATTATTGGAGTTCTCCAGAAACCTCAGATCCTTTTCCTGCTAAAAATAGGGGTCTTTTACTTTAACTCAAATCTTACTTACTTAGTTACATAGTTTTTAAGGTGTCTAGTGCCCACACCCCTTAATGAAAAAGGGTCAAAGCGACAACTAGTGACGTCACCAAGCCATCTTGGAATATGTGGTCAGCCCACACCCAAGCCTTCTATGAGGCTAGTCGCCAGATAAATCGCCGCACATCTCACCCGGCGCGTTGCCGTCGCTCGTCCAGACTCAGCTCCTGCGCGTGTTCCGCCTAAGGGTCATCCTCCCGTGGGGACGTGCTGAGAGGTAAAACTCCGAAATCTTGAGTGCACTGAGGAGTCGTGCCTTTGGTTATCCCCAAAGTTAAACGACTATTGCTGTGCAGAAGTTCTCGAGAGAAAACCAACCCATAAATAAAATTCCATGAGGGAGAGAAAATTGGCAGAGCCAATTTCTCTCGAACCGAATGCCATTTTATTTATACTTTAACTCAAATCAGTATTTGGCTGCGTCAATTGATCTGTCTTATACTTGGAGTATAGCTATGTGAGTTTATGCTATTAGTGGGACAATTATCAGTCATAGTGAAAATGGTGCAAGCTATTTTTTTGAACAAAATCCCTTTGGACAATAATCAATATTGTAGCCCGAAATAGAAAAACGAGAAGTAATATATGGCACACTTAAGTACAAATAAATAGAAAAAAATTTTTTTTAGTTAAATTAAAATAGTGATAATAGCTTTGATGTTATAATTGGGACGACTTCAATAACAGTGCAAAGATGAGATGGATTAAACCTCTCATATTCACTCACAAATTCGCTATCTTCAAATGTCTGGACTTACATTTCGTATTCTATGGGGTTTGTGAATAAAGCAGCTGCTTTCACTCAATGAAAAAATAATATATCAACTCCAGCATCTACTTACACAAACCGTGTATTTAGGGTACCAGCTGGAGGAACTTTATATATTGGGAAAGGTTCAACATATTTTAATGGGTTTATTAGCTATTTTCAACTTTGGCAAGTTGTGATTACTGATTTTTCTGCTGGCTATAATCTTTATGGGTTTACAGGAAGTATAGTAAAAACTTTATGGCCATGCGATTATTCTCACTACTATGATGGAATTTCGTGCCAATCATGCTTACTCCTGACATTTTTTAATGGCAAAGTAGAAAATTTACTAAAATATTTACCAACAGAAAAAGACTCTACTAAAATATTTTATATATATAAAAGATAGCTTCTTGCACGATAGGCTGTACAAGAGGAGTATCCTGCTATATTTGTGATGATATTTTATGCTCAAAATGCTTGTCATTCTCTTCAGGAGATTGCACAGAATGCATTGCTAATGCTTCAGGATCTCCATGTTTATGCAATTCTGGGTATTATCAGCAGCAAAGCCAAGCAGTATGCTTATCATGCTATAGCGCTTGCAGTATTTGTGATGGAGGTGGGTATCATCAATGTAAAAGCTGCAAAAATGGCTCTTATTTTCTTAATCTCCCTATTTAATAAACACTTTTTTTTTTGCAGACAACCATAATAATATGCTTCTGCAATTTTTTATTTTTTCAAAATTAATTGCAGAAAAAGTTAGTGTGCAATGCTTAAATGAGTGCCCATGAGGATATTCTCCAAATTCTGCAACAAATAATTGCGATTTAATATCAGTCTCATTTTCAATATCATTTTCTAACAACATTCTCTTAGGAACTATGTCTGGAGTAAAAGTCGGCTCATCAAATTCTAATTCATATCCAATTTATGACACTTATGATCCATATCCAGCTTATTTAAGAGGCTATTATTTCAATCCAAACAGCTTTTTGCTTACCTCTTTTATGTTTGCTCCTAATTTTTCAATATATATGTGGATTAAAGCCTTTTCAGATGGCTTAGTTTTAACCAAATATATCGGTTCAATTCGACTAGTAGTACAAATTTTGTCATCAGGGTCTCCTATGATAGATCTTTTATTATCCGATCTGTCAACTACCATTTTGGTAGCCGGACCATCAAGCATTCTTAACAATTGATACTACGTTTCATTTAGTTGCACGATTAATACTGATGGAACAACTACAGTAAAATCTTATATTGATGGAGCTCTAAAGGATACTGCTATAAGTGCAAATCCTCTGTACTTTCAAGACAGCCAATCCGGAGATTTTTATATTGGAAGCAATTCTCAAGGATTTTCTGGATTTTTGTGGAAACTAAAATTTTTTTCAGAAAATAGTCATAGTTTAGACGATTGGAAGGGCAGTGGGTGTACAAGTCCTTGCACAAAATGCTCAGTTGATCTGACATGTCCAGATGACTGCCCATTGTCTAAGTATTTTAATGGCTCTTCTTGCTCGGATTGCATTACTTCATGCAGCAAAGGTTGTCGAAATTCTGATACTTGCAGACTATGTAAAACCAAAGAATGTGCTACATGTATAGAATTTTCTGGTGCAAATTCCTGCTTAACTTGTATTACAAATGCTATTAGCGATGGGTCTGGCGGCTGCACTTGTGCCTTAAATGCTTTCTGGGTATCTGCAACTCAGACTTGTGAGATTTGTGACAGTCTTTGCTCGGTTTGCATAAAAACTACCTATTTTGAATGCTCAACTTGTTCTGAGAATTATAAATTAATTGGTTCTGCGTGCATAAATGGCTGTCCATATGGATTTGGAGTATCTTGTTTGCCAGTGTCTACTCCAGTTATAGATCAATCTTTTAACGGTGAATTTCAAGGATCATATGGAATTTTTAGAACAGGGACTAGCTCAGCAACTTTTCAATTTTTCAATTCTCCTGAAACTTATGATCCTATCCCTGCATATAAGAGAGGCTTATTTTTTGATGGGAGCACATACTTACTTTCTTCAACTGAGATATTAATTTCTCACAGTTTTTCTATTGGGGCATGAATTTATGTAATTTCTAATGGTGATTGGTTGCAAAAACTATCTAGGTTAACTTTATACTATAATAAATTGTAATTGCAGTGCTCACCAAAGCGTAAATAATTCGTCAAAAATCATTGCTTTTAATATAATTTTATTATATCTTCAACAGGAGACATTAAAACAAGCTTAGAAAGCCCTACACAAGTACTAGCTATTCTATCCCTGCCTTCAGGCTCCACTATTAGCGATTGAGCGTACTTGTCAGTCACTTTTAAGTATATTTCTGACAGCACAACTTTAACGATTTACATTAATGGCATTTCTGCTGCAAACTTGGCTGTATCTAATTATATTTTTAGAGATCTCTCTTTGACCAACTTAATGATTGGGAAAAGTGATTCTTCAGGATTTATAGGGTTTATTAATAATTTTCAGCTATGAAATATCCCTATCATCGACTTCACAACTTATATTAATACAATGTGCGGCTCTGGCCATTCTTGTGCATGGTCCTGCAATTTGTCTCATTATTATAATGGAGCTTCTTGCTCAGCATGCAATTCCTGCAGTAAGGGATGTGTTAGAGCATCCACCTGCAATATTTGTAATGATGTTTTGTGCTCAGTTTGCACTGGATTTGATTATGGAAAATGCACTCAATGTATAGCCAACGCGAGTGGAGCCCCTAGCTCATGCACTTGCAATACTGGATTTATAATTTCTTCGGATGGATTTTCATGTATGGCATGCTCAAATGGATGCTCTCAATGCACTGATATAACTTATCAAAAATGCATTTCGTGTTTGCCTGAATTTTATTTTTTCGCTAATACTGGGCAATGCCTAACTGCGTGCCCATCTGGGTTTACTATAAATACAGGGACAAATACTTGTGATTATTTAACAAATTTGGGGGCTAGTTTGGATTTAACAGATCAGATTAGGCTTGATACTGTTTCTGGCTTTAGTGTAGGGAATAATAATGCTAACGTCTACCCAGATTGATCTGATATTAGGATTATTAAAGACAGGCTCTAGCCATATTGGCGACACAATCACCAAAGCCTCCTATAAGGGAAGTCCATTCAGTTTGCGACAAATTGCTCAGTAGGTCTATACGTAACAGTATAATGTTTCCTCCTTCCCTTGAGGCTTTATGAATGGGGGGGCTTATGGATTTCTACAGCTTTACGACGACCGATTGTAGTAGCTTAATTCCTGGGATTAAGTCCTTGGAGTTTATCAGGTTCCAAAGTGTCTTTCTTTGGCAGCTACAGGAAAAACTGTTCTCTATGGCCGGGCTAAAATATGGTTTCTCGGTAGAGGATACCCAAGGGCCTGAAGGATATTGCTGAGCACCTCCATTTCCAGCAACAGGTAAGCAACCACAACCTACCCGATAAACATTTGCTGAGACTGCATTTGTTTCTCTGATTCGAGTTTGTTCCAGTTATCTTTGGACTTAAGGTTTGGACAGTTATGCCAATAAGGCGGGTTGGCACGTACTGCCATTTTAATGTATATGATTGATCTGATATTTATGATCCAATTCCTTCATATAAAAGAGGATATTATTTTGATCAAAAAAATTATTTATCTACCACAGTCATGATAGCACCATCTTTCACAATTTCTATATGAGTTAAGGCATTAGGAGCTGGAATTTTAATGACTAAATATACGTCAAACGATATCCTTAAAATAAAAATAGACTCTTCAGGAAACCCACTCCTTCTAATAGTATTTTCAGATTTATCTGCTGCTACTTTATCAACTTCTGTTAGCATATTAAACAGCTGGCATTTCTTAAGCTTTACTGGGCAAGTGCAAACTGATGGTAAAACAATTCTAAACTCTTATATCAATACAGTCCCAAATAATTATCTTATAACTACATCTTTGACTTATTTCAAGGATACTCAAATAGGTACACTTTTTGTTGGAAATGATGAAACCTTGGGAAATTTAGGACTTAAAGGATTTTTGGCTCGACTTATTATATATAACTCTTATGACTATCAGTTTGATGATTATACAACTTCTTCATGCATATCTGGCTGCCTTAAATGCCCCTCTAACCATCAATGTTTAAGCGAATGCGCTCTAAATGAATATCCAGATAGCTGTACAGCTTGTCTGCCAGGCTGTGACAAAGGTTGTGTTAGCGATTTAACTTGCAGACTTTGCAGAGATAAAGAATGCTTATCATGCACAACTTTTACAGGAGAATGCTTAACCTGTATTTCAAATGCTTACAAGCCATCTGATCACTGTATGTGTATTGCGAGTGCTCTATGAATTTTTAGCTCTCAATCCTGTGAGCTCTGCAATCCATCTTGTTCAGTCTGTTCTTATCTTAATACTGATAACTGCTTAGCATGTGCTACTGGATATTCCATGAACTCAGGTAAATGCGTCAAAAGCTGTTCTTCAGGATATTTAAACTCTCCAATTGGCTGTGTTTTGGCTAAGAAATTAATATTTGATTTAGACTTAAACACTCTAAGTGGGGTAGTTTATGATAAAGCAAGCTCAATACCTGTAATAACTGGGTCATCTGAAAAGTTTTATCCTGATTATGAAGATGATGACCCTATCCCTGCTTATATGAGAGGATTTTATTTTAATGGGAAGTCTTCTATAATGAGGATGCCAGAATATTCGAACTATATGTCACCTAAACTTATTATTGCATCTATGTTTGCTATATCAATATGGATTAATTCAGAAATTTCAAATTATGCACTGCTATCTAAGCATACTTTATCTGAAGGTTTATCAATAATTTATGCAGCTTTCGTCATGAATGATAAGCCAGGAATTTCATTAATTATAGACTCATCTTCATTCATGTATACCATGAGGTATTGAATTTTACTTAAGATATAATAATGGAGCCTTAAAACTATGCTTCTTGATATCTTGGTTTTTTTTGGACTGAAAATGCACTTTTTGGGATTATTATATTATTTTTAAATTAGTCAAAAAATTATATTATTTAAACAAGTCTTGCATTATAAGTCCCACTTAAATTTCTGATCATATTGAGACCACTTATAAATTATGCAAGAATCAGAAAGTCTAGCCTTCAAAGCATGCCAAATAAAAACTTATTAAAGTTTAGCATACATATGTCAAACTTCTTTTAACCATTATGAGTGAAGCCATTTAGCTTTTACGTTAGAGCAGCTTGATTCTGGATATAATATATTTCTATAAAATGTATATGAGCTGCCAAACATCGACATTTTTCTATATAAATATAAGCAACATAAAAATATTATTTTGCTTAAAAGCAACTATTCACTTTATAGATCATAGCATAACTTGCTATATAAATGCATCACCTAGTCCTTCTGCTTTAGCAGGATATGAAGATTTCCAAGATAAAATTTCTCACACGACAATGACTATTGGAGCTCAACTATCATTAGATGGAATTTATAATTTCTATCAAGGCTTTATATATAAAATTCAGATATATAATGGCATAATCCCAATTTCGCAACTCTCAACAACAATCTGCTCAGAAAATTGTGGGATTTGTCCTGTAAATCAAATATGCATTCCTAATTGCAAAATTTATGAATATTGAATCGGTCCAAGCTATAATGCATGCTTTAAATGTAATATAAACTGCAAGAAAAGCTGCAGGGATTGACGATCTACTTGCTCACTATGCGAGAATCTACTATGTAAAGATTGCATAGATTATTCTGCTGCAGGGTGCGTGGCTTGCGAAGAAAAAGCTATAAACCCAGAATCTTGCATATGTGATATTGATTTTGTGTTGGATATTTCTAATAAAAGTAGCTGCATCCCAATAGAGTCAGGTGGATTTAGAGGCTCAGATGGACTTTTTTATTCTTGCCCAGATCTATGCACTTCTTGTGAGTCTCTAACAAAATGTATAGCTTGTGTAGAAAATGCAAGCTTATCAAATAATTTATGTCATTGTGGCTTAGGCTATAGTGGTGCAAAACAATGCAGCCGAGTTGCATTCTCAGCTAGCCTAAGGGTTTTATCAGATAATTCTTTATACCTTAATTTTTCAGACAATCTTATCAACCCTCTCTCGTCCTCTGATTTTACTATAAAGATTAAGAACCATAAAGACTTTTCTTGAAAAATTGAGCACAAGAATGAGACATACTATTATATTTCTTTAAGCTTTGATAGCAAAGTTTCTAAGGGGACTTTATTAGTTCTTGAATTTTTAAATCTTACAGAAATCAGATCAGTATCAAATGGCTTATTAAATTCATCTGAAATTTCTGCAAATTTAAATTCTTATGACCCAGATTCTTATTCTTCAACAATTTCTTCAATTACTTCTCAAACCAAGGCTGCTACACAAACAATTGTAGCAGTATCTGCTGTTTTGTCAATTATAAATCCAAGCGCCAGTTCTTTATGAACTATGATGAACACTCTGCAGATTCTCAGCTATTTAACACTGTCAGGGATACCTTTATCAGACAAAATGATAGCTTTTTTGAACAGCTTGAATTCATTTACTCCCCCTCTGTGAGCGAACAGATCTATTAAAAAATCCATCCTCTGAACAAAATTTTATTTAATATAAAATTTTGTCATGAAAAAATATATTGCATATATAAGTGATGATAAGGATAATAAAATCTCTAGCTAATTCTGTTTAATTTTAAGCAATTTGCATTTTAAAAGATAAATTTTGAGTTCCAATTCTTGCGAATAGGAGTTTTTAAAAATTTTGAAAAAAAATTTATATAGCCTGTGAGCTAAAAAAGTTCTTTATTCGCTTACAGTGGCGGGATTAGCTTTTTTCCTAATATTTTTATATATTTTATAGAAAAAGATCAAGGGAATACTCCTTATTCTCAAGCTCAGACTTTTGGATACGATTCCGATTTAATTCTAATTAATCAAGGAGATGATTTTACAATAATTCTGGCATCCTTGGTGGCTTTTCCTGCGGTTTTCTACTTTTCAAGATGCTCGCTATGATGGCTTAATAAAAAATTTAGGAAAGCTTTAAGCTCTTATAGATACGCATTTTATTTAAGATTTTGAATTCAATGCTATCTTGAAATAGGTGCTGCTGCTAGCATAGGCCTAGTAAAATTTGGTTATAGCAACCCTATCCAAGCTGCAAACATTGTTTTATGCATTATTTTATACATTCCTTTAGCTATCACTCCACCCTTGCTATTTTGATTTTCTTATAAGAATAAAAATAAAATCAAATATAGAGAGAAAGCTTTTAACAACTTATTTACTCCCTCCTTTAATTGGAACAAAGATTCTTGCTCCAATTTAAAAGGGGTTAATTTTTTTTTAAAAACAATTATATTAAATTTTTAAATTTAACATAAAATTTTGAGTTCAAAAAATTAATTGATTTAATTTTAAAAACTGCTTAAATAATATCCTAACTTTTTCCATTAAATTAGGTCAAAATTATTTTATAAAAATTAGTGTTTATAATTATAAAATTTTTCTATTGAAAAAAATTGCAATTTGAAAGGGTTTAAAGTATCAAAAAAATGGAAATTTATCTATATTTTGTTCCTACTAAATGTGGAGTTAGTACATTTTTTTATGAATTTCGAACAGATAAAGGACTGCTTGCAACACAATATTATTTTCTATTTTTTGCTAGAAGACTAATATACATTGCAAGTTTGGTTTATTTAAGGGATTATCCAAAAACAGAGGTTACTATAAATATTCTGCTTTCTTTATCTACTATTATGCATCTATTTTTCTACTGACCATTTAGTGATCAGATCGTGCAAATAAGTAATTTATTGACTGAAATATTAGTTTGGGTTACTCTGGCCATTTAAGAACGAGCAAAACCATTAAGGAAATCCACATTTTTGGAAAATTAATGCCTTATAAGAGCGAGCAAAAATATACAGCCGGGAATGAGCTATAATATTTGATATAAATTATTATTATGAGATCTCCACCTAATTCTATTAATTTTGACTCTTGATTCTTAAATATAAAACTTCATAGCATAAGTTAAATTGTATTTTCTAAAATAAAATTTTATTTTTTATGGAAATTTTATATATGAAAGATAATTGGTCTGCTTTTAAGATCAAGCAAAAATCTTGCTCTCTCTCTTAAAGAGAAGTTAGTAATGATTGCTATTTCAGTATATTTATTTTATATAGATAATAAAATAGTTGCCATTTTTGAATATACGATAGTTGCAGCTGTAATTACAGTTATGGGAATTCAACTATTTTCTTCAGTTGCAATTTTTTCAAGGACTATTTACCATTTAATTCGTAAAAATCTCAAAAAATCTGAAAACTTAGAGAAATACAATTAACCTTTTAATATTCATATTTTATTAGTTGTGAAATGTTTAATCATAATTTTAAACACTGTCTTAATTATTTTATAGATTTACTCTATTCTTCTAAAAGAGTACTTTTATTTCTATCATGGTAAAATTATGATCAAAATAATAGTTTTGGATCTGCCATTGATCTGATTGAGTCTATTAGAAAGTGATGAAATAGTTGGCATAAATCTATCAAAGAAAGATCTTTTATATTTACTCCAGTATTGTAAACGAATAAATCAATTAAATTTATTTCGTTTAAACTCCACTGCCTAGTCACCCGATACACAACTACCTCAAAACCTTCCTTGGACAGACTCGCAATTTTTCTCCAACCCTCCAGTGTGGCCACCTTAACCTTTTTAACAATGAGGATGCCAGTCTTGAAGTTTGGCTTCAATGGCTCTCCTTTGAGCTTAAATAATCTTCTTAGATGCCATCTATTAATAAAAAGCAATTCGATTATTTCATTTTTTTATCCGAATAAATTATTTGTTAATCTTCGTTGTTCCAGGCTAATTTTGTAAATTTAGCTTGATTAATATTACCTAAAATAGCACTCTTTTTGTATGCTAAAGATGGTAAATTGATTTTTAAAACCCTCATGAATTCCATTAAACATAATAGCAGAGTATATTAAAACACTGCTATTTTACCCATTTCCACATAATTAATTGAAATAATTTGAGTATGATGATATGTGGAATTATCAATTGATTTCACGATTTTTATTTAAATTATATTATTGTACATTCATCTAAATCCTCAAGATTTCTAAAATTTTGAGAAATTAAATAAAGCTGGAAAAGAAGAAGAATTTAATTCTAAAGTAATTATTAGAGGACGTTTAAAGTCTATTTTCTGGATAAAGTTAAAGCAAATTTTGATTTAAAGCTGCAATTATCTATAACTACTTAAGTATTTAAAATTTTCTTTATTATCCATTTTATAATGTAAGTTGAATTTAGTTGCCAACTTATTTGATTAGCAAGAATATCAAGTGCGACTATTGCTACTGATAAAATAATTTGAAAAGTCAAGTTGATTACATTTGGTACTCTGATTAAGCTAACTAACTAACCCAACATATTGATGCCATATTAGCTTAGCTCGTAAGTCAAATAGATTAAAAATTAAGCTTCAATTAGACTAAATATAAATTACAATGATTTTTTATATTAAATTTTGCACATAATTGGATGCTTTCCAACACCCGGCAGAATATGGCAATAGTGTATTTTAGCTTTCATATGCTAAATCTCTGCCGGCAACTAGCAAATACTCTTAAGTGGGATTTATAGTAAACTAGTAGAAGCTTTTATTGATTGTTTGCAAGCAAATAAATTAAACTTTCCTTATAAATTGAAATGTTTCAAATTAACATAATCTATAAACATAATGAAAACTGTTCTTATTTTTATCGCCAAATTTTTGTTGACTCTCGCTTGTCCTTATGATGGTGGAAATATAATTGGGCTTCCTTACTGTCTTCATTCAAAGATACAGGATGGCAAAGTATGCACAGGTATTGATGTATGTCCTTCGCAATTCACTTATGCTAAGAGAAGTGGTATTGTTGCCTGATGTTACCCGCCAAGTGGAACAAGCGCGATTATTTTCGATTTACAGTTTTCAAGCATCAAGGATTTAACTGCTGCTCAGATAGTGAGTTCAACTGATTCAACTACTATTTTCCAAAACCCAGGCTCCATTTCATATAGTTCTCCCACACAAAATTCCCCACTTCCAACTATTGACCGTGGCTTTTACTTTGCTACTACTTCAAGTATCGCGAATAGTAAAGGTTTTATTCCTGGGTGCTATTTTACTTTAAATTTATGAATTAAGCCTCTTGCTAATGGGGAAATTTTAAATGTTATTTTTAGTCCAGATTCGTATATATAAAGAGTTCAATTTTTCATCATATTTTTGCTAAAAATTATTCTAAAGTAAGATAGATAAAATTAGGTAAGGCAATAAGTGGAGTTAACTAGTGGCTATCGCCTTGTCTTGGCTCCAAAGAGTCAGTCTCCATATGCCTCGGAGCTCAAACGGGAAAAATGAAAGGCCACTATATTGGATCTCTGATCTGAGCCACCTGTTCCAACGATCAGCTCTGGGGTAGAGCCTATCTCTGGAAAGCATCTTACAGTCCTGATAAGGAAAGAAAGTGTGATAGGAGACCTCTCAAGCCTCAGCAGGAACAAATAAGTCTTCTGGGGAGAAAAAAAGCTACCTTCTGTGAGTAAGCACTGAAAATCACAAAGGTATCCGAATTCACCACAATGGTATGGTTCCCCCCTGTTTCATAGGCACTACACATTGGAATCGTTTCTGTAAGCATCACAATTTAATTTCTATCCTAAAGTAAGGCTTTACTTTACCAATCATCACTTATAATAACTCTTATAGTAACAAAAAATTTAATATTTTATATAAGGATATGGGCTGATGCCTCAGGTGTGTATAAATTCACAATATATGTTTACGATTCAAATAACAGTCAAGCCTCAAGAACTGCAGTTTCCACTTCTAGCTTTACATCTTCATGGCATACTGCTTCCATGATTATTAATCAGCTCGACTGCGATACAGTTAATATTTCTTTTTACATTAATGGAAGCAATGTCGGGAGTACAGACTTCAGCAATACTGAAGTAAGGGTTCCAAAGCTAACCTATACATGGAATATTGGAAATACAGGTAGTGGAAATTCTTTCAGAGGGTTTATTTATTGGCTTCAAGCAAGAGCAGATTGTGTTCAGAGCACTGCTGCTTTGACTGCTACTATTAATTGTGTTGATAACGAATATTGAGATGGCTCTTCTTGCCAAAACTGCAGCCCAAGTTGTCAAACTTGGCCTTGGTGTATTAGAGGAACCGACTGTATCACTTGCAATGTCCTTGATTGTATTACTTGCAAGGGATATCCTCCATTAACATGCATTAATTGTAATACAGGTGTAGTTCCTAATTGCTGTGACTATTTAGGGACAGCTTGCTCACAAACTTGGACAAATACAGGGTGTAGTACTGGAAATTTTTTGGTTGGGGATGCTTGCTTATATGCATGCCCGTATGGTTTTGGAAATTGTGCAGCTGTTAGTACAGCTGTTTTAACTGCTGATTTTACAGGGGCCTTTGCAGGAAGTTATGGAACAGCTTTGATTACGGCTACAAGTTCTTCGAGTTATAACTATTGGAATTCTCCAGAGTCTTCTGATCCAAAGCCAGCTAAAAATAGAGGGCTTTATTTTGACTCTAATCAATTTTTGAGCGGATCCATAAATTTGTCTAACACTTGGAGTATGGCGATCTGGGTTTATGCAATATCTGGGACAATAATTAGTCATAGTACAAATAAGCTTATTATTGATTCTAGTGGAGCTGCAACTTTTTACTTAGTCTAGCATATTAATTTAAAAAAAATGATCATAATTTCTAAAAAATGTTTATTATATAATATATTGGTATTTAATTAATAAATATTATAATTAATAATCTGCTATTCTGTGTTGAATTTTTCATTGTTATTCTCAAACGATATAGATTAAAAAAGAATTATGATTTCTTTTCAACTTATTATCAAATATATTTAATCAAAAAAACCTGCATAAGAAAAAAGTCATTCTCATTTTCAATAGAGAATTAGAAAAAATGGGATGGTTCATCTTCCCTTACAAGCTACTCAGTTTCGCAGGCTTTAACTTCTTATACATGGACATATATTTCCTATTCATTTGGGTTTGCAAATAAAGCCTCAACTATGACTCCGTGTCTTAACAAGATTGCTGGAACTCCAACAACTGTAACAGATTATATATTCCGACTACCTTCCGGTGGAACGCTATACGTCGGCAAAGGCTCACCAAATTTCAATGGATTTATAGCTTACTTTATCCTTTGGCAGGTGACAGTCAGTGATTTTTCTGCTTATTATAGTATCAATACATTGACAGGAGGCTCAGTATCAGCTTTTTGGTCATGTGATTATTTGTATTATTATGATGGATCAGTCTGCAAAACATGCTTACTCCCCCATCCTTGATCGAACGACTCGCCATCGTTCGATCAAGGATGGGGTTTAAAAACAAAATTTTTATATATAAAATAAAATATATATATATATATTTTTTTATTTACTTTTAAATAAGAGGGTTAAGAGTATTTAATAATTATTTTTACAACAAAAAAATTGAATTAATTTCATAAACTACCAATTTTTAATATTTTGATTTATTAGTTACCCCTTTAAACTGTATAAATTTTAATTTGTTCCTTATTAAATTAAATTTATTTTTTAAAATTTTAAAGAATCTCTATTTTATTAGATTATTGAGTTTTTAAGCCTAGGTTGATGACTAAATCACTCATATGGTCGATCCCAAAGCTTCCTGCCGTCTCAAAGTCTCTGAAAACAACTTCATTAGGTGCATCTTCCCAAGCTTTTGATAACTAATATATTTTTATATATATAAAAATTTGCATGATATGAAAATCGTTCGATCAAGGATGGGGGTTAATTTCCCAATTTTTAGGAATTTTACAGTCAATCGTTCAATCAAGGATGGGGGGAGTTAGATTCATCCTGCACAAATGGTTGTACTCGAGGAACATCTTGCTATATTTGTGATGATTTTTTATGTGCTGAATGCTCATCATTTTGGTCGGGGGCTTGCACTTTATGCATTCCTAATGCTTCTGGATCCCCATGCTCTTGCAATTCTGGATTTTACCAACCTGACGCAAACCAAGCTTTATGCTCAGCTTGCTATTCAGGATGTGCTCATTGCACAGGCTCATATTATTATTTATGCACCTCCTGTAGCTCTAGTTCCTTTTTTTATAACAGTAAAATGTGTCTTCCAGATTGCCCTATAGGATATACAAAAAATACAGGCACAGGTAACTGTGATTTGTCATCAGTAACGGCACTTAGCTTATCTTTTAGCAATCAAATACTACTTGATCAACTGTCAGGAAAGCAAGTAGGATCTTCATTTTCTAATGCTTATCCTACTTATGATTCGAATGATCCAGTTCCAGCATATCTCAGAGGCTACTATTTTAATTCCAATAGTTATCTAACTACAATGTTTATGCTTGCTCCAAATTTTTCAATATCTCTATGAATAAAGGCTACAGCAAGTGGTATGGTTATAACAAAATATGTATCAACAACCCAGTGATTTGTTCAAATTTTATCATCAGGGTATCCAAAACTGTCACTTCTCTTAATGGATGCTTCAAGCACCGTTTCAGTAATAGGACCCTCAAATGTGCTTAATAGCTGAGTTTTTGTATCATTTGACTGTAAAGTTAATTCTGGCGGGACAACAACAATAAGTTCTTATATTGATTCTGCTTCTCAAGCTACTTCTACATCTTTAAGTCCACTTTATTTGTTAGACAGCAAGACAGGAAACTTTTATATCGGGCTTTACAGTGGTGGGTTTATTGGGTTTTTGTGGGAACTAAAGATTTACTGCCAGAGTAATCATGCATTGGATGACTGACAAACTGTTGGATGCTCAGGCAGCTGCACAAAATGTCCTATAGATTTAACTTGCCCAGATAATTGCCCATTATCTCAATATTATGATGGCTCTCCTTGTGCGAGTTGCATAAGTGCATGCAATAAAGGATGCAGAAACGCTGATTCTTGTAACCTTTGCAAGACTAAAGAATGCGCTACATGCACTGAGTTTACAGGTGCTAATTCATGCCTAACTTGCATTACAAATGCTGTTAGCGATGGGAATGGAGGCTGCACTTGTGCTTCTAATGCTTTCTGAGTGTCTTCAAGTGAAACATGTGAGCTTTGTGATGCTCTTTGCTCGACTTGCTTAAAAACAGCATATTTTGAATGCTCAGCTTGTCTAGGAGGCTATCAACTAGCAGGAACTGTGTGTCTAGATGAGTGTCCTTACAGTACTTCTTGCTCAGTAGTAACGACTACAGTGATTGATCAGTCTTTTGATGAAGATTTTCAAGGGTCTTATGGAATTTTTACAACAGGGACAAGTGCAGCGACTTTTCAGTTTTCCAACAGCCCTGAAAGTGTTGACCCAATTCCTGCATATAAGCGAGGCTTATATTTTGATGGAAATATGTATTTATTATCCTCAACAACTGTTTATCTTTCTCATAGTTTTTCAATCGGAGTATGGTTATATGTAATTACAAATGGTGATTTATTGCAAAAACAAACTTTTTTAACGCTGACTTCTACAGGCTCTATAGCTGTTACAATGACAGATCCAGCTCAGGCAACATCTTCTCAGGCATTAACACTTAGCTCGTCATTTACTGGGTGGGCTTATCTATCAGTCACTTTTATGCTAATATATTAAAACTTCGAGCTGATTAGAAGCTATTAATTTATTATTTGACTGATATTTTAGATATATCTATTGTGATTTCGATCATTTCTGGTATCTGGAATTGAAAATGCTAAGATGAGATAAATTTGATGAGAAAATAGATATTGAAAAATATGGACTCAATTATATTATTTTTATAGATTAAAACATAAACTTATAGCCCAAAAAAGTGCAAATGTCTAAAATAGAATGAATATTCACTAGGGAACACAGCCCTATCAATTTATATAAATGGAGTTTCAAGTTCAGCAAGCAGTTTAACAAAAATGATTTACAGAGACCAGGCACTGACCTCTCTAATACTCGGCAAAAGCAACAATCCTGGATTTGTGGGCTTTATTTATTATTTTCAGCTATGAAATACTGCAATTACAGGATTTCCAGCAATTATCAGCAGTTTTACATTTTGTGAATCAGGGCAGGGAGCATCTTGTTTATGAGCCTGCGATATTTCTTCATATATAAATGGAGCTATCTCTGCTTGCAATTCCTGTACCTATGGATGCAGGCGAGCTAGTACTTGTAATATTTGTGACGATTCATTATGCATAACTTGCACAGGATTTGATTCAAGTAAATGCACTCAATGTGATCCCAGTGTAACTTTATCGTCAGGGCTTTGCCTATGCAATGCTGGGTTTGGAAGATCCACTGATGGTTTATCATGTGCTTCTTGCTTCAGTGGGTGTTCTTTATGCTTGGCTGTGACCTATAATAAATGTACAGCATGCAGTTCTGGATATTTCTTTGCTAATACTGGACAGTGCTTAGATGAGTGCCCATCTGGATATACACAAAATACAGGGGGAAAAACTTGCGATTTTGTGTCAAAATTTGGGATTAGTCTTGATTTAACAGACCAGGTTAGGCTGGATACCGTTTCTGGCTTTAATGTAGGGATTCTAATACATGCAGGCTTACTTAATTAATTAATTGGCTTCTATTCGAGCCTCTAGATATGTAGCTCTTAAAGGAGCCATTTTTCTTAGTTTTGTTCGCTCCCTAGGATATTTCGACAGCTTGTTGATTGGATCCCTCTCTAGCTTCCTTGAGACCATTTGAAAAACCAGAAGCCAAGAATACTAATTTTCTTGGGATTTTTACCCTAGATTCGAGGTAAAAAGCCTTAACCATTATTTCCTTTATCACATAGAATGCAAGTATAACCATCTATTCCTATAAAATAAAATCTGAGAAAGGGGGAATTGTCCATTTTATTTGTATTGGGGATTCTAATACAAATACTTATAGTGGGTTAACATCAACTGATTTGAATGATCCTATACCTTCTTATAAAAGAGGGTATTATTTTTACATGAGTGATTATTTATCCTCTACAGTCATGATAGCTCCATCATTCACTATTTCTCTATGAACTAAACCTCTAAATCATGGAACTTTGATGACTAAATATATTACTACTACTGAGATTCTCAAAATTGAGATCAACTCGTCAGGATTTCCAGCGCTTTCAATTGTGTTTGCTGACTCATCAACCCAAACTCTAACTACCTCCACAAGTATTACATTAAGCTGGCATTTTTTAAGTTTTACGTGCAATATCCAAGATGATGGAAAATCAATTTTAAAACTTTATATTGATAATGGAGCATCTCCAAGTTCTATACTATTATTCTAGATATGTCCTTTATTTTAATCTCGGACAATATTTTTATTATTTATAAGAGAATTGAATATCATTTCAACAGCTTTCACTTATTTTAAAGATACTAATGCAGGAATGCTGTATGTTGGAAATGATGAAACTTTTGGGACTTCAGGACTATATGGATTTTTAGGAAGATTAATGATATATAACTCTCATAGTTATAAATCTGACGACTACGCAACATCTTCTTGCACATCTGGCTGTTCTACTTGCCCTTCAAACCACCAGTGTTTAAGCGACTGTGCAGTAAATGAGTATCCAGACAGCTGCAATACTTGCAAGACTGGCTGCAGCGAAGGATGCGTTAGTGACTTAACGTGCAGACTTTGCAGAGATAAAGAATGCCAATCATGCACGACTTTTACAGGAGAATGTACAAGTTGTATTGCAAACGCTCATAAAGTAAGTAATCATTGTGTATGTGTTGCAAATGCTGTATGAGATTCAGATACTGAGAGCTGTGAACTTTGCGATGCAATGTGCTCTGCATGCTCAACTCCAAACTATAATGGCTGCCTCACATGCATTTCCAGCCACTATCTAATACAATCATTCTGCATGCCATTTTGTCCTACTGGGTATATTATAAATGGTGGTAACTGCGATAGAGACCCGAATTATTCAAATTCTTTTGTATTTAACTTGATGCCTCATCAAATAAAAGACATCATCACTGATTTGAAGTCAAATATTCAGGTATTAACAGGCAAAGATAACAAATTTTATCCTGATTATGATTCAACTGATCCTATAGCAGCCATTTATAGAGGTTATTATTTCTCTGGTTCATCTTATATGAGGCTGCCTCCTTATGCAGGCACCACTTCATCATTGCTCACATTTTCGCCAAAATTTGTTATGTCAGCATGAATAAAGCCAATTTCAAATACAGGAGTAATCTTTTCCAAGCAAGCCGATAGTGGTCTTTTTAAAAAACATATTAGTTTGGAATTGATAAACAAAGCCCCTTCACTTACTTTAACTTTAAAAAATTCTAATACAAAAACTTTTACAAGTACTAATCCATCATTAGAAGCTGCCCTTTCTCAATGAAATTTCATATCAGCAAGCTCAGGCATAAGTACTAATCCACAACAAATTATTAGTTTATCTAGAAATGGAATGATCGATACATCCAGCGATCTAGACCCAAGCTGGCTAAGTGATTTAGGTGCTTCGTTTTTGATGACTATTGGAGCAGGCTATATTAGCTCTTCAATCTTAACGTCATTTTTCAGTGGATTTCTCTGAGATCTCAAAATTTATAATGCGCTAATAGCAGTTAGTAGTTTAGCATCAAGCATAGGGGTTTTCCTTATATGGCCCGATAAGGGCCGTGGGTTCTCCGTGGAATCCCTCTGTTGGTCAAACCAACTCAGTGCGTTTGTTTGACCAATTCACTGGTTGGTTCAACCAGCAGAGGGATTCCACGGAGAACCCACGGCTCTTATCGGGCCAATAGGGAAAACCCCTATACTTGTAGTGGGTGCTCTCTATGTCCAATAGATAATTCCAATACTTGCTTGGATAGTTGTGATATAGATAAATACTGAAATGGCAACAGCTGTGTCACATGCTCATCTGGATGCTTAGCTAAAGGCTGTGCAAGAGTTGATAAAAGTTGTAATCTCTGCCAAGATATGCTATGTGAAGTATGTGATGACTATACAAGTGTATGCATTACCTGCAAAACGCATGCAAGCTTAAGCGGAGCAAGTTGCCAATGCAATTCTGGATACTTTTGGGATAGCACCAATGAAAACTGTGGCTCTTGTGATGTTTCTTGTAAAACTTGTGCATCATCAACTTCGTTAGACTGTCTGACGTGCTCTAATGGATTTTATAATGTATCAGGAATTTGTGTAAATAGCTGCCCGTTAGGATATTCACCTTCTGGAAGTAGTTGTGTATTAGTTCAAGAAAAAATTTTTGACTTGGATCTGAATACTCTGAATGGAGTAATTTATGATAAGGTAAACTCAATTCCTGTTATAACTGGATCAACTGACTCCCCCCTTTTGGATAATTGAAATATGGTCTCCGATCAAAAGTTCATCTCTTGCATATTTTGGTGAAATTATACCAGCTATTTCTGGGAAGAGAGAGTTTTTTCCTACCAGACTCTTTACCTTATGAACCTAATTTTTCAGAAGATTACCATTTACCCTAGGTGGTGGAGACTAGGGCCTTTAGGGTGCCATTAGTACCCAAGTAAGTGCCTAAGCTCAAAGAAGACTTATCGAAGCCTAAAATTCAATACTGGCATTATTTTGTTGATCAAAGTCAGAGACCAAAGGAAAATAAAGTGAAATTCGCCCCAGAGTGGTGTTGGAGATAGCTGTGGTCAAGCAACCTTGTAGTGGACGTTAAATGTATATAAAATTAATTAATATAAGACTCCCCCTTTTCAATTAGAGCCAAAAAAAAAGTTTCCAATTTAAAGAGGTAATGTTTTTTCAGAAACAATTTATTTATAAATTTTATCAATTTAAATTACTAGCTTGATTTAAAGACTCCGCCTTTCTAATTCCAGGGAGGAGTAACCAATTTTATCCAAATTATGAACCTGATGACCCTATACCTGCTTACTTAAGAGGATTTTATTTTAACGGCAAATCTTCTATTTTAAGGATGCCAGAATATTCAAATTATGCATCACCAAGACTTATAATTCCCTCTACCTTTACGATTTCTATATGATTAAATACTGAGACTTCATATGGCACTCTATTATCAAAGCATAACATTTCTGATAGTTATTCAACGCTTTACTCCATCTCATTGATGGGCAGCAAAATTTCGATTTCATTTACCTTAAGCTCATTCCAAATTTTTTATATGGCTGATAGACTTCTCAATAATTACGAATGGAGTCATGTAGTATTTACATTAGAATTGACTCAAAACAGTTACAGTAAACTGTCTTGTTATATAAATGGATTATCTGACGCGCTCGGAAACTCAATATATGGGATTTTCCAGGATAAAGGTCCTCACACAATAATGTCTATAGGCGCTCAGCTTAGTTCATCATCAACTTATAATTTTTATCAAGGCTTTCTTTATAGTATACAGATATTTAATTCACTAAAGTCTATGTCAAGCCTTTCCACGACCTCTTGTACTGAAAGCTGCAGTGTGTGCCCAACAGACCAAAAATGCATTCCGAATTGCAAAATAAATGAATATTGAGCTGGACCAGCCTATAATAAATGCTATCAGTGCAACGTAAAATGCAAAGAAACCTGCAGAGACTGAAGGTCTACTTGTTCTCTTTGCGATAATTTATTATGCGATTCTTGCAATGATTATTCATCTACTGGCTGCTCTAAATGTATAGAAAACGCTATCAATCCTAGTTCTTGTATTTGTGATATAAACTATGTGCTTGACACTTCTAATAGCAATTCTTGTATTCCTGTGGAAGCAGGCGGATTTAGAGGTCCTGATGGGAAATTGTATCCATGTCCAAGCTTCTGCACTTATTGTGAATCCTCTACAAAGTATAATTAAATATGGCGTCTCAACTTGGGTCTGGCCTCTCGGCCAGACAGTTTCGAGCCCTATTTAATTATATCCGGCAAGGTTTTGCCTAGCTAGAGATGGACAGCAATATCAGGTAAGCAATTCTGGCAGTGTACAGAGCCTGATGCCAGTCCGTTCTCGGGTTAGGATTTTACCTCGAGGGAAGAGGAGGCTTGGAGTTGGAAAGGAGAAGCCCAGCAGCGCCTACAGGTAATCCCTAGGCCATTCGGGCAAATCTCTAGCGAGAAACCGGGAGTTTCGCCCCGGGCTACAAGTTTTCCTCTTTTGCCGAGAGTCGGCCAGAAATTCCATTTTTTGGAATTTCCCAGCAGACAACCCTCGTTACAGAGAAAGTAGCTCAATCATGAGCCGTCGAGGCCGGAACATCGCGCAGGAGGTGCGCGTTGGAGATCAAAGCTAGCTGTCCCAGCAACTAGTGGGCCCCGAGCGACGAGAGCGCGTGGTGGTAGTCCTGGAAGAGCAACCCCGTAGGAGACGTTAAACGTGATGGCTAATAAGTTAAGGTAAGAATCCTCTACAAAGTGCAATTCTTGTGTAGAAAATGCCAGCCTTAAAAATGATCTATGCTATTGTGATTTAGGTTACAATGGGGCTGAAAACTGCATATTAGTTCCCTTTTCAGCGAAGTTGACTGCTTTTTCAGATAATTCACTTTACCTTATTTTTTCAGATATCCTTGCTAACAGTCTCTCTGCAAATGACTTTACTATCAAAATTCAAAAACAAGGAGAAGCTTCATTTAAAATTGAGGAGATGAATAGCACTTGCTATTATATTTCTCTAGTTATATCTAAAGAAATATCTAAAGGCACATTAACTACTTTAGAATTCTCAAACTTAACAGACATAAAATCAATATCAAACGGCGTTTTAAATTCTTCAGATATTTCTATATCACTTAATTCTTATGATCCAGCTCCATACTCTCCGGCAGTTGAGGCAATTACTTCTAAAGCAGCAGCTGGGGTTCAAGTTGCTATATCCTTTTATAATGAATAAAAATTTGATAGTGATTTTTTCCCTCACATTTAGTGAATAGGAACAAGGCAAATCAGTACCAAATTTTATTCCCTATAATCGGATATATTTCTGGAGCTGTTGCCTTATCAATTGTAAATCCAAGCCCTAGTTCTTTATGAAGTATGATAAACAGCTTACAAATTCTGAGTTACTTGACTTTATCAGGAATTCCACTGTCATCCAAAATGAGCTCGTTTTTGAATAATTTGAATTCCTTCAATTTATTTCCAAATATTTTTATATATATAATTGATAAAAATGAAGGAAATGCTCCATATTCTCAAGCACAAGATTTTGGGTTTGATACTGATTTGATTTTAATAACGCAAGGCAATGATTTTACAATAATAGTTGCATCATTAACTGCTCTGCCTGTAGTTTTCTTTTTTTCACGATGCTCATTTAGGTGAATTGGTAAAAAGTTTATGAAAACAGTAAAAGTTTATCAGTTTGGATTTTATCTGAGATTTTGAATCCAGTGCTACCTTGAACTAGGAGCTGCAGCTAGTATTGGCCTAATTACTTTTGGGTTTAACAATTTCACACAAATTATCAATTTTATTATATGCTTAGCAATTTATATACTACTAGTTATAACTCCACCAGGATATTTCTGGTTCTCTTATAAAAATAAAAATCGGATCCAGTCAAGAGAAAAGAGCTTCACAGAGTTATTTAGTTCCTTCTTTTATGAGTTCAGAGTTGATAGAGGCCTCCTTGCAACACAGTATTACTTCGTGTTCTTTATAAGGAGATTCATCTATATAATAAATTTGGTATTTTTGAGGGAATATCCGCAAACTGAAGTCACCATAAATATTGTTCTTTCCTTAATGACTATTTTGCATCTGATCTTTTTCTGGCCTTTTGAGGACCCAGTTTTGCAAATAAACAATTTATTGACTGAAATTATGATTTGCTTAGTTATGAGCTCGACATCAATTTATTTATTTAATTTAGAGCAAGAAATTACCTCGACATTTGAAAACGCCATTGTAGCTATTGTGATAGGAGTTATGATCATTCAATCTTTTTCTTCAATCGCGATTTTTGCAAGAACTCTGTATGGTGTTATCCATCATAAGCTGACCAAAGCAGGGATTATGAGAAATAGTATTCAACCTTTGAATGATAGCCATAAAAAAATCGAAAAATAATTGAATTATTCTGTATTGAGTAATTCGATTACAGCATAATTATAAGAAGATACATAATTTATTGCTAAAGAAATTTAGTTAAATATTAAAGATGAATTAAATTCGATGATGTAAATAATAAAGTACGTTGCTTTTGTTTTATATAGCTCCAAACCAAATTATTCTAGTTTAGGAACACACCTTTGCATATTTAATAGGTCACGTAAATGTTGATTGTTATAGGAAGTTTAATTTAAAGAGGGGAGGATGAGAGATTTTGTTTGATTCAGGTTAGATGGTAATTAGCATAAATTTCAAATTTATGGTGCCTTTGAGCTCTCTAGTTCTCAAAAGGCCTAATTACCATAGAAGAAATCAAATAATCTAAATCAGACCTTAAGTTCAAAACATCCGCAATGTTTCAGGTATCGATGTAGTCTTAAACACACCAAAGTAAAATAATTTTTATAATTCATTAGAAATTTGAGCTAAAGCATCTTTCTTAAATTCAATCATAAATGCTTCGAAATATTATAAAATGGCACTCCTTTTTCCCACGATCAGGAATATCTAGGTTAATAATATCAAGAGACAAAATGCAAATATCTTAATGTTCCACCCACTAATCAAAGGAATGGAAAAACAATTAAAGGGAAAATAGATTAAATTGCATAGATAATATTCTAATTTTAAAATGTTTAAGAGAATTATAAAATCAAAGATGAAAGTCATTTTATCACAAAATATTACTACACCTCAAATAAAACTTAGCTTATATCAGTTAAAAAGATTCAATGATTATTTTATTCCAGTCAAATAAAGCCTAGCTATTTTAGAATAAAATCGAAACGTGAAGTTTTTTCTTAACTTAAATCAAATCAAACTTACACATTGTAATATAAAATTTTGTTCATTAGTATTAATAATGGATTAACAAAAGAGGAGATTATTTTGGCCTTTAAAAATTAACAATTCTAAGTCTTGCTATGGATTATGATTCAAATTAATTGAAAATTTTAGAGGGAGAATTTCCATTTATACATTAAAACATGATGATATTTGCTTTAGTTTCTTTCACCAAAATATTGTTGACCTACTGTTGCTGCCCATCTAACAGTAGCGATTTATATTTTACATGCAAATGCTCAAACTCATACTACCTAGCTGATAGTAAAGTATGTGTGAATTCATGCCCTTCACTATTTGGCTCAAATGCAAATTATGGATTTGGCTATTCATGCAGCATGCCCAATAGTAACAATGCAATTTTATTCACACTAGAATTTTTAAACATTCAAGATTTGACTGCCACATATATTGCAAGTTCCACATCTGCTTCTGAGCACTTCGAAAATCCAGGATCAATTTCATATAATTCAGCAACTCAAAATTCTCCTCTCCCAACAGTCGATCGTGGCTTTTATTTCGCTACGACTTCAAGTATCACTAGTAATCAAAGTCATGTTCCTGCTTTGTATTTCACATTAAATTTATGGATTAAGCCTTTAGACAGTGGAGAAATTTTAAACGTCCTTTTGAGCTCGAGCTCATATATAAGGATATGGACAGATTCCTCTGGTGTTTATATGTTTAGTGCAATTGTCTATAATACAAGCAGTGGCTCAATTTCTATATCTGGAGCTAGCACTTCAAGCTATATCTCGTCATGACATCAAGCATCAATAATTCTAAATCAATCTTCATGCTCTGAAGCAACCATAAATTTTTATATAAATGGGTCTAATGTTGGAACAACAACCTCAAGCAGCACTGAAGCAAAATTTTCAGGTACAGCAACGTATACGTGGACTTTTGGGAATTTGAGCGGAGGAAACTCTTTTAGAGGGTTCATTTATTGACTTCAGGCAAGATCTGATACAAATCGAAATTATGGGACAATGAGTAGTACTATTGATTGTGTTGATAATCAATATTGAGATGGGTCTGCTTGCCAAAACTGTGGCTCGGGATGTCCCACTTGGCCTTGGTGCGTTAGAGGCTCAAGTTGTGATATTTGTTATTCTCCTGATTGCAGTTCTTGTTATGGATACTCTTTATCAATGTGTACAGCATGCACTACAGGAATAGTTCCAGGATGCTGTGATTATTTTGGTGCAACTTGCACCCAAACCTGGACAAATACTGCATGTATTAGTGGAAAAGTTTTAATTGGAGGAATTTGCCTATATGCATGCCCATATGGATTCGGAAGTTGTACAGCTGTTTCTACAGCCGTTTTGACTGCTGATTTTACAGGCTCATTTGCAGGAAGCTATGGAACAGCTTTGACTACTGCCACAGGTTCTTCAAGCTATAATTATTGGAATTCTCCAGAATCATCTGATCCATTCCCTGCAAAATGCAGAGGTTTTTATTTCAATTCCAACCAATATTTAAGTGGGTCTATAAATCTTTCTAACACTTGAAGTATGAGCCTATGGGTGCTAGTTAACTCTGGGACAATTATAGGTCATAGCTCAAATAAACTTAATATTGGTTCTACCGGAATTAATTTTTACTTAGAAAAGTGGGATGGAACGTCTACAAGCTACTCAGCTTCACAATCTATAACTTCAAATGTATGAAGCTACATTTCTTATTCAATCGGGTTTTCCAATAAAGTGACTACAGTAATTCCTTACCTTAATAATATAGCTGGAACAGCAGTAACTGTTACAGATTATGTTTTCAGATTGCCATCAGGAGGAGTATTATATATTGGCAAAGGTTCAACAAATTTTAGCGGGTTTATTGCTTATTTTATACTTTGACAAGTTGAAATTAGCGATTTTTCTTCTTCTTATAGCATAAATACACTGACAGGAGGTTCATTATCAACTTTATGGCCGTGTGACTATTCTCACTATTATGATGGATCTGTATGTCAGCCATGCTTAGGCTCTTGCACAATTGGCTGTACTAGAGGAACCTCTTGCTATATTTGTGACGATTTTTTATGCGCTCAATGCTCCTCATTTTGGTCAGGAGCTTGCACTTCGTGTATTTCTAATGCTTCTGGGTCTCCATGCTCATGTAATTCTGGATTTTACCAGCCTGATGCAAATCAAGCTTTATGCTCAGCTTGTTATGCGGGATGCGCTCATTGTACTGGCTCATCTTACTATTTATGCACTTCCTGCACCTCTAGCTCTTATTTTTATAATAGCAATTTTTGCCTTTCAAGCTGTCCTACAGGTTACACCGAAAACTCATATACAAAAACTTGTGTTTTTTCTTCAAATATTGGATTAAGTATAATTTTTTATGACAAAATAGTGCTTGATTCAATTTCAGGAATTTCAGTTGGATCTTCTAATACAAACACTTATCCGAATTATGATACTAACGATCCATACCCAGCCTATTTAAGAGGATACTATTTTACTGGCACTACTTATCTCACAACCAACACAGTGATTGGACCATATTTTTCTATTTCTGTTTGAATTTATCCAACTTCTGCAGGCACAATAGTCTCTAAAACTGTTTCTGGGGGCGAAATATTTTGCTTTGAAATTTTAAGTTCTGAGTACCCTCAACTTTCAATTACTTTAAGCGACTCCTCAGCACTATCTGTAGCTTTATCATCAAGTGTATTGAATGGCTGAAACTTTATTGCATTTACAGGAATAATCGATACAGGCTATGTAACAACAATAAGCTCATATTTTAATTCGATACCAATAGATACAGGCTCATCAGTAAGCCAAGTTTATTTTCAGGATCTCAGTTTAGGAACTCTTTATAGTCAATTGCACTAAATTGGTTATTAAGGAAAAAACAGAACCTTTCAAAGCAAGCTCAGGCTGGGCCAAAAATGCCCTTATGGGCCAGTTTAATATAACTGACTATATATTGGAACAAAATCAAGTTTAAACAGTGGTTTCACAGGTTTTTTATATGATATAAATATTTATAATTCAGAAACTTTGAAACTTAGTGACTATTCGACATCAAGTTGTACCTCTCCATGCTTGAGTTGCCCTAGTGATTATAATTGTCCAGATACCTGCCCTTTATCACAATATTACGATGGTTCAGCCTGTGTAGATTGTATGGGAACTTGTACAAAGGGATGCAGACATAGCAACACTTGTAGATTATGTAAAACAGAGCAGTGCTATGAGTGCACCTCTTTTTCTGGGTCTTGCTCAAGCTGCATCACTAATGCAGAAGCTGATGGAACAGGAGGCTGCCAATGCATGACAAGCGCTATTTGAAACTCTAATACAGCTAATTGTGATTTATGTGATGCACTTTGTTCTGTATGCACACAAACGACTTATTTTGAGTGTAGTACTTGCATTTCAGGGAAACAATTGGTAGGGAGCATATGTTTGAATGACTGCCCATATGGCTATGGGGCTTCCTGTACTTTAGTCTCAACTCCAGTGATTGATCAGTCTCTGAATACTGATTTCCAAGGTTCTTATGGAATTTTTACCACTGGAACGTCATCAAGCACATACCAGCCCTTTGCAAATCCTGAATCTGTCGATCCTATTCCTGCATATGATAGAGGTCTATATTTTAATGGGGCCACCTACTTATTATCCTCAATATCTGTTTATCTTTCTCATAGTTTTTCTATTGGGCTATGAATATATGTAATAACTGATGGTGATATACTAGAAAAAGAAGCAAGGCTTATTTTATCTTCAACTGGAAGTATAACAGCTGTTATGGAAGACCCTATGTACATAAAATGGTAACCTAACTCCCCCCTCTGTGAGTGAAACAAAAATTTTTTTAATAAAAAATTCTTCATGAAATAAAATTTTGATTTATAAGCGATAATTATTATTAGGAAACCTCTAGCTAATTCTGTTTAATTTTAAACAAATTGCTTTTTAAAATATAAACTTTACAAATTAAGTACATACTTATTTTTCAATTTTTGCGAATTTGGATTTTTTTAAATTTCGAAAAAAATTTTACTATATAAAAATTTTTAAAAAAAGCAATTAACCCCTCTGTGAGCGAACAAAATTTTGTTAGCTCGTTCACGGAGGGGAGTAAGCGAATCGACCTCTTGACACAATTTTCTTAACCTCATGGCTACAAAGAATTTGGAAAAACTGGCTGAGAATTCAGTCTGACTTGAAATTATGTATATTATAAGAGAGGTTTAGGCTCGGTCTTATGGTTGCAAAGAAATAACTTTCAATGTCCTCTGGAACCCGAAGATAGATCTCACTGCGATATTAGGGTTGCAGCCTGGGCTATGAATGCTGAGTCTTTTTCTTGTACATGCTGAGGGGATGCATTCATCACCCATTAGACTCTGGGCTATTTCCAAACCAAGCTACACCTCTAAAGTACCTGATTCAGACTGCAGAAACCCATAATCCACCTACTTGGCACTGGAGCCCTAACAAAAACAACTTGCACGCTTATTCTTCCCTGGCATAAGAGGATCTAGATAAGCAGAAAGGGTGTCAGAGCATTCTACCAGTCATCATCTGATTCGGCCACACAAAGGTGTCGGCGTCACAAGAAGACAAACTCTTCAGGGCCCTTGATGACTGAGTCAATAAGGCTATGTCTACCTGTTAATATATGGAAGACCCTACGCAAGCATTATCAACTCAAGCTTTATCAGCACCATCTACATTGGCTTCAGGGGGCTGAAGCTATTTGTCAATAACTTTTGAATACACCTCTGATGCCACAACTATAACAGACTTCTATTTTAGCTCAATGGATCAAAGCTTAAGTATTTCAAATTATATTTATAGAGACGTCACTTCAACAAACTTAATGATTGGGAAAAGCAGCTCTTCTGGCTTTGTTGGGTTTATTAATAATTTTCAGCTGTGGAATGTGCCTATTAATAATTTTTACAGTTATATGATTACATTTTGTGACACTTGCTTATGAAATTGTGATTTGTCAAATTATTATGATGGATCTTCTTACTTATCTTGCAATTCCTGCAGCAAAGGATGCGTCAGATCAGGAACATGTAATCTTTGTGATGATGTTTTATGCTCGATTTGCACAGGATTTGGCTCAGGCAAATGCACTCAATGTGTAACTAATGCAAGTGGAGCTCCTAATGCATGTGTCTGCAATTCTGGATATATAGTTTCATCAGATGGATTCTCATGCTTGGCATGCTCAAGTGGATGTTCAGATTGCACTGATATACCTCGCGTACAGTTATGGCTGGACCTTAACTCCCCTTTTCATTAACACCACCCGATTTTTTTTTAAATAAAACAGGAAAAAGAAAATGGCAAGTTCAACACTATTTTGACGAGTCATATTGAACTGTTAGGGGGTTAAGGAGGGGAAGTGAGTCAAGGTCAGTCTATAGCCGTGCTCATGCTATATAACCTATCAAAAATGCACCTCATGCTTTTCTGGATTTTATTTCTTTTCTTTAACTGGACAATGCTTAAGTGAGTGCCCAACTGGGTATACTGCAAACTCAGGTACAAATGCTTGCGATTTTTCAACAAATTTAGCTATCAGTCTTGATTTAACAGATCAGGTCCATCTTGACACTGTTTCTAGTTTTAGCATAGGCTCTGTGAGCGCAAATGTTTATCCTAATTGATCTGATACAAATGACCCGATTCCTTCTTATAAGCGAGGCTATTATTTTCACCTAAACGACTATATCCATTCTACAGTCATGATATCACCATCTTTCTCAATTTCTATATGGGCTAAGCCATTGGGAGCTGGGATTCTTATGACTAAATATACTTCATCAGAAATTTTAAAAGTAATTATAGACTCATCAGGATACCCTCAGCTTTCTATATATTTTTCAGACTCGTCATTAACTACTTTATCAGCCTCCTCAAGTATTATTAATAATTGGAATTTTTTAAGCTTTACAGGACAAGTTCAAACTGACGGCAAAACTACTTTAAACCTCTATATAAACGCAACCTTGATTAATTATATTACCACTTCTGCTTTAATTTATTTTAAAGATACCATTTCAGGGACTCTTTATATAGGAAATGATGAAAATCATGTAGCATCAGGACACTATGGGTTTATAGCTAGAGTAATGATATATAACTCTTATACTTATCAGACAGATGACTATGCAACCTCTTCATGCAACACTGGCTGTGCTTCTTGCCCTTCAAGTCTTCAATGTTTAAGTAACTGTGCATTAAATGAGTATCCAGACAGCTGCAAACAATGCCTGACAAGCTGCGTACATGGATGTGTTAGCGATTTAGCATGTGTGCTTTGCAGGGATAAAGAATGCTACTCATGCACCACATTTGATGGAGAATGCACAAGCTGCATTACAAATGCTTATAAAGTAAATGGTCATTGTCAATGCTCAACAAATGCAGTATGAGTTTCTAGTCCTCAGAGCTGTGAACTTTGTGATTCAATTTGTTCTACTTGTTCAAGCCCTGAATTTGATAGCTGTCTTATATGTGCATCAGGGTATTATTTGATTCAGTCTTTGTGCATGCCATTTTGCCCTATCGGCTATACATGCTTCTTAGTTAAATAATTAATTTTTAAAGTCTCAGACGGCCACAGGCTTAGCCTTTTTTTGGGCCAGCTGGTGACGTTATCAAGCTCGAAAATGGAGATATAGAAAATTCCTGGGGATAACGCGGAATACGCTATCCCCAGGACCCAACCGGGATCGGATCCCACATGGAACGAGGGTTCCATGTGTGGATCCATTTTTGACACGTGAAAGTAAATATCTCACATGTCAAAAATGGATCCACGCATGGGACCCCCGTTCCATGTGTGGATCCGATCCCGGTTGGTCCTGGGGATAGCGTATTCCGCGCTATCCCCAGGAATTTAGTATATATGTGACAGTGATTCAGCTTATACTAATTATTTTGTTTTTAATTTAATGCCACACCAAATTAAAGACATAGTTAATGATTTGGAGTCAAATATTCCAGTGCTTACTGGAAAAGATAATACATTTTATCCTACTTATGATTCGACTGATCCCATAGCAGCTATACATAGAGGCTATTATTTTACTGGATCATCTTATATGCAGCTACCTCCTTATTCAAGTATACCTTTTCCTGTCTTAGAGTTTATAAAATTAAATATTGAGTTTATCTGTTCAATTAATAATGTTTAATAAATATTATTAATAAGTCTTATTTTGTTTACTCATCTAACTTGAAGTAAAAATTATATATTTAATGAGAATAAGCATTTACATATAGGAAATATTTACCTATTTTATAAAATTTAGATTAGTTTAATAAATTTTATTTCAAGTAATTGTATATCATATATATAAAAATATTTAATATTTTTAAATTCTGACTATATTCAATTAAAATTGCATACTCCACCACCATTGCTAACGTTTTCTCCAAAATTTGTAATTTCAGCATGAATTATGCCAATTTCTGATACAGGTGTTATTTTTTCAAAACAAGACAATGGATCTTTCGGCGCATATATAACATTTGAGCTAAAAAACAAATTTCCATCACTTACTTTAACTCTGCGAGATACCACTATTATTACTTTTACAAGTTCAAATCTTTCACTAAGGGCTTCACTTTCTCAGTGAAATTTTATTTCAGCAGTTTCAGATGTCAGCACAACTCCTAAGCAGTCAATTAGTCTGACCACAAATACAAATATTGATAGCTCAGGAGACTTGCATCCAAGCTGGTTTGTTGATTTAGAAAACTCATTTTTAATAACAATTGGAGCAAGTTACTTAGACTCTTCAAATCTACAATCTTTCTTTAATGGGTTTTTATGAGATCTAAAAGTCTATAATACTTTGTCTGTAACTTCTTTAACATTAACTACTTGCATAGGATGTTCCTTATGCCCAATTGATAACTCTAATGCTTGCTTGTACAGTTGCAATATAGACAAATACTGAAGTGGTAGCAGCTGTGCATCATGCTTATCTGAATGCTCAAGTAAGGGCTGCGTAAGAGCTGATAAAAATTGCAACCTTTGCCAAGATGTCATATGTGAGATCTGTGACGACTATACAAGCACATGCATTACTTGCAAAACAAACGCAAGTTTATTAGGGACAAGCTGCCAATGCAACTCAGGATACTATTGAAATACTAATAATGAGAGCTGTGAGGTATGTGAATCCACATGCAAAACTTGCAAAGGGTCAACTTACTTGGATTGCTTAACATGTGCTGATGGACGTTACATAGTATCAGGAATTTGCACACTTAGCTGTCCTTTGGGATATTCAAAGTCTGCAACAGCATGTACACTTGTTGAGGAAATGATTTTTGATTTAGATTTGAATACTCTGAGTGTTCTGAATGGAGTAATTTATGATAAAGCCAGCTCAATTCCAGTTGTAACTGGGTCTACCAAGCAGTTTTATCCAGATTATGAGGCTGATGATCCTATTCCTGCTTATTTAAGAGGTTTCTATTTTAACGGGAAATCTTCAGTTTTAAGGTTGCCTGAGTACTCAAACTACACTTCACCGCAGCTTGTAATCGCTTCTAATTTTACTATTTCTATATGGTTAAACGCCGAAACTACCTATTCTGCAATACTCTCAAAACATAATATCTCTGATAATTACTCAACATTTTTATACTTACTTATTCCCTCTTTAAATTGGAACAAAAATATCAGTTTCAATTTAAAGGGATATTTTTTTTAAAATTATATATAAAATTTTTTAAAAATATATTGAATATATATATATTTTATAAAGAGTTCATTCACATATTTAATAAATTCAGCTTGCTAAGAGTTTTAAATAGCATTCTACTTGAGCTCTCTCCATTAAAGTGTGCCAAAGCAATTTATATTGAAATTATTATACTATTAAATTTTCCCAATAAAAAATTAAAAATTTAAAGGGGTGTTTAATTTACCAAAAACAATGAAAATTTTATCTAATTTAAAGGGGGGCGTTAAATTAATTATTGAGAGTCCTTTGCAGGTTCACAGGTGACTCCTACTCCTCTTAACCATTATCGTACCACCACTTGCATGCAGTTCGCACAAACCTTCACTGTGCTACTCCTTTGGACAAGGGCATGAACTTCCTCGCTTGCTAATGTTTAGTCTTTCAGAAAATTTTAAAACCGAATTTTATCATCTTTTTTTAGCACGATGAAAATAAGCGGACCAGAGCGCAATGCCTGCTTTTGTACTAGAGAAATGATTGATTGGTCTCTTACTCTTATAGCCCCTTTTTCCAACTTTCAAGTTTTATCATCTATAAGAAATAATTAATCTGGATGTTAGACTGAACTGTCACCAAGCTTTTTCATTTCACTAATTAGCCAAAAACCACCTGAATGCACACTTCTACATTCGACAAAGTCCTTGGTGTTTTGTGAAGCCTGCAGGCTGCAGGAACTGAGACAAGGGCTGCCATTTTAATATAGATTTCAACATTTTACGCAATTTATATAATAAGCAGTAAACCAGCAATTCTAATTACTATAGATTCTTCGCCAATTGTTTTTATGTGCCAAGGCTTACTAAATAATTATGAATGAAGCCATCTAGTATTTACTTTAGAAAACATCCAAAGCAGTTCTAATATGCTGTCTTGCTATATAAATGGAATATTTGACTCGTCTGAAGCGGCAGGATCTAAAGCTTTGCAAGATCAAGGACTATATACCACAATGACTATAGGCGCTCAACTAAGCTCATCAGCAGTTTATAATTTCTATCAAGGCTTCATCTATAAAATTCAGATATTTAATGTAATAAAAGCTATATCAAGCTTGTCCACAACTTCATGCACAGAAAGCTGCAGTGTGTGCCCAACAGACCAAAAATGCATTCCAAACTGTAAAATTAAAGAATATTGGGCTGGGCCAGCTTATAATAAGTGCTATCAATGCAACGCGAAGTGTAAGAACAGCTGTAGGGACTGAAGATCTGCTTGTTCTCTATGTGATAATTTATTATGTGAAGATTGCACTGATTATTCAGCAGCAGGATGTGTGGCCTGCAAAGAAAATGCTACCAACACTGATTCATGTATATGTGATGTAAATTATGTGCTGGATACTTCTAATAATAGCACTTGTATAACAGTTGAAGCAGGAGGATTTAGAGGTTCTGATGGAATTTTATATTCATGTCCAAACTACTGCACTAATTGTGAATCTCTTACCCCCCAAAAACCATCGGAAAATGGATATTTCGGGTCAATTAAGATAGAAGAAAATAAAACAGTGATGGAAATTAGACTCCGAGACACATTCCTTATGGAGTATGCATGGTCGGGCCAATCCTGATGAAGTGGGGAGCGGGGGCCTCTGTCCCTTTCTGAAGTAGGCCATCAGGCTTAGGAAGCATTGTCGAAAAGGGATATTTTGTTTCTCCCCAAAGGTTTTCCTGTCTCATCCGGATCGGCTAGATAGATTTTGCCTTCTACGTGATCTTTCATCATTGAGGTCATTAGGGCACTCCAGATTGTGGATCTGCCCTAGAGAGCTAATTGCTTAGACAGGTGGCTCAGGATGGAAACCGACATTATCAGCCTTCCATTTACCTCCTTTGAGCTCTGAATTCTATGAAGACTCTTGCTTTTTTGCTGAGATAAGACAAAGGCTAGAGGTTTACTCCGCTTATGACCGGCTTAATTTTTAACTTAACTTGACCTTAAGAGAGAACAAAATTATAAAATAGTTTTTATATATTTGATAGCTTTTAATTTAATTTAGCACAGCTTATATTATTAAAACATAAAATATATGAATTAAATAAATTTTTCTGTAAAAAAATTCATATAATTTAAAAAACAACTTTAAGCTGCAAAAAGCTTGCCCACTCTTAAAAGAGGGATACCAAAATGTAATGCTTGCGTTGAAAACGCAAGCTTGAAAAATGATCTATGCTACTGCAATTTAGGCTATAACGGGACCAAAAACTGCACACTAGTTCCTTTTTCAGTAAAAATCACTGTTCTTTCAGACAATTCTCTATACTTGATATTTTCTGAAAGCCTAGCTAGTTCTCTTACAATAGATGAATTCACGATTACAGTTGAAAACAAAGAAGTTTCTTTTAAACTTGAACAGATTAATAATACCTACTATTACATTTCTTTGACTATTTCTGAAGCAATTTCTGGCGGAACTTTAGCAACCCTTGAGTTTTTAAATCTTACAGAAGTGAGATCTGCTTCAAATGGAGTATTAAATTCTTCAGAAATCTCTGCATCACTGAATTCTTATGATCCAGCACCATATTCTCCAGCTATTGCTGCAGTGACATCACAAGCAGCTGCAGGTGTTCAGGGTGCGGTTTCGGGAGCTGTTGCTTTATCAGTCATAAATCCAAGCCCAAGCTCTTTATGAAGTATGATGAACAGTTTACAAATTTTAAGCTATTTGACTTTATCCGGAATTCCTTTTTCTAGCAAAATGAGCACGTTTTTGATAAATTTGAATTCTTTTAATTTGTTTCCAAATGCTTTTAGTTATATTATTGATAAAAATGAAGGAAATACTCCATATTCTCAAGCAAAAGAATTCGGATATGACTCAGATTTGATTTTGATTACTACAGGAAATGATTTTACATTGATAATGGCTTCATTATTAGTTCTGCCTATAATTTGGTTCTTTTCGCAATGTTCTTATAGATGGCTGGCCAAAAAATTTATGAAAACTATTAAAGCTTATCAATTTGCATTTTATTTAAGATTTTGAATCCAATGCTATCTTGAATTAGGAGCTGCTGCTAGCATTGGTCTTGCTACACTTGGATTGAATAATATCACACAAATTACTAATTTTATTATATGTATATCTATTTGTGTGCTGTTAATCGCCACTCCACCTCTGCATTTCTGATTTTCTTATAAAAATAAAAATCGCATCCAGTCTCGAGAAAAAACATTCAACGCTCTATTTAGTCCTCTATTTTATGAATTTCGAGTTGATAGAGGCCTCCTTGCTACACAGTATTATTTTGTATTTTTTATTAGGAGATTTATATATATAGTAAACTTAGTATTTTTGAGGGACTATCCGCAGACAGAAGTAACTATAAATATTGTTCTTTCTTTACTCCTATTTACTAATCAAGCAGGACTAATTTTTTGTTATTAAAGCTATCTAAATATTTTTAAACAAAAATCTATTATAATTTTGTAAAATTATTTTTAAAGCACAAGCTGTCTAAAACAATATAATTGCTTGTGAATCATTTTTATAATTATTAATTATAGATTAAAATAAAGTTTAAAACCAAAAGAATTATATTAAAAAATATTGGCTCAAAAATGAAGGGAATGGTTTTGTTTACTAAATAAGAGTGAGAGCTAATGACTATTATGCATTTGATATTCTTCTGGCCGTTTGAAGACCCAGTGTTGCAAATAAATAATTTATTGACTGAAATTATGATTGGCTTAGTAATGATCTCTTCATCAGCTTATTTATTTAATTTAGATCAAGAAACTATATCAACAATCGAAAATGCAATTGTTGCTATTGTGATTGGAGTTATGATTATTCAAACTTTTTCTTCAATAGCTATTTTTGCAAGGACTCTTTATCAGATTATTCATCACAAACTTACCAAGGCAGGTATCATGAGAAATCATATCCAGCCCTTTAATGATCATCCCAAAAAAGTTGAAAGATAAAAATTAAATAATTTATCGATTTTTATTTAATTCTAAATTAAATTTTTATTATATGAATGACTATTTTTTATTATTTTCTTCACACGTTTGCTTTCTTATTTTAGTTATTTCTTCTTGAAAGAGACGAATCAAAACTTAATTAAAATAAAAAAGAATTTAAAGAAATTCGATGTAAATAAAATACCTTTGTTATAAGTTCTGACTATCTATCTTATTTTATCTTTAGATATGACCGTAGAAATTAATAAATTAACTGATAAAATTAGCTGCATAAACTTATCAATTCTTGCTGAAAAAAGAATAAATGTGGCATTGACGGAAATTGGAATCCGACGCTCACTCCTTAAAGCAGGTAAGACCTATTCTGATGAAGCTGAAAACAGGGCCTCTGTCCCTTTTGAAGTAAACTTTCAAACTTAGGGATGCCTTGCCGAAGAGGGGAGTTTTGTGTTTCTCCCCGAAGTTTTCCATGCCCCTGCTAGATGGGCTATACAGGTCTTGCCTACCACTTGGTCCTTTCTTGTAGTGATCAACGGAGCACTCTTCAAATTGCGGCTCTGCCAAGGGAGCTACTACCTGAGCAGGTGGTTCATTTCTGAAATTCAAGATGATGGCCTTCCATTTCCCCATTTCTCATTTGAACTCTGAGGTCTATGGAGGCTGCTCTTTTGGAGCTGAGACGAGGCTAGGCAAGTGGATTGCTCGCTTATGGCCAGTTTAACAATTTAATTTAATTTATTTGCTGGCAAATTGTTCCTGGCTTTATGACCTTCATCCTAAACTTGAAAGTTTATTTTAATTTCAAAGCTATAGATTAACTACTTCACCACAAATACCACTAAATAATTAACTATAGCTATTATGAAATACTTTCAAATTATAAAATTAATCTAAATAAATGCCCTTAAGACCTTATAAGCCAAACTATTAATTTTCCATATTATAAATAGATATAAATATGATTTTGGCTTTATTTTATTTCTCCAAAATTGTGTTGACTTTCGTTGCAGCAACTTGCCCATACAATAGTGTCACTATAGGATGTGCAAACTCAAAATATTTTATTGATACCAAAGTATGTGCTGATGTATGCCCTTCACTTTTTACTCCAGCAATCAGTAATGGCTATGACTGTTGCAATGCTCCTACTTATGCTAATGCAGTTATATTTGAACTAGAATTTTCGACTATTAAAGATGTGACAGCTACCTATATTGCAAGCTCAACTGATCCTTCAGAATATTTTCTTAATCCAAGCTCAATACCATATAATTCCCCAACTCAAAATTCCCCACTCCCCACTATTGATAGAGGATTTTATTTTGCTAAAACTTCAAGCATTACTAGTAACAAAAGCCACATCCCAGGCCTTTATTTTACGCTAAATATATGGATTAAGCCTCTTGAGACTGGGGAAATTTTAAATGTTATTCTGAGCTCAAATTCTTATATAAGGATATGAATAGATTCCGGCTTTTTTAAATTCAGTGCCTTGATTTACGATTCAAATAATACCCCAATAACACAAACAGTAGCAACTGTTTATAGCATTAATAGTTCATGGCATCCAGCATCAATGATTATTTATCAAGCCACTTGTAATCAAGCAAATATCTTTTATTATGTGGATTATGCAAGCGTTGGAAATACAGCTTTGATGAATAGAGAAACAAGATTTCCAGATGGAAATTATGCATGAACTATTGGGAATTTAAGTGGAGGCAATTCTTTTAGAGGGTTTATTTATTGGCTTCAGGCAAGAGCTGACTATATTCAGAGCTCTGCAACCATTACTGTTACTGTTAACTGTATTGATAACCAATTTTGAAATGGATCAACTTGCCAAAATTGTAACTCAAATTGTCAGACTTGGCCTTGGTGCATTAGAAGTTCTGATTGTAGCATTTGTTATCTTCAGGATTGTGCTTATTGTATTGGATATGCACAGTCAATGTGCACTGGATGTGCTACTGGTATGCCTACAAGCTGTTGTGACGTTTATGGAAGTGCTTGTACACAAACTTGGACCAATACAGCTTGTAATAGTGGAATGATTCTTATTGGAGGAGTTTGCCTTTATGCATGTCCATATGGATTTGGAAACTGTGCTGCTGTTTCTTCAGCAGTTATAAATGCTGATTTCACTGGGTGCAGGATATATAATTATTGATAGTTTGATATTTGCTCGGATCGACCAAAATTCTAGATGAATGGTCAGTCTATGAAAAAAATGATCAAATTACTTATAGCCGATTTCACTGGAGGATTTGTTGGAACGTATGGATCAATCTTGGTGACAGCTACAAGCTCTGCAAGCTATAACTATTGAAATTCTCCTGAATCTTCTGACCCATTTCCAGCTAAAAATAGAGGTCTTTATTTTAATTCGAATCAATTTTTGAGTGGAAATATAAATTTGTCTAACACTTGAACTATGAGTATGTGGGTTTACCCGATTTCTGGAACATTAATCGGCCACAGTACAGATATGCTTAACATTGATTCAAGCGGGATTATTAGTTTTTATTTAATCTCCCCTTAAAGAGTGAATAAAGCCATTAGAAAATTTCCTATTTTCAGGAAAATTAACTACCATTCTGAAAAAAAAATTTAATATAAAATGTTTATATAACAATATTTCTAAATATTTCTATAAATTTAGTGCACCTTTTATTCTTAAATAAATTAAATTAGATTATCTTTTCAAATACTTGTAAATTTGTTAAAAAATTTTAATCAAATTAATCAAACAATAAATTTTTGCTCCTTTTTAAAGGGGGAGCTAGAAAAATGAGACGGATCAGCTGCAAGTTATTCTGCTACTCAATCTACTACTACAAATGCATGAAACTATGTTTCCTATTCAGTTGGATTCGCTAATAAAATAACTACAGTAACTCCATTTCTGAATAAGGTCGCGGGAACTCCTAAAACTGTAACAAATTATGTTTTTAGGTTACCCTCTGGAGGTAAACTATACATTGGCAAAGGTCCCACAAACTTTAAAGGATTTATTGCTTATTTTATACTATGGCAAGTTACAATTAGTGATTTTACTTTTTATTACAATATCAATTCGTTGACTGGAGGTTTAGTACCAACTTTATGGCCATGTGATTATTCTCATTATTATGATGGATCTGCATGCCAATCTTGTTTAGATTCATCTTGTACAAATGGCTGTACTCGAGGAACATCTTGCTACATTTGTGACGATTTTTTGTGTGCTCGATGCTCTTCATTTTGGGCGTGAGCTTGCACTTTATGCATTCCTAATGCTTCTGGAGAAATAAAATGGCGACGTTGACAGAAATAGAACTCTAGGGGGTGCGTGAACCGGCACAAAGAGTATGAAAATATTCTCTTCGTGAATTAAATAGATTACCTCAAAGGGAAGCCTCGAGTATGGAATCCAGCTTTACCCCTAAAGTTTTCCTATCCCTGCCAAATGGGCTTACAGTTTTGCCTATCCCATGATCTTTCGAAACTCTGTTTATGGCGGCATCTTAGCTTAATGCTTCTTCTGGGACTCCATGCTCATGCAATTCTGGATTTTATCAGCCTACAAACCAAGCTTTATGTTCTGCTTGCTATTCAGGATGCACTCATTGTACAGGCTCTTATTATCATTTATGTACCTCCTGTATTTCCAGCTATTTTTTATACAATAGCAAGCTATGTCTTCCAGACTGTCCTACAGGATATACAAAAAATACAGCAACAGCTAGCTGCGATTTATCTTCACTATTACCGCTTAGTTTTTCTTTTAACAATAAAATACTTCTTGATCAAATTTCGGGTGTTCAGGTAGGATCCTCGTCTGCAAACAGCTATCCTACTTATGATGGCGCTGAACCCTATCCTGCATATCTAAGAGGATATTACTTTGGTCCTGGCACTTGATTAAAACCAATGCTTATGCTAGCTCCAAATTTTTCAATATCTTTATGAATAAAGACGATTGTAAGCGGCAGTGTTATAACAAAATATGTAACAACAGTTCAATGATCACTGCAAATATCTGCTTTAGGGAATCCAAAGCTTTCTATTCTCTTAATGGATTCCTCAAGCACAATTTCAGTTACAGGGTCCTATAGTGTGATTGATAGTTGATTTTTTGTATCATTTGAAGATAATAATATGACGTCAATTGAAATTCAGTTAGAACGAGCATAAATTTCTCTTTTGGCGAATTTTGATTATGAGATTTGACTTCACTCTTCAAATATAGGTAACAAGAGCCAGCTTTGACACCTAATCTTAGGTAAACAGAATTGTCTAGAAGAGCATCACCCAGACGAAGGCAGTAGGGAAAATTGAAGGATAGGCAGAAGCCTTGAGTATTTAATGGTATCGAAAATTAAGCATTGAGGCATCTTCATTAATTTAATATGTGAATCATTTGACGGCAAAATTAATTCTGATGGGACAACAACAATAAATTCTTACATTGATACTGCGTCTCACTCCCCCCTTTTAAATTGGAACAAAATATAGGTAAAATTTTCACTTTTGGTAAATTAATCCTCTTTAAATTGCAACAAAATTTAATTTTATAATAAAAAATTTTATATATAAAAAAATCATAATTTTTGTGTAAAAACTTTTGATATAAGCTAAATGTTTCTTCTTAACTAAAATTAAAAAATTAGTTATATCTTGCTCTTATTTAAAGAATAGAGTATAAAGAGAGCATCTTATTTAAATAAATTTATTATCCTTAATTGCTAAATAATTAAAATGGTGGTGGTGACAAAATAGGTCCTCGACGACGTCCCACCATTTTGGCGCAAAAGTGGCTTTATAGCCTAAACCAGGTTCAGGCCCTTTAACTCTAACCCTTAGCATGCCTAGAGCTGCCTTATGGGGTGGGTAAACTTTGGGAGTCAGCTGGTTGTCACTCCAGTCAAAAGTTTTAATTATCCGGATGGTTTTTGGGCCGTGAGTTCTTTTCCCTACCGGTTCCGGAGGGTCACGGCTCTTTTTTCCTGGGTGTCGCTGTACCTACAGGCGGCCGTTAGGAGGCATTGGGCTAACCTTTGCATTCATAGCACCCGACATGACGTGAAGCATATGCAAGGTGGAGTCTCTCCTAACCCGTCGAAATTCAGCGGAGCGTGCAAGCATTGGCCGTGGGAGAAGAGGCCCAAAATTGGCAAGCAGGTTTTGGGATCCTCGAAAGCGTGCGGAGATATCAAGCTGGAAGACTTTAAAGCAAATTTAAGTTAAGTTAATTGCTAAAAGTTTTAAAAAAATTTTTTTTTGTTGATAAAAATTATATTTTTTATTTAAATAATTTGGATATAAATTCAATATGAATTCTTTACAAAAATTGAAAATTTACTTATTTCTTGCTTTACTTTAAAGAATAAAGTATAAATAACAGCTTATTTAAACAAAAATTAGCACTTTGATCGATAAATTTTCAAATTTTTTTGGTTATCAATAAAAATAATGATTTTTGTGTAAATAGTTTTAATACCAATTAATAGTGGCGTATTAATTAATAATAAAAAATTAGTTATATCTTGCTTTGTTCCAAAGGTTATAGCATTTTATTATTAAACAAGTTTATTAATCTAATTTGATAAATTTTTGAAAATTTTTATATAAATTTTATATTAATTTGTTTTTTTTAAAAATTTTCTTAACCCCCTTGAAATTGAAACAAAAATTTTTGTTCCAATTTAAAGGGGGGATTCAGATAACTTCAACAACCGCAACTCCCCTTTTTTTATTAGATAATGCAACAGGAAACATGTATATTGGTATGGGATTTACTGGATTCTTGTGGAAGCTGAATTTTTATAGTCAGAACAATCATGCATTAGACGATTGGCAAACTGTTGGATGTTCAGGCATCTGCACAAAGTGTCCAGCTGATTTAAGCTGCCCAGACAACTGCCTGCTATCTCAATATTATGATGGCTCTGTCTGCCAAAACTGCATAAATACTTGCAATAAAGGATGCAGAAATTCTGATACATGCCGGCTATGTAAAACTAAAGAGTGTGCTACATGCATTGAATTCACAGGATCAAGTTCATGTTTAACCTGTATCACAAATGCTGTTAGCGATGGAAATGGAGGCTGCACGTGTGCTCCAAATGCTTTCTGAGTGTCGTCAACTCAAACTTGTGAAGTCTGTGATACATTGTGCTCAACTTGCTTAAAAACAGCATATTTTGAATGCTCAGCTTGTCTAGGAGGCTATCAATTAGCAGGAACTGTGTGTTTAGATGAGTGCCCTTACAGCACTTCTTGCTCAGCAGTGACGACTGCTGTGATTGATCAATCTTTTAATGCAGATTTTCAAGGATCTTATGGAATTTTTACAACAGGGACAAGTGCAGCGACTTTTCAATTTTTTAATAGCCCAGAAACAGTTGACCCTATTCCTGCATATAAGAGAGGCTTATATTTTGATGGGACTATGCGGTTATTATCATCAGTACCCATATACATTTCTTATAGTTTTTCAGTCGGAACTTGGCTTTATGTAATCACTAATGGTGACTTACTACAAAAACATACTCTTTTAACACTATCCTCTGCTGGGTCTATATCAGCAACAATAGTAAATCCTTCACAAGCAACATCTACTCAGATATTAGTAGCTAGCTCATCATTCACAGGATGGGCTTATCTATCAATCACTTTTCAGTATTCATTGGGCAGCACAACTCTAACAATCTATATAAATGGAATTTCAAGCTCAGCAGTCACAGCTACAAAAAAGATTTTTAGAGACCAAGCGCCAACTTATCTAATGCTAGGAAAAAGTAACAGCTCCGGATTCATTGGCTTTCTTTATTATTTCCAGCTTTGAAATACAGCAATTGCAGGATTTACATCAATAATTAATAACTTTTCATTTTGTGGATCAGGCCAGGGAGCCTCTTGCTTGTGAACGTGTGATATTTCTTCCTATAATGATGGATCATCTTATTTAGGTTGCAGTTCCTGCTCATATGGATGCAGACGTGGCGCCTCTTGTAATATCTGTGATGACACCTTGTGCCTAGTCTGTACAGGATTTGGCACAAATAAATGCACTCAATGTGTAGCTAGTGCTGTTCTAATTTCTGGGTCATGCTTTTGCAATGCTAATTATGGGAAATCAGCCGATGGGCAATCATGTATAGCTTGCTTTAATGGGTGTTCTCAATGTACAGATATAACTTACAACAAATGTACAGCATGCAATACTGGGTTTTATTTTTATTCTAATACAGGACAATGCTTAACTGAGTGCCCATCTGGATATACTGCAAATTCAGGTACAAAAACTTGTGATTATTTGTCATATATTGGGATTAGTCTTGATTTAACAGATCAGATTAGGCTTGATACTGTTTCTAACTTTGATGTGGGGAGTCTTAATACTAATACCTATCCAGATTGGTCTGATAATAGCGACCCAGTACCTTCGAAACAAAGAGGATATTATTTTGCTAACAATGATTCTTTATACTCTAAAGTCATGCTAGCCCCATCATTCACAATTTCACTATGAACTAAACCACTAGCTCTGTCCCCCTCAGTGAGCGAAAAAAAAATTTTTGTTCGCTGAGGGGGTTAGTTTCTTTTTATAAAAAAATTATATAGAAATTTTGAAATTTTAAAAAAAATTTCAATTTGCAAATCTTTAGAAGTAAAAATTAATTTAGTTGCAAAATGTTTTAAAATGCAAGCTGTTTAAAATTAAACAGAATTAGCTAGAGATTCATTATAATAATTATCACTTATATATCAATTTGTTTTTTATAAAAAATTTTTCGCTCGCGGAGGGTGGGTGGGTTTTTGCCCAAAAATAGGATTTTTCTAATGGTTTTATTCGCTTACGGAGTGGGAATAAGTGGTGGAATTTTGATGGCGAAATGAACTAGCACTGTTATTCTTCTAATTGGCATGGACACATCAGGATTTCCAATATGTTCGGCTGTATTAGCCGACTGATCAACTAAAACCTTAACCACTCCCACAAGCATTTGCAATAGTTGGCATTTTTTAAGCTTTACAGGACAAGTTCAATCTGATGGAAAAACTTCATTCAACCTTTATCTAAATAACGTAGTAAAAAGCACTATCACTACAACTACTTTGACTTACTTTAAAGATAGTAATACAGGAAGTGCAGGAAAACTGGCTATTGGATATGACCCGTCTATAGGAAATAACGGACTATATGGATTTTTGGCTAGGGTAATGATATATAACTCTTATAATTATCAGTCCAGTGACTATGCAACTTCTTCATGTGCGACTGGCTGCTCTGCTTGCCCTTCAAATCATTTGTGCTTAAGTGAATGCGATTTCGATAAATACCCTGATAGCTGCGGTGCTTGTTTGACAGGCTGTAATAAAGGATGTGTTAGTGATTTAACATGTCAGCTTTGCAGGGATAAAGAATGCTACTCATGCACTACTTTTTCTGGAGAATGCACAAGTTGCATTACAAATTCACATAAAGTAAATGGCCATTGCACATGTCTTACAAATGCTCTGTGAGTCTCCAGTTCTCAAAGTTGTGAACTTTGCGATTCAATTTGTGCGTCTTGCTCTAATCTTAAATTCAACGGCTGTCTTACATGTGCATCAGGATATTATCTCATCCAATCTTTATGTATGTCATTTTGCCCTACTGGCTATATTATAAATGGTGATAATTGTGATGGCGACTCAACTTATACCAATTTTTTTGTATTTAATTTAATGCCACACCAAATAAAAGACGTCGTTTATGACTTAGAATCAAATATCCCAGTCCTCACAGGTCAAGATAGCAAATTCTACCCTAATTATGATTCAACTGATCCTATAGCCGCTATATATAGGGGCTACTATTATACAGGCTCATCTTTTATGCAGCTACCTCCTTATGGAAGCATATCATCTCCATTACTTACTTTTTCACCAAAATTTGTAATATCATCATGGATAAAGCCAAAATTAGGCACAGGGGTTATTTTTTCTAAGCAGGCTAGCTCTGGATCATTTAAAAAATATGTTAGTCTTGAATTGATAAATAAAGCAATATCACTTACTTTAACTTTAAAAGACTCTACTACGATAACATATACAAGTGCTAACCCCTCATTAGAAGCTACTCTTTCTCACTCCCCCTTTTAAATTGATACAAAATATATGTAAAATTTTAAATTTTTTGGCTCCTTTAATTGAATAAAATTTATTCAATAAGAAAATATTATAGGTTAAAATATTATATTTTATAAAATTAATTTTGACCTAATTTTAAAAAAAATGCGCAACTAGAATGTTATTTAAATAGTTTTCACATTGAGTTGATTGATTATTTTAATTAATTTATTATAAAAATAAATTAAAATTTAAAGTATTGTTTCAATTTATATTTTTTTAAGTTTAAATATAGAAAAAATTAATTTAGAACAGGATTTTTTTTTCTAATTTAAAGGGGAGAGTCAGTGAAATTTCATATCGGCAAGTTCAAGTATTAATTCTACACCTCAACAAATAGTTGCTTTATCTAAAAATTTAGTGAGCGACACATCAAGTGGTTTAGATGCAAGCTGGCTGAATGATTTAGAAAACTCTTCTTTTATCACAATCGGAGCTTGCCACTTTGACTCAACAACATATACATCATTTTTCAATGGGTTTCTATGGGATCTCAAAATTTATAATACATTAATAACAGTCAGTAGCCTGACCTCAAGCACTTGTAGTGGATGCTCTCTATGTCCAATCAATAATGCCAATTCTTGTTTGGATAATTGTGATATAGATAAATACTGAAACGGAAATAGCTGCGTATCATGCTTATCAGGATGTTCAAGCAAAGGTTGCGTAAGAACTGATAAAAATTGTAACCTTTGCCAAGATATTATATGTGAAATATGTGATGACTATACAAGCACCTGCATTACCTGTAAAACGCATGCATAAATAAAATGGCATTCGGTTCGAGAGAAATTAGCTTTGCTAATTTTCTCTCCCTCATGGAATTTTATTTATAGGGTTAGGTTTTCACTTGAGAACTTCTGGACAGCAATAGTGGTTTAACTCTGGAGATAGCCAGAGGAACTGCTCCTCAGTCCTCTCAAGATTTCGGGCTTTTACCTCTCAGCACATCTCCACGGGAAGATGACCCTTAGGCGGAGCTGAGTCGAGACAAGGGCGACGGCATCGCGCCGGGTGAGACGTGCAGCAAGGTTGGTGAAGCAGGAGTTGATAGAAGGCTTGGCCAGGGCTGACCTGTTCCAAGATGGCTCGCCTACGTCACTAGTTTTGCCATAGATCCATTTTGGGCTGTGGCACTAGACACCTTAAACACCAGATAATTAAGCTAAGTTAAGTTAAGTAAAACGCATGCAAGCTTAGTAGGAGTAAGCTGCCAATGCGATTTAGGATACTTTTGGGATAGCGCCAATGAAAACTGTGGCTTGTGTGATGCTTCTTGTAAAACTTGTACTTCGACTACTTATTTAGACTGTTTAGAATGCTCTGATGGACTTTATAAGATGTCAGGAGCTTGCTTAGCTAACTGTCCAGCTGGATTTTCTCCATCTGGAGGTGTTTGTATGATGGTTCAAGAAAAAATATTTGATTTGGATCTGAATACTCTTAATGGGGTCATTTATGATAAAGCGAGTTTAATTCCAGTTATAACTGGGTCAAGTAAGCAATTTTATCCAAATTATGAGCCCGATGACCCTATACCTGCTTACTTAAGAGGATTTTATTTTAACGGTAAGTCTTCTATTTTGAGGATGCCAGAATATTCAAATTATACATCACCAAGACTGGTAATTACCTCTACCTTTACGATTTCTATATGATTAAATACTGAGACTTCATATGGCACTTTATTTTCAAAGCATAACATTTCTGATAATTATTCAACGCTTTACTCCATCTCATTGATGGGCAGCAAAGTATCGATTTCATTTACCTTAAGCTCATTCCAAACTTTTTATATGGCCGACAGACTGCTCAATAATTACGAATGGAGTCATGTAGTATTTACATTAGAATTAACTCAAAACGGTTATACTAAATTGTCGTGCTATATAAATGGATTTCTAGATTCTCCAGGAATCACGATATATGGGACTTTTCAAGATCAGGGGCCGCATACCACATTTTCTATTGGGGCTAAGCTTACTGCATCAGCAATTTATAATTTCTACCAAGGCTTCCTTTATCAAATACAGGTATATAATATAATAAAGCCTATATCAAGTTTATCTACAACTTCTTGCACCGAAAGTTGCAGTGTATGTCCAACGACTCAAATCTGTATTCCGAATTGTAAAATAAATGAATATTGAAGCGGCCCAAGCTATAATGCGTGCTATAAATGCAATATAAAATGCAAGAGCAGCTGCAGGGATTGAAGGTCTGCTTGTTCTCTATGCGGTGACTTATTGTGTGATAATTGTATTGATTATTCATCAATTGGATGTGTATCATGCAAAGAAAATGCAATTAATCATGATTCATGTATTTGTGATATAAACTATGTGCTAGACCCATCAAATAATAACACTTGTATTCCCGTTAAGGATGGAGGATTTAGAGGCTCTGATGGAAAATTGTACTCATGCCCTAATCTATGCACCCATTGTGAATCTCTTACAAAATGCAATTCTTGTGTAGAAAATGCTAGCTTAAAGAATGAGTTATGCTATTGTGATTTAAGCTACAATGGGACAAAAAATTGCACTTTAGTTACATTTTCAGCAAGTCTTACAGTTTTGTCAGATAATTCTTTATATCTAATTTTTTCAGAAAGTCTTGCTAATTCTCTCACCGTCAATGATTTTACTATCACAATCGAAAAGCAAGGAGAAGCATCATTTAAAATGGAGAATGTGAATAATACTTGCTATTATATTTCTCTAAATATTGTAGAGGCAGTTTCTAACTCCTCCCTCCGTGAGCGAGCAAAAAAATTTTGGTCGCTCACGAAGGGAGGAGGCTAATAATATTTTTTTAAAAAAATTTTAGTAAATTTTTTTTCAAAATTTAAAATAATCCTAATTCGCAAAAATTGGAAAGCAAATATTAATTTAATTTGTAAAATTATGTTTAAAATGCCATTTTTTTGACATTAAACAGAAATAGCTTGAGATTTCATTACAATAATTATCACTTATATATCAAAATTTTTCGCCCACGGAGGGTGGGTTTTGGCAAAAAAATAGGAATTTTTCAATGATTTTGCTTATAGAGGGGGAGTAAGGGCACTTTAGCAATTCTAAAATTTTTGAATTTAACAGAAGTAAGATCAGTCTCAAATGGCATCTTAAACTCTTCAGTAATGTCGGTATCTCTAAATTCATATGATCCACAGCCTTATTCACCTGCTATTGCAGCAATCTCATCTCAAGCTACTGCTGCTGTGCAAACTGCTATTTCCGGAGCTGTTGTTATGTCAGTTGCTAATCCAAGTCCAAGCTCTTTATGAAGTATGATGAACAGTTTACAAATTTTGAGTTATAATGCTTTGGTATTATTGTGACAGGGTCTCCATGTGTCAGGATATTTCTCCATGTGGAATCCAAATCCCACATTCGTAGTTTTTTATGCTTGAGTGGCTCCACATGGGAGACTTAAGTTTTACACATAGGAAATGTCCTGACTGTGGAGACCTCCCATAAAAAATGCCAAAGCATTATATTTGACTTTATCCGGAATTCCTTTTTCTAGCAAAATGAGCACGTTTTTGATAAATTTGAATTCCTTTAATTTGTTTCCAAATGCTTTTAGTTATATAATTGATAAAAATGAAGGAAATACTCCATATTCTCAAGCAAAAGAATTCGGATATGACTCTGATTTGATTTTGATAACTACAGGAAATGATTTTACATTGATAATGGCTTCATTATAATTAAAATATGGCGTCTTCGTCTGGGCATGGCCTCCCGGCCATGCAGCCTCGACTCATATTTTAATTATATCCGGCAAGGTTTTACATTTCAGAAAGGGACAGCAATGCTAGGTAAGCAATTCTGGTTGTGTAAGAGCCTAGCCCAAGTCTATTTTCAGGGATGGCTTTTCCTCGTGGGGAATGAGGCACGGAAGTTGGAAAGGAGAAGCTCAGCCAAGTCCGTTAGGACCAATCGGGTAACTCCCTAGCGTGAAGCTGGGCGTTACGTCCCAGGCTACGTGTTTTTCCTTTTTGCCGACAGCTGACCAGAAAATCCATTTTTATGGATTTTCGGAAAAGCAGCCCATGTCTAGTGAAGTCGCTCACTCATGAGCCGTCGAAGCCGGTAACGTCTACCCTAGACGCACCTTGGAGCAACAAAGCTGGTCGATCCAGAGGCCGGTGGGCCCGATGCAGCGAAAGGCAGGCGGAAGCCCTGGGACAGGTGACCCCGTAAGGGACGTTAAGCGTTATAAATCTAATGGTAATGGTAATGATAATGGCTTCATTATTAATTCTGCCTATAATTTGGTTCTTTTCACAATGCTCTTATAGATGACTGGGTAAAAAGTTTATGAAAACTATTAAAGCTTATCAATTTGCATTTTATTTAAGATTTTGAATCCAATGCTATCTTGAATTAGGAGCTGCTGCTAGCATTGGCCTTGCTACACTTGGATTGAATAATATCACACAAATTACTAATTTTATTATATGCATATCTATCTGTATGTTATTAATCGCCACTCCACCACTGCATTTCTGGTTTTCTTATAAAAATAAAAATCGCATCCAGTCTCGAGAAAAAACTTTTACGGCTCTATTTAGCTCTCTATTTTACGAATTCCGAATTGATAGAGGCCTCCTTGCTACACAGTATTATTTTGTATTTTTTATAAGAAGACTTATTTATATAGTAAACTTAGTATTTTTGAGGGACTATCCACAGACAGAAGTAACTATAAATATTGTTCTTTCTTTAATGACTATTATGCACTTGATTTTTTGCTGGCCTTTTGAAGATCCAATTTTGCAAATAAGTAATTTATTGACTGAAATTATGATTTGGCTAGTAATGGTCTACACAAATAAAATGGCGACGACACCGACCCGTCCTCTCCCGGAACTGAGGCGAGATTGGGGACCTTGCTGCGGCCTGAAGCCAATCCGCCCTAGGGAAAGGTCTGGAATGGGTACTGGTAGTTTGTGTCCGGCTAGGTTTCCCTCCCAGTCCAGCAACGACGATCCTAGGGTCGTCCCGATAGGACACGGGGCAAAAAGGGTTTTTCCTCTAGGGACCGCTAGTGCCAATTTGGAGGGCATGGCAGGAGCCGACAAGAGCTAAGGAGTTAATCCTTATCTCTAACCCTAGTCTGGCGACGTGAAGCACGGTGACCCAGTCCGCCTACTTCCGGGATAGCATGACCAAGCCCCATCACCGGAAGAAGCTGAGTGGTAGCCTGTGGCACTTAGGTGCACACTGGGAGCAGGAAAAGGAAAGCAAGCGAGGCGTCCAAAAGGCGGAAGAAAAGGACCTTCGGTCCTGGCCGGGAGCTACTTTATAAATTTAACTAAGACTAAGGCTAGTAATGGTCTTAACTGCAGCTTATTTATTTAATTTAGAGGAGGAAATTGTTTCCACTATTGAAAATGTCATTGTGGGGATTGTTATTGGAGTTATGGTAATCCAAGCATTTGCTTCAATTGCTATCTTTGCTAGGACTCTATATGGAATAATATATCATAAGCTCGCTAAAGCGGGGATTGTTAAAAATAGCATCAAGCCATTGAATAATCAGATTAAAAATGCTCAAAAAAGTAATTTATAAAATTTACAAATTTAATATGATGATTTACTATAGTATTAATTTTTATATTTTAATTAAATGCGTGTTGATCTCTTTCTGTAATCAGATGCTTAAAGTCATGATTAGAAACTATTAATAGCAAAAATTGCATTTTTTACATAGTTTTAATTGGATTGAACTGAAACGATTTATTATCCTAATTAAATATCCATATCATTAAAATAAATATTAATTTTTACTCTATCTTAATTTTTCAATAAAAAAATAAAGAATATTGTTTATATAAATGTCGAGTATTATAAATTTATATCATAATAATAAAATTAGAGAAAAATAAAAATTCGAAATTTTTAATCCTTTAAAATTAATCATTTCATTCAATATACAAGTAAAATATTAAAATAAAAAAATACATTTTGATTATAAATTTTTAAAATTATTGTTTATTAAAACTCTTATATAATTTAATTTGAACATTCATACGAACGCAATAAAGCTATGCTTGATTGATGCTTTTGAATGAGAATTAAAAAATGTCAATTCAAGTGTAGATAATGCTAACAAAAATTGTATAGATGAAAATTCTATTAGTTTATGAAATTGAAATCGCGAATAATTTCCCGAATTAAAAATAGAATTAAAAGTATGATTGATATACTTTTATTATGCTGAGTATCGTAATAAAAATTCTTTGAATTCTAAATTTATTCATTTTTCAGTAAACTAATTCCCCTCTTTTATGAGCAAGCAAAACCATTGGAAAAAAGTCTATTATAGGAAATTAATCATTTAAGAATAACCAAAACATTTTTTGACAAAATATTTTTATATAAAATGTTTTTACATATTTTTTTGTAAGATGTATAGCTAATTCTATTTATTTTTAGACAGCTTGCATTCTTAAGCAATTTTATAAATTAAATTAATTTTTATTTTCAAATTTTTTTTTTGATGTTCTGAGGTTTGACATAAATTATTTTCTATTAACTATTTAAAATAATACAAAAAATACAATAATTAGTAAATATTTGCAAAAATCTGATTCATCTATTAGAAAGAATATTGATTTTTACAATAATAAATAAAAATTTACGAAGAATACATAGTTATAATCACTTTAAACATCATAGATCTTTAATATTTTAAGGCATAAATTCAGCAAATTGATATTGGAGACTTCTCTTTTTTCTATTATAAAGATGAATTTTTTGCTCCGCTTCATCCAGATTTCATTGGTGTTCGGAGTGCCCAGTTGCTGCCCATCTGGGAGTAATCTTAATGGGAATTACTGCGATTGTTCAAGCTCATACTATTTGGCTGATAATAAAGTTTGTGTAAATTCTTGCCCTTCTCTTTTTGTTGCTTATCCAGGAATTCCTTCTTCTAGTGGAAATACATGTGATGCACCCTATGGAAATGATGCAATTTTATTTGAATTGAAATTCTCAAGTATTCAAGACTTAACAGCTACTTACATTGAAAATTCAGCTAATTCTATCGAAAAATTTTTAAACCCAAACTCCATTTCATTTAACTCTCCAACCCAAAATTCCCCATTACCCACAATAGATCGGGGCTTTTATTTTGCAGCAACTTCCAGTATGACCAGCGATCATAACTATAACCCAGCCCTTTATTTTACTTTAAATTTATGAATAAAGCCTCTTGCAAGTGGAGAAATTTTAAATGTCATGCTAAGCTCGACCCAATATACAAGAATATGAGCAGATTTCTCAGGTGTATATAAATTTAACGGAATTATTTATGATACAAATAATAATGCTAATCCAATTTCAGGAGCAAGTACAATAAGCTATACTTCATCATGGCATAAAGCTTCTATAGTTCTTAATCAAGTATCATGCACTGATACTACGATCTCTTTTTATATAAATGGATCAGGGGCTGGATTATCTACAATAAGCAGCTCTGAAGCAAGATTTGTGGGTGGAGCAGCATATACATGGACTCTTGGGAACATTAGTCCAGCAAACTCATTTAGAGGGTTTATTTATTGACTTCAGGCAAGAGCTGATACTACAACTTCAAGCTTTTCGGTAATGGCAAGCACGATTGATTGTGTTGATAATCAATATTGAGATGGATCTGCTTGCCAAGATTGTTCTGGCTGCCCTATTTGGCCCTGGTGTATTAGGGGTAGTAGTTGCAGTTATTGTTACGCACTTAGCTGTTCTAGTTGTTATGGATACTCTGCTACAATGTGCACATCTTGCAACCCTGGCAATTTTTTATATAACAGCAACATCTGTCTTTCGAATTGTCCCACTGGTTATACAGAAAATTCGTCTACTAAAACCTGTGATTTTACTACAAATACTGGATTAGGTATCGGTTTTAACGATAAAATTGTGCTTGATTCAATTTCAGGGATATCAGTAGGGTCATCTAATGTATTAGCTTACCCAAGCTATGACCCTAATGACCCATACCCAGCCTATTTAAGGGGATATTATTTTACTGGAACAACTTATCTCTCATTCCAGGTTGTGACTGGGCCATATTTTACTATTTCCACTTGAATCTATCCAACTGGTCTAGGGACAATAGTCTCTAAAACACTTTCTGGTAATGAAATACTTTGTCTTGAAATTTCAAATTCCGGCTTTCCCAAATTTTCTCTTATTTTAAGTGATTCTTCGACCTTTTCTGTCACTTTAACTGCAAATACATTAAATAAGTGAAGTTTTATCGCGTTTACAGGGAATATTGACACAAACTCTAAAACCACTATAAATTCCTATTTAAATTCCCAAACTAAGGACTCTGGCTCATCTAATAATTTCGCTTATTTCCAGGATAGCAGCTCAGGCTCTTTCTATATCGGAACAAAATCTAGCTTAAGTAATGGCTTTAGAGGATTTTTATATGATATTATTATTTATAATACAGACACTCTGCAGCTTAGTGATTATTCAACATCTAGCTGTACTTTACCTTGCTCAAAATGCCCGAGTGACCACAGCTGTCCAGATTCTTGCCCATTATCGCAATATAATGATGGTTCATCCTGTGTAAATTGTAAGTCAACTTGCACCAAAGGTTGTAGATCTATAGACACTTGTAGACTTTGCAAAACCAAGGTAAAGTTATAAAGGTATAAGCAGACTAGCTTGCATACCTGGCTTAAGCCCACCTAACCTAAGGATTAGCTCCCTAAATTAGAGCCACCTAATGCAAGTGCCTCGTTAGTACCGATAAGCAAAAGACTAAGTTGAGGCAAAGCCTTCTAGTTCACCTGCAGGAAACGTTCAGGGAGAAACAAAAACTTCCCTCTCCGGCCGGCATCCACAAACCCGAAGGCTACTTCAAACAGTGGCAGAGGGCTTCATCGGACAGGCCCTAATGCTCCATAGGGAGTGTACCTCGATCCAGCTTCTGTCGACGTGACCATTTTATTTCTTTTTGCAAAACAAAGAAATGTAATAGTTGCACTTCATTCTCAGGATCTTGTACAGAATGCATAATAAATGCAGAACCTGATGGATCAGGTGGATGTAAATGTAAAGACAACGCTTTTTGGTCACCAGGCTTAGAAAGGTGCAGTCTTTGTGACGTACTTTGTACTGTTTGCAAACAAACGACTTATTTTGAATGTAATTCTTGTGTTTCAGGTAAACAATTGGTCGGAGTGCTATGCCTTAATGGTTGTCCATTTGGCTATGGATCTTCCTGTTCTCCAGTCTCAGCTGTCGTAATTGACCTATGCTTTTATACTAATTTTCAAGGAGGATATGGGACTTTTACGACAGGAGCAGACTCTTCGAAGTATCAACCCTTTGTGTCGCCTGAAACGGTTGACCCAATCCCTACTTACTTGAGAGGCCTTTATTTTGATGGTAGCATGTACTTATTATCATCTCAGTCTATTTACATCTCGCACAGTTTTTCTATAGGAGTTTGGATATATGTAATCACCGATGCAGACTTTTTGCAAAAGCAAACCAGGCTTAAATTGTCGTCAACAGGTACAATAACTGCTATAATGGATGACACTGTACAAGCAGCTTCCACCCAAACTTTATCTCCTACATCTTCATTTATAGGCTGAACTTACTTATCAATTGTCATATATTATGTATCAAATTCCTCAGGTCTCACTATTTACATCAATGGAGTATCTGCTGGATCCACAACAGCAGTCGAAAGAGTTTATCGAGATGACGCATCAACATATTTGCAGCTTGGAAAAAGTGACAGTTCAGGCTTTGTTGGATTTATCTTTTATTTTCAGCTTTGGAATGTAGCGATTACAGACTTTACCACAATTATTAATGGGTTTACATTTTGTGGGTCTGGAAATAAGGCTATATGCTTATGATCATGTGATATGACAACTTATAAAAGTGGAAGCTCTTGTGTAGCTTGTAATTCTTGCGCTAAAGGATGTAGAAGAGCTATTTCTTGTAATATTTGTGATGATCCATTATGCGCTGTTTGTACAGGATTTGAGTCTGGAAAATGCACAACCTGTGTGACTAATGCATCAAAAAATCCGACAAATTGTGCTTGTAATCCAGGATTTGGAGTTTCTGATGATGGTTTTTCATGTGTCCCATGTCTAGCAGTGTGCCCAACCTGCACTGGAGGTTGGTGATATCAATGCTCAAGCTGCCAAGCAGGGCACTACCTTCTTAATGGAATATGCTTAACAGAATGCCCATCAGGATACACTCAAAATACATCAACTAATATTTGTGATCTTTCTTACACAATTTATTCAGTTTTATTTTCCAATGTTATTCTCTTACTCTGCATTTTATTAATTTATATTTTTTTAAAAAAATATTTTTCATGATAAATATTAGGCATAATACCAAGCTACTTTATATCAATTAATTAGATCCTAAAAGTGTTATATTGATTGGAGAAGAAGATAGATACTATTTCTGGAATAAATGTAGGCTTATCAAATACTAATTCATACCCAAACTACGATGCCAACGATCCTTATCCATCATATTTAAGAGGATACTATTACAATTACAACAGTTATTTAAGGACAAGTTTTATGTTTTCACCATCTTTTTCTATTTCTTTATGAATAAAACCTTCAGCAGATGGATTTGTTATATCCAAATTTATATCGACCTCAACTATGATGCAAGTAAAAATATCATCAGGCTATCCAAAAATCTCTCTTCTTTTATCAGATTCATCAACAACTATATCAGTCACAGGCGCTTCTAGTATACTTTCAGGGGGATGATTTTACATTTCTTTTGACTGCAAAATTAATTCTAATGGGAAAACGACTATAACATCTTATATTGATGGAACTTCTCCAGCTACCTTTACCACATCCACTCCTCTTCTTTATAGCGTCTGCACCCCTATAGATTGCCTCTGCGAGAGTTCTCCATAGCAACTTGGAGCTCTGACGAGCCGCCTAAAGATAACAAGTCAACTCCAAGTTGGAAATCCTTGTAAAAGGGCACGCTTGACTTGTCACCTTTAGGTGGCTCGCTAGAGCTCCAAGTTGCTACGGAGAATCCTCTGCAAAGCACGCTATAGCGATGAAGGCGCTATACCTTCTAGACAGTCAATCAGGAAATCTCTATATCGGGCATTACAGCTCAGGATTCACTGGCTTTTTATGGAATGTTAAAATTTACAGTCAAAATAATAATGCTTTAAACGACTTTAAAACAACTGGGTGCTTAAGTAGCTGCACAAAGTGTCCAAGCGATTCTACTTGTCTAGATAGTTGCCCAATATCTCAATACAATAGTGGCTCTGCTTGCACTAATTGTATAGCGACATGTGATAAGGGATGCAGAAATTCTGATACTTGTAGGCTGTGTAAGACTAAAGAATGTGAGACATGCACAGAGTTTGCAGGAGGAAATTCATGCTTGACTTGCATAACTAATGCAGTTAGTGACGGATCTGGTGGCTGCACTTGTACTGCAAATGCTTTTTGGATCTCTTCTCAAACTTGCGAATTTTGCGATGCTCTTTGCTCAACATGCTTAAAAACTACTTATTTTGAATGCTCAACTTGTTTAGGAAGTTATCAATTAGTTGGGCATGTCTGTTTAAAGGGATGCCCATATGGATTTGATGCTTCTTGCTCATTGGTATCAACTGCTGTAATCGATCAATCTTTCAATACAGATTTTCAAGGCTCATATGGAATTTTTACAACAGGAACTACCTCCACATCTTTTCAGTTTTTCAATACCCCTGAATCATATGACCCCATACCTGCATATAAGCGCGGCTTATTTTTTGATGGAACCATGTATTTATTATCATCAGCTAGCGTCTTACTTTCTCATAGCTTTTCAATGGGATCTTGAATTTATATAATAACCCACGGAGATTGGCTAGAAAAGCAGACCCAAATAGCTATTTTATCCTCAACAGGAAGCATAACAGCTAATATGGAAAATCCTTCACAGACCTTAACTCTTCAATCTTTATCCTCGAGCAGCTCTCTAAACAGCTGAATTTATTTGTCATATACTTTCAGTTATAATTTAGATACTACAAATATAGTTATTTATATTAATGGAGCTTCAATTGCAACCTCAGCTATTTCTAATTATATAATAAGAGATGTCCCTGGCACTAGATTAATTCTCGGGAAAAGTAGTGCTTCTGGCTTTATCGGGTTTATTAATACTTTTCAGCTATGGAATGTCCCAATTAGTGATTTTTCAAGCTATGTTAATAACATTATATGCGGCACAGGGTTAGGCCATTCTTGCTTATGATCTTGCGATTTATCTAATTACTGGAGTGGGAGTTCTTATTCAGCTTGCAATTCATGCAGTAAAGGATGTGTCAGAGCAGGAACATGCAATATTTGTTATGATTTATTATGCTCTGTTTGTACAGGATTTGGCTCAGGGAAATGCACTCAATGCGTTTCCAATGCAAGCGGAGCTCCTTGTGCTTGCAATACTAATTATATGACTTCTTCAGATGGATTTTCATGTGTAGCATGCTATAATGGCTGCTCTCATTGTACTTCTCCTTCTGGTAGTAATTGTGTACTAGTTAATGAAAAGATATTTGATTTGGATCTTAATACTCTCAATGGAGTCATTTATGATAAAGCAAACTCTATTCCAGTTATAACTGGCTCATCTAACTTTTACCCAATAAAGTAATAAATGATTAAATTAATAGAGAATATTTTGCTATTAAGAATTTTAAAGCTGCACTGTGATTAAGCAATTTTATCCAGACTATGAAGTTAATGATCCGATTCCTGCCTATTTAAGAGGGTTTTATTTTAACGGCCAAACTTCAGTTTTGAGACTGCCAGAGTATTCAAATTATACATCTCCAAGGCTTGTCCTTACATCTACTTTCACAATTTCTCTATGGTTAAATACTGAAAGCTTGTATGGAGCTTTATTATCAAAGCATGATATTTCTGATAATTATTCATCATTATTCTCAATCTCACTAATAAGCAGTAAGCCATCAATCTCTCTGACAATAAACTCATCTCCTTTATTTTTTATGTGTCAAAAATCTGTTAATAATTATGAATGAAGCCATATAGAATTTACATTTGAGACCACCCAAAGCGGGGATAACGCGCTCTCTTGCTATATAAATGGCTTATCCGATTCATCAGAGATAGCTGGGTCTGGAGCTTTTCAAGATAAAGTACCTCATACTGCAATGTCTATAGGAGCCCAGCTTAACTCACAGATGGTTTATAATTATTACCAAGGCTTTATTTATACCATACAGATCTTCAGTATTATTAAGCCAGTAAATAGTCTATCAACAGTTTTTTGCACAGAAAATTGTAGTGTTTGCCCAACAAATCAAATATGTATTCCTAACTGCAAAAAAAATAAATAAAATGATGTTGTCGGAAATTGGACATCGAGTCACCCTCCCTATAGAGTAGGTAGAACCCATCCTTATGAAGCTGAACACAGGACCTCCTTTTGAAATAGACCATTCAGGCTTGTCCCTGCCTTATAGACTAGACAGGTTTTAGCCTACCACATGATTTTCCCTTGTTGGGACTATCAGGGCACTCTACAGACGGTGGCCCTGCCCTAGGGAGCTAGTCTCTTGGACAGGTGGCTCAGGTAGGAAATTCAAGATGGCAGCCTTTCTTTCCCTCTTGTGGGGCGAGGGAAGAGGCTGTTTTGGAGCCGAGACAAGGCAAAAGACTAGTAGGTTGCTCGCTTATGGACAATTCAATCGTTTAGTCGTTTAATAGCTGCAAAAAAATGAAATAAATCGTGATATACATTTCTTATAGTGCAGATTTGATCGGTTCAGATGAAGATAGCGCCTTTGCCACTTTTTGAAGTAGATCTTTGGGTTTGGAATATCTACCTAGGAGGGAACTTTTTTTTCCCAAAGGTTTTCCCACCAGATGATCTAAACAGATTTGCCTTCCACTAAGTCTCTTCTTATCGGGACTAATAGCGGCGTCCGCATTAGGCCCTCTAGCCTAAGGAATTGATGCTTAGGTTAGGTAAAATTTATGCCAGATAGGTATTTTAGAGGTCTATCCGCTTATGGACTTATATTACTTAGTCTAATTGCAAAATAAATGAATATTGAAGCGGGCCAGGTTATAATGTTTGCTATCATTGCAATATAAAATGTACAAAAAGCTGCAGGGACTGGCGAGATACATGCTCTCTCTGTAATAATTTATTATGCAGAGATTGTACAGATTATTCTAATACAGGTTGCATTACTTGTAAAGATAATGCCATAAATCCAGATTCCTGCCTCTGTGATGTAAATTATGTTCTTGATCCTTCAAATAATAGCACTTGTGTTCCTATTGGGCCAGGCGGATATCGAGGCCAGGATGGAATTTTTTATCCTTGTCCAAAATTATGCAGTACATGCGAATCTCTTACTAAATGCACAGCTTGTGTTTTAAATGCTAGCCTTATCAGCGACCTCTGCTATTGCAATCTTGGCTACAATGGAACCACAGCTTGCACATATATTCTCTTTTCAGCCAAGATTTCAGTTTTATCTGATAATTCAATATACCTTACGTTTTCTGATACTCTTACAAATAATCTTACTGCATCAAATTTGACTATAAAAATTGGAAATCAAGAAGTTTCATATAAAATTGAACAGATAAATGGGACATGCTATTATATTTCTTTAAAGATTAAGGAGGTAATAACTAAAGGTACATTGGTTGCTCTTGAATTTTTAAATCTAAAAGAAACCAAATCAGTTTCTAATGGAATATTGAACTCATCAGAAATTTCGGCAGCTTTGAACGCTTATGATCCTGCTCCATACTCAGCAACAATTGAATCAATATCATCTCAAGCAGAAACTGGATCTAAGACTATAGTTTCTGGAGCTGTTGCTTTATCATTTATAAATCCAAGTCCAAGCGGCTTATGAAGTATAATGAATACCTTGCAAATTCTTACCGTCCCAATTTAATTTAAACATTTACTATTCAATTTATGGGATTTTTTTATTTGTATAAAGAATTTTGGAGATAAGCCAAAAATGCAACTATTTAAAAGATTTTTCTTTTTTTTCTTTCATATAAGATAGTAGTATTTATTTTAATGGGTTAAGTTAGCTATTTAACCTTATCAGGAATACCACTATCCAGCAAAATGAACTCCTTTTTGAATAACTTGAATTCTTTTAGCATATTTCCGAATATTTTTACCTATTTTATAGATGAAAATGAAGGTAGCACTCCATATTCTCAAGCAGAAGAGTTTGGATATGACTCTGATTTAATCTTGATAATTCAAGGTAATGATTTTACACTAATTTTGGCTTCTTTATTAGCTTTTCCTATAGTTTTATTTTTCTCGCGATGCTTGGCTAAACCTAACTCTAGAGCTCTACCTTGTAGTCCGGGAGCCTGGCTCTATTTGGAAGTCCGATTCAACCTGGAAGTATGACAGTCTTGCTATTACCGGATAGTCCGTCTATACTTGAAGTCTGGCTCTATCTAATTCAACTGCACTGTCTGGCAGTTTAGTTCTACCTATCGGAAAATTGACAAATATTTTCAGAAAATTAGATTAGAAGCGCGTTGTTTCTTTTGGAAAATAAGCGATTTAAAATTAATTGGGCATTAATTAATAGAATTAAAGTTATCGAGGAATTTATGAATATTTATATTGCTTTTAATACGCATTAATTGTAAAATAATTTTATTGAGAGTTCATTTTTATGATTGGCTGAAATTATATCTGTATTTGCTTTTTTTCATGGGATCATAGTTATTTATTATTTAATATTTATAAAAATATGATTAGCTTAAATATTTATTATTAAATAAATGTCAACATTTTATTCCTCTATATATCGTCAGGTAGAGCCGGACTGCCTAACTGCAAGGTAGAGCCAGACTGCAAGGCAGGGCAGACTGCCAATAGAATCAGATAGACCAAGCAGGCTTGACCTGATGCTCACACAGATGAATTAGTAAAAAATTCACAAAAACTCTCAAAAATTATCAATATGCATTTTACTTGAGATTTTGGATCCAATGCTATCTTGAATTAGGAGCTGCTGCTAGTATCGGATTTATTACAGCTGGTCATAAAAACATCACTCAAATAACCAATCTTATTATCTGTTCATTTGTTTATGCTTTAATTGTCATCACCCCGCCCGGATATTTATTATTTTCTTATAAATATAAAAATCGCATTCAGTCAAATGAAAAGAGATTTTTTTCTTTATTCAATACTTTTTACTATGAATTTAGAAAAAATAAAGGATTTATTACAACACAATATTATTTTGTATTTTTCGCAAGAAGGCTTATTTATATGGTAAACTTGGTATTTTTAAGAGATTACCCAGAAACAGAAGTAACTGTTAATATTGTGCTTTCCTTAATCACAATTATTCATCTAGCAGTTTACTGACCTTTTGAGGACCCAATTTTACAAATCGCCAATTTAATTGCAGAAATATTAATTTGTTTAGTCATGATTTGCACATCAGCCTATTTATTTAATCTTGAGCAAGAAATAGTTACAGTAGTTGAGAGTGTTATTGTGGCAATTGTGCTGACAGCTATTGCAGTCCAAATAATTTCATCTTTAGTTATTTTTGCAAGAACTCTATATGAACTAATGTATAGTAAGCTTACTAAAGAAGGCATCATAGGAAATGGCAGTCAACCAAAGAATAACCATATAAGAAAAATTGAAAAATAGACTATGACAAGTATTTATTTAAATAAGCATTTATAAGAACAAATTGGATAAATTTAGTACTAGATTTATTAAAATATTATCCTAAACATTTTTATGATTTTTATGATTTTAATTATTTTATATATTGAAGATTGTAATTATTGCGTTTTAATAGAAAATTCATGCTATTTATTTTAAAATTTATGATATTTTATCTATCTATTATTCGTGCATTAAATTAACTAACCATGAATTTTATGAATCAATTTACATTTTCGAATTTTTTCATTAGCTATCGGTTTTTTTCTCTATGCCCAGAATGAAGTATTAATAAATTGATGCATTTTGATGTTTTTATTAGCAATGCAACTCCCCGAGCAGAATCAACTCATTTTATACTCTTTTTCTAAATCTTCTAGTCATATTTAGCTATAAATTTTGCTGAATTAACTCAATTATTCTCTAGAGATTCTAAATAAGAAAATTGTTATGCGAACTAGAGAAATAATTAGCTATTTCAATCTAAAATCAGAGTTTAAATAAAATAATAATAATAATAATAATAAATTACATGCTATTGACCTAAGGCGCTTCATCTTTTTAGGTTTCTTAGCTCTTTGATAGAATTCTTAACATGACTTCAGTATAGCCCCTGAAATGTTTTGGATCATTATTGCATATCATTTTAATTTTTTAAAATTTGTTTTACTTGTCAGCTTTTTTGAATAAGTAAAAACGAAAATGGCACATCTCCATTTCTACTTTAGCATCCTCTCCCGTTTGTTCTCTAATTTCTCTTTTCAATTTTTCTTCCTTTTTCATCAGTTTTTCCTTCAGTTTTTAGTTGCTTTTTTTCGAGCTTCCCTTTTAGTTTTTCTTCCAGTTTCCTCTCTAAATTCTTCAGTTTCTCTTTCAGTTTCTTTGCTAATTCTCCTCCATTTTCACATTGATGTTGGCATTCTTCCCTCAATCTAGCAATATTTCGCTCTCTAGGCTATCAAACTCATATTCATTCCCAAGTTGTCCATCAGCCTTTCATTAGTTGCTCTTTTTGCTTTAATACTCCTTCTTCTCCTGTATTATTTACCCAGTGTACTTTATTTAACCTCACTTGTTATTATTTTAATTAATTGAGATACTGATATTATCTCTTATTGATTTGTCTCTGTTGATAAATATGAAATAAGTAGAAAAATTTTAGTAAATGCTTTATGTTTTAATATCAAAACGCAGCAGTAAGCTAACCTTTCATAAACAGTTTATTATCCAGAGGGAAAATTAGTAAAATAAAAATATGATTTGAATCAAATTTAGCTTAAATTAACTTTTACTTAAAAATCTTTAGAGAATTATGAGTTATTTAGAGTTTTAACTTTTAATAATAATTCTTAAAAATCTTAAAATGCCTATTCTAAGTGCAACCAGAGAGAGCATAAATTGTATAAATTCATATTATATAAATAATAGACGAGGCTAAATTGATTACAAAGCTAATAAGAGATAAAATTAATATAAGACCTTTCATAGTGCAAGAGCAATCTTAAAATTCTATAATTGGAATGCTTTTATACTTTTACTATATGTTAAGAATAAACTTTATATGCTAAAATGTGTTAAATTCTCGGCTCATGAATTTCTAACTTCCCTATTAAGGCAAACACATTTTCGTACATTACTTTTAAGGTATAGCATAGAAAAAAAATTCTGAAGACACAATGCCATTTATGACAAAAATCTAAAAGATTATGGAGTAGATGGCACAGCATTGGAAGCTGAGCCATCTGTTGTGATGAATTATAGTTCCGAAGAAAATAAAAATCCTTGAAAAGATCCATAAGAAAACGAGAAACGTGAGAATTTTATTTTTATATCGATCAGAAAAAATAATTTCTAATCAGACTCAAATCAATTTATATCAGAAATATTTAAATTTTATCACAATTTATTGTGAGAAGCAAGAGTCATTTTAGTACTAAAACTTAAGTTATAAAGAAGAAGACAATCAGGTAAATAATTTAACTCAAATTTCTCTAAAAATTACTCTTAATGGGATATAATTAGTCAAGACAACCTAATTCAGAAGTTATGTCAAAGGTCAATGAAATTAAGAAAGCTGAAGAGATGTTATTCAAAACCAGAACTAAAGCGAAATCCTAATTAGATTGTATTTTTATTTAGCGCTGCTGGTGACTCGCCCTTAAAGCATATCAAAAAAAGAAGATATAGAACTTGGAGATTTTATTCCTGAAGGAAGAAAAACTCTATCATTATATGTTGAAGAAACTCATTATTTCTATAGTTCAATTTTGGACTTATAATTATAGAATGCTTATATCAAATTGATATAATTGGTGAATTCAAGAAGTACATTATTATTGCTTAAACATGGATAATAAAATAATAATTAGGGATAAAAATTATAGGATTCTAATCCTCCGTGAGCGAACAAAATTCTTTTAATAAAAAAATATTTTTATGAAAAAAAAATTGATATATAAGTGATAATTATTATATATAGTTAGTGACACTGGCTATAGAAATCTCTCTATAATTTTAAATTTTATAATTAAAGAAAGATTTGCTTTCCAATATTTTCGTGGGATTTTTTTAAATTTTGATAAAAAATTATAATATTAAATTTATATATAAATTCTATAAAAAACTAATCCCTACCGTTAGCAAACAAAGATGTTTTGTTTGCTCACGGAGTGGGCGAAAGTAAAATTGAAAAGATTTGGATATAATTTTATAGTTTGTGGTGCCTTTGATCTATATTGAATGCGTAAGAAAAAATTATTCTAAGGACAGAAAAAGGAATGAGTCTAATCCTTCATCAGAAGAGAGTTTTTTTAAATCTCAGCTTTGGCCGTTATGAATACAGAAAAGTAAATAAATAATTTATTTCATAAGATTTGCTGTAAGCTTAATTATATCTATTTCTTCCATCACTTAAATATTTCAAAAATATCAACAAGAAGATCTATTAAAATTGTTTCTTAGAAAATTAAATATACTTGATTTCTGATTAAAAAAGATTCTAATTTTCACAAATTTTTAAGGGATTTTATAAAGTTAATAATTGTTAAAAACCTCATAAAATTCGAAAATTTTCTAAAACAGTTGAAATAATTCAGAAAATTTAGGTTGGAGAATTTTTCTATTTTCTTATAATAGAAAATGAATATTTTAATTTACTTCACCAGGATCTTGTTGACCTATTCATTTGGTGGGGAAAGCTGCTGCCCATCAGGCAGTTCAACTTTTATGAATGTATTTTGCAAATGCACAAATTCATATTATCTGGCTGACGATAAAGTTTGTGTAAATTCATGCCCTTCAAATTTCGATTCAAATACGTGAGTTGCTAATTCATGTGGTGCACCCAATGGGAGTGATGCAATTATATTTGAATTGAAATTTACAGAAATGCAAGACTTGACAGCTACCTACATCACAAATTCTGCTAACTCTAATGAAAAATTTCTCAATCCAGGTTCCATCTCATACAACTCTGCCACTCATAATTCTCCGTTACCAACAGTCGATCGTGGCTTTTATTTTGCTTCAACATCAAGTATGACAAGCGATCAACACTATACCCCCGCCCTCTATTTTACTTTAAATTTATGAATAAAGCCTCTTGCAAGTGGAGAAATTTTAAATACCATTTTTAGTTCAACTAAATATATAAGGATATGGGCTGATTCCTCAGGTGTATATAAATTTAGTGGGACAATTTATGATTCAAGCAATAATGCTAATCCAATATCAGGAGCAAGCACAATAAGCTATACGTCATCATGGCATAAAGTTTCTATAGTTCTTGAACAAATTTCATGCACTGAAACTACGATATCATTTTATATAAATGAAATTGGGGCTGGGTCATCTACAATAAGCAGCTCTGAAGCAAGATTTGTGGGTGGAGTAGCCTATACATGGACTCTTGGGAATATTAGTCCAACAAACTCATTTAGAGGGTTTATTTATTGACTCCAGGCAAGAGCTGATACTATGACTTCAAGCTTTTCGGCTATGGCAAGCCAGATTAATTGTGTTGATAACCAATATTGAGATGGGTCTGCTTGCCAAAATTGTGATTCGAGCTGTCCAACTTGGCCTTGGTGCATTAGAGGAGGTAGTTGCAGCATTTGCTATACACTAGACTGTATTAGCTGCTATGGATATTCTGTTTCAATGTGCACGTCATGCACCACAGGTATTTTTATTTTTAACCAAATATTTTTTTTTAAATAAATTTAGTATTTTTTTTAAAAAATATTAGTAGCTCAGGTATAGTTCCTGGATGCTGCGATTATCTTGCTACAACTTGCACGCAAACTTGATCCAATACAGCATGCAATAGTGGAAAAGTTCTGATTGGAGGAATTTGCTTGCATGCTTGCCCATATGGGTTTGGAAATTGTGCAGCTGTTTCTACAGCTGTTATAACAGCTGATTTTACAGGTTCATTTTCTGGAAGCTACAGCACAGCACTGATTACAGCTACAAGCTCTTCAAGTTACAATTTTTGGAATTCTCCAGAAAACTCAGATCCATTTCCTGTCAAAAGCAGAGGACTATTTTTCAACTCAAATCAATTTTTATCTGGATCTGTAAATCTATCTAACACCTGAAGTATAGGCTTGTGAGTTTATGCTATTAGTGGAACTATTATTAGCCATAGCTCAGGCAAACTCACTATTGATTCCAGTGGAATTAGTTTTTCTTTAGAAAAATGGGATGGAGCATCTGCAACTAATTCCGCTTCACAATCTATCACTTTAAACGTATGAAACTATATTTCATACTCTGTTAGGTTTGCGAATAAAATCACTACAGCTACTCCTTACTTTAATAAAGTTGCTGGGACATCAACCACTACAACTAATTATGTGTTTAGGTTACCTTCGGGAGGGACATTATATATTGGCAAAGGTTCAACAAACTTTAATGGATTTATCGCAAATTTTATGCTATGGCAAACCACAATCAGTGATTTTTCTGGGTTTTACAGTATCAATACATTGACAGGAGGCTCTGTATCAGTTTTATGACCATGCGATTATTATCATTATTATGATGGATCTGCATGCCAGTCATGCTTAGGGTCTTGCACAATTGGCTGTACTAGAGGAACCTCTTGTTATATCTGTGACGACTTTTTATGCTCTAAATGCTCCTCTTTTTGGTCAGGCGCCTGCACTTCATGCATTTCTAATGCATCTGGATCTCCATGCCAATGCAATTCTGGCTACTATCAGCCTACAAATCAAGCTCTATGCTCAGCGTGCTATACAGGATGCGCTCATTGTACAGGACCATCTTATTATTTATGCACTGCTTGCAGCTCCAACTATTTTTTATATAATAGCAACTTTTGTGTTTCAAATTGTGCGACTGGATATACTGAAAACTCATCCTCAAAAACTTGTGTTTTCAATTCCTTCACTGGGTTAAGTATCATTTTTTATGACAAAATAGTACTTGATTCAATTTCAGGAGTATCAGTAGGGTCTACCAATACGAACACTTACCCAACATATGATTCGAATGACCCATATCCAGCCTATCTTAGAGGATACTATTTTACTGGCACGACTTATCTCTCAGCACAGGTTGTGACTGGGCCATATTTTACTATTTCCACTTGAATTTATCCAACTGGTCTAGGGACAATATTCTCTAAAACAGTTTCTGGTAACGAAATACTTTGCCTTGAAATTTCAAATTCTGGCTTTCCCAAACTTTCTCTTATTTTGAATGATTCTTCGACCTTTTCTGTGACTTTAAACTGCAAATACATTAAATAACTGAAATTTTATTGCATTTACAGGGAAAATTGACTCAAACTATAAAACCGCTATAAATTCCTATTTAAATTCTCAAACTAAAGACTATGATTCATCTACTAATCTCGCTTATTTCCAAGATAGCAGCTCAGGCACTTTCTATATTGGAACAAAATCTAGCCTAAGCAATGGATTTAAAGGATTTTTATATGATATTACTATATATAATACAAACAATCTGCAAAACAATGATTCTTCAACATCTAGCTGCACCTCACCTTGCTCAATATGCCCTAGTGACTACAATTGTCCAGATTCTTGCTCATTATCACAATACAATAATGGCTCATCCTGTGTAAATTGTAAAGCATCTTGCACCAAAGGCTGCAGATCTACCGACACTTGTAGACTTTGCAAAACTAAGGAATGTAATAGTTGTACTTCATTCTCAGGGTCTTGCACAAGCTGCATAACAAATGCAGAATCAGACGGATCAAATGGATGCAAATGCAAAAATAATGCATTTTGGTCAGCTAATTTAGAAAGCTGCGAACTATGCGATTCACTTTGTGCTGTTTGCAAGCAAACGACTTATTTTGAATGTAATTCTTGTGTTTCAGGCAAACAGCTAGTAGGAGTGCTATGTCTTAATGATTGCCCATTTGGCTATGGGTCTTCCTGTTCTCCAGTCTCAACTGTTGTAATTGACCTATGCTTTTATACAGATTTTCAAGGAGGATATGGGACTTTTACTACAGGAGCAGACTCTTCGAAGTACCAACACTTTGCATCCCCTGAAACGGTTGACCCAATCCCGACTTATTTAAGAGGCCTTTATTTTGATGGCAACAAGTACTTATTATCATCTCAGTCTATTTACATCTCGCACAGTTTTACTATAGGAGTTTGGATATATGAAATCACCAATGGAGACTTTTTACAAAAACAAACCAGACTTAAATTGTCATCAACAGGTGCAATAACTGCTATAATGGACGACAGAGCCCAAACATCATCTACTGTGACCTTATCTCCTACTTCTTCATTTACATATTGAACTTACTTATCAATTACAATCTATTATACCTCAAATGCATCTGTGCTTTCTCTTTATATCAATGGAGTCTCAGCCGGGTCTACCACAATTGCTGAAAAAATATATCGAGATGATGCATCTACAAATTTGCAGCTGGGAAAAAGTAGCAGTTCAGGCTTTGTTGGGTTTATTTTTTATTTTCAGCTTTGGAATGCAGCAGTTACAGATTTTACCACAATTATTAATGGATTTACATTTTGTGGGTCTGGAAATAAGGCTGCATGCTTATGGTCATGTGATATGACAACTTATAAAAGTGGAAGTTCTTGTGTAGCTTGTAATTCTTGCTCTAAAGGATGTAGAAGAGCTATTTCTTGTAATATTTGTGATGATTCGTTATGCTCCGTTTGTACAGGATTTGAGACTGGAAAATGCACAACCTGTGTGACTAATGCATCAAAAAATCCGACGAATTGTGCCTGCAACCCTGGATTTGTGGCTTCTACTGATGGGTTTTCATGCATCTCGTGCCCAATAGGATGCAGTATTTGCAATGGAAGCGGATATTATCAGTGCACAAGCTGCCAAGCAGGATACTACTTTCTTAATATACAATGCCTAACTGAGTGTCCATGAGGGTATAATCAAAACTCAGCAACTCATAGCTGCGATCTTTCGTCGACTGCATATTCACTTATGTTTTCAAATATAATTCTTTTAATGCCTTGTATAAGATAACTATGTAAATTAATTTTATACAATTTTTGATCAAATTTATTATGTCTTAAAATTAATTTAATTTATGAATAATTTTTTAGCTGAAGATTTCATTATTATAACTATTTTTTTAACTCCCCCCCCCCCCCTCCGTGAGCGAACAAAACCATTAGAAAAATCGCCATTTTTTTTGACCAAAAAACCCACCCTCCGTAAGTGAACAAAAATTTTTTTAATAGAAAAAATTTTAATGGAAAAAAATTTTGATATATAAGTGATAATTAGTATAATGAAATCTAGAGCTAATTCTGTTTAATTTTAAACAAATTGCGTTTTAAAACATAAATTTTGCAAATTAAATTAATATTTGCTTCCCAATTTTTGCAAATTAGGATTTTTTTAAATTTCGAAAAAAATATTTTTTATAAAATTTATATATATAAATTGTTTTTTTAAAAAAAAAAATTAACCCCCCTCCGTGAGCGAACAAAATTTTTTTTGTTCGCTCACGGAGGGGGGGGGGGGAGAGTAAGTTAATTTATCAAATATTTAAGATTTCAAATAATTTTGACTGCCCTCAAAAGGGGCAAGTAAATTAATAATTAATATAATTTAAATTTTATAATTTTTTAACTTAAAAGCCTTTAAAATTTATAGATAATAATACGCAAAAAAAAAATTATTATTAATAATGAAAAAAGTTTTTAATATCAAATTATGGGAAGTTAGATACCATTTCTGGAGTAAATGTAGGCTTATCAAACACTAATTCATATCCAAATTATGATACCAATGACCCTTATCCATCTTATTTAAGAGGATACTATTACAATTACAACAGCTATTTAAAGATAAGTTTTATGTTTTCCCCTTCCTTTTCTATTTCATTATGGATAAGACCTCTAGCAGCTGGTTTTGTGATATCCAAATATATTTCTACTACAACTATTGTACAAGTAAAAATATCATCAGGCTATCCACAAATCTCTCTTCTCTTATCAGATTCATCAACAACCATATCAGTCACGGGTGCTTCTAATATACTTGCTGGGGGATGATTTTACATTTCTTTTGACTGCACAATTAATTCTGATGGGAAAACAACAATAGCATCTTATATTGATGGAACTTCTCCAGCTACCTTTACCACATCCACTCCTCTTTACCTTCTAGACAGTCAATCAGGAGATCTCTATATAGGGCATTATAGCTCAGGATTCACTGGCTTTTTATGGAATGTTAAAATTTACAGTCAAAATAATAATGCTTTAAACGACTTCAAAACAACTGGATGCTTAAATAGCTGCACAAAGTGTCCAAGCGATTCTACTTGTCTAGATAGTTGCTCAATATCTCAATACAATAGTGGTTCTGCTTGCACTAATTGTATAGCGACATGTGATAAGGGATGCAGAAATTCTGATACTTGTAGGCTATGTAAGACAAAAGAATGTGCGACATGTAGAGAGTTTACAGGAGGAAATTCATGCTTGACCTGTATAACTAATGCAGTTAGTGACGGGTCTGGTGGTTGCACTTGTGCTGCAAATGCTTTTTGGATCTCTTCATCTCAAACTTGCGAATTTTGCGATGATCTTTGTTCAACATGCATAAAAACAACTTATTTTGAGTGCTCAGCTTGCTCACTCCCTTCATTTTGAAATCAATAAGTTTTTTTCTGCTTAAGAAGTAGAATAATTTTAAAAAAATAATTTATTTATCCTAAAAAAAATTGATATAATTTAAGGCAGAAGCTGTTTAAATTTATTTTTATAATCAATCTATCTTAAATTTAATAGGATTTAATTTATAATATTCAAAATAAATAATATTAATTAGAGAGTTTCGACTATATTTTTAATTTTATATATAAAAAAATATTTATGTTATACAAATGATTGATTTTTAATAAATAAGATTTTTGAAGGCTTATCTTACATTTCAAGAGGAGGTATTATGATTAGGATTGTTAAAGATATAGCCATATTGGCGACGCATCACCAAAGACCTCTCGTACGGGAGCCCTTTCTACTTTACGTCGAGCCTCCAAGTCGGTCTAGCTTTAACCGCACAGTTCATCTCCTCCTTGCCTTGAGGCTTCAGTCTTGAGTTGATGGCTTATAGATTTTTGCAGCTTTCTAACAGAGACGATTGGAGAGTAGCAGGATGTAAAGATTAGCTCCTTGGAGTCTGAAGGCTACTGAGAATTTTTATTCTGCAACTATAAGGAAAAAACTGCTTCCTATAGAAAAAAACGCCCAAGGCTCCAAAGAGCATTGCTAGACACCTCCATTTTCTACCATCAGGAAGTAGTCAAAACCTATCAGACACAAACAACTCTTGACTCTCAGCTTGCAACCCGTTCAAATTAGCCTTGGCCTTAAGGTCTTGATTGCTGTGGCAAGAGGACGGCTTGACATGTGCTGCCATCTTGATATAAATATTTCAAGGGGAGGGATTTAGGAAGCTATCAATTAGTTGGGCATGTTTGTTTAAAGGGATGCCCATATGGATTTGATGCTTCTTGTTCGTCAGTATCAACTGCAGTGATTGATCAATCTTTCAATACAGATTTTCAAGGCTCATATGGAATTTTTACAACAGGAACTACCTCCACATCTTTTCAGTTTTTCAATACCCCTGAATCATATGACCCCATACCTACATATAAGCGCGGCTTATTTTTTGATGGAACCATGTATTTATTATCATCAACTAGCGTCTTGCTTTCTCATAGCTTTTCAATAGGATCTTGGATTTATATAATAACCCACGGAGATTGGCTAGAAAAGCAGACCCAAATAACTGTTCTATCCTCAACAGGAACCATAACAGCTAATATGGAAAATCCTTCACAGACCTTAACTCTTCAATCTTTATCCTCGAGCAGCTCTCTAAACAGCTGAATTTATTTGTCATATACTTTCAGTTATAATTTAGATACTACAAATATAGTTATTTATATTAATGGAGCTTTAGTTGCCACCTCAGCTATCACTAATTATATAATAAGAGATGTCCCTGGCACTAAATTAATTCTCGGGAAAAGTAGTGCTTCTGGCTTTATCGGGTTTATTAATACTTTTCAGCTATGGAATGTCCCAATTAGTGATTTTTCAAGCTATGTTAATAACATTATATGCGGCACAGGGTTAGGCCATTCTTGCTTATGATCTTGCGATTTATCTAATTACTGGAGTGGGAGTTCTTATTCAGCTTGCAATTCATGCAGTAAAGGATGTGTCAGAGCAGGAACATGCAATATTTGTTATGATTTATTATGCTCTGTTTGTACAGGATTTGGCTCAGGGAAATGCATTCAATGCGTTTCCAATGCAAGCGGAGCTCCTTGTGCTTGCAATACTAATTATATGACTTCTTCAGATGGATTTTCATGTGTAGCATGCTATAATGGCTGCTCTAATTGTACTTCTCCTTCTGGTAGTAATTGTGTACTAGTTAATGAAAAGATATTTGATTTGGATCTTAATACTCTCAATCGAGTCATTTATGATAAAGCAAACTCTATTCCAGTTATAACTGGCTCATCTAACTTTTACCCAATAAAGTAATAAATGATTAAATTAATAGAGAATGTTTTGCTATTAAGAATTTTAAAGCTGCACTGTGATTAAGCAATTTTATCCAGACTATGAAGTTAATGATCCGATTCCTGCCTATTTAAGAGGGTTTTATTTTAACGGCCAAACTTCAGTTTTGAGACTGCCAGAGTATTCAAATTATACATCTCCAAGGCTTGTCCTTACATCTACTTTCACAATTTCTCTATGGTTAAATACTGAAAGCTTGTATGGAGCTTTATTATCAAAGCATGATATTTCTGATAATTATTCATCATTATTCTCAATCTCACTAATAAGCAGTAAGCCATCAATCTCTCTGACAATAAACTCATCTCCTTTATTTTTTATGTGTCAAAAATCTGTTAATAATTATGAATGAAGCCATATAGAATTTACATTTGAGACCACCCAAAGCGGGGATAACGCGCTCTCTTGCTATATAAATGGATTATTCGATTCATCGGAGATATAGAAATTGCCCGAGGATGGCGCTATATTGCGCCATCCTCGGGCAATTGGAGACACGGCTCCACATGGGAATTGTGTTCCACGTGGGAAAATGTGGATTCCACAAGTGGAAAAATGGCTCCACACGTGGAATACGGTTCCCGTGTGGAGCCAATTTTCGCTTGCCCTAGGATGGCGCCATATAGCGCCATCCTAGGGCAAATCCTATAGCTGGGTCTGGAATTTTTCAAGATAAAGTACCTCATACTGCAATGTCTATAGGAGCCCAGCTTAGTTCTCAGACAGTTTATAATTATTATCAAGGCTTCATTTATACCATACAGATATACAATATTTTGAAGCCTGTAAATAGTCTATCAACAGTTTTTTGCACTGAAAATTGTAGTGTTTGCCCAACAAATCAAATATGTATTCCTAACTGCAAAATAAATGAATATTGGAGTGGACCAGGCTATAACGTCTGCTATCGCTGCAATATAAAATGCACAAAAAGCTGCAGGGATTGACGATCTAGTTGCTCTCTATGTAATAATTTACTATGCAAAAACTGTATAGATTATTCTTCTTTTGGCTGCGTAGCTTGTAAAGAAAATGCTATAAATCCTGATTCCTGCATCTGTGACGTAAAATATGTTCTTGACACTTCGAATAATAGTACTTGTATTGTTCTTAAGCCAGGTGGATTTAGAGGTATGGATGGGATCTTTTATTCTTGTCCAAAATTATGCAGCATATGTGAATCTTCGATTAAGTGTACATCTTGTGTCGCAAATGCTGGTCTTAAAAATGATCTCTGCTATTGTAATTTAGGCTTTAATGGGTCCACAAATTGCATTACATTACTCAGATTTTAAATGGTAATATCTTCTGCAGAGATTAATTATAAAATCTCCATTTTAATTCCTAATTTATGATGCCAGAAGCCATTTTGTCTAGCAAGTATTCCAGAAGAGACCTACCAAAGGGCCAGAAAGTCTCCACTGGTCACGTTGACCTCGCTCCAGAATTTACTTCTACGTGTATTCAGCATAAGGGTCACCTCCTTGTATGTGTCAAGCGGAAAAACTTTATACGTCCTAATATCTTGAACCAAATGATTTACCTTATTGATATACCATATTTGGCATTGTGCACCAGCTAAACCGAATCCCATAACAATTAAATTCATGGAGGAATAAACCATTTCCATGTATAACCATTTTATTATTATTTTCCACAAAATTGCACATCTGTTTATTTTTCAGCTAAACTTTCAGCATTATCAGATAATTCTTTGTATCTTACGTTTTCTGATAACCTTGTGAATGCTCTTTCTGCATCAAATTTTACGGTAACGATTGAACAGCAAGGAGAAGTTTCATGTAAAATTGAGCAGATAAATGGAACGTGCTATTATATTTCTTTGAAAATTGAGAAGGCAATTTCAAAAGGTACCTTGGCTACAATCGAGTTTATAAATTTGGAAGAAATGAGATCTGTTTCTAATGGAGTATTAAACTCGTCAGAAATTTCTGTGCCTTTAAATTCGTATGATCCAGCTCCATACTCTGCAACAATTGAGTCAGTTACATCACAAGCATCAGCTGGTTCTCAGGCTGCTATTTCTGGAGCTGTTGCTTTATCAATTGTAAATCCAAATCCGAGCTCTTTGTGAAGTATGATGAACACCTTACAAATTCTTAGTTATTTAACTTTATCAGGAATACCCTTATCTAGCAAAATGAGCTCATTTTTGAATAATTTAAATTCTTTCAATTTATTCCCAAATGCATTTACCTATATTATTGACAAAAATGAAGGAAATACTCCATACTCTCAAGCAAAAGAATTTGGATTTGACTCTGATCTTATCTTGATAAACCAGGGCAATGATTTTACACTAATTTTAGCTTCTTTAGCAGTTTTTCCTGGGGTTTTCTTTTTATCACGATGCTCATATAGATGGCTTGGCAAAAAATTTACAAAAACTCTCAAAGGCTATCAATTTGCATTTTACTTGCGATTTTGAATTCAATGCTATCTTGAACTGGGAGCTGCTGCTAGTGTCGGATTTATTACTGCTGAGTTTGGAAATGTGACACAAATTACCAATCTAACTATTTGTTTAGCTGTTTATATAATTCTATTTGCCACTCCTCCTGCGTATTTCTGGTTTTCCTATAAAAATAGAAATCGTATTCAGTCAAGAGAAAAGGGCTTTACTTCTTTATTTGATACTTTTTTTTATGAATTTAGAAATGATAAAGGATTTCTTGCAATGCAATATTATTTTGTATTTTTTGCAAGAAGGCTTATCTATATAATAAATTTGGTGTTTTTAAGAGAATACCCACAAACAGAAGTTACTATTAATATTGTTCTTTCATTAATCACAATTATGCACTTAGGATTTTTTAGGCCTTATGAAGATCCAATTTTGCAAATAACAAATTTAGTTACTGAAATAATGATTTGTTTAGTAATGATCTCTACGTCAGTCTATTTATTTGATCTCGAGCAAGAAATTGTATCAGGAGTAGAGAGTGCGATTGTGGGAATTGTCCTTACAGTTATGGCAATTCAAACATTTTCTTCTGTATTTATTTTTGCTAGAACTTTATTTGAAGTGATTCATCGTAAGCTGACTAGAGCAGGCATTATGAGAAATACCATTCAAGCAAGAAATAGTCAACTTACAAAAATAGAAAGATAGCCTATGACAGCTTATTTATTTAATTTAGCATTTATTAAGGCTAATAGGAATTTTTAAGAAATTATTTTAATTATTCTCTATATCAGCATTTAATTCTAATATGAATGTTTTTTCATAATTTAATAATTCAAGAACTTAATAAATGATTTCTCAGTAATAATTCAAAGAGCAGCGATGCTTGCCCTCTTGTGAGAAGATGAAATTGATCTTATTTAGAGATCAAGCTCAACGCAAAGAAAAGAAAAACATTAAAATAGAAATTACTAGAATCAGATTGAGATAATGCTCTATAGTAGAAAATTTGAAGTCTAAGATGATTTTACACAACTCCAAATCTACTCACCATTACCTATAAGAGGTCTGGAATTTTTACTCAGTGCCAAGTAAAAATATCAACTGAAACTAAGCCCTATAATTAATATTTGAAATAGATTAATAGCAAGATCTAATAAATATCTAATATGCAATATTAATGACCCACTTACGAAAATATATAATTAGCATCACTACTTAAAATCTCTTAATCCACATATTTTGTTAAGAGCCGAATAGAAAGCAATGAAGCTAATTGCAAAATTGAATGAATTTTTATTGCCTTGCAAAATAGTTGTCATCAGATCTATTTATCCTAAAAATATGTTAAAATACCATATTTCGTCAAGAGTTATTAGTTTATCTATTTTCTTCTCCAGTCCTCTCTAAAAGTCTATAGACTTTCCTAATTTCTAAAAATAATCACTATTTGCAGTTTTATTGCTGAAAAAGTTCATTCTTAAAAATTATCGTTTTTATTTATTTTTAAGTTATGGAATGAGATTATAATAAAAATGCTAGGGATCTGTATTGCAATCGCTCATGCTATTTTAGTTCTTTCAGCTTGCCCAAATGATAGTTTAACTGTTGGTGGAAGATTTAGCTGTAATAAGCCAAAATATATGACTGACTCCCTTTTATGCACCGAGGAGTGCCCAACTCGCTTTCCAGATGAAAATACTTGTCCTAACTGCTATAAATATTGCGCTGGGCCTGATCCTTTAAATACAATTTTATTCACTTTAGAATTTTCTGGTTTTCAAGATTTTACGTTTGACAGAATACAGGATCCCAGCGGCACACCATTTTTAAACCCAGGAGGAATCCCATTTAATGATCAATCACAAAATTCCCCATTACCTACCTTAGATCGTGGCTTTTATTTTGCCCCTACGTCTGGGATGTCCAGCAACACAAACTTTATCCCAGGTCTTTATTTTATATTAAATTTATGAATAAAAGCTCTTGATAGTGGAGAAATTTTAAACGTCCTAATTGACCCAATTTCTTATATAAGAATATCTTCAGTCCTTGGGAAATATCAATTTGATGCTTTGATTAATAGCTCAGACGGATCACAATATCCTGTTTCAGAGATAAGTGCCAATTCATATTCTTCATCCTGGCATTATGTGTCAATTTATTTTAGCCAGGAGAATTGCAATACAGCCTCATTCAGCATTGATGTTGATGGAGGTACAGATTATAGCACATCATGGGCTGATTCTGAGATGAGTTTTCCTAGTGGGATTTATAATTGAAATCTTGGATATTCAAGTCCAAATGATTCGTTTAAAGGATTCATTTATTGGCTTCAAGCAAGAGTCGATAATGAAGTAAATAGTCCAATGTCAGCTCCAACAGTTGATTGTGCTGATAAGCAGTACTGGGATGGAACTAATTGCAATGAATGTGATGATTCATGCCCAAACTGGCCTTGATGCATTAGAGGGAGCGACTGTTCAACTTGCTTTTCGCCAGAATGTAGCTCTTGTACTGGGTATTCTTTTGCATCTTGCTCTGCATGCACTACAGGAATCCCTCCATTATGCTGTGACCATCTAGCAATAGAATGCACCCAAACTTGGACAAGCACATTATGCATTTTTGGATTACCTAATGCAGGAGTTTGCTTATATGGGACTCCGTATGGAGCATGGGAATGTGGAAGGCACTATTGTTTTCCAGTTTTAACAGCTGATTTTAATACCCCATTTGCTGGGGTATATGCTTCAGAATTGATTACTGGTAGTAGCTCTATGAGCTATAATTATTGGAATAACGCAGAAACGACTGATCCATTACCAGCTAAAAACAGAGGCCTTTACTTTGATTCGAATAAGTTTTTGAGTGGGTCTATAAATTTATCCAATACTTGGAGCATAGGAATTTGGGCTTATGTTATTTCTGGGGTTATAATTAGTGATAGCACAAATACACTTATTTTTAGTGCTGTAGGAACTATTTATTTTGGCTTAGAAACTTGAGACAGTACAACAGCAAGCTACACTGTATCGAATCCTATAACTTTAAAAACATGAAGCTATATTTCTTGTTCAGTTGGGTTTGCTAATAAATCTACGACAATAACTCCATATATAAATACGATACCTGGGACAGCAGTTACAGTTGCAAATTACGTATTTAGGCTTCCAGATGATGGACAGTTGTATATAGGCAAAGGTTCTCCACAATTTAATGGCTTTATAAGCTATTTTCAACTATGAGGAGAAACCATTACAGACTTTTCTACACCCTATAATCTTTATGGCTTTACAGGTGGAGTGGTATCAACCTTATGGCCATGTGAGTATTCTTATTATTATGATGGAAGCAATTGCCAACCATGCTTAGCCTCAGGATCTTGCACAAAGGGCTGTATTAGAGGTACATCTTGCTACATTTGTGACGATTTTTTATGCGCCCAGTGCTCATCTTTTTTACCAAACAGCTGCACGCTATGTATTCCTAATGCTTCTGGATCTCCTTGCCAATGCAATTCTGGGTTTTATCAGCCTACAAATCAAGCTCTTTGTTCTCCTTGCCATACAAAATGTGCTTCTTGTGTAGGTCCTTTAGATACTTTATGCACTTCATGCAATTCTGGCTATTTTTTATATATTAATAAGGTATGTCTAATAAACTGTCCAACAGGATTTATAGAGGATTCCTCAACAAAAACTTGCACTTTTTCATCAAGAATTGGGCTAAGTTTATCCCTTTATGACCAAATAAAGCTTGATTCAGTATCAGGGGTGCAAGTTGGGTCTACCAATAATGTTTATCCAACTTATGAAACAGGCGATCCATACCCTCAGTATCTCCAAGGGTATTATTTTAAATCATCAAGCTATATGCTAACAAATACTGTGATATCTCCATATTTTGCTATATCTATATGAGTATTTCCAGTATCTTCAGGCCCAATTGTAACTAAAATAATTTCTGGGGTACAAATTTTTTGTCTAGAACTCAATGGCGGATTTCCCAAGCTTATACTTTCTCTCAGTGATTCTTCGTCACTTTCTGTTTTATCATCTCAGAATACCCTGACAAGCAGCTGGAGTTTTGTTTCATTTGCAGGAAATATTGACTCAAGCAGCAACTCAGTGACCATAAATTCATATTTTAACTCAATATCTACAGGGTCAAGTACATCTTCAACACAAACTTATTTTCAGGACCAAAACACTGGTACTCTTTACATCGGAAATGCAGGCACAAGCAGTTTTGAAGGTTTTTTATACAATTTAAAAATTTTTAATTCAGCAAGTTATTATATCAACGACTATAAAACCTCAAGCTGCACTTCTCCATGCACTCAGTGTCCTAGTGACTATAACTGTCCTAAAACTTGCCCATTTTTTGAGTTTTATAATGGATCAGTTTGTGAAAGTTGTGCAGGATCGTGCACGAATGGATGTAGATATAGCAGTTCTAGCGGAACATGCACCCTTTGTAAGACTCTACAATGTAAAACATGTGATTCATTTTCTGGGTCTTGCTCAAGCTGCATCACAAATGCAGAGAATGATGGATCAGGAGGATGCAAATGTAAGGCAAACACGTTTTGGAAGCCAGGTAATTGTGAAGTGTGTGATATTCTTTGTTCTGTCTGCAAACAAACCAGCTATTTTGAATGTAGCAGCTGTGCAACGGGAAGCCAGATGGTAAATGATATATGCTTAAATGACTGCCCTTATGGATATGGAGCTTCTTGCACAGTAGTCTCAACTCCAGTTATTGATTTATTATTTGATATAACTGATTGAATTGTATAGGTTTTCAGTAATTAAAACATCGTATTGTCTTATATGAATATTTTTACTGAAATAATTAAATCATTGGGAATACTGATTTTTCATAATTAATATGTGCTCGAAGAAAGTGGTGGAGCAGACCCCGAAGCGCTGAGGTGCCATATTTAATTATATCCGGCAAGGTTTTACTAACCCTGAAATGGGCAGCATTACTAGGTAAGCAACTCTGTTACTGATTAAAGGCTAATCCTCAGTCTAAATTCGTGATTGGATTTTACATCGAGGGAAAGGAGAGCTCAGGCTTAGAAAGGGCAAGCCAGCAAGGTCTACAGGGAAAATTTAGACCAATTGGGCCACTGCCTAGTGTGAAAGGAGCTACCTCCAGAATCTGGATTTTACTTTTTGCCGAAAGGACTCCATTTTTTGGGATTTAATTGGCTAACCTTCGTGACTCATGCAGCAGCCGCAGAAGTCCATAGCCAATCCATTCAGTACTCGCCCTAAAGGGGGAGGAGTAGATGTCTTTGGGGAATCTGACTTTTGATTTTCATGCCAGTATGGTCTCAAGAAGATGAAGGGAAGTGTCCGAGCTGCTCTGGAGAGCGAACCAATTTTCCTGAGTCTAGCAAAGTAGAACCGGGACGGTGAGCCCGACAGAGTCCATAGTGACTGCGTAGCCAATACGGCAGACGCCCACTAATCCTAATGTTAATGCTAATAGTAATACTGATTTTCAAGGCTCTTATGGCATTTTTACTTCTGGGACTTCTTCAAGCACTTATCAGCCTTTTGTAACCCCTGAAGCAGTTGATCCTATACCTGCATATAAAAGAGGTCTTTATTTTTATGGGAACATGCATTTGCAGTCTTCATTGCCTGTTCCACTTTCTCACACCTTTTCTATGGCGACATGAGTTTGGGATATAAGTGATGACTTTATTATAAGTAAAGATCGGCTACAAATATCATCACCTGGATCTATGATAGTAAAACTGGAAGACAATATGCAAGGCTAAATTAAGATTGAAAAGAACTAATTACTTTTTTACCTCCCTTTAAGATGAATCAATTGATAAATCCTATTTTTCAGTAAATAAACCATAAGATGGCAAGCTCAGAAATCTCCATATTACTTATGTGTAAATATGCAAGTAGAATCAGAAATTTCATTAACACAAAGTAACCAGCTGGGAGGTTGAAATTTTATATCAATCGTAGTAGCTTATGCATCAAGTACAACTATTTTCGAAATTTATGTCAATGGAGTTTTAAAAAACTCATTAAGTAATCCTAATTTGATTTTTCGAGACCAATCATCAACTAATTTGAAATTAGGAAGAGTCGGCAGCTTTGGATTTGTTGGGTTTTTATATTCTTTTCAGCTGTGAAATGTAAGAATTAGTAATTTTGCAAGTATCCTTAATGGCTTTTCATTTTGTGGGGTTGGATTAACATCTTCTTGCTTATCAGCTTGCTCATTCTATTCATATCAAGATGGTGCTTCTTGCCCATCTTGCAACTCATGCACTAAAGGATGCGTTAGAGGAAATTCCTGCAATATTTGTTATGATATATTATGCTTAGTTTGTACAGGGTTTGGAGCCGGAAAATGCACTCAATGCATTTCTAGTGCTCATTTGGTTTCTGGCTCATGCTTTTGCAATCCTGGCTATGGGATTTCTATAGATGGACTCTCGTGTGCGTTATGTCCAAGCGGGTGTTCTCTATGTACTATTTCGATTTATAATAAATGCACTGCGTGCATTTCAGGGTTTTTCTTGTTTGCCTCAACTGGACAATGCTTAAGTGAGTGTCCATCGGGGTATATTAAAAATTCAATCACAAATGCATGTGATTATGCATCAAATATAGGAATAAGCCTGGATTTAACAGGCCAGATTCGTCTTGATACGGTTTCTGGGTTTAATGTAGGTATTAATAATGCTTATACTTATCCAAATTTTGATGCTAATGATCCAATTCCAGCTTATAAAAGAGGCTACTATTTTAAATTCAGCAAATATTTATCATCGACTGTAATGATAGCGCCATCATTTACAGTTTCTATATGAACTAAACCACTTTCAGATGGAATATTAGTAACAAAGTACATATCTAGCGATATTTTTAAGATAACTGTAGACCCATCTGGGTTTCCAGTACTCTCAGTAATATTTTCTGATTCAACTTCTACAACTTTAACAGCTTCTACAAGTATTTTAAACAGTTGGCATTTCTTAAGCTTTACAGGCCAAGTCCAGTCTGATGGAAAAACCATTATTAATCTCTACATCAATGCAGTATCTACTAGCTCTATTACAACTGCTTCTTTGACCTACTTTAAAGATACTACTTTAGGATACCTTTATATAGGAAACGATGAAACTTTTGGAACTTCAGGGCTTCACGGTTTTTTAGCACGATTAATAATATATAATTCGTATAGCAATCAAGCTGATGATTATGCTACTTCTTCATGCGTTTCTGGCTGCTCTACTTGTCCATCAAATCATTTGTGCTTAAGTGAATGCGATTTCGATAAATACCCTGATAGCTGCATAACTTGCACTGGCTGCATCCAAGGATGTGTTAATGACTTATCATGCAATCTCTGTAGAGATAAAGAATGCGAATCATGCACTACTTTTTCAGGAGAATGCACAAGCTGTATTACAAATGCTTATAAATCAGCTGGTCATTGTGTGTGTCTTGCAAATGCATTATGAGTTCCCAACTTCCAAAGCTGCGAGCTGTGCCATTCAATTTGTGCATCTTGCTCTACACTAAAATTTAATGGCTGCCTTACTTGTATATCAGGGTACTATCTGGTTCAATCTTTGTGTATGTCATTTTGCCCTACTGGATATACTGTAAATGGTAGTAATTGTAATGCTAATCCTGCTTATACCAATTTTTTTGTATTCAATTTGATGCCGCATCAAATAAAAGATGTCGTTACCGATTTAAAGTCAAATATACCAGTACTTACAGGCAAAGATAATAGCTTTTATCCTAATTACGATGCAACTGATCCTATAGCAACTATTAATAGAGGTTATTATTTTACTGGCTCATCTTATATGCAGCTGCCTCCTTATGCAGGTACTACGACACCACTACTAACTTTTGCACCAAAATTTACTATAGCAGTTTGAATAAAACCAATAGTAGGCACTGGGGTTATTTTTTCTAAGCAAGCTAACAGCGGATTATTTAAAAAATCGATCAGCCTTGAACTAACAAACAAATATCCATCTCTTACATTGACTCTAAAAGACTCATCCACAATTACTTATACAAGCTCTAATCCCTTATTAGAGGCTACCCTTTCTCAATGAAATTTTATATCAGCAATTTCCGGCATAAGTTCTACCCCTCAGCAAATTGTAACTTTATCTCTAAATGGAGCAAGCGATCTTTCAAGCGATTTAGCACCAAGCTGATTGAATGATTTAGAAAATTCGTTTTTAATAGCAATTGGGGCATGCTATTCAAGCCCTACATCTTTAGTGTCATCTTTTAATGGATTTTTATGGGATCTAAAAATCTATAATACACCAATAGCAGTCAGTAGTTTAGTTTCAAGTCCTTGCAATTCATGCTCCCTCTGCCCTATTGATAATAGCAATGCTTGTATTGATAATTGTGGTTTAGACAAATACTTAGATGGCAGCATCTGTGTAGCTTGTTTGTTTGGCTGCTCTAATAATGGCTGCGTAAGAAGTGATAAAAGCTGCAATTTATGTAAAGACGTTATCTGCAAAGTATGTGACGACTATACAAATACATGCATTACTTGCAAAACAAACGCAAATTTAGTAGGCACCAGCTGCCAATGCAATTCTGGGTATTATTGAAATACTATTAATGAAGTCTGCGAATTATGTGATATTTCTTGCGAAACCTGCATATCTTCTAGCTCTTTGGGCTGCTTATCTTGTGCAGATGGATATTTTAGTTCTTTAGGAGTTTGCAAAGCTGTCTGTCCTGCAGGATATTATTCTTCTCCAAATGGATGTATGCTAGCCAAAGAAAAATTTTTTGACTTAGACCTTAATACTCTGAATGGAGTCATTTATGATAAAGCAAACTCAATCCCAGTCATAACTGGGTCATCTGAACAATTTTATCCAGATTATGAAGCTGATGATCCTATCCCTGCTTATTTAAGAGGGTTTTATTTTAATGGGCAATCTTCAGTTTTAAGGCTGCCTGAGTATTCGACCTATACATCTCCAAATCTTCTAATTGGGACTGCCTTCACAATTTCTATATGAATTAATACAGAAATTTCTTCCTCTGCTCTGTTATCGAAACATGATATTACTAACAATTTTTCAGTGCTTTACTCAATCCTGTTAATAGGCAGTAAGCCAGCAATTTCATTGATTATAAGTTCATCTCCTTTCATATACCAGTCTCAAGCCTTGCTTAGATTAGATTAGATATAGTGGGTGTTTATTGTCCTTACTTCGCATTGGCAGATTTTGTGAGGTGCTAGTAGCCTGGCGGCATAGGTTTCACCCTGGTAACTTCAAACCCAGACCGAAACTCATGGTTCTTAGTAATGATATTGCCCTATTGGGTCAAAGGCCTTCGCTGGGCACTATCTGGGGCAAATTATGACCACTTGAGTTGGTGATTTACCCTAATCCATTTCGGGCGCTGCTGGCTCGAGTACTAATGACAAAAGAAGTTATGAGTAACTGCCCATTGGATCAGAAAATAAGCCGGTGGATTTATGCTTAAGTCCTTCGCTGCATGACACCAGATATTTCTGGCCAACTCCTGACTCTAAAACCATGCCCGGATATGCATGGCCATCATCACAATAGAGGACAGGCTAGACGACATCGCCATTTTATGCATATGCCAAACCTTGCTTAATAATTATGAATGAAGTCATATTGTATTTACACTAGAACCAAATAGCGGCTATAATATAATGTCAAGCTATATAAATGGCCTATCTGATTCCTCTGCAACTTCAGGGTATGGAGCTTTTTTTGATACAGTTTCTGATACTACAATTACTATAGGAGCCCAACTTAGCTCACAAGGACTTTATAATTATTATCAAGGCTTTATTTATAGTATTCAGATGTTTAGCATAATAAAACCAATATCAAGCCTGTCGACTAAATTGTGTAATGAAAACTGCAATGTTTGTCCAACAAACCAAATCTGCATCCCAAACTGCAAAATAAATGAATATTGGAGCGGGCCTGCTGATAATAAGTGCAATAATTGCAATATAAAATGCGAAAAGTCTTGCAGGGACTGACGAGACACCTGCTCACTCTGCAGTAATTTATTATGTGAAGACTGTATTGGATATTCATCAGCAGAATGCGTGACTTGCAAAGAAAATGCTATAAACCCTGACTCATGCATCTGCGATGATAATCATGCGCTAGGAACTCCAAATAATACCACTTGCATTCCTATAGCACAAGGCGGATTTAGAGGTCCTGATGGAGTCTTTTATCCCTGTCCAAGTCTCTGCACTCTTTGTGAATCTGCTACAAAATGTACAGCTTGTGTAGAAAACGCTAGCCTCAAAGCCGATCTCTGCTATTGCAATCTAGGCTACAATGGTATCAAAGCTTGTACATTGGTTCCTTTTTCAGCAAAACTTACAGTTTTCTTTGATAATTCCCTCTTGCTTACCTTTTCAGAAAGCCTAGCAAAAGATCTTAGAGTCTATGATTTTATAGTACTAATTGAAAAACAAGGAGAAATTACATGTAAAATTGAGCAAGTAAATAGCACCTTTTATTATATATCTTTAAACATAAAAGAGAAAATTTCTAAAGGCACATTAGCTAAATTGACGTTTTTAGATCTAAAAGAAGTAAAATCAGTGTCTAATGGCATCTTAAATTCATCAGATTTTACTGTAATTTTGAATTCTTATAATCCTGATCCATATTCCTCAGATGTTGCAGCAACTACATCACAAGCAACAGCAGTAGCGCAAACTACAGTTGCTGCAGCTCTTGCGTCATCATTTATAAGCCCAAATCCAAGCTCTTTATGAAGCATTATGAATACATTGCAAATTCTTACTCCCCTGAACGGGCATCAATATTTTAAAAATCCCTATTTTTGGGCAAAATACCTAACCTTGAGTTAGCAAAAAATTATTTTAACTCCACCCCCCCTTCCGTGAGTGAACAAAAAAAATTTTGTTCACTCACGGAGGGGGGTTAATTTTTTTTTTAAAAAAATTTATATATAAATTTTTATAAAAAATATTTTTTTTCGAAATTTAAAAAAATCCTAATTCGCAAAAATTGGAAAGCAAATATATAATTCAATTTGCAAAATTTATGTTTTAAAAAGCAATTTGTTCAAAATTAAACAGGATTAGCTCTAGATTTCATTATACTAATTATCATTTATATATTAATTTTTTTTCCATAAAAAATTTTTCTATTAAAAACATTTTTGTTCACTCACGGAGGGTGGGGTTTTTTGGCAAAAAATAGGGATTTTTCTAATGGTTTTGTTCACTCACGGAGGGGGGGAGTAAGTAAAAATACTTTGATATATAAGTGATAGATAATTCTGTTTATCTCAATTTTAAAACATAATTTTATAGGTTAAATTAATATTAGCTTTTAAGTTATTTCGATTGGGCTTCGAAAAAACAATTTTATATATAAGAAATAAATCCCTCTATAAGCGAACGTCGCTTGCCAACTGGAGGTTAGCTACTTGACTTTATCTGGAATTCCTTTTTCTAGCCAACTAAGAGCGTTTTTGAATAATCTGAACAGTTTTAACTTATTTCCAAATATGTTTTCTTATTTAATAGATGAACAAGAAGGAAATACTCCATATTCTCAAGCTCAGGATTTTGGATTTGAGACAGATCTAATTTTGATAAATCAAGGAAATGATTTTACATTGATATTGACTTCTATTGTAGCTCTACCATTAGTTTTTTATTTTTCGAAATGTTCTCATAGATGGGTTGGTAATAAGCTTACTCATTACTTATTTTTTTTAAATTATTTTATTTATTTTTTTCGAACCTTTGAACTTATCATAATTAAAGGTATTAAATATTTGTTTCCTTATAAGGAGTCAGAAAAACATTAAGGTCATATCAATTTGCATTTTATTTGAGATTTTGGATTCAATGCTATCTTGAATTAGGAGCTGCAGTTTGTATAGGAATTATCGAATTAAAGTTTACTAACGCAACACAAATAATCAATTTTATTATCTGTGCATCAGTCGGCATATTACTCATTATTACTCCAGGATTATTTTTTGCATTTTCCTATAAAAATAAAAAAAGGATCTTATTACATCAAAAAACATTTTTTGCCTCTTTTGGCTCATTATTTTATGAGTTTAGAACTGACCGAGAATTTCTAACGACCCAATATTATTTTGTGTTTTTTGTAAGGAGGCTTATTTATATAGCAAACTTAGTCTATTTAAGAAATTACCCAGAAACAGAAGTAACTATTAATATTGTGCTTTCCTTAATGACTATCATGCACCTATTAATTTATTGTCCTTTTAAAGACCAAATATCGCAATTAAGCAACTTAGTTTCTGAAATACTCATATGTATAATAATGGGCTCCACAGTTGCTTATTTATTTAATCTCGAGTCAAATGCGATGTCTAAAATTGAAAATTGCATTGTGATTATTATTGTCATAATAATAGGGGTTCAGTTACTTGCTTCTATAACTATTTTTGTTAGGACTGTATAGCCTAGGATAGATTTTGAGTTATCTTAGACTTTAACACTATGAGCAACTTCCTAAGTTTGATTTTCTAGACAAGTTGAAGAGTTGAAAATGCGATGCCTAATATCAATTTTCTGAGCAAGTTTAGTGATCAAACTCATGGAATGGCCGGTTTCTTCATATAATAGCGGTCTAAAATTGCTCATGGGCTATATATGAGTTTTTTAGAGCTAAGTTCAGCACTGGAAATATTGAAAAAGCAAAAATACTTCCAACTCACAGCCAAGTTGATCAAAAAATTATTTTATAATTTAATTTAGAAACCTTTATATTATCTATGACATTTAATTTTAATAAAATTAATTTAACTTAGGCATATGAGAAGAGCATCGATTTGATTTGTATATAATCACTAGATATCAGATAATATTTTTCAACATTTAATGATGGCTTAATAAAAAGTCTTTAAAAAGCTTAAAATTCAAGTATATTTGGAAATGAGGAAAGCAATTATATCCTAAAAACATGGTAAAATACCATTTCATAAGAGATATTAGTTTATCTATTTTCTTCGCCAGTCATCTCTAAAAGCCTATAGACTTTCCTAATTTCTAAAAATAATCACTATTTGTAGTCTTATTGCTTAAAAAGCTTATTTTTAAATTTTAATCGTTTTTGTTTATTTTTTAAGTTATTGAATGAGTTTATAATAAAAATGCTAAGGATCTTTATTTTAATCGCTCATGCTGTTTTAGTTCTTTCAGCTTGCCCAAATGATAGTTTAACTGCTGGTGGAAGACTTAGCTGCAATAAGCCAAAATACATGACTGACAACCTTATATGCACAGAGGAGTGTCCAACTCGCTTTTCAGATGAAAATACTTGTCCTAGCTGCTATAAATATTGCGCTGGGCCTGATCCTTCAAATACAATTTTATTCACTTTAGAATTTTCTGGTTTTCAAGATTTTACGTTTGACAAAATACAGGATCCCAGCGGCACAGAATTTTTAAACCCAGGAGGAATCCCATTTAATGATCAATCACAAAATTCCCCTTTACCTACCTTAGACCGTGGGTTTTATTTTGCCCCTACATCTGGGATGTCCAGCAACACAAGTTTTATCCCAGGTCTTTATTTTATTTTAAATTATGAATAAAAGCTCTTGAAGGTGGAGAAATTTTAAACGTCCTAATTGGCTCAATTTCTTATATAAGAATATCTTCAGTCCTTGGGAAATATCAATTTGATGCTTTAATTAATGGCTCAGACGGATCACAAAATTCTGTTTCAGAGATAAGTGCCAATTCATATTCATCATCTTGGCATTATGTGTCAATTTATTTTAGCCAGGATAATTGTAATACAGCCTCATTCAGCATTGATGCTGATGGAGGTACAGATTATAGCACATCATGGGCTGATTCTGAGATGAGTTTTCCTAGTGGGACTTATATTTGAAATCTTGGATCTACAAGTACAGTTGATTCGTTTAAAGGGTTTATTTATTGGCTTCAAACAAGGGTTGATAATGAAGTAAATAGCCCAACGTCGACTCCAACAGTTGATTGTGCTGATAAGCAGTACTGAGACGGAACTAATTGCAATGACTGTAATAATTCATGCCCAAATTGGCCTTGATGCATTAGAAGCGACTGTTCAATTTGCTTTTCGACAGATTGTAGCTCTTGCACTGGGTATTCTTTTGCATCTTGCTCTGCATGCACTACAGGAATCCCTCCATTATGCTGTGACCATCTAGCAATAGAATGCACCCAAACTTGGACAAGCACATTATGCAATTTTGGATTACCTAATGCAGGAGTTTGCTTATATGGGACTCCGTATGGAGCATGGGAATGTGGAGGGCACTATTGTTTTCCAGTTTTAACAGCTGATTTTAATACTCCATTTGCTGGGGTATATGCTTCAGAATTGATTACTGGTAGTAGCTCTACAAGCTATAATTATTGGAATAGCGCAGAAACGACTGATCCATTACCAGCTAAAAATAGAGGCCTTTATTTTGATTCGAATAAGTTTTTGAGTGGGTCTATAAATTTATCTAATACTTGAAGCATAGGAATTTGGGCTTATGCTATTTCTGGGGTTCTAATTAGTGATAGCACAAATACACTTATTTTTAGTGCTGCAGGAACTATTTATTTTGACTTATTTTCTCAATTAATAACGAACACTTTTATCATTACTAACTGTGAAAACATTTTTATAATAAGTCTTAATTAAAATTGAAGAAAAAATTTATTATTCTTATAATTTTTATTTCAAAAAATAATGTTAAAGTGTTCAAATTAAGATAAATTGATTTTTAAAGTATTTATATATAAGTTTAATTTTCAGAAATTTTTATTTTACTTTGTTATTTTCCAAATAACGAAAAAATACTTACTCCCCTCAATAGCAAACAAAAACATTGGAAAATCCTTTTTTTCTAGTAAAACCCTGTGAGCGGACAAAAACACTTTTATACATAAGTGATAATTATTATAATGAAGTCTCTTGCTAATTCTGTTTGATTTTAAAATTAAATTAATATTTTGCTTTCTAATTTTTACGAATAAATTTCAACAAAAAAAATTTAGCCCTTCTCTTTAGCGAACAAAATTTTTTTGTTCGTTCACAAAGGGGGAAGTTAATTATATTTATTGCAAAGTTAGAAACTTGAGACGGTACAACAGCAAGCTACACTGTATCGAATCCTATAACTTTAAAAACATGAAGCTATATTTCTTGTTCAGTTGGATTTATTAATAAATCTACGACAATAACTCCATATCTAAATATGATAGCTGGGACAGCAGTTACAGTTGCAAATTACGTATTTAGGCTTCCAGCTGGTGGGCAGCTGTATATAGGCAAAGGCTCTCCAAAATTCAATGGCTTTATAAGCTATTTTCAGCTATGAGGAGAAACCATTACAGACTTTTCTACACCCTATAATCTTTATGGCTTTACAGGTGGAGTGGTATCAACCTTATGGCCATGTGAGTATTCTTATTATTATGATGGAAGCAATTGCCAACCATGCTTAGCCTCAGGCTCTTGTACAATGGGATGCACTAGAGGGACATCTTGCTACATTTGTGATGATTTTTTATGCGCCCAGTGCTCATCTTTTTTATCAAACAGCTGTACGCTGTGCATTTCTAATGCTTCTGGATCTCCTTGCCAATGCAATTCTGGGTTTTATCAGCCTGCAAGCCAAGCTCTTTGCTCTCCTTGCAATACTAAATGTGCTTCTTGTGTAGGTCCTTTAGATACTTTATGCACTTCATGCAATTCTGGCTATTTTTTACTAATTAATAAGGTATGTCTAATAAACTGCCCAACAGGATTTATAGAGGATTCCTCAACAAAAACTTGCACTTTTTCATCAAGAATTGGGCTAAGCTTATCCCTTTACGACCAAATAAAGCTTGATTCAGTCTCAGGGGTGCAAGTTGGGCCTACCAGTAATGTTTATCCAACCTATGAGGCAGGCGATCCATACCCTCAGTATCTACAAGGGTATTATTTTAAATCATCAAGCTACATGCAAACGAATACTGTGATAGGTCCATATTTTGCTATATCTATATGAGTATTTCCAATATCTTCAGGTCCAATTGTAACGAAAATAGTTTCAGGGTTACAAATCTTTTGTCTAGAACTCAATGGCGGATTTCCCAAACTTTCGCTTACTCTCAGTGATTCTTCGTCACTTTCTGTTTTATCATCTCAAGATATCTTGACAAGTAGCTGGAGCTTTGTTTCATTTACAGGAAATATTAACTCAAGCAGCAACACAGTGACCATAAGCTCATATTTTAACTCAATATCTACAGGGTCAAGTACATCTTCAACACAAACTTATTTTCAGGACCAAAACACTGGTACTCTTTACATCGGAAATGCAGGCACAAGCAGTTTTGAAGGTTTTTTATACAATTTAAAAATTTTTAATTCAGCAAGTTATTATATCAACGACTATAAAACGTCAAGCTGCACTTCTCCATGCACTCAGTGTCCTAGTGACTATAACTGTCCTAAAACTTGCCCATTTTTGGAGTTTTATAATGGATCAGCTTGTGAAAGTTGTGCAGGATCGTGCACGAATGGGTGTAGATATAGCAGTTCTAGCGGTACATGCACCCTTTGTAAGACTCTACAATGTAAAACATGTGATTCATTTTCTGGGTCTTGCTCAAGCTGTATCACAAATGCAGAAAATGATGGATCAGGAGGATGTAAATGTAAGGCAAACACGTTTTGGAAGCCAGGTAATTGTGAAGTTTGTGATATGCTTTGTTCTGTCTGCAAACAAACCAGCTATTTTGAATGTAGCAGCTGTACAACGGGAAGCCAGATGGTAAATGATATATGCTTAAATGACTGCCCTTATGGATATGGAGCTTCATGCACAGAAGTTTCAACTAAAGTTATTGATTTATTCTTTGATATAATTAATTGAATTGTATAGGTTTTTCATTGTGTTGTCTTATACGATATTTTTCCTGAAATAATTAAATCATTGGGAATAGTGATTTTCAAGGTTCTTATGGCTTTTTTACTTCTGGAACTTCTTCAAGCACTTATCAGCATTTTGTATCCCCTGAGGCAGTTGATCCTATACCTGCATATAAAAGAGGTCTTTATTTTGATGGGAACATGTATTTAGAGTCTTCATTGCCTGTTTCACTTTCTCACAGCTTTTCTACGGGTACATGAGTCTGAGATATAACTGATGACACTGTTATAAGGAAAAATAAGCTACAAATAGTATCAGATGGATCTATGAGAGTAAAACTGGAAAATAATATGCAAGTAGAGTCATGAATTTCATTAGCACAAAGTATTTTGCTCGCAGCTTGAAATTACGTATCAGTCGTAGTAGCTTACGCATCAAGTACGACTATTTTTGAAATTTATGTCAATGGAAATTTAGTGAACTCATTAAGCAACCCTAATTTGATTTTTCGAGACCAATCATCTACTAATTTGAAATTGGGAAAAAGCAACAGCTCTGGATTTGTTGGGTTTTTATATTCTTTTCAGCTGTGGAATGTAAGAATTAGTGATTTTTTAAGTATCCTTAATGGCTTCTCATTTTGTGGGGCTGGATTAAAATCTTCTTGCTTATCAACTTGTTTATTCTCAGCATATCAAAATGGTGCTTCTTGCCTATCTTGCAGCTCATGCACTAAAGGATGTGTTAGAGGAAATTCCTGCAATATTTGTTATGATATATTATGCTTAGTTTGTATAGGGTTTGGAGCAGGAAAATGCACTCAATGCATTTCTAGCGCTCATTTGGTTTCTGGTTCATGCTTTTGCAATCCTGGCTATGGGGCTTCTATAGATGGACTCTCATGTGCGTTATGTCCAAGCGAGTGCTCTCTATGTACTATTTCGATTTATAATAAATGCACTGCATGCATATCAGGGTTTTTCTTGTTTGCCTCAACTGGACAATGCTTAAGTGAGTGTCCATCGGGGTATATTAAAAATTCAATCACAAATGCATGTGATTATGTATCAAATATAGGAATAAGCCTGGATTTAACAGACCAGATTCGTCTTGATACGGTTTCTGGGTTCAATGTAGGTATTAATAATGCTTATACTTATCCAAATTTTGATGCTAATGATCCAATTCCAGCTTATAAAAGAGGCTACTATTTTAAATTCAGCAAATATTTATCATCGACTGTAATGATAGCGCCATCATTTGCAGTTTCTATATGAACTAAACCACTTTCAGGTGGAATATTGGTAACAAAGTACATCTCGAGCGATATTTTTAAGATAACTGTAGACTCATCTGGGTTTCCAGTCCTCTCAATAAAATTTTCCGATTCAACTTCTAAAACTTTAACAGCTTCTACAAGTATTTTAAGCAGTTGGAATTTCTTAAGCTTTACAGGCCAAGTCCAGTCTAATGGAAAAACCATTATTAATTTCTACATCAATGCAGTATCTACTAGCTCTATTACAACTACTTCTTTGACCTATTTTAAAGATACCATTTTAGGCTACCTTTATATAGGAAATGATGAAACTTTTGGAACTTCAGGACTTCACGGTTTTTTAGCAAGATTAATAATATATAACTCGTATAGCTACCAAGCTGATGATTATGCGACTTCTTCATGTGTGACTGGTTGCTCTGCTTGTCCATCAAATCATTTGTGCTTAAGTGAATGCGATTTCGATAAATACCCTGATAGCTGTATAGCTTGCTCTAGCTGCATCCAAGGATGTGTTAATGACTTATCATGCAACCTTTGCAGAGATAAAGAATGCGAATCATGCACTACTTTTTCAGGAGAATGCACAAGCTGTATTACAAATGCTTATAAATCAGCTGGTCATTGTATGTGTCTTGCAAATGCATTGTGAGTTCCCAACTTCCAAAGCTGTGAGCTTTGCCATTCAATTTGTGCATCTTGCTCTACACTTAAATTTAATGGCTGCCTTACTTGTATATCAGGGTATTATCTGATTCAATCTTTGTGTATGTCATTTTGCCCTACTGGATATTTTATAAATGGTAGCAATTGTAATGCTTATCCTGCTTATACCAATTTTTTTGTATTCAATTTGATGCCGCATCAAATAAAAGATGTCGTTACCGATTTAAAGTCAAATATACCAGTACTTACAGGCAAAGATAATAGTTTTTATCCTAATTATGATGCAGCTGATCCTATAGCAACTATTAATAGAGGTTATTATTTTACTGGCTCATCTTATATGCAGCTGCCTCCTTATGCAGGTACTACGACAGCACTACTAACTTTTGCACCAAAATTTACTATAGCAGTTTGAATAAAACCAATAGTAGGCACTGGGGTTATTTTTTCTACCTCCTTGGCTATTGAGCAAAATCATTGGGGAGATTAGCCGCTTTATAAACAAATATAATTTTTTTTAGTGAATGCTTTTAATATAATCATGTTAATGAAATCACAGGCCAAATCGTATTATATTTAAAACATAAATTTTAATAATTAATTGAGTTTTTTTGGAATATCTCCAAGTGGGAATTAAGCAAGCTAACAACGGATTATTTAAAAAATCGATTAGTCTTGAACTAATAAGCAAATATCCATCTCTTACTTTGACTCTAAAAGACTCATCCACAATTACTTATACAAGCTCTAATCCCTCATTAGAGGCTACCCTTTCTCAATGAAATTTTATATCAGCAATTTCCAGTGGCTTCATGCCATTTGATCGGGAATTTTTGCGAGTGAGATATTTCCTGGGAAAATTTGGTCAAAATTTTTCCTATGAGGCATTTGTTTGGAAGAAACCGTCATTTTTCGATCAAATATCTCATAGGAAAAATTTAGATCAATGTCTCAGAGAAATGTCTCATATTAAAAGTCTATGAACCATTTCCAGCATAAGCTCTACTCCTCAACAAACTATAACTTTATCTCTAAATGGAGCAAGTGATGTGTCAAGCGATTTAGCACCAAGTTGACTGAATGATTTAGTCTCCCCTTTAAATTGGAAGAAAATTTCAGTAGATTTGCTTCTTTTCGGCACTTTACCCCCTTTGAATTATTTTCAATAGGAAAATTTTAACGATGAAAGTACCATTTTTATAAAATTAGTTTGATCAATTTAATAGATTAAGATTAAGATTAAGATTACGCTGGGTATTTAAGGTCCCTACTACGTCCGAGGTCGCATGCCACGGTTTCCCGTGTGGTGGCAGAGCGTTCACCAAGCCCGGGCCGAAACCCCCGGTTTTCTCGGTAGAGGTATTGTCAAGGGCCGTCTCATACCGGCTTTGCTGACCACCTCCATTTCCAACTTGGATCGTCGCCTAAGTTTACGCCAACTCCGCTTCGTCGTCCGCCAGATCTGCCCATTGAAGGGCACCTTTTCAACTGGAGAGACCCCCGTCTCAATGTCTAACTCGCCTCCCCTCTTTTCCGGTCATCCCGAGAAAGAACTCAACAGCTTTCGCCATTCGGGGCGAGCCACTAAAGCAGCTTAGGCAGGTAATTCACCCTGCCTCATTTCGGGCACTCACTGGGCTGAGCGCTGCTGGCAAAAAGAAGTCACGAATAACTGCCCATGGGTCTGGTCGCAAAAACAGCGGCTCTCGCGCTTAGGCCTCTCGCTTCGAGGTCCCAGACGTTGTTGGGCTAATTCCTGGCTCCAAAAACCATGCCCGGATATACATGGGTAACCACCACTGAGAGGGTGGGTCGGTCGCCATACGCCATTTTATGTATATTCAATTTAATAGATAAAATGCATGTAGAATGATATTCAAAAAGTTTCTAACACCGAATCTATTTATTTTTTAATTTAATTTTTACCTATTTTAATAGAAAAGTAAAAATAGAATGCTATTTAAACAATTTTATACTGAACCGATTAAATTTTTTTATTATTATTTTTCATAAATTATATTAAAATTTCTCAATTTATAAATTTTTAAAAATTTTAAAAAAAAAATTTATTGAGAGGATTTTTTCCAGTTTAGAGCGGGAGGTAGAAAAAATTCATTTTTAATAGCAATTGGGGCATGCCATTCAAGCCCTACATCTTTAGTGTCATTTTTTACTGGATTTTTATGGGATCTAAAAATCTATAACCATTTATAATAATAAGAAATTTTACTACCGTTTCCTATTCATTATGTTAAATAGAGACATTGCCCATTAGCAAGTTTTATACATTTTAAAGAATATATAATACACCAATAGCATTAGGTAGTTTAGCTTCAAGTTCTTGTAATTCATGCTCTCTCTGCCCTATTGATAATAGCAATGCTTGTATTGATAATTGTGGTTTGGACAAATACTTTGATGGCAGCATCTGTGTAGCTTGTTTACCTGGATGCTCTGCAAATGGCTGCGTAAGAAGTGATAAAAGCTGCAACTTATGTAAAGACGTTATCTGCAAAGTATGTGACGACTATACAAATACGTGCATTACTTGCAAAACAAACGCAAATTTAGTAGGCACAAACTGCCAATGCAATTCTGGGTATTATTGGAACACTATTAATGAAGACTGCGAATTATGTGATATTTCTTGCAAAACCTGCACATCTTCTAGCTCTTTGGACTGCTTATCCTGTGCAGATGGATATTATAGTTCTTTAGGAGTTTGTAAAGCTGGGTGTCCTGTAGGATATTCTTCTTCTCCAAGTGGATGTGTGCTGGCCAAAGAAAATTTTTTTGACTTAGACCTTAATACTCTGAATGGAGTCATTTATGATAGAGCAAGCTCAATCCCAGTCATAACTGGGTCATCTGAACAATTTTATCCAGATTATGAAGCTGATGATCCTATCCCTGCTTATTTAAGAGGGTTTTATTTTAATGGGCAATCTTCAGTTTTAAGGCTGCCTGAGTATTCGACCTATACATCTCCAAATCTTCTAATTGGGACTGCCTTCACAATTTCTATATGAATTAATACAGAAATTTCTTCCTCTGCTCTGTTATCGAAACATGATATTACTAACAATTTTTCAGTGCTTTACTCAATCCTGTTAATAGGCAGTAAGCCAGCAATTTCATTGATTATAAGTTCATCTCCTTTCATATACCAGTCTCAAGCCTTGCTTAGATTAGATTAGATAATGATGGGTAGTCACCACTTCTCACTGATAGCATTCTGTGCGGCGCTAGTCGCCTAGCATACTGCCAAATTGAGTGGCTTTCACCCTGGTAACTTCAAGCCCAGGCCGAAACTCTTACTCTAGGTAGTGAATTGCCCTATTGTATCAAAGACCTTCACTGGGCACCACCATCTTGAATTTGGTCCCTTCTACCACCCATTTACTCCTCTCTGCCTATCATATTGCTTCTGCTCCTGCTCGGAGCCCTTTAACTGAATAGACTGTCTTGCTATCTAGCATGCGTTCCTTATTTTCCAATCCATCCCTGAGGAAAAACTCAACTGTTTCCGTGATCCGGATAGGCCGCGATAGCAGCTTGAGCAAGTTATTCACCCTAATCCATTTCAGGTGCCTGCTGACTCGGTGATGCTAGCAATAAAAAGTCAAGTGTAACTGCTTATTGGATCAGGCCATAAATCAGCAGATTTGTGCTTTAATCCTTCGCTGCAGGACATCAGATATTTCTGAACCAACTCATGACTTCAATGCCATACCCTGATATAAGGATCTCCCCAATTTTCTAGTCTTTTATCATTTGTCAATTTTTCTAGATTTTTTATAGGAAAAAAAATTGTTTTAGGACCTCATTTGTCCAATTTTCTTACTCCCCCCCCCCAATCCTTGATCGAACGATTGACTGTAAAAATTCCTAAAAATTGGGGAAATTAACCCCCATCCTTGATCGAACGATTTTCATATCATGCAACTTTATATATATAAAAATATATTAGTTATCAAAAGCTTGGGAAGATGCACCTAATGAAGTTGTTTCAGGGACTTTGAGACGACAGAAAGCTTCGAAATCAACTATCCGAAGTGATTTAGTCATCAATCTAGGCTTAAAAAAATTAATAATCTAATAAAATAGAGATCTTTAAAATTTTAAAAAAAAAATTTAATTTAATAAGGAACAAATTAAAATTTATACAGTTTAAAGGGGTGACTAATAAATCAAAATATTAAAAATTGGTACTTTTATGAAATTAATTCAATTTTTTGCTCTAAAAAATAATTATTAAATACCCTTAACCCTCTTATTTAAAAGTAAATAAAAAAAATATATATATATATTTTTTATTTTATATATAAAATTTTTTTTCCCAAAAAAATTTTTTTTAACCCCCATCCTTGATCGAACGATGGCGAGTCGTTCGATCAAGGATGGGGGGGGGAGTTAACAAAATTTTTGATAGAAAAAAAATTTTTCAGCACCTCAATTGTCTCATTTTCTTGTTTTTTTTAAAGTAAAAAAACTAAAATTTAGGACATTCGAAAAAATCCAAAAAATACTAGAAAATGGGACAAATCATTTTTGACTAGATTTTTGGACATATGAGATCCTGAAAATTATTTTATCTTATAAAAAAACGACTAGAAAATTGGACAAATGAGGGGGGATCCTTATGTGCACCATCACACTAGAGGACAGGTCAGATGTCATCACCATTTTATGTATATGCCAAGCCTTGATTAATAATTATGAATGAAGCCATATTGTATTTACACTAGAACCAAATAACGGCTATAATATAATGTCAAGCTATATAAATGGGCGATCTGATTCCTCTTTGACTACAGGCTATGGAGCATTTACTGATACGGTTTCTCACACTACAATTACTATAGGAGCCCAACTTAGCTCACAAGGACTTTATAATTATTATCAAGGCTTTATTTATAGTATTCAGATGTTTAACATAATAAAACCAATATCAAGCCTGTCTACTAAATTGTGTAATGAAAACTGCAATGTTTGCCCAACAAACCAAATCTGCATCCCAAACTGTAAAATATATGAATATTGGAGTGGGCCTGCTTATAATAAATGTTATAATTGCAATATAAAATGCAAAAAGTCTTGCAGGGACTGACGAGACACCTGCTCACTCTGCAATAATTTATTATGTGAAGACTGTATTGGATATTCATTAATAGAATGCGTGACTTGCAAAGAAAATGCTATAAACCCTGACTCATGCATCTGCGATGATTAGATTAGATTAGATTAGTGGCATAGTTTAAAGACGGCCGAGGATTTTCACCTCTACAAATTCGTCATCACAATACAGGGCCCCGACTATCACCGTCTGCCTTGCTTAGGCTCGTCTACCTGGCTTGCTCCCGGGGCGTTCGTTCGCTTTCGGCTGGAGTCTGGGGCGTAGCTCCCAGTTTCAGGCTATGCACTTGCTGTTTTCAGAGTCCCTAATTGGAGTAGGGACAATGGCCGACTGTGCTCTTTCTAACTCAATGTTAGGAAGAAAAGCCCAATGTCCCAGGTATCATACCCTGTGGCACGAGGAAAACCTCTGCCGGTATGCCGAACCTGTGTCTCGACTTGGTTCCATCACCTATGCATCCCCTGCAGATTTTGAGCAAATTGCGTCAAGAGGTTGGGTGTTCGCTTCAGCCATATTAATGTATAGTGCATCTGCGATGATAATCATGTGCTAGGAACTCCAAATAACACCACTTGTATTACTATAGCACAAGGCGGGTTTAGAGGTCCTGATGGAGTCTTTTATCCCTGTCCAAACCTCTGCGCTCTTTGTGAATCTGTTACAAAATGCACAGCTTGTGTAGAAAATGCTAGCCTCAAAACAGATATCTGCTATTGCAATCTAGGCTACAATGGTATCAAAGCGTGTATATTGGTTCCTTTTTCAGCCAAACTTGCAGTTCTCTCTGATAATTCCCTCTCCCTTGCCTTTTCAGAAAGCCTAGCCAAAGATCTTAGAGTCTATGATTTTATAGTAGTAATTGAAAAGCAAGGAGAAATTGCATGTAAAATTGAGCAAGTAAATAGTACCTTTTATTATATTTCTCTGAACATAAAAGAGAAAATTTCTAAAGGCACATTAGCTAAATTGACGTTTTTAGATCTAAAAGAAGTAAAATCAGTGTCTAATGGCATCTTAAAATCATCAGATTATTCTGTGGTTTTGAATTCTTATGATCCTGATCCGTATTCCTCAGATATTGCAGCAACTACATCACAAGCAACGGCAATAACGCAAACTACAGTTGCTGCAGCTCTTGCATCATCATTTATAAGCCCAAATCCAAGCTCTTTATGAAGCATTATGAATACATTGCAAATTCTTAGCTATTTGACTTTATCTGGAATTCCTTTTTCTAGCCAACTAAGAGCGTTTTTGAATAATCTGAACAGTTTTAACTTATTTCCAAATATGTTTTCTTATTTAATAGATGAACAAGAAGGAAATACACCATATTCTCAAGCTCAGGATTTTGGATTTGAGACTGATCTAATTTTGATAAATCAAGGCAATGATTTTACATTGATATTGACTTCTATTGTAGCTCTACCATTAGTTTTTTATTTTTCGAGATGTTCTCAGAGATGGCTTGGTAATAAGCTTACTCATTACTTATTTTTTTTAATTATTTTATTTATTTTAGTTGTCAGGTACTTTGAATTAAATAATCATATCAAAAATTATATAAAAGTAATTAAATCTATAAAATATGCTTCAAATTTAATTAAATTTTATCATATTTAAAGGATTAAATATTTTAGAGGAAAAAATTTGATGTTTCCTTAAAGGAGTCAGAAAAACTTTAAAATCATATCAATTTGCATTTTATTTGAGATTTTGGATTCAATGCTATCTTGAATTAGGAGCTGCAGTTTGTATAGGAATTATCGAATTAAAGTTTACTAACGCAACACAAATAATCAATTTTATTATCTGTGCATCAGTCGGCATATTACTCATTATTACTCCAGGATTATTTTTTGCATTTTCCTATAAAAATAAAAATCGAATCTTATTACATCAAAAAACATTTTTTGCCTCTTTTGGCTCATTATTTTATGAGTTTAGAACTGACCGATTTCTCACAACCCAATATTACTTTGTATTTTTTGTAAGGAGGGTTATTTATATAGTAAACTTAATCTATTTAAGAAACTACCCAGAAACAGAAGTGACCATTAATATTGTGCTTTCCTTAATGACTATCATGCACCTATTACTTTATTCTCCTTTTAAAGACCAAATATTGCAATTAAGCAACTTAGTGTCTGAAATATTAATATGTATAATAATGGGCAGTACAGCTGCTTATTTATTTAATCTTGAGCCAAATGTGATGTCTAAAATTGAAAATTGTATTGTGATTATTATTGTCATAATAATAGGGGCTCAGTTGCTTGCTTCAATAACTATTTTTGTTAGGACTGTATATGAGTTTTTTAGAGTTAGGTTCAACACTGGAAATATTGATAAAGCAAAAATACTTCCGGCAGATAGCTAAATTGAGCAAAAAGTTAATAATGCAGATCAAAAAAATATTTTATAATTTAATTTAGAAACCTTTATGTTATATATGATATTTAATTCTAATAAAATTAATTAAACTTAATACTTACAAAGAATTAGAAAAATCGTAAAATAGCTTTAGCATTAATATAATAGCTTAGAGTAAATTGTGCTAAAATATTTAGATAATCTCAATTGTAATTATTTATCGATTTTTGGTTAAGAATACCTATAGTGAAGATACCAAACAAAGCAACTAAAAGAATTTCAGTTAAAATAAAAATTGATCAAATTTAAATAAACTTATTTTCGCTATACAAATTTTTATTATATTTAATTGGAAATAGCTATAGATCTTATATAATGACTTAGATCAATATATAATCAAATATTTCCTCAATAAAATTTTTTAGTTCTTAATGTCTAATTATTTATTTGTTTCACCATTATGCCATAATGACGTAATGAATTTTATTCTGATTATTATCTCCAAAGCTGTGCTCATCTGGTCATTTGGTCCACATGGCAACTATAATTGAGGAATAAAGCCTGTTCACTTTTATCTTAAACATAAAATTGACTGCTTAAAAGCAAATCCTTCCCTATTTAGTTGAATAAGCCAGAATATTAGCTTCAGCATCTACACAATACTAAGCGAAGATAAGGCAAATTCGCTTGAAATGAATTTTTCAAGTGTTCAAGATTTGGCAGCTACAAATTTCTCATACTCAAATAATTATCCTCAAAATTTGTTTATTCCAATCGCGGCTTCATTTCGCGCTAAGCAATCCCTGATAATATCTCCCTATCAGGAATTCTATTTTGATGCAGCTCCAAGCATCATAGAAAACCAAAATTTTACACAAAATCATTATTTTAGGTTAGATTTATCAATAAATCCGCTTACTTGAAAAAAAGCTTCGAATTCTTATGTATCGAGGTCAAACATTTTTTCAGAATTTTATAATGCACCTTATTATTTAATTGTGCTTTATGCATTTTTGATTCTATTTGCTCGTAAAATTCTGGATTTAGCAAATAGAGATGCCAAGCTCAATTTTCAGCTAATTACTATAACTGGCCTCATAGCACAAGTTTATTGCATTGCCTGTGGCTCTGGTTCTTTCTCATACCAAAACATGTTATGCTTGTCATATTGTCCTACAGGATATTTGCAAAATGCAGGTACAAATACCTGTGATTACAATTATCTTGTTACTCTTGCCATGATTTTAGATAATAAGATTATTCTTAACCAAGGGGGAGGGGTTTTGGCAGGAAATTCGATAACTAATACTTATCCAACTTATGATACAAATGATCCTTGACCAGTTAAATCGAGAGGCTACTACTTTAAATCTAATAGTTATTTAGCATCACCTCTTATGCTTTCTCCAACATTTTCAATTGCTATTTGGCTAAAGGCTCAATCAGCAGGAATAGTTCTAGTCAAAACTATAACAACATACCAATGGTTTGTCGAAATTTTGTACTCAGGATATCCTAGGCTTTCCCTACTTATTTCAGATTCATGAACTACAATTTCAGTAACAGGAAGTTCTAATGTTCTGAATGGATGATTCTTTATTTCATTTGATGGCTACATTAATGCTGACGGAACTACAACAATAAGCTCTTATATTGATGGATCATTCTTACAATCTTTCACAACAGCAACTGCATTATATGCAGAAGACAGTATTTCAGGGAATGCATATATAGGAAATGATATCATTGGATTTACAGGCTTTATTTGGAAAATGAAAATTTATTGCTTAAATAATTATTACTTAGATGAATGGCGAACATCAGGATGCACATCACCCTGCACAAAATGTTCAGCTGATTTAAGTTGTCCAAGTGATTGTCCATTAGATAAGTACATTGATGGCTCATCTTGTAAAGACTGTAAGACAAACTGTAATAAGGGATGTGTAAGTTCTGATACCTGCAGTTTATGTTTTACTAAAGAATGCGCTGCATGCACAGCATTCATAGGGACAGGGTCATGCTTGACTTGCATTACGAATGCTGTTAGTGATGGAAATGGAGGTTGTACTTGCGATTCATATGCATTTTGGGTGTCTTTAACTCAATCATGTGAAAGATGTGACGTGCTTTGCCCGAATTGCCTAAAAACATCTTATTTTGAGTGCTCAGCTTGTTCAGGGAGCTATCAATTAGTTGGAAATGTCTGTCTAAATGGCTGTCCTTATGGGTTTGGAGGGTCTTGTTTGCCTGCAACGACCCCTGTGATAGATGAGTCTTTCAATGTAGATTTTCAAGGCTCGTATGGAGTTTTGACAGCAGGAGCCAGTTCATCATCTTTTCAGTTTTTTAACACTCCAGAATCAGTTGACCCTATTCCTGCCTATATGAGAGGCTTATATTTTGATGGGAGTGCTTATCTTTTATCATCTACATCGGTACTCCTTTATCATAGTTTTTCTATTGGATTATGGCTATATGTAACAGCGAGTGGCGATATATTAGAAAAACAAACTCAGCTTATTTTGTCATCATCAGGAGTTACAGCTATTATGGAAGATCCTACTCAAACATTAGCCTCTAAAACTTTGTCTTTAGGTACAACACTGATTGATTGGAATTATTTGTCAGTGACTTTTGCATATTCATCTGGTAGTACAACTATCACAAATTTATACCTATTAGATTAAAAATTAATATAAAAAACCCTGAAAAAGTCTAATTTTTAGTACTTTTTATATGTTTTAAATATTAATTTGCAAGTTATTTAATAAAAATTAGACTATATCAACAATGTTGTAGCTTCAACCCTACCAGTTTCAAATTATATTTATAGAGACCTTGCTTCCACAAACTTAATGATTGGCAAAAGCAGCTCGTCTGGGTTTAAAGGGTTTATTAACTCTTTTCAGCTCTGAAACGCACCAATCAGCTCTTTTTCAAACTATATTAATGCTGTATGTGGATCAGGGCATGGTTTTCACAAAACTACCCATTATAATACTGTTATGTTAAAATAATATTCTTTAACATCAGAATAAAAACTACATAGATGGCTATAATTTCAGATAGATGAGCAAAATATCCAAATCCAAAAGAAAATAGGAAATTTAGACCTAATACTTTATAGTTTTTTTTCTTCCAAATTTAAAATAAATCCCAATTGAAAGCAAATATTTATTTAATTTGTAAAATTTATGTTTAAAATGCAACTTGTTTAATATAAAATAGAATTAGCTTGAAATTTCATTATAGAAATAATCAATTATATATTAAAATTTTTTGTTCGCTCACGAGGATGTATTTTGGGCAATATGATTTTTCCAATGGTTTTATTGGAAAATTCATTGAAAGAAAAACATTTATGGGTGATTTTCAACTTTTCCAAGGGCACGCTTGTTTATGGTCTTGTGACTTGTCTCATTTTTGAAGCGGATCTTCTTATTTATCCTGCAATTCATGCACCAAAGGCTGTGTAAGAGCCGGAAATTGCAATGTCTGTGACGATTTATTATGCTTAATATGCACTGATTTTGGATCAGGAAAATGCACTCAATGCGTTTCTAATGCTAGTATTATAGACACAAATTGCCAATGCAATTCTGGATATTATTGGAATGATACTAATGAAAGCTGTGAGCTTTGCGATATATCATGCAAATCATGTACATCTGCTAATTGGTATGATTGCTTGACATGCTATAATGGATATTATATGGTTAGTTAAAAATAAAGTAAAAGAGCTATAGAGTTATAAGAAATAGCCACTTGCCTTCAAATAGCCAGTCTCAGGATACCTTAGATTCAAATGAGGGAAATGGAAGGTTGCCCCTTTTGTATTTTTTTACATGAGCCATTAGTCCAAGGGATTAGCCCTCCTAGTTTAGAGCCATCATCTAGGAGATATTTCGCCTCAGAGTCTAATTTCCGTCAACGACACCATTTTGTTTCTTATATGGTTTTAGGAATTTGCTCTTCAAGCTGTCCATCAGGATATATTTCTTCATCTACAGGTGTGTGTGTATTTTCTCAAGAAAAAATATTTGATTTAAATTTGAATATACTGTCTTTAAATACTTGAAGTCTTAATACTATTGATACAATTTAACATTATTTCAAGTGATATAATATTTTTAAATCTTTCTGGTTTGGCCTTAGAATAAAATTTATAAAATAAAAATTAAATTAATTTGATTTTTCTTTAAATTATGTCTTGTCATTAGTTAACTAAGTCAATACTTTTAAAGATTAGAGTCCTTTAATAAAAGAATACTCTGAATGGTATAGTGTATGATGATGCAAGCTCAATTCCAGTTATAACTGGATCAGCAAAACAATTTTATCCAGACTATGAAGCCGATGATCCTATTCCTGCTTACCTAACTCTCCCCTTCGCGATAAAAATAATATCCTCGGCTGAGGGCTTTAATTATTAAAAAAAAAAAATTATCAAAAATTGGAAAATAAAAAAATTAGCTTGTAATTAGAATGAAGCAGTTAAAAGTCAACAGGATCAATAAGAGATTTTTATAATAATAATTATTGCTTATATATTCAAATAATATTTATAAACATTTTTTGCTTAAAAATATTTTTTAATAATGCTTTGCTCCAAAAAATACGGATTTTTCCAATGTTTTGTTCTCTCACGGAGAGAAAGTAAGAGGCTTCTATTTTAATGGAGAATCTTCAATTTTAAGGATGCCAGAGTACTCAACCTATACATCGCCAAAACTTGTTATACCCCCGACCTTCACGATTTCTATATGGCTTAACACTGAAACATCTTATTCAGCTATAATTTCAAAGCACGATGTTTCTGACAATTACTCAACGCTTTACTATATTTCTCTAATAGCAGGCAAGCCGACAATTTCGCTTCTAATAAGCTCATCTGCATTTTTTTATATTTCTCAAGCATCGCTTAATAATTATGAATGGAGCCATATTGTATTTACTTTGAAAATGAACAGTGGCTCTAATATAATTTCAAGCTATGTAAATGGGTTATTTGATTCTTCTGTGACGACAGGATATGGAACTTTTAATGATATAGGTCCTCACACCACAATGACTATAGGAGCTCAAATTAGCTCTTCAGAAGTTTATAATTATTATCAAGGCTTTATTTATACTATTCAGATTTTTAATGCAGTAAAACCTATATCAAGCCTATCAACTACATCTTGTACTGAAAGCTGTAGTGTTTGTCCTAGCAGCCAAGTATGCATACCTAACTGCAAAATAAAAGAATATTGAAGCGGCCCAGCCTATAACAAATGCTATAGTTGCAATATTAAATGTAAAAAAAGTTGCAGAGACTGACGAGATACTTGTTCGCTTTGCAATAATTTATTATGTGAATCCTGTAGTGATTATTCAAGCTGTGAAGTTTGTAAAGAGCATGCTATTAACCCTGATTCGTGTGCCTGTGATGATAACTATGTACTTGATGATACCCAAAGTAATACATGCATTCCAATTGAGTCTGGCGGATTCAAAGGAGAAGATGGGCACTTTCATAAATGTCCAAATTTATGCTCATCTTGTGAGTCTCTTACAAAATGCACAGCTTGTACAAGTAATGCTAGTCTTCAAAACGACCTATGCTCTTGCAACTTAGGATATAATGGAACAGAAAGTTGTATTTTAGTCTCTTTTTCAGCAAAGCTTACAGTTTTGGCTGATAACTCTTTATATCTGACTTTTTCCGAAAGTCTAGCAAAAAATCTAACTATTTCAGATTTTGTTATAATAATTAGAAATCAAGAAGAAATTTCATCTAAATTAGAAAAAATGAACGACACATGCTACTATATTTCTTTAGCAATTACTGAGAAAATTTCCCAAGGTACTTTAGCTATTATACAATTCTTAGATCTATCAAAAGTAAAATCGATATCAAATGGTATCTTAAATTCATCAGAGATTTCTGCAAGCTTAAACTCATATGATCCAGAATCAAATTCGCCAGTTACTGAGTCAGTCTCATCTCAATCCCAAACAGCATCTCAAACAACTGTATCTGTAGTTGCTTCTATGTCAATTATAAATTCAAGTCCAAGCTCTTTATGATGCCTGATGAATACTTTGCAAATTCTGAGCTACATGACTTTATCAGGAATCCCTTTTTCAAGCAAAATGAGGTCATTTTTGAATAATTTGAATTCTTTTAATTTATTCCCTAACGTTTTCCAATATTTTATAGATAAAAACAAAGGAAATACTCCATACTCTCAAGCTGAAGAATTTGGATTTGACACTAATCTAATCCTAATAAATCAAGGAAATGATTTTACATTGCTATTAGGCTCAATTGCAGCTCTACCTTTAATTTTATATTTTTCACGATGCTCTAATAGATGGATAGGTAATAAATTTACAAAAAGATTGGGAGATTATCAATATGCCTTTTATTTTAGGTTTTGGATTCAATGCTATCTTGAGTTAGGAGCAGCTGCATGTGTTGGACTTACAATTTTTGAATTTACCAATATTACACAAATTGCAAATTTTGCTTTGTGTTTATCTCTTTGCATATTACTAATATACTAATTGACCAAGAATAGCCCACTAAGGAGCCATTCTTGGTCTGCCAGAAAAAATTTTGACAAAAGATCCTAATCTGCCATTACCACTGAGTTTTGGTATTTCCAAATTTTTTGGGCAAGCCAAATGCAATAAAAAAAAATTGTTCTTTTGCGATGATGCATTTGGCTTGTCAAAAAAATTTGCAACACCAAAACTCAGTGGTAATGGCAGATTAGGATCGTTTGGTGTTTCCAAATTTTTTTGACAAGCCAAATGCATCATCGCAAAAGAACAATTTTTTTATTGCATTTGGCTTGCCCAAAAAATTTGGAAACACCAAAAACTCAGTGGTAATGGCAGATTAGGATCTTTTGTCAAAATTTTTTCTGGCAGACCAAGAATGGCTCCTTAGTGGGCTATTCTTGGTCAATTAGTATAGCTACTCCAGGTGCATATTTTTGGTTTTCTTATAAAAATAAAGCCCGCATTGAAACCCGTGATAAAACATTTTTTGCCTCGTTTAGCACTTTTTTTTATGAGTTTCGAACAGATAAAGGACTGATAACAACCCAATACTATTTCCTATTTTTTGCTAGAAGGCTCGTTTATATAATAAATTTGATTTATTTAAGAGATTATCCACAAACCGAAGTGACTGTGAATATTGTTCTTTCCTTTTTAACTATGATGTACTTAGCTTTGTGCTGGCCCTTTGAAGATCAAATTTTGCAAATAACCAACTTAGTGACTGAAATATTGATTTTCTTAATTATGAGCGCTACAACTGCTTATTTATTTAATTTTGAGCAAGAAGTTATAGAAGGGATTGAGGATTTTATTATCATAATTGTCCTAGTTATTATAGCAATTCAAACAATTTCTTCAATAATTATTTTTTCTAAAACATTATACCATGCTAGAAAAGAAAAACTTGTGAAGTCAGGAATTGTCAAAGAAAACAATAATTTGCAATGTAATCGTATTAGAAAAATTCAAATATAATAATTAAGCAAAATGTGAAGCTTTAAATGTTTAAAAAATTATAATTTAGCTATAATGATAATTATTTTCCGTTGAAAACTGATAAAGCTTAGGTTTTAGATGTTTGAGCTTAAAAGCAAAAAATAATCTGCTGGAGAGATCTAATAACATTTATATTTTAATTGCAGGTTTTTATTTCAGATTTGTCAATACTCATTGAACTAAAAATGGTCAAAATAAAAATAGGGTCTCATTTTAAACATGTTAAATTAAAAATAATTATTTATTTATTTTAATAATTTAATTTGAAGCAATTGGAATAAAATATTCAAAGTAAATGTTGCTAGCCACTTGAGAAGCATTTCAAAAATCCTATTTATAGAAAAAATTATTCAAGTTTCAGAATTAAAATTTTCTTTCAATAATGGTTATCAAAGCTAATTATATACTCTAAACTTAAATTAAATCTTTAAATTTTTCTTACAGTTGCTTGAATTATACGCAATTCAAATAGATAGCCCTATCAATGGGCTAATTGCCTGTTAAAATTACAATTTGGTCCAACAAATTGTGAACTGAAGGGCTTCTAAAGGGAATTTTCTATTGAATATTTTGAAATTTGAAAAATACTTTTAAGGTATATCTTAAAATTATTTTAACGCTGCTTAGCAGCATTTCTCCCTTTTTTTCTCTCTGCTTTCTCCAACCACTCCAACAACTCCAGCAATTCCAATAACTTCAGCAACTGCAGCAGCTACAGCTACTCCTACAATTCCAACAACTCCAATAACTCAAACATTCCAACAACTCTAACTCCCCCCCCCCCCCTCCGTGAGCGAACAAAAAAATTTTTGTTCACTCACGGAGGGGGGTTAATTTTTTTTTTTTAAAAACAATTTATATATAAATTTTATAAAAAAATATTTTTTCGAAATTTAAAAAAATCCTAATTTGCAAAAATTGGGAAGCAAATATTAATTTAATTTGCAAAATTTATGTTTTAAAACGCAATTTGTTTAAAATTAAACAGAATTAGCTCTAGATTTCATTATACTAATTATCACTTATATATCAAAATTTTTTTCCATTAAAATTTTTTCTATTAAAAAAATTTTTGTTCACTCACGGAGGGTGGGTTTTTGGTCAAAAAATGGCGATTTTTCTAATGGTTTTGTTCGCTCACGGAGGGGGGGGGGAGTAAGCAATTCCAATAACTCCAAACAATTCCAACTTCTACATCAACAGATCCAGCTTCATCTACCACATCAAGCTCAGTAGCAACTCAGCAATAAATTAGTTCTTTCATTTTCATTCAAAAAACAATCATTATACAGATGGATTTCATTCTCATTTCACCTACATCTCTCATATTTGGGACTCTGTCTTAAATGCCTTAAATTCTGTGAATACGATGCTGCACTAAAGCCGGCCCTTAATTTGAAGATATCAATATCATACTTCTCACTTTTCCGTCCAAAATTCAAATCACCATCTTTTCCAATTACTACTTTTTCGCGGCACTCTCGTCTTCATCTTGACCTTTACCTTTCTCGATAAGCTCTTCATCTACATCGTTTCCAGTATTATTTAAACTTTCTTTTTCATATTCTGCATCTTCTTCTTCAACTTGACTCCTAATTCCTCTTCAAATTCATAATCTTGTCTATCTTCATAACTCAGTGACCCCTCCGTGACATCATCATCCAATCCACACATGACATCAGTTCCAGCATCTAGGAGCAGGCTAAATGCAAGCTCAGCATCTCCTCCACATGCTTCCAGCATTCTCATAGCAATTTCCAAGTCAAAACCTAAGTTCTTCAGCATAAATCCTTTTTCAAAAATTTCCATCAAAAAATCAAAAAATAAAATTCAATTTTACTTTTAAGGTATATAAATCCTTACTCCCCCCCCCCCCCCTCCGTGAGCGAACAAAAAAATTTTGTTCGCTCACGGAGGGGGGTTAATTTTTTTTTTTAAAAAAAAATTTATATATAAATTTTATAAAAAATATTTTTTTTTCGAAATTTAAAAAAAATCCTAATTTGCAAAAATTGGGAAGCAAATATTAATTTAATTTGCAAAATTTATGTTTTAAAACGCAATTTGTTTAAAATTAAACAGAATTAGCTCTAGATTTCATTATACTAATTATCACTTATATATCAAAATTTTTTTCCATTAAAATTTTTTCTATTAAAAAAATTTTTGTTCACTCACGGAGGGTGGGTTTTTGGTCAAAAAATGGCGATTTTTCTAATGGTTTTGTTCGCTCACGGAGGGGGGGGGGGAGTTAAATATTTATAATGAGGAGCAAATAGGAAAGCAAAATATAGGAAATATATCTTTAATATATTTCCTGATTCTAAAAGCTTAATGGACTTAAATATAATTTTTAACTTTTCTAATTTCTTTAATGTAAATTTGCTATTAGTTTTATTTACTATAATCCCTTTCATAAATTTCATTTTGCTTATTTATGGTAAATTGATTTCAAAATGTCAAAAAAATTTTAACATACCATAGACTCAGTTTTATATATAATGAGATGTCTAAATTTTTTTGACATTTTAAAATCAATTTACATATAAGTAAAATAAAATATTACTAATAAATTATAATGTTTTAATCTGGCTTTTATTTCTAAAATTATTTGGTCAGTCTATTCTATTCAAATAGCAACTTGAAGCCACAACTTTTGACTTTCTGGCATCTAAATGCAAAGCTGGCTCAGAATTGCACATAGAAATTTACCCATTGGCCAAAATAAATACCTCCTAAATAAAGACTTTATTTATAATTTTTTTTATTAAAAAAATAATTTTCAACTTTTTTATATTTATTTCAACAAGCCTATTTAATTTTGAAATTTCATTTGAGTTTAGTGATAGTAATAAGATTAATATTATAAATCTTCTAGTCTCATTCTTTCTAATGCCTTGTCAAGAGCGATGCAATATCGACCGACTTATTAGGAGCTACGCGACTTTAGAACTTCTTTCACCTCCAGTCCAGCATGTCTCTGTCTGAGCAACTTGTTGCTAATAAATAGTGCCTATTGGCTTAGGATCCTCAAGGAATCAATTGTAATTCTAATAAAATCTGCTTTCCGCGTTTCGCACTTTTTCTTGGCTGAAAAGCTCATTTCATGTACAATTTATTCAGATGCAATATACACCACCATCTTGCATTTTATTTTTCTCGAAATTCTACCCGAGATTTTTCTTCAAACTGCGACTGGAGCATAAGTATTTGTAGGACTGCTGAAATCTGCTTTCCGCGTTTCGCACTTTTTCTTACTCCCCCCATCCTTGATCGACTCGTCATCGCTCGATCAAGGATGGGGGTTAAAAACAAATTTTTAGGAAAAAAATTTTATATATAAAATAAAAAATATAAATATATTTTTTTTATTTACTTTTAAATAAGAGGGTTAAGAGTTAATAATTATTTTTACAGCAAAAAGTTGAATTAATTTCATAAAAGTACCAGTTTTTAATATTTTGATTTATTAGTCACCCCTTTAAACTGTTATAAATCTTATTAAATTAATTTTTTTTTTTTTAAAATTTTAAAAAATCTCTATTTTATTAGATTATTGAGTTTTTAAGCCTAGGTTGATGACTAAATCACTTTTTATAGTCGATTTCAAAGCTTTCTGTCGTCTCAAAGTCTCTGAAAGCAACTTCATTAAATACATCTTCGCAAGCTTTTGATAACTAATATATTTTTATATATATAAAAATTGTCATGATATGAAAATCGTTCGATTAAGGATGGAGGTTAATTTCCCCAATTTTTAGGAATTGTTACAGTCAATCGTTCGATTAAGGATGAGGGGGAGTTAGCTGAAAAGTTTCTTTTCATGTACCATTTTGTATGCGCACTCTCATATTGACTTACACCATCTTGAATTTTATTTTTCTCGGAGTTCTACCTGAGATTTTTCTTCTATAACTGAAGGATAAGCACTTGTAGGGTTACTAAATCTGCTTTCCTAGTTTCGCATTTCTCTTACTCCCCTCCATGAAAAAAATTTTGTTTACTCACGGAGAGGGGTTAATTTTTTTTTATATAAATTTTATGAAAATTTTTTTTTTTCGAAATTTAAAAAAAATCCTAATTCGCAAAAATTGGAAAGCAAATATTAATTTAATTTATAAAATTTATGTTTTAAAAAGCAATTTGTTTAAAATTAAACAATATTAGCTCTACTAATTATATTTATATATCAAATTTTTTTTCCCATAAAAAATTTTTCTATTAAAAAAGTTTTTTTGTTCACTCACGGAGAGTGGGTTTTTGGGCAAAAAATAGCGATTTTTCTAATGGTATTTTTTGTTCACTCACGGAAGGGGGGAGTTAGCTGAAAAGTTCGTTTCATATGCCATCTACTGTATATAATTAAAAATATCTATTTTATTTAAATTTTTAAATTAAAATTTCGATTAGCAGCTCAATCCTTCTTTTTTACTTTAACTCCCCCCATTTAATAACGAACAAAACCGTCATTTTTTTTTCCTAAAAAATTTTTTCTTTGGCCCCATTTTAATAACGAAAAAAATTTACTATAAAATTATATAAGCTAATTTAGTCTCTACAGTTTACGGTTTTAAGTAGTTAGAGTAAGATAAGGACAAGTATAATCGAGCAAAGAATAATAAATAAGAGCTAATAAGCTACTAGTGACTTAATCTTAAGCTGGCTCTTACTCCCCCTCTCCGTGAGCGAATAAAAAATTTCGTGAGGGGGTTTATTTTTTTTATAAAAAAAATTAAAAAAAAATCTTAATTTGCAGAAGTTGGGAAGCAAATATTAATTTAATTTATAAAAATTTATGTTTTAAAAACGCAGTTTATTTAAAATTAAACAGAATTAGCCAGAGATTTCATTATAATAATTACCGTTTATATATCAAAATCTTTTCCATAAAAAATTTTCCGAAGTTTTAAAAAAAAAAAAAATTTTGCAAAAATTGGGAAGCAAATATTAATTTAATTTATAAAATTTATGTTTTAAAATGCAATTTGTTTTAAATTAAACAGAATTAGCCAGAGATTTCATTATAATAATTATCGCTTATATATCAGAATTTTTTCCATAAAAAATTTTTTATTCGCTCATAGAAGGTGAGGGATTTTTCTAATGATTTTATTAGCTCACGGAGGAGGGGAGAGTTAGCAATAGTTATCTTTTCTCCTGCATTTAGGCGATTTCTCTTTCTATTGTCATCATTTGACTCCTTTTATTATTAACCCTTTAATTGAAATGTTTATATAAAAATCATAGATATTTAATATAAATTTTTATATATTTTTTTCCCAAAAATTTTATAAGTTAGAGACCCCATTTAATAACGAACAAAATAGTGTTCGTTATTAAATGGGGGGAAGAGTAAGAGAAATTCTTTTGTGTTCATTTTGAGATAAACTTTACAATCAGATTCTGTTATTTTGGATTTGAATAAGGCCGAATAGATCAGGATTAATTGCGACTGAACCAATACCTAATAGAGGAGTTTGATTCAAAGTAATGAGTGTGTTGTCAGATTCCATAATTAATATTTCAATTTTAAAGTCACATGTCAAAAAATTTAGGTCTGTCAAAATTTTAATAAAATGGAATTAACACACTAATCTCAAACAGGCCAAGAGGTAAAGTAGCAAAGGTCTTGCTTTCTCAAGTAGCAGGGAATCACGAGAAAGGAAGCTTATTGCACTTTAGTGGTATTAAAAAAAAGCAAATCTAGTATTTATCGACCTAATTAAGGTTAAAAAGAGACTATTCCCTTGTGGCCTGGGCCGAAACCCCAATTTTTTTGGTAGAAGAATACCCATGTGTCCTCGAATCCAATAGACGCTGTTGAACACCTCCATTTCCAACCACAGGGAAGCAGCCAAAACATACCCGGATGCACACCTCTTGAGCCTGCACTTGATTTTCGGCTCAGAGTCCGTCCCAGTTTGCCGTGGCCATAAGGTCTGAACTGTTGCGCCAAGAGGGTGGGTTGACATGTGCCACCATTTTAATGTATTTTAATTTGAAAGCAACTAGAATAAAATAAGCGTTGTTAACCACCGAGAAGCGTTTCAAAAATCCCATTTTAAAAAAATATTCGAATTTCATGAATTAAAATTTTCAAATAAGTGATGCTTATTGTAACTAGATTGAAGCTAGCTATATATCGAATTTATACCTCAAACTTAAATTATATAAATTATTATAAAAAGGCTGAATAATTATGCAAAATTGAATTATTTGGAATTTAAAGAAAGCTTCGACATATAAAAAATTAAATTATATATAATTTCATATAAAAGAATCAGTCTTTTGTCAAAATAAAAGCTAAAATGATAAGTTTTATTATTTAATTTTTGTTATCTCGCATGAATTGACCTTTAAAAAATTTTGTTTTTCTAGCTTATATTTGATAATCTTATATAACGTCCTTACAGAAATAACTATTGAAGCTAAAATCTGAATTCCCATAATAGCTATTACAATTGCTACAATCGCTTCCTCAATAATTGACAAAATTTCTTGGTCTAAATTAAATAAATAAACAGAAATAGCGGTCATTATGAAAAAAATACCTATTTCAGTCAATAAATTACAAATTTGTAAAGTAGAGTCTTTAAATGGCCAAAAGAAAATTAAATGCATTATAGTCATTATTGAAAGAATGACATTAATTGTTACTTCAGTTTGTGGATAGTTTCTTAAGAAGACCAAACTTATGATATAGATAAGTCTCCTTATAAAAAATACAAAATAATACTGTGTTGCAAGTAACCCTCGATCAGTTCGAAATTCATAAAAAAACGAGCTAAATCGTCTATTAAAGGTTTTTTCTCGTGACTGGATCCTATTTTTATTTTTATAAGAAAGCCAAAAAAACACTGCTGGAGTAATAGCATGCAAAATATAAATAGCTATACATATAAGAAAATTCGCTATCTGAGTGATATTATTAAATCCAAAAGTAATAAGTCCAATACTTGCAGCTGCTCCTAGTTCTAAATAGCATTGCATCCAAAATCTCAAATAAAAGGCAAACTGATAAGCCTTAACAGTTTTCGTAAATTTCTTACCAATTCATCTGAATGAGCATCGAGAAAAAAATAAAATAATAGGAAAAGCTAAAAATGAAGCCAATATAAGCGTAAAATCATTTCCAGTATTTAATAGTATCAGATCAGTCTCAAAACCAAACTCTTTTGCTTGAGAATAAAGAGTTTTTCCTTCATCTTCATTCGTAATATATATAAATGCATTTGGGAATAAGCTAAAGGAGTTCAAGCTATTCAAAAAGGCTCTTATTTTTTTAGACAAAGGGATCCCTGATAATGTCAAGTAACTGAGGATTTGTAAAGTATTCATCATGCTCCATAGAGAGCTCGGATTAGGATTGATAATCGATAAAGCAGCAGCTACAGCAACAGTCGTCTGAGCTATTGCTTCTGCTTGAGAACTGACTGCAGCAATAGTAGGCGAATATGGCGCAGGGTCATAAGAATTTAAAGATGCTGAAATTTCTGACGAATTTAAGAGCCCATTTGAGACTGATCTCACTTCTGTCAAATTTAAAAACTCAAGCGTAGCTAATGTCCCTTTAGATACTTCTTCTGAAATTTTTAAAGTAATATAATAACAAGTATTATTTACTTGCTCAAATTTATAGGAAATATTTCCTAGCTTTGCAATTTTTATGGTAAAATCATTTGTAGTAAGGATTTTAGCAAGACTGTCTGAAAAAGTGAGATAGAGAGAATTATCTGATAAAACGGTGAGTTTTGCTGAAAAAGGAACTAAAATACAATTTTTAGTACCGTTATAGACTATATTGCAATAACAGAGATTATTAATTAGACTCGCATTTTCTACACAAGCAGAGCATTTAGTAAGGGATTCACAAATAGTGCAGTAATTTGGACAAGGATAAAAAATTCCACTAGGATCTCTAAATCCGCCAGCCTCAAGAGGAATGCAGCTGCTATTATTAGAAGCATCTAATACATAATTTATGTCACAGATACAGGAATCAGGATTAATTGCATACTCTTTGCAAGCTGAGCATCCAGAAGCTGAATAATCAGTGCAGATGTCGCATAATAAATTACTACAAAGTGAACATGCAGATCGCCAGTCTCTGCAGGTTTTCTTGCATTTAATATTGCAACTATAGCATTTATTATAAGCAGGACCACTCCAATATTCATTTATTTTACAGTTTGGAATGCAGATTTGGCTTATTGGGCAAACACTGCAGGGTTCGGTGCAAGATGTTGTCGATAGACTAGATATTGATTTTACTGTATTAAATATTTGAATAGTATAAATAAAGCCTTGATAAAAATTATAAACTGCTGATGAGCTTATTTGAGCTCCTATAGTCATTGTGGTATGAGGGCCTATATCAAGAAAAGCTCCATATCCTGTCATTCCTGATGAATCAAGCATTCCATTTATATAGCAGGAAATCTTATTATACCCATTTTGAGCAACTTCTAATGTATATACAATATGGCTTCATTCATAGTTGTTGAGTGTTGCTTGACATGAGTAAAAGAAAGGGGATGAGCTTATTAGAAGAGAAATTGCAGGTTTACTGCTTATTAATGAGATAAAATAAAGAGCTGACTCCATAAAAATTTGTTTTCTGATAGATAAGGGGTTATTTTTTATGAATTTTTTTATGTAAGCTATCTAAAATTTAAGCAAAATCAGCTTGAGACTACATTATAATATTCATTATATGTCAAATCCAAAAAAAATTTGCTCACCAAAAAGGAGTAATTTTAGATTTTTTCCAATAGTTTTGCATCTAGTCAAGGGAGGAGTGAGTAATTATCAGAAATGCTATTTTTTGACAATAGAGCTGAGAATGATGTTTCGGTGTTTAGCCATATAGAAATAGTAAAGGTTGGGGCTATAATGAGTTTTGGATATGTATAATTTGAAAATTCAGGTAGCCTTAAAACTGAAGACTGACCATTAAATCAGAATCCTCTCAGATAAGCAGGGATTGGGTCGTCAGGTTCATAATCTGGATAAAATTTATTACTCTCCCTTTCAGTGATTAAAATATGATGCCTTAGATAGAACTGATATAGAAAATAAAATAATTTAAAAATCAAAATGTGCGCTTGCCCAGAAAATGGAAAATAAAGCCATAAATGAATGCTATTGCTACTTAAAATATGAAGCTATAGATAGAACCTATAAGGCGAAAATAATTTTTTTTTATAGTTAGGAAAATCAAGATTGAGATATAACAAAAACATTTTAAAAAATCAAAATATGTACTTTTGTAAAAAGCAGAAATTAAAGATACCAAACAATTGAGCTATTTTAGCATTATAATCTGAATATTTCTCTAAATAGCGAGGGGCTTGGCCTATGATATACACAATGTGAAGTCCATTAGAGCGGTTATATTTTAAATAGGCTGATCCATAAAGGTTTATGAGCTATAACTATATTATTAGCATTTTTAACCCTAATAAAAACTATTTTTTAAAGCTTTTAAATTTTATTTTAATTCCTTAAAATTAATTATAGCTTTTGGGCTATTTCAAATTTGCTTATTTTTATGAAAGAATTAGTAGAGCCCGTAGCAACTGGTATTGAGCTTGCTTTATCATAAATGATTCCATTTAGAGTATTCAAATCTAAGTCAAAAATTTTCTCCTGCACTAGCATACACCCATTTGCAGACAAAGAATACCCTGACGGGCAGCTACCTAAACAAATTCCAGTAACCTTATAATAGCTATCAGCACATTCCAAGCAATCCAAATAGCTAGCAGAAGTGCATGTTTTACATGAGACATCGCATTTTACACAAATATTTGTCCCTGGATTGGCAATATACCCCGTTGGGCATGCAGTTAAGCATTCACCAGTATCTTCATAGAAAAAATATCCTGAAAAGCATGCTTTGCATTCATGAGAAGTTGAGCCTGTACATTGAGAGCACCCAGTATAGCACGCAATGCATGAAAGCCCATCATAAGACACCCCATATCCAGGATTACAAGCACATACCCCTACATTTAAACTCGCATTAATAACACATTGAGTGCATTTTCCTGAGTCAAATCCTGTACATTTCAAGCATAATAAGCCATAACAAATATTGCAGGTATTTCCCCTTACACATCCAAGGCTGCATGAATTGCAGGATACACAGTTCGCACCATCATAATAATGATACAAATCACAAGACCATAAGCAAGCTGACCCTGATCCACAAGCTGCATTTATATAGCTGGAAAAATCATTTATTGGAGTATTTCACATCTGAAAAGACCTAACGAATCCTACAAAACCCGATGTGCTGCTCTTTCCAATTGTTATAGTGCTTGTGGCACTATCTCTAAAAATCCTATCTGGAACTAGAAGTGATGAGAGAGCAGCGCCATTCATATAGATTGCTAAAGTAGTTTGCCCTAGATAATAAATAGAGGTGACTGATAAGTACTTTCAAGTGTTGAGTAGACCTGATGAGGACAAAGTTACAGGAATATTGGTATTATTCCAAAGTTGAAGTCTAATAGTAAAGCTCCCCAATGAAGAATAATTAATCAAGATAGATTTTTCCATTCAACCACCATCAATAATTACATAAATTCAAGCCCCTAAAGAAAAACTATGAAACAATTGAGGGTTTGTTCAGGTTGATAAATATTTAGTTCCATCAAAAAATAAGCCTCGATTATATGCAGGGATAGGATCAAGAGTCTCAGGGCTACTAAAAAACTGAAAAGATGCGAAATTTGTACCTGTTACAAAAAGTCCGTATTGACCTAGAAAATCTCCATCAAAAGAGAGATCGATGACAGCGGTTGACACTGGTGAGCAGGGAGATCCAAACCCATAAGGACAGCGACTAAAGCAGACTGTCCCAACCAAAAAATTTGTTCCTGAACACGCTGAGCATTCAAAATAAGCTGTTTTCAAACAAGTTGAGCAGAAATTATCACAAATTTCGCAAGACTGCGATGAAGATACCCAGAAAGCATTATTTGCACATTTACAGCCCCCAGCTCCATCATCTACAGCATTTGCAATACAAGTTAGGCATGAATTCGCCCCTGAAAATTCTGTGCAGGTAGCGCATTCTTTTGTGTTGCATAATCTGCAGGTATTAGAATTTCTGCATCCTTTAGTGCAAGTATCTATGCAGTCTTTGCATATAGATCCGTCAAAATATTGATTAATTGAACAGTTATCCAGACAAGTTAAATCTCCTGCGCATTTTGTGCAATTTCCTAAACATCCTGAAGATGCATAAAGACTCTCTCACAAGTTTGGTATACAACGAAGCTTAACTTTTCACGCAAATCCTGTGAATCCTGAGCTATAGTGCCCTAGATATAAATCCCCTGAAAAGCTATCTAATGGATAAAGAGGAATTGTAGTTGAAGAGGTGACCAGGTTGGTTGTATCAATATAAGATTTTGCAGTAGTTGTCCCATCAGAATTAATATCACATTCAAATAAAACGAAAAATCAATAATTTAGGACGCTTGAAGCACCTGTTACAGAAAGAGTTGTAGAAGAGTCTGAGAGGAGAAGAGAAAGTTTTGGCTGTCCTGAAGGCAAAATTTGCACAGACCATTGAGTTGCACCTGATATATACTTAATAAAGAGGAGACCAGCTGCTATAGGCCTTATTCAGGCAGTGATAGAATTAGAAGGGGCAAGCATAAAACTTGTTTTTAAGTAGCTGTTAGAGTTAAAATAATATCCCCGATTATAAGCTGGATAAGGATCATTAGGGTCATAATTTGGGTATGAATTGGTATTCGATGATCCTACGTCTATTCCAGAAATTGAGTTTAAAAGTATTATATTAGAAAATAAAAAATTATACGCTCAATTCACACTAAGATCACAATTTTTTGTTGAAGAGTTTGGGATATATCCTGTTGGGCATTCAGGTAAACATTGTATATTAAGGAAGTAATAGCCAGTTTGGCAGCTTGTGCATTCATGATATTCAATTCCTGTACAAGTTTGGCATCCTGTTGAGCAGACAAAGCGGGAAATTTTAGGTATTTGATTAGAAAAACGATCTGTGCACATTGATAAAGAATAACCGTAGCATGAACTGCAATATAGGGAACTACAAAAACTACAGTCACCGCCTCTAATGCACCAAGGCCAAGTTTGGCAGCCAGCTTCGCAATTTTGACAAGCAAATCCATCTCAATATTGATTATCAGTACAATCAATAGTGATAGTCATAATCCCATAGTTTATATTGCTATCAGCTCTTGCTTGAATCCAATAAATAAACCCTTTAAATGAGTTGTTTCTGCCATTATTTCCAAAAGTCCATATATAAGTCTCAGTTGGAAAACTTATTTCAGAGCTACTTAAGATTGCTGTTCCAGCCTCATTCCAATCTATATAAAAGGTTATGGAGCCTAAATCACAAGACAACTGAGATAAAGAAACTGAGAGTGAGTGCCAAGATGACGAATATTTAGCAGAGGAGGCTCCAGATACTGCTATTTGAGCCCCATTGGCGTTAAAAATTAATGCACTAATTTTATAATAGCCAGAGGTATCTGCTCATATCCTCACATATTGTGTTGAATTTATTTGTATATTTAAAATTTCTCCACTTCCCAAAGACTTGATTATCAAATTTAAAATAAAATAAAGGCCAGGTGTATAGCTCTGATTGCTTGTCATACTTGATGTAGTAGCAAAATAAAAGCCACGATCTAAAGTTGGAAGTGGAGAATTTTGTGTTTCAGAAATATATGGGATTCCTCCTGGGTTCACAAATTTCTTACTATAATCATTTAGGTCTGACACATAAGTTAAGGTTAAATCTTGAACCTTTGATAGTATTAATGTGAATAAAATTGCATCACTGCCAGTAGGCTTACTACAGTAGTTAAAAAATCCTATATCAAAATACTGTTGATAGAAATGATAAAGTGTAGGGCATCCAGCTGCACATACTTTGGAATCAACCATAAATTTTGGGTTATTACACCCAGATCCTCAGCTATCATATGGACAGCTTGAAAGAGTCAACACAACTTGAGAGATAACAAAGAAGAGTAAGCTCATTAAATTTATTATTATAAGTTGATTAGATTAGTATAAGATAATTTAAATTTAGGATAATAATTAAATTTATTGTTGTTTTAAGGTTTTAAAACGCTTTAAAGTGCTTGGAGAAGAATATCAGAAGCCATGAAATTTTTATTAATAAAAATGGCTTTATGCTTCTAGAGTCGCCTAAATTAAGACATAAGATAATTATTTGCTTAAATTTAAATAATATTCTAATAAATTGATTGCTTTAATTCATAACATTTTTGGCTAGTCTTTTTGTGGCTTCAAATTTCATTTATTATAGCAATCTCTTAATTTAATTTTCTATTAAAGAAATTGAAAATATTAAATAAACTAAAGTTTTGTGATTACATTATATAATTGATATATAAATTTATTATTTTTAGGATTTTACAGGCTGCTTTTTATACTCATAAGGATTTTTTTTCATAATTCCTGCTTTCGTAAGTTTATTTTTAATCACTCCATATAAAGTTCTTCCAAAAATTGCAATTGATGCAGATGACTGAATTCCAATAGCTGTTACTACAGTCGCTATAATAGCATTTTCCATAATTGAACAATTTCCTGCTCTAAATCAAACAAATATACCGATGTCGCACTCATTATTAAAAAAATCAACATTTCCGTCAAAAAATTGCTCACCTGTAAAATAGAGTCTTCAAGGGCCAGAAAAATCATAAATGCATAATAGTCATCAGTGGCAGGACAATATTAATAGTCACTTCTGTTTGAGGGAAATCCCTTAAATATACCAAATTTATTATATAAATAAGTCTCCTCAGAAAAAATACACAGTAATACTGTGTTCCAAGTAGCCCACGATCAGTCCGAAACTCATAAAATAAAGAACTAAATGATGCAAAAAACGATTTTTCTTGTGACTGGATTCGATTTTTAATAAAGTCTGAGATGATTTTACATAGATAAAACTAATTTTATTATTTATTTCCTGAATAATTATAAGTTTTTATAAGAAAATAAAAAAAATGCAGGTATTCCATAAAGTTGCTCAAAATTAGATTTTTAATAAAACAAATATAAATTTTGATTATAAAATTGCAACAATACTATTTAAGCTAAATTTAAACACTTTAATTACTTACTTCCTCATCTAATCATAATATATTACTTGCCTAATTTATAATCTAGCCTATCTGAATCTTTAAATTTGTTTTTTTAAATTCATATCAATAGAAATTGCTATCTAGCAATTATTTTTGTCATCAATGCTGTGCTAGCATGCTCGCTTTGTCCCTATAGCAGTTATGCCAATGGAGAAATATTAGCCTGCCTAAGCTCACCTTAAATGATTGACTCTTGAATATATGCGTAGACACTTGCCCTTACCCGACTAGCTTTGGAACACCTGAAATATGCAATCCACTAAGCGGAGATGATGCAAATATTATTTACCTTTGAATTTTGATATCTATTGATTTAACAGAGAGCTTTGCTATAAGCACGACTGGCTATTATGTGCAGTTTATAATTCAAAAAATATTACCTGCAAATCTCTAACGCAAAAAGTCCCACCCCCTATCATTGATCGTGGCTTTTACTTTACTAAAACTTCCCAGCACATTCTGCAATCAAAATATGTCTGAACCTTTATTTTAGTTCAAGTTTATGGATTACGCCTCTTGATAGTGAAGAAATTTATAGTTTCTTTCAAGCTCCGCATTCAAATCATGCTTAGACCTAACTTGATCAAATGGATGCATTCTGTTACATCTATGACGATTTTTATGCTAACTCCCCCCCCTCCGTGAGTGAACAAAAAAATTTTGTTCACTCACGGAGGGGGGTTAATTTGTTTTTTTAAAAAAAATTTATATATAAATTTTATAAAAAATATTTTTTTTTCTAAATTTAAAAAAATCCTAATTCGCAAAAATTGGAAAGCAAATATTAATTTAATTTATAAAATTTATGTTTTAAAGAGCAATTCGTTTAAAATTAAACAGAATTAGCTCTAGATTTTATTATACTAATTATCATTTATATATCAAAAATTTTTTCCATAAAAAATTTTTCTATTAAAAAAATTTTTGTTCACTCACGGAGGGTGGGTTTTTGGGCAAAAAATGGTGATTTTTCTAATGGTTTTGTTCACTCACGGAGGGGGGGGGAGTAAGGCACCACTCTTTTTGGTCGGGAATCTGTAGTTTATGCATTGATAATGCATCAGGGTTTCCATGCCAATGTAATTCTGGATATTATCAACCTGCCAGCCAAGCCTTGCTATGCAAGACGCACTCATGTGCAGGCTCGAGTGATCATGTATGTACCTCTTGCAGATCCAGTTATTTTTATAAAGCAGCACGATATGGCTTCCAGACTGCTCCTCAGGTTAACCAACAACTCAGGCACAAACGCATGTAATTCCTCATCAAGCACTTCACTTGTTTTCTCTTCGCTAATAAATGTTTATTTGTCGTTATTTCTTTAAAATATTTATATTTTTATAAAAATCATCATGAAAGCTAGTTTATATTTCTAATGATATAAAACCAAGAAAGGAAATTACTCAGGTGAATAAATTAAATTCGATAGTTTGACCTTTTTCTTAATTGAAGTTTAAAATAGTGCTGGCATGCACAAGTCTATAATAAATCATTTCAAGATTCATGATCAATTTAAATACCAAATCAAAAACAGTTATCAACTTTATTTAAATCGCCTAAAAGGTTTTGACTGTAAACTTATCTATTAATCCTATATTTCTCTTATTATTGCTGTGAAATATCATATTTCATTTATAGTTATCTGCTTCCTATTTATTCGCCACATTTTTAAAGAACTATATGCATATTCTTAAATTAACATTTTCATTTAGTTTGATGATAATTAATTGATTTATAAACAATAATGACAGTGATCTTTATTTTAATAACTTGCGTTGTATTGACTCTTTCAGCTTGCCCGTATGGGAGCTTGTCTGTTTCTGGGGAAACTCGCTGCAATATTCCAAAATACATGGTTGACTCCAAAATATGCGCAAATGACTGTCCATCTCTTTTCGAACCAGATCTGCTAAATTGCCCTACATGCTTTAATTATTGCGGCAAACCCAGAGAAGAAAACGCAATTTTATTTACTTTAGAGTTTTTTGGCCTTCAAGAATTAATGTCTAACTATATAGAGGATTCATCAGGTTCTGGCTTAAAATTTATAAATCCAGATGATATCCCGTATAGCGACCCATCGCAAAACTCCCCACTCCCCACATTAGACCGTGGCTTTTATTTTGCGACTTCATCAGGGATAATTAGTGATCGTAACCTTATCCCTGGGCTTTATTTTATTTTGAAGCTATGGATAAAGCCTTTTGTAGATGGAGACATGCTAAATGTCCAAATCGGCCAAACTACATATATAAGAATATGAGCGGACTTAGGAGCCTTTAAGCTGAGCGCATTAGTTTTAGACTCAAATGGATTTCAAGCTCAAGTTGTTGAGTCAAGCACTATTTCTTATTACTCATCTTGGCATTATGTTTCAATATATATTAACCAGATTTCATGTGATACAGGCTCAATTAATTTTGAAATAAATAAGCAAGAAGCTGGTACAACTATTTTAAGTGGCTATGAAATAAATTTTCCAAGTGGGGCTTATACATGGACTTTGGGAAATACAGGTGGAAGGAATTCATTTAGGGGGTTTATTTATTGGCTTCAAGCAAGAGCTGATAATGATGCAAGCTATCCAGCTATAACTCCTATTGTTGATTGTGTTGACAAACAATACTGAGATGGGGCGTTATGCCAAGATTGCGATATTAATTGTCCAACTTGGCCTTGGTGCATTAGAGGAAGTGACTGCAAATATTGCCATATTGAAGATTGTAGTGTTTGTACAGGGTATTCTGCTAATTCATGCACTTCATGCTATACAGGAATTCCTCCACTATGCTGTGATCACTTAGGAAGAGAATGTTCTCAGACTTGGACAAATACATTGTGCAGTAATGGGGTGCCCAATGAGGGGGTTTGCCTATATGAGACTCCATATGGGTGGTGGAACTGTGGAGGCTCTTCTTGTTTTGAAGTTTTAGCAGCTGATTTTAATGGCCCTTTTCAAGGAATTTATTCTTCAGCTCTAGTTACAGGCAGCAACTCTACAACCTATAATTACTGGAACTTTCCAGAAGCGTCTGATCCATTTCCAGCAAAAAATCGAGGCCTTTATTTTAACTCTAGCCAATTTTTGAGCGGGTCTATAAATTTGTCAAATACTTGGAGCATAGGCATATGGGTCTATGCTATTTCTGGGACTATAATTAGTGATAGTACTAATACACTTATTATAAAAGCTAATGGGACTATTAACTTTGGCTTAGAAAAATGAGATGGAACAGCTTCTAGCTATTCTGTATCAATACCTTTGGCTCCCAGTTTATGAAGCTACATTTCTTATTCAATTGGGTTTTCAAATAAAGCTACAACCTTAACACCATTTATAAATAATAATGCTGGCACTGCAGTTACTATCATAAACTTCGTTTTTAGATTACCAAGCGGCCAAAAATTGTACATCGGTAAAGGCTTTCCAAATTTTAAAGGGTTTATTAGTTATTTTCAGTTATGAGGGATAACTATTGCAGAATTTTCTACCCCTTATAATTTATATGGGTTTACAAATGGCGTGGTATCAGCTTTATGGCCTTGTGATTTTTCTCATTATTACGATGGAAACACATGCAAGCCATGCTCAGACTCATACACGATGGGTTGTACTAGAGAAGCATCTTGCCGCATTTTTGATGATTTTTTATGCTCTCAGTGCTCGTCATTTTTATAGTAATTGCCCGAGGATGGCGCTATCTTACGCCATCCTCGGGCAATTCAAAAAATGGCCCCAAACCGGGAATTGAACCCACGTGTGGGGCCATTTTTGGTATGTGGAGAACATCGACTTCCACGCACCAAAATGGCCCCACACGTGGGTTCAATTCCCGGTGTGGGGCCATTTTTTAAATTGCCTTAGGATGGCGCAAGATAGCGCCATCCTCGGGCAATTACAATAGCAAACACTTGCACTTATTGTATTTCTAACGCTTTTGGGTCTCCATGTAAGCTCTATTCTGGAGAGCACCAGCCTCCAAATAAAGCTTTTTATAGCTCATCAGCACACTTAGGCTGTTTAGAATGATGGCTTAAAAGCACCATTTATCAATTTCCTAAATTGTAGAAATTCTGGATTATTTTTATATGAAAAAGCTTGCCAAATCATTTTTTGGGATTATAATTGATATTTATGAAAAAAAACAACAATTTCATACCGATCTAAATGAGTGGGTAAGCTATACTCTGTCTGCTATACTGGATGTGCTACATGCACAGATTCTCTATATTCTTCATGTACTTCCTGCAACCTTGGCTATTTTTTATATAATGGCATGATGTGTCTAATAAACTGTCCTACAGGGTATATAGAGGATTCTTCTACGAATGCCTGCATTTTTTCATCCAGTGTCGGATTGAGTTTAAATTTTTATGATGAAATAAAGCTTGATTCAATTTCAGGAGCTCAGGTAGGGCTTACCAATAACACTTATCCAATCTATGATACTAGAGATCCATATCCACAGTATCAGCAAGGCTACTATTTTAAATCTACTAGCTCTATTACAGCTAACACTGTAATTGGTCCATATTTTACAATATCTCTATGAATATAATGTACTTCCAATAATAACACTTGCATTCCTGTTATGCCTGGAGGATTCAGAGGTCCTGATGGAATTTTTTATTCCTGCCCAAACCTATTAGTTTATCTATTTTCTTCGCCAGTCTTCTCTAAAACTCTATAAACTTTCCTAATTTCTAAAAATAATCTTATTGTTTAAAAAGTTTATTCTTAAATTTTATCGTTTTTATTTATTTTTAAGTTATTGAATGAGGTTATAATAAAAATGCTAGGGATCTTTATTTTAATCGCTCATGCTGTTTTAGTTCTTTCAGATTGCCCAAATGATAGTTTAGATGTAGGTGGAAGACTTAGTTGTAATAAGCCAAAATACATGACTGACAACCTTATATGTACAGAGGAGTGCCCAACTCGCTTTTCAGATGAAAATGCTTGTCCTAGCTGCTATAAATATTGTGCTGGGCCTGATCCGTCAAATACAATTTTATTCACTTTAGAATTTTCTGGCTTTCAAGATTTTACGTTTGACAGAATACAGGATCCCAGCGGCACACTATTTTTAAACCCAGGAGGAATCCCATTTAATGATCAATCACAAAATTCCCCATTACCTACCTTAGATCGTGGCTTTTATTTTGCCCCTACATCTGGGATGTCCAGCAACACAAGCTTTATCCCAGGTCTTTATTTTATTTTAAATTTATGAATAAAAGCCCTTGATGGTGGAGAAATTTTAAACGTCCTAATTGGCCCAATTTCTTATATAAGAATATTTTCAGTCCTTGGGAAATATCAATTTGATGCTTTGATTAATAGCTCAGACGGATCACAATATTCTGTTTCAGAGATAAACGCCAATTCATATTCTTCATCTTGGCATTATGTGTCAATTTATTTTAGCCAGGATAATTGTAATACAGCCTCATTTAGAATTGATGTTGATGGAAGTACAGATTATAGCACATCATGGACTGATTCTGAGATGAGTTTTCCTAGTGGAACTTATATTTGAAATCTCGGATACATAAGTCCAAATGATTCGTTTAAAGGGTTTATTTATTGGCTTCAAACAAGGGTCGATAATGAAGTAAATGGTCCAACGTCAGCTCCGACAGTTGATTGTGCTGATAAGCAGTACTGAGATGGAACTAATTGCAATGACTGTGACAGTTCATGCCCAAATTGGCCATGATGCATTAGAAGCGACTGCTCAATTTGCTATTCGCCAGATTGTAGCTCTTGTATAGCTTATCCGCCACCATAGATTTCTATAGCTATCCATTCGGCTTCAAAGCGCTCTTATCTTAAAAATTGGAAACCAGAATTTCAGGCTCAATTTAGATTTAAAGATATTAACTTAAAAATTAGCAAACAAAAATTTACTCAGTTTAGATTTAGCTACATTAATGATGATATAACATCAATAAGAATAGTCCATAATAATCTGGATTAATCCAATAATTATACTGGGTATTCTTTTGCATCTTGCTCTGCATGCACTACAGGAATCCCTCTATTATGCTGTGACCATCTAGCAATAGAATGCACCCAAACTTGGACAAGCACATTATGCAATTTTGGGCTACCTAATGCAGGAGTTTGCTTGTATGGAACTCCATATGGGGCATGGGACTGTGGAGGATATTATTCTTTTACAGTTTTAACAGCTGATTTTAATACCCCATTTGCTGGGGCATATGATTCAGAATTGATTACTGGTAGTAGCTCTTCAAGCTATAATTATTGGAATACTCCAGAAACGTCTGATCCATTACCAGCTAAAAATAGAGGGCTTTATTTTGATTCGAATCAGTTTTTGAGTGGGTCTATAAATTTATCTAATACTTGGAGCATAGGAATTTGGGCTTATGTTATTTCTGGGGCTCTAATTAGTGATAGCACAAATACACTTATTTTTAGTGCTGCAGGAACTATTTATTTTGACTTATTCTCGCAATTAATAAAGAACACTTATATCATTATTAATCTGATAAAATATTTTAGATTTGTCTTAAGTTAAAATTGGAGAAAAGTTATTATATTTAATTATAATTTTATTTAAAAAAATGTTAAAGCAATGAAATAAAGATAAATTGATTTTTAAAAATATTTTAATATAAGCTCTTTATTTTACTATGTTATTTTCTAAATAACCGAAAAATACTTACTCCCCTCAATAGCAAATAAAAACATTAAAATCCCTTTTTTAGGTAAAAAGCCGTGAGCTAACAAAATATTTTTATACACAAATAATAATTATTATAATGATGTTTCTTGATAATTCTGTTTAATTTTAAACTGCTTTCATTTTAAAGCATAAATTTTAAAAATTAAATTAATATTTTTTTTCTAATTTTACGAATAAATTTCGAAAAAAAATTTAGCCCTCTTGTTAGCGAACAAAATTTTTTTGTTCGTTCACAAAGGGGGAAGTTAATTATATTAATTGTGCAAAGTTAGAAACTTGAGACAGTACAACAGCAAGCTACGCTGTATCGAATCCTATAACTATAAAAACATGAAGCTACATTTCTTGTTCAGTTGGATTTATTAATAAATCTACGACAATAACTCCATATCTAAATATGATAGCTGGGACAGCAGTTACAGTTGCAAATTACGTATTTAGGCTTCCAGCTGGTAGGCAGCTGTATATAGGCAAAGGCTCTCCAAAATTCAATGGCTTTATAAGCTATTTTCAGCTATGAGGAGACACCATTACAGACTTTTCTACACCCTATAATCTTTATGGCTTTACAGGTGGAGTGGTATCAACCTTATGGCCATGTGAGTATTCCTATTATTATGATGGAAGCAATTGCCAGCCATGCTTAGCCTCAGGATCTTGCACAATGGGCTGTACTAGAGGTGCATCTTGCTACATTTGTGACGATTTTTTATGCGCACAGTGCTCATCTTTTTTACCAAACAGCTGCACACTATGCATTCCTAATGCTTCTGAATCTCCTTGCCAATGCGATTCTGGATTTTATCAGCCTACAAACCAAGCTCTTTGCTCTCCTTGCCATGCAAAATGCGCTTCTTGTGTAGGTCCTTTAGATACTTTATGCACTTCATGCAAATCTGGCTATTTTTTACTAATTAATAAGGTATAGCTCATGAAATTTTATGGATCACCTTATTGAAAATGTAACCGTTCTAATAGACTTCATATCCTATACATCTTAGAGCAGACTCCTCTCTATATTTAGAGAGATATTTTGATATATAAAAAATCTCTAACAAGTTCAATATTTTATATAATTAATTTTTTAAAAGTATTAAAAAAATTCTAATAATTCAGCAAAATGAAACCAAGGCATATTTTACAATTAAAAAATAGTTCTTCTCTCTTGATGTTTGAAAAATGGCAATCTCGCGGTAAAATGACTTGGTCCAAATAAACTGGCTAGTCAAAAAACATTTCTGACAAGTGTGGGCTATTTTTAACTATGCGCCAAGTGGATGATTCTGATTTGGACATGGAGTATTTGTAACGCTTAACGTTCCAGCTTATTTTGAGACATATCAAGTACTAAAATATCTAATAATATAAAATCAATAAGGAACTGGACTTTTTCTTTATTTGGTGATAAAAGTCAGCGTTGCGAAAATTTTTTTTATTTTGTATCTAAATTTGAGAGATCTAACTCCCCCTCTGTCAGCGAACAAAACCAACCCTCCGTGAGAGAATAAAAATTTTTTATGAAAAAATTTTTGATTATTATTATAATAAGGAAATCTCGAGCTAATTCTGTTTAATTTTAAATGAAATGGCTTAAATTTTAAGGCATAAATTTTACAAATTAAATTAAGTTTTGAAAACAAATTACTATAGATTTATATATAAATATTTTAAAAATAATTAATAATATCCTCCATAGACAAAATTTTTTTGTTCGCTGATGGAGGGAGGATAAGAAATCATCATAACTAATTAAACTTATATTGTATTTCAAGATTTTTCTTAAATTGAAATTCAATTTTTATATTAATCCCACCCCTAAAAAATGGCTCGTTTAATTACATATATGGTTCACACTTGTCAAAAAATTTAAAACTTGTCATTTTTAAATCCCAAGCAATTTTTCCTACGAAATTGCCATTTTTCAGACATAGAGAATGAAAAGTCATTTTAATTGTAAAAATGCCCTACTCCCCCCCTCCGTGAGTGAACAAAACCATTAGAAAAATCGCTATTTTTTGCCCAAAAAACCCACCCTCCGCGAGCGAACAAAAATTTTTTTAATAGAAAAATTTTTAATGGAAAAAAATGTTGATATATAAATGATAATTAGTATAATGAAATCTAGAGCTAATTCTGTTTAATTTTAAACAAATTGCGTTTTAAAACATAATTTTACAAATTAAATTAATATTTGCATTCCAATTTTTATAGAAGTGAGAATTTTTTAAATTTCGAGAAAAAAAAATTCTATAAAATTTATATATAAATTTTTTTAAAAAAAAAAAATTAACCCCCTCCATGAGTGAACAAAATTTTTTTGTTCACTCACGGAGGGGGGGGAGTTAGTATTAGCTTTCCAAGCTTTCCGAATTATCAGAATTCCTCTTTTAAAATTATTAAAATAAAAAATATATTGAACTAGTTTAAAACGAGGGGTTTTTTATCATAATCAGAATATTTCTCTAAATATTGAGGGTCTGGTCTAAGATGTATAAGATATGAAGTCTATTAGAACGGTACATTTTTAATGATGTTGATCTATAAAGGCTCATGAGTTATATGTCTAATAAACTGTCCATCAGGATTTATAGAGGTTTCCTCAACAAAAATTTGCAATTTTTCATCAAGAATTGGGCTAAGTTTATCCCTTTACGACCAAATAAAGCTTGATTCAGTCTCAGGGGTACAAGTTGGGCCTACCAGTAATGCTTATCCAACCTATGAGACAGGCGATTCATACCCTCAGTATCTGCAAGGATATTATTTTAAATCATCAAGCTATATGTTAGCAAATACTGTGATAGGCCCATATTTTGCTATATCTACATGAGTATTTCCAATATCTTCAGGCCCAATTGTAACTAAAATAGTTTCAGGATTACAAATTTTTTGTCTGGAACTCAATGGCGGATTTCCCAAACTTACGCTTACTCTCAGTGATTCTTCGTCACTTTCTGTTTTATCATCTCAAGATATCTTGACAAGCAGCTGGAGCTTTGTTTCATTCACAGGAAATATTAACTCGAGCAGCAACACAGTGACCATAAACTCATATTTTAACTCAATATCTACAGGGTCAAGCACGTCTTCAACACAAACTTATTTTCAGGACCAAAACACTGGAACCCTTTATATCGGAAATGCAGGCACAAGCAGTTTTGAAGGTTTTTTATACAATTTAAAAATTTTTAATTCAGCAAGTTATTATGTCAACGACTATAAAACTTCAAGCTGCACTTCTCCATGTACTCAGTGTCCTAGTGACTATAACTGTCCTAAAACTTGCCCATTTTTGGAGTTTTATAATGGATCAGTTTGTGAAAGTTGCGCAGGATCATGCACGAATGGATGTAGATATAGCAGCTCTAGCGGTACATGCACCCTTTGTAAGACTCTACAATGTTATGCATGCGATTCATTTTCTGGGTCTTGCTCAAGCTGTATCACAAATGCAGAAAGTGATGGATCAGGAGGATGTAAATGTAAGGCAAATGCGTTTTGAAAGCCAGGTTATTGTGAAGTGTGTGATATGCTTTGCTCTGTCTGCAAGCAAGCCAGCTATTTTGAATGCAGCAGCTGTATAACGGGAAGCCAGATGGTAAATGATATATGTTTAAATGACTGCCCTTATGGATATGGAACTTCTTGCACAGTAGTCTCAACTGCAGTTGTTGATTTATTATTTGATATAGTAAATTGAATTGTTTAGGTTTTCAGAAATAAAAACATTGTATTGTCTTATAAGAATATTTTTCCTGAAATAATTAAATCATTGGGAATAGTGATTTTCAAGGTTCTTATGGTATTTTTATTTCTGGGACTTCTTCAAGCACTTATCAGCATTTTGTATCCCCTGAAGCAGTTGACCCTGTACCTGCATATAAAAGAGGTCTTTATTTTGATGGGAACATGTATTTAGAGTCTTCATTGCCTGTTCAACTTTCTCACAGCTTTTCTATGGGGACATGAGTCTGAGATATAACTGATGACACTATTATAAGGAAAAATCGGCTACAAATAGTATCAGATGGATCTATGAGAGTAAAACTAAGGAATAACATGCAAGTAGATTCAATAATTTCATTAACACAAAGTATCCTGCTCTCTGCTTGAAATTACATATCAGTCGTAGTAGCTTACACATCAAGCACGACTATTTTTGAAATTTATGTCAATGGAAATTTAGTGAACTCATTAAGCAACCCTAATTTGATTTTTCGAGACCAATCATCTACTAATTTAAAACTAGGAAGAGGCAGCAGCTCTGGATTTGTTGGGTTTTTATATTCTTTTCAGCTGTGAAATGTAAGAATTAGTGATTTTGTAAGTATCATTAATGGCTTCTCATTTTGTGGGGCTGGATTAAAATCTTCTTGCTTATCAACTTGCTCATTCTCAGAATATCAAAATAGTGTTTCTTGCCTATCTTGCAGCTCATGCACTAAAGGATGTGTTAGAGGAAATTCCTGTAATATTTGTTATGATATATTATGCTTAGTTTGTACAGGGTTTGGAGCAGGAAAATGCACTCAATGCATTTCTAGCGCTCATTTAGTTTCTGGCTCATGCTTTTGCAATACTTGCTATGGGGCTTCTATAGATGGACTCTCATGTGTGCTATGTCCAAGCGAGTGTTCTCTATGTAGTATTTCGATTTATAATAAATGCACTGAGTGCATTTCAGGGTTTTTCTTGTTTGCCTCAACTGGACAATGCTTAAGTGAGTGTCCATCAGGGTATATTGAAAATTCAATCGCAAATAAATGTGATTATGTATCAAATATAGGAATAAGCCTGGATTTAACAGACCAGATTCGTCTTGATACTGTTTCTGGGTTCAATGTGGGTATTAATAATGCTCATACTTATCCAAATTTTGATGCTAATGATCCAATTCCAGCTTATAAAAGAGGCTATTATTTTAAATTCAGCAAATATTTATCATCGACTGTAATGATAGCTCCATCATTTACAGTTTCTATATGAACTAAACCACTCTCAGGTGGGATATTAGTAACCAAATACATCTCTAGCGATATTTTTAAGATAACTGTAGACCCATCTGGGTTTCCAGTCCTCTCAATAGCATTTTCCGATTCAACTTCTACAACTTTAACAGCTTCTACAAGCATTTTAAACAGTTGGTACTTCTTAAGCTTTACAGGCCAAGTCCAGTCTGATGGAAAAACCATTATTAATCTCTACATCAATGCAGTATCTACTAGCTCTATTACAACTACTTCTTTAACCTACTTTAAAGATACTATTTTAGGATATCTTTATATAGGAAACGATGAAACTTTTGGAACTTCAGGACTTCACGGTTTTTTAGCACGATTAATAATATACAATTCATATAGCAATCAAGCTGATGATTATGCCACTTCTTCATGTGTGACTGGTTGCTCTACTTGTCCATCAAATCATTTGTGCTTAAGTGAATGTGATTTCGATAAATACCCTGACAGCTGCACAGCTTGCTCTAGCTGCATCCAAGGATGTGTAAATGACTTATCATGCAACCTTTGTAGAGATAAAGAATGCGAATCATGCACTACCTTTTCAGGAGAATGCACAAGTTGTATTACAAATGCTTATAAATCAGCTGGTCATTGCATGTGTCTTGCAAATGCATTATGAGTTCCCAAGTAAAATGGTGACGTGAATAAGTAGGGCTCCAAGAAGATACGTCCCGATAGAGCAGAAGACCGGCGCGATGGGTAGCGAAAGAGCTTTTCGTGAGCAATTAGACCTTCTCAAAAGGAAGTATATGAAATATGGTGTTTTGTTTCTCTCCTGAATGCTTTCTGTTCCTGCCAGATGGGTAGATAGGTTTTGCCTACCACATAGTCCATCTCTGTTCGAACCATTGGGGCATTCTACAGACAGTGGCTCTGCACAAAGGAGCAAATCTCTGGACAAGTGGGCTATCCGCTTATGGCCAGTTTAAAAATTTAATTTATGAGTTCCCAACTTCCAAAGCTGTGAGCTGTGCCATTCAATTTGTGCATCTTGCTCTACACTAAAATTTAATGGCTGCCTTGCTTGTATATCAGGGTACTATCTGGTTCAATCTTTGTGTATGTCATTTTGCCCTACTGGATATACTGTAAGTTTTAGTAATTGTAATGCTAATCCTTCTTATACCAATTTTTTTGTATTCAATTTGATGCCGCATCAAATAAAAGATGTCGTTACTGATTTAAAGTCAAATATACCAGTACTTACAGGCAAAGATAATAACTTTTATCCTAATTACGATACAACTGATCCTATAGCAACTATTAATAGAGGTTATTATTTTACTGGCTCATCTTATATGCAGCTGCCTCCTTATGCAGGTACTACGTCACCACTATTTACTTTTGCACCAAAATTTACTATAGCAGCTTGAATAAAACCAATAGTAGGCACTGGGGTTATTTTTTCTACCTCCTTGGCTATTGAAAAATCATTAGGAGAGATTAGCCTCTTTATAAATAAATATATTTTTTTAGTGAATGTTTTTAATATAATTATATATAAATGAAATCACAGGACAAATCGTATTACATTTTGACAACTTGTGTTTTAAAACATAAATTTTACAAATTAATTGAGTTTTTTGGAATATCTCCAAGTGGGAATTAAGCAAGCTAACAGCGGATCATTTAAAAAATCGATAAGCCTTGAACTAATAAGCAAGTATCCATCGCTTACTTTGACTCTAAAAGACTCATCCACAATTATTTATACAAGCTCTAATCCCTCATTAGAGGCTACCCTTTCTCAATGAAATTTTATATCAGCAATTTCCAGGCCTAATGTCATTTGATCGGGACTCTTTGCGAGTGAGATATTTCCTGGGAAAATTTGGCCAAATTTTTTTCTCGTGAGATTTGCTTGGAAGATTTCGACAATATGTCTCACTATTAAAAAGTCTAGAGGAAAGAGTATGGCCCATTTCCAGCATAAGCTCTACCCCTCAGCAAACTATAACTTTATCTATAAATGGAGCAAGCGATCTGTCAAGCGATTTGGCCCCAAGCTGACTGAATGATTTACTCTCCCCTTTAAATTGGAACAAAAGATAAGTAAATTTGCATTTTTTCGGCACTTTAACCCCCTTTGAATTGGTTTTTTCAATAGGATAATTTTATCGAAGAATGCATAATTTTTATAAAATTGGTTTTGATCTAATTAATAGATAAAATCCATATAGAATAAATAATATTCAAAGAGTTCTCACACCGAATCCATTAACTTTTTTATTTAATTATTCATAAAATTAAATTAAAATTCAAAAATATTGGCTCAATTTATATTTCTTATAACTTACACAAAAATTTTCTAAAACAAATCAAAGATGAAAATAATAATTTTTATAAAATTAGTTTTGGCCTATTTTAATGGAAAAAGTACAAATAAAATGCTATTTAAACAATTTCGTACTGAATCGATTAATTATTTTAATTATTTTAATTATTTTTCATAAAATTAAAATTTTAAATTTATAATTATTTAAACTTTTTAAAAATTTTAAAATAAATTTTATAGAGAGGATTTTTCCAATTTATAGAGGGAGGTAGAAAATTCGTTTTTAATAGCAATTGGGGCATGCTATTCAAGCCCTACATCTTTAATATCATTTTTTAATGGATTTTTATGGGATCTAAAAATCTACAACCATTTATAATAATGAGAACTTTGCTACCGTTTCCTATTCACTATGTAAAACAGAAACATTAGCCAGTAGCAAATTTTATTCATTTTAAAAGAGTGTATAATACACCAATAGCAGTCAGTAGTTTAGCTTCAAGTTCTTGCAATTGATGCTCCCTATGTCCTATTGATAATGGCAATGCTTGTATTGATCATTGCGATTTAGACAAATACTTGGATGACAGCATCTGTGAAGCCTGTTTACCTGGATGTTTTACAAATGGCTGCGTAAGAAGTGATAAAAGCTGCAACTTATGTAAAGACGTTATCTGCAAAGTATGTGACGAATATACAAATACATGTATTACATGCAAAACAAACGCAAATTTAGTAGGTTCAATCTGCCAATGCAATTCTGGGTATTATTGGAACACTATTAATGAAGACTGCGAATTATGTGATGTTTCTTGCAAAACCTGCACATCTTCTAGCTCTTTGGACTGCTTATCTTGTGCAGATGGATATTATAGCTCTTTAGGAGTTTGTAAAGCTGGCTGTCCTGTAGGATATTCTTCTTCTCCAAGTGGATGTGTGTTGGCCAAAGAAAATTTTTTTGACTTAGACCTTAATACTCTGAATGGAGTCATTTATGATAAAGCAAGCTCAATTCCAGTCATAACTGGGTCGTCAGAGCAATTTTATCCAGATTATGAAGCTGATGACCCTATCCCTGCTTATTTAAGAGGGTTTTATTTTAATGGGCAATCTTCAGTTTTAAGGCTGCCTGAGTATTTGACCTATGCATCTCCAAATCTTCTAATTGGGACTACCTTCACAATTTCTATATGAATTAATACAGAAATTTCCTCGTCTGCTCTGCTATCGAAGCATGATATTACTAACAATTTTTCAGTGATTTATTCAATCCTGTTAATAGGCAGCAAGCCAGCAATTTCATTGATTATAAATTCATCTCCTTTCATGTACCAGTGCCAAGGCTTGTTTAGATTAGATTAGATAATAGTGGGTATTTAGAGTCCCCAATTCTCACTGGCAGCATTCTGTACGGCTCTAGCAGCCTGGCGGCACAGCGAAAATTGTGGCTTTCACACCTGGCAACTTCAAGCCTAGGCCGAAACCTCTGGTTTCTCGGTAGTGAGGCTGCCCTATTGGGTCAAAGACCTTCACTGGGTGCCGCCATTTCAAACTTAGTCCCTTCGACTGCCTAGTTACTCTGCCCTGCCTCTCGTATCGCCCCTTGTTTGGAGCCCTTTTATCGGATAGGCTGCCTTATTGTCTAGCCTGCCTCCTTTTTTCTAGGTCATTCTTGAGGAAAAAATCAACCCTTACTCGATCCAGGGGTACTCCACGATATCAGCTTGAACAGGGATTTACCCTATTCCATTTCGAACACCCGCTAGCTCGGGTGCTGCAGGCAAAAGAAGTTATGAGTAGAGGCCAATTGATTAGGCAATAAACCGGCGGACTTGTGCTTAAGTCCTTCGCTGCATGGCATCAAATATCTCCGGACCAATTCCTGACTCCAAAACCATGCCAAAATATATATGGGCCTCCATTACACAAGAGAAAAAGTCAGACGTCATCGCCATTTTATGTATCTGCCAATCCTTGCTTAATAATTATGAATGAAGCCATGTTGTATTTACACTAGAGCCAAATAGCGGTTATAATATAATGTCAAGCTATATAAATGGGCTATCTGATTCCTCTGCGACTACAGGTTATGGAGCTTTTACTGATATCAGTTCTCACACTACAATTACTATAGGAGCTCAACTTAGCTCACAAGGACTTTATAATTATTATCAAGGCTTTATATATAGTATCCAGATGTTTAATATAATAAAACCAATATCCAGTCTGTCTACTAAATTGTGTAATGAAAACTGCAATGTTTGCCCAACAAGCCAAATCTGCATCCCAAACTGCAAAATAAATGAATATTGGAGTGGACCTGCTTATAATAAATGCTACAATTGTGATATAAAATGCAAAAAGTCTTGCAGGGACTGACGAGGCACATGCTCACTCTGCAGTAATTTATTATGTGAAGACTGTATTGGATATTCATCAGCAGAATGCGTGACTTGCAAAGAAAATGCTATAAACCCTGACTCATGTATCTGCGATGATAATCATGTGCTAGGAACTCCAAATAATACCACTTGCATTCCTATTGCACAAGGCGGGTTTAGAGGTCCTGATGGTGTGTTTTATCCCTGCCCAAATCTCTGCACTCTTTGTGAATCTGTTACAAAATGCACAGCTTGCGTAGAAAACGCTAGCCTCAAAACAGATCTCTGCTATTGCAATCTAGGCTACAATGGCATTAAAACTTGTGCATTGGTTCCTTTTTCAGCCAAACTTGCAGTTCTCTCTGATAATTCCCTCTCCCTTACCTTTTCAGAAAGCCTAGCAAAAGTTCTTACAGTCTATGATTTTATAGTAGTGATTGAAAAGCAAGGAGAAATCACATGTAAAATTGAGCAAGTAAATAGTACCTTTTATTATATTTCTTTGAACATAAAAGAGAAAATTTCTAAAGGCACCTTAGCTACATTTACATTTTTAGATCTAAAAGAAGTAAAATCAGTGTCTAATGGCATCTTAAATTCATCAGATTTTACTGTGGTTTTGAATTCTTATAATCCTGATCCGTATTCCTCAGATGTTGAGGCAATTACATCACAAGCAACTGCAATAACGCAAACTACAGTTGCTGCAGCTCTTGCGTTATCATTTATAAGCCCAAATCTAAGCTCTTTATGAAGCATTGTGAATACATTGCAAATTCTTAATCTCCTCTCTGAGCGAACATAAATATTGAAAAATCTCTATTTTTGGCCAAAAAGCCTACCCTTAAATTAACAAAAAATGTTTTATGAAAAAATATTTTGATATATAAGTAATAGTTAATTCTGTTTAATTTTAAATAGCTCCCATTTTAAAACATAATTTTTACAGATTAAGTTAATATTTGTTTTTAAATTATTTTAGGATTTTTTAAACTTTGAAAAAAAAATTACTATAAAATCTATAAAATAAATCCCTCTACATGCGAACGTTGCTTGCCTACGGGAGGTTAGCTATTTGACTTTATCTGGAATCCCTTTTTCTAACAAACTAAGAGCGTTTCTGAATAATTTGAACAGTTTTAACTTATTTCCAAATATGTTTTCTTATTTAATAGATGAGAAAGAAGGAAATACTCCATATTCTCAAGCTCAGGATTTTGGATATGAGACTGATCTAATTTTGATAAATCAAGGGAATGATTTTACATTGATATTGGCTTCTATTGTAGCTCTACCATTAATATATTATTTTTCGAAATGCTCTCAGAGATGAATTGGTAGTAAGCTTACTCATTACTTATTTATTTTTAATTATTTTATTTATTTGCTGTCAAGTACTTTGAATTTATATAAATTGACTAAATAATCATATAAAAAATTTTCTAAAGTAATTAAATATATAAGATTTGCTTTAAATTTAATTAAATTTTATCATATTTAAAGGTATTAAATATTTTAGAGAAATAATTTAATGTTTCCTTATAAGGAGTCAGAAAAACATTAAAATCATATCAATTTGCATTTTATTTGAGATTTTGGATTCAATGCTATCTTGAAATAGGAGCTGCAGTTAGTATAGGAATTATCGAATTAAAGTTTATTAACGCAACACAAATAATCAATTTTATTATCTGTGCATCAGTTTGCATATTACTCATTATCACTCCAGGATTATTAGAATACATTAAAATGGTGGCACGTGCCAACCTGCCCTCTTGGCGCAGCAGTCCAGACCTTATGGCTACGGCGAACTGGGACGGACTCCGAGCCGAGAATCAAATGCAGGCTCCAGAGGTGTGTATCCGGATAGGTTTTGGCTGCTTTCCTGTGGTTGGAAATGGAGGTGCTCAGCAAAGTCCTTTGGATCCGAGGACCCATGGATTCCTCTACCGAGAAACTGGGGGTTTCGGCCAAGGCCACAGGGGAACAGCCTTTTTCCTGTAGTTGTTGAAGGAAGGCACTTCGACACCCGATAGACTCCAAGGAGCTGATCCTTGGAGTCGAGCTACTCCGGTCGCCCGTAGCAGGGCCGCAGAAATCCATAAGCCACCCACTCAAGACTGAAGCCACAAGGCAAGGAGGAGAAAGAAGGTACCGGAAGGGCACTCGCAAGAGGGATAGACCCTCTGGGCTGGAGTCGAAAGCGGATGAATCTCCCGTACGGGAGGTCTTTGGTGACTGCGTCACCAATATGGCTAGCGCCTGATTTTAATAATCTAATCTAAATCTACTCCAGGATTATTTTTTGCATTTTCCTATAAAAATAAAAACCAAATCTTATTACATCAAAAAACATTTTTTGCCTCTTTTGGCTCACTATTTTATGAGTTTAGAACTGACCGAGAATTTCTCACAACCCAATATTACTTTGTGTTTTTTGTAAGGAGGCTTATTTATATAGTAAACTTAGTCTATTTAAGAAACTACCCAGAAACAGAAGTGACCATTAATATTGTGCTTTCCTTAATGACTATCATGCACCTATTACTTTATTCTCCTTTTAAAGACCAAATATATCAATTAAGCAACTTAGTTTCTGAAATATTGATATGTATAATAATGGGCTCCACAGCTGCTTATTTATTTAATCTTGAGTCAAATGTGATATCTAAAATTGAAAATTGTATTGTGATTATTATTGTCATAATAATAGGGGTTCAGTTGCTTGCTTCAATAACTATTTTAGTTAGGACTGTATAATCTAGGATAGATTTTGAGTTGCCTTACACTGTAAAACTATAAGCAACTTCCTGAGCTTGATTTCCTAGACAAGTTGATGGAGTTGACTATGCGATGTCTAATATGAGAAATTTGTCAGCTTTCTGAGTTTATTAGCTTGAGTTTAGTGAGCGAACTCAGGGAATGGCTGGGTTTCTTCATATAATAGCGGTCTAAAATTGCTCTTGGGCTATATATGAGTTTTTTAGAATTAAGTTCAACACTGGAAATATTGACAAAGCAAAAATACTTCCGATTCAAAGCCAAATTGTGCAAAAAGTAAAGAAAGCTAATCAAAAAATTATTTTATAATTTAATTTAGAAACCTTTATATATGACATTTAATTATAATAAAATTAATTTAACTTAGTGCTTAGAAAAGAATTAGAAAAATATTAAAATAGCTTTAGCATTGAATATAATAGCTTAGAGTAAATTGTGCTAATATATTTAGACAGTCTTAATTGTAATTATTTATAAATTTTTGGTTTAGAATACCTATAGTGAAAATATCAAACAAAGCAACTAAAATAATTTCAATTAGAACAAAAATTGATCAAATTTAAATAAACTTATTTTCAATATACAATTTTTTATTTAATTGGAAATAATTATATTATATAATGACTTCGATCAATATATAATCAAATATTTCCTCAATAAAATTTTTTAGTTCTTAATATCTAACTATTGATTTGTTTCACCATTATGCCATCATGACGTAATGAATTTTATTCTGATTATTATCTCCAAAGCTGTGCTCATCTGGTCATTTGGTCCACATGGCAACTATAATTGAGGAATAAAGCCTGGTCACTTTTATCTTAAACATAAAATTGACTACAAAAAAGCAAATCCTTCCCTATTTAGTTGAATAAGCCAGAATATTAGCTTCAGCATCTGCACAATACTAAGCGAAGATAAGTTAAATTCGCTTGAAATGAATTTTTCAAGTGTTCAAGATTTGGCAGCTACAAATTTCTCATACTCAAATATTTCTCCTCTTATTCCAATCCCTGCTTCATTTCACGCTAAGCAATCCCTGATACTATCTCCCAATCAGGAATTTTATTTTGATGGAGCTTCAAGCATCATAGAAAACTTAAAATTTAAACTATATGATTATTTTAAGTGGGTTTTATCAATAAATCCACATACTTGAGAAAAAGCTTCAAATTCTCATATATCGAAGTCAAACATTTTTTCAGATTTTTATAATGCACCTTATCATTTAATTGTGCTTTATGCATTTCTGATTCTATTTGCTCGTAAAATTCTGGATTTAGCATATAGAGATGCCATGCTCAATTTTCAGCTAATTACTATAGTTGGTCTCATAACACAAGTTTATTGCATTGTCTGTGGTTCTGGCTCTTTCTCATACCAAAACATATTATGTTTGTCGTATTGCCCTACAGGATATTTACAAAATACAAGCACAAATACCTGCGACTACATTGCTCATATTACGCTTACCTTGACTTTAGATAATAGGATCATTCTCGACCAAAAAGGAACGATTTGGGTAGGAAGTTCGATAACTAATACTTATCCAACTTATGATGCAAATGATCCTTATCCAGCTGAATCGAGAGGCTACTACTTTAAATCTAATAGTTATATAGCAATACCTGTTATGCTTGCTCCCACATTTTCAATTGCTATCTGGCTAAAGACTCTATCAGCAGGAATAGTTCTAGTCAAACCTATACCAGCATACCAATGGGTTGTAGAAATTTTGGCCTCAGGATATCCTAGGCTTTCCCTACTTATGTCAGATTCTTCAACTACAATTTCAGTAACAGGAAGTTCTAATGTTCTGAATGGATGATTTTTTGTTTCATTTGATGGATACATTAATACTGACGGGACCACAACAATAAGCTCGTATATTGATGGATCATTCTTATTCTATGAGGATGCTTTTCCAAAAATTTAGTGTAAATTTTCTTCAAATTTTTTCAATTATAAAATTAAAATTAAATAAGAATTTCTTATAAATTCCTTGTTTAAAGATGGGGAATTTACAATCTTTCACAACAGCAACTGCATTGTATATGCAAGATAGTGTTTCAGGAAATGTATATGTAGGAAATGATATCATTGGATTTACAGGCTTTATTTGGAAAGTGAGAATTTATTGCTTAAATAATTATTACTTAGATGAATGGCGAACATCAGGATGTACATCACCCTGCACAAAATGTTCAGCTGATTTGAGTTGTCCAAGTGATTGTCCATTAGACAAGTATATTGATGGCTCATCTTGTAAAGACTGTAAGACAAACTGTAATAAAGGATGCATAAGTTCTGATACCTGCAATTTATGCTTGACTAAAGAATGCGCTACATGTACAGCATTCATAGGGACAGAATCATGCTTGACTTGCATTACGAATGCTGTTAGTGATGGAAATGGAGGTTGCACTTGCGACACATATGCATTTTGGGTATCTTTAACTCAATCATGTGAAAGATGTGATGTGCTTTGCGCGAATTGCCTAAAAACAACATATTTTGAGTGCTCAGCTTGTTCAGGGAGCTATCAATTAGTTGGAAATGTCTGTCTAAATGGCTGTCCTTATGGGTTTGGAGGGTCTTGTTTGCCTATAACGACTCCTGTGGTAGATAAGTCTTTCAGTGTAGATTTTCAAGGCTCGTATGGAATTTTGACAACAGGAACCAGTTCATCATCTTTTCAGTTTTTTAACACTCCAGAATCAGTTGACCCTATTCCTGCCTATATGAGAGGCTTATATTTTGATGGGAGTACTTATCTTTTATCATCCGCATCGATACTCCTTTATCATAGCTTTTCTATCGGATTATGGCTATATGTAACAGCGAGTGGCGATATATTAGAAAAACAAACTCGGCTTATTTTGTTATCATCAGGAGTTACAGCTATTATGGAAGATCCTACTCAAGCCACAGCTTCTAAAACTTTGTCTTTAGGTACAACACTGATTGATTGGAATTATTTGTCAGTGACTTTTGCATATTCATCTGGTAGTACAACTATCACAATCTATACCTATTAGATTAAAAACTAATATAAAAAACCCTGAAAAAGTCTAATTTTTAGTACTTTTTATATGTTTTAAATATTAATTTGCAAGTTATTTAATAAAAATTAGACTATATCAACAATGTTGTAGCTTCAACCCTGCCAGTTTCAAATTATATTTATAGAGACCTTGCTTCCACAAACTTAATGGTTGGCAAAAGCAGCTCGTCCGGGTTTAAAGGGTTTATTAACTCTTTTCAGCTCTGAAATGCACCAATCAGCTCTTTTTCGAGCTACATTAATGCTGTGTGTGGATCAGGGCATGGCCTCACAAAACTACCTATTATAATACTTTTATGTTAAAATAACATTTTTTAACTTTAGATTAAAACTATAGAGATGGTGATAATTTTAGATAGAGCAAAATACCCAAAACCATAGAAAAATTTGGAAATTTAGACCTAACACTTTATAGTAATTTTTTTTTCAAATTTAAAATAAATGCCAATTTGCAAAATTGGAAAGCAAATATTTATTTAACTTGTAAAATTTATGTTTAGAATGCAACTTGTTTAAAATAAAATAGAATTAACTAGAGATTTCATTATACAAATAATCAATTATATATTAAAATTTTTGGTCGCTCAAGGAGGGTGTTTTTTGGACAAAAAATATGGCTTTTTCCAATGTTTTTATTAGCTCACAACATAAAAACAATTTTATCTTATTATAAGACATCCATTAAAGAAAACCCATTTATAGGTGATTTTAAACTTTTCCAAGGGCACGCTTGTTTATGGTCTTGTGACTTGTCTCATTTTTGAAGCGGATCTTCTTATATATCCTGCAATTCATGCAGCAAAGGCTGTGTAAGAGCCGCAAATTGCAATGTCTGTGATGATGCATTGTGCTTAATATGCACTGGCTTTGGATCAGGAAAATGTACTCAATGCGTTTCTAATGCTAGTATTATAGGCACAAATTGTCAATGCAATTCTGGATATTATTGGAATGATATTAATGAAAGCTGTGAGCTATGCGATATATCATGCAAATCATGTACATCTGCTAATTGATATGATTGCTTGACGTGCTATAGTGGATATTATATGGTTTTAGTTAAAGATAAAGTAAAAGAGCTGTAGAGTTATAAAAAATAGTCCACTTGCCTTAAAGAACATTTTCAGGATACCTTTAGATTTGAATGAGGGAAATGGAATGTTGCCCCTTTTGGATTTCTTACATGATCCACCTGTCCAAGGGATTAGCCTCCCTAGTTTAGAGTCATCGTCTAAGAGATATTTCATAAGGATTAGGCCTCAGAGTCTAATTTTCGCCAACGACACAATTTTATTTCTTATATGGTTTTAGGAATTTGCTCTTCAAGCTGTCCATCAGGATATATTTCTTCATCTACAGGTGTGTGCGTATTTTCTCAAGAAATAATATTTGATTTAAATTTAAATATACTGTCTTTAAATACTTGAAGCCTTTATACTATTGGTTCAATTAAACATTATTTCAAGTGATATAATATTTTTAAGTATCTTGCTTGGTTTGACCTTAAAAGAAAATTTATAAAATAAAGATAAAAAAAGAAAAAAATTAAATTAATTTTTTCTTAAAATTAAGTCTTGCCAATAGTTAACTAAGTCAATACTTTTAAAGAATAGAGTCCTTTAATAAAAGAATACTCTGAATGGTATAGTGTATGATAATGCAAGCTCAATTCCAGTTATAACTGGATCAGCAAAACAATTTTATCCAGACTATGAAGCCGATGACCCTATTCCTGCTTACCTAACTATCCCCTTCGTGATAAAAAAAAATTATTAAAAAAAAAAATTTTTCAAAAAATTTGGAAAATAAAAAATTTTGTTTGTAATAGTTTTATTTAGAATGAAGCAGTTAAAAGTCAACAGGATCAATAAGAAATTTCATAATAATAATTATTACTTATATATGCAAATATTATTTATAAACTTTTTTTTCTTACTCCCCCCCCCCCCTCCGTGAGCGAACAAAAAAAATTTTGTTCACTCACGGAGGGGGGTTAATTTTTTTTTTAAAAAAAATTTTATATATAAATTTTATAAAAAATATTTTTTTTCGAAATTTAAAAAAAATCCTAATTTGCAAAAATTGGGAAGCAAATATTAATTTAATTTGCAAAATTTATGTTTTAAAACGCAATTTGTTTAAAATTAAACAGAATTAGCTCTAGATTTCATTATACTAATTATCACTTATATATCAAAATTTTTTTCCATTAAAATTTTTTCTATTAAAAAAATTTTTGTTCACTCACGGAGGGTGGGTTTTTGGTCAAAAAATGGCGATTTTTCTAATGGTTTTTGTTCGCTCACGGAGGGGGGGGGGGGAGTTAGAAATTTTTTTTTATAATGCTTTGCTCCAAAAAATACAGATTTTTCCAATGTTTCGTTCGCTCACGGAGAGAAAGTAAGAGGCTTCTATTTTAATGGAGAATCTTCAATTTTAAGGATGCCAGAGTATTCAACCTATACATCGCCAAAACTTGTTATAGCCCCGATCTTCACGATTTCTATATGGCTTAACACTGAAACATCCTATTCAGCTATAATTTCAAAGCACGATGCTTCTGACAATTACTCAACGCTTTACTATATTTCTCTGATAGCAGGCAAGCCAACAATTTCGCTTCTAATAAGCTCATCTGCATTTTTTTATATGTCTCAAGCATCGCTTAATAATTATGAATGGAGCCATATTGTATTTACTTTGAAAATGAACAGTGGCTCTAATATAATTTCAAGCTATGTAAATGGGTTATTTGACTCTTCTGTGACGACAGGATATGGAACTTTTAATGATATAGGTTCTCATACCACAATGACTATAGGAGCTCAAATTAGCTCTTCAGCAGTTTATAATTATTATCAAGGCTTTATTTATACTATTCAGATTTTTAATGCAGTAAAACCTATATCAAGCCTATCAACTACATCTTGTACTGAAAGCTGTAGTGTTTGTCCTATCAGCCAAGTATGCATACCTAACTGCAAAATAAAAGAATATTGAAGCGGCCCAGCCTATAACAAATGCTATAGTTGCAATATTAAATGTAAAAAAAGCTGCAGAGACTGACGAGATACTTGCTCGCTTTGCGATAATTTATTATGTGAATCCTGTAGTGATTATTCAAGCTGTGAAGCTTGTAAAGAAAATACTATTAACCCTGGTTCGTGTGCCTGTGATGATAACTATGTACTTGATGATACCCAAAGTAATACATGCATTCCAATTGAGTCTGGCGGATTCAAAGGGGAAGATGGACACTTTCATAAATGTCCAAATTTATGCTCATCTTGTGAGTCTCTTACAAAATGCACAGCTTGTACAAGTAATGCTAGTATTCAAAACGACCTATGCTATTGCAACTTAGGATATAATGGAACAGAAAGTTGTATTTTAGTCTCTTTTTCAGCAAAGCTTACAGTTTTGGCTGATAACTCTTTATATCTGACTTTTTCTGAAAGTCTAGCAAAAAATCTAACTACTTCAGATTTTGTTATAATAATTGGAAATCAAGAAGAAATTTCATCTAAATTAGAAAAAATGAACAACACATGCTATTATATTTCTTTAGCAATTACTGAGAAAATTTCCGAAGGTACTTTAGCTATTATTCAATTTATAGATCTATCAAAAGTAAAATCGGTATCAAATGGTATCTTAAATTCATCAGAGATTTCTGCAAGCTTAAACTCATATGATCCAGAATCAAATTCGCCAGTTACTGAGTCAGTCTCATCTCAATCCCAAACAGCATCTCAAACAACTGTATCTGTAGTTGCTTCTATGTCAATTATAAATTCAAGTTCAAGCTCTTTATGATGCCTGATGAACACTTTGCAAATTCTGAGCTACATGACTTTATCAGGAATCCCTTTTTCAAGCAAACTGAGGTCATTTTTGAATAATTTGAATTCTTTTAATTTATTCCCTAACGTTTTCCAATATTTTATAGATAAAAACAAAGGAAATACTCCATACTCTCAAGCTGAAGAATTTGGATTTGATACTGATTTAATCCTAATAAATCAAGGAAATGATTTTACATTGCTTTTAGGCTCAATTGCAGCTCTACCTTTAATTTTATATTTTTCTCGATGCTCTAATAGATGGATAGGTAATAAATTTACAAAAAGATTGGGAGATTATCAATATGCCTTTTATTTTAGGTTTTGGATTCAATGCTATCTTGAGTTAGGAGCAGCTGCATGTATTGGACTTACAATTTTTGAATTTACCAATATTACACAAATTGCAAATTTTGCTTTGTGTTTATCTCTTTGCATATTACTAATAGCTACTCCAGGTGTATATTTTTGGTTTTCTTATAAAAATAAAGCCCGCATTGAAACCCGTGATAAAGCATTTTTTGCCTCATTTAGCACTTTTTTTTATGAGTTTAGAACAGATAAAGGACTGATAACAACCCAATACTATTTCCTATTTTTTGCTAGGAGGCTCGTTTATATAGTAAATTTGGTTTATTTAAGAGATTATCCACAAACCGAAGTGACTGTGAATATTGTTCTTTCCTTTTTAACTATGATATACTTAGCTTTATGCTGGCCCTTTGAAGATCAAATTTTACAAATAACCAACTTAGTGACTGAAATATTGATTTTCTTAATAATGAGCTCTACAACTGCTTATTTATTTAATTTTGAGCAAGAAGTTATAGAAGGGATTGAGGACTCTATTATCATAATTGTCCTAGTTATTATAGCAATTCAAACAATTTCTTCAATAATTATTTTTTCTAAAACTTTATACCAAGCTATCAAAGAAAAACTTGTGAAGTCAGGAATTGTCAAAGAAAACAATAATCCGCAATATAATCGTATTAGGAAAATTCAAATATAATAATTAAGCAGAATGAGAAGCTTTGAATATTTAAAGTTTATAATTTAGCTATAGTTATAATTATTTTCGTTGAAAACCGATAAACGTAGGTTTTAGATGTTTGAACTTAAAAGCAAAAATAATCTGCTGGTGAGATCTAATATTATTAATATTTTAATTGCAGGTTTTTATTTTGAATTTGTCAATGCTCATTGAACTAAACGCGGTCAAAATGAGAACAGGGTCTCATTTTAAACATATTAAACTAAAAATAATTACTTCTTCCATAACTAGACAATGAGAAGCATTCAAAAATCCCATTTTAGATTTATTATTCAAGTTTCATAAATTAAAATTTTCATATAAATATGGTTATTATAACTAAATCAAAGTTAATTATATACTCTAAACTTAAATCATTAAATTTTTCTTAGAGTTGCTTGGCAAATTAGACTTTAAATTAAATGGACTTTATTATAATTTCAATTTCTTTTATGCAAATTTGCCATTTGTTATATTTACTAATATTTTTAATCTGGCTTTTATTTCTAAAATTATTTGGTCAGCCTATTCTATTCAAATAGCAACTTGAAGCCACAAATTTAGGCTTTTTGGCATATAAATGGAGTATTAGCTCAAAATTGCACATAGAAATTTACCCTTTTGTATTTAGTTCAACAAGACTATTTTCATTTGAATTAAAAATTCCAAGTACCAAAGTTTCAAGCTAATTAAGCAAGACTGCTATTAATTACATTCCTAAGTACTTATCATGCTTATCTTTTCATGCAAATTTTCGAAGCATTGCATTTTTTAGGTAAGGGTTTCAAGCACTGGTGCTATAAATTTTATATGTTAGGTATTTATAATTCTTAGATCAAAACATTTTCAAATATCTCCTATAAAATTTTTTAGTTCTTAACATCTAATTATTGATTTGTTTCACCATGATGCCTTAATGACATAATGAATTTTATTCTGATTATTCTCTTCAAAGCTATGCTCATCTGGTCATTCAGTCCACATGACAGCTATAGTTGAGGAATAAAGCCTGATCACTTTTATCTTAAACAGAAAATTGACTGCAGAAAAGCAAATTCTTCCCTATTTAGTTTAATAAGCCAGAATATTTACATAATACAAAGCGAAGATAAGGAAAATTCGCTTGAAATGAATTTTTCAAATGTTCAAGATTTAGCAGCTACAAATTTCTCATACTCAAATATTTCTCCTTTTATTCCAATCCCTGTTTCATTTCGCGCTAAGCAATCCCTGATACTATCTCCCAATCAGGAATTTTATTTTGATGCAGCTTCAAGCATCACAGAAAACCTAAAATTTAAACTATATGATTATTTTAAGTGGGTTTTATCAATAAATTCACTTACTTGAGAAAAAGCTTCAAATTCTTATATATCGTGGCCAAGCATTTTTTCAGACTTTTATAATGCACCTTATCATTTAATTGCACTTTATGCATTTTTGATTCTATTTACTTGTAAAATTCTGGGTTTAGCATATAGAGATGCCAAGCTCAATTTTCAGCTAATTACTATAGCTGGTCTCATAACACAAGTTTATTGCATAACCTGTGGTTCTGGCTCTTTCTCATACCAAAACATATTATGTTTGTCGTATTGCCCTACAGGGTATTTACAAAATATAGTCACAAATACCTGCGATTACAGCTTTTTTGTTACGTTTACCTTGTCTTTAGATAATGAGATTATTCTTGACCAAAAAGGAGTGGTTTTGGTAGGAAATTCGATAACTAATACTTATCCAACTTATGATACAAATGATCCTTGACCAGTTAAATCGAGAGGCTACTACTTTAAATCTAATAGTTATTTAGCATCACCTCATATGCTCGCTCCAACATTTTCAATTGCTATATGGCTAAAGGCTCTATCTGCAGGAATAGTTCTAGTCAAGCCTATACCAGCATACCAATGGGTTGTAGAAATTTTGTCCTCAGGATATCCTATGCTTTCCCTACTTATGTCAGATTCATCAACCATAATTTCAGTAACAGGAAATTCTAATGTTTTGAATGGGTGATTCTTTGTTTCATTTGACGGATACCTTAATGCTGACGGAATAACAACAATAGTCTCTTATATTGATGGAATATTCTTACAATATTTCACAACAGCAACTGCATTGTATCTACAAGACAGCGTTTTAGGAAACTTATATATAGGATATGATATTGGTGGATTTACAGGCTTTATTTGGAAAATAAAAATGTATTGCTTAAATAATGATGACTTAGATGAATGGCAAACATCAGGATGCACACCACCCTGCACAAAATGCCCAGCTGATTTAAGTTGTCCAAGTGATTGTCCATTAGATAAGTATGTTGATGGTTTATCTTGTAAAGACTGTAAGACAAGCTGTAACAAAGGATGCGTAAATTCTGATACCTGCAATTTATGTTTGACTAAAGAATGTGCTACATGTACAGAATTCATAGGGACAGGCTCATGCTTGGGTTGTATTGCGAATGCTGTTAGTGATGGAAATGGAGGTTGCACTTGTGATGCATATGCATTTTGACTATCTCTAACTCAATCATGTGAAAGATGTGACGTGCTTTGCCCGAATTGCCTAAAAACATCTTATTTTGAGTGCTCAGCTTGTTCAGGGAGCTATCAATTAGTTGGAAATGTCTGTCTAAATGGCTGTCCTTATGGGTTTGGAGGGTCTTGTTTGCCTATAACGACTCCTGTGGTAGACAAGTCTTTCAGTGTAGATTTTCAAGGCTCGTATGGAATTTTGACAACAGGAACCAGTTCATCATCTTTTCAGTTTTTTAACACTCCAGAATCAGTTGACCCTATTCCTGCCTATATGAGAGGCTTATATTTTGATGGGAGTGCTTATCTTTTATCATCCACATCAATACTCCTTTATCATAGCTTTTCTATCGGATTATGGCTATATGTAACAGTGAGTGGCGATATATTAGAAAAACAAACTCGGCTTATTTTATCGTCATCAGGAGTTACAGCTATTATGGAAGATCCAACTCAAGCTACAGCTTCTAAAACTTTGTCTTTAGGCACAACACTTGCTGATTGGAATTATTTGTCAGTGACTTTTGAATATTCATCTGGTAGTACAACTATCACAATCTATGTCAACAATGTTATAGCTTCAACCCTACCAGTTTCAAAATATATTTATAGAGACCTTGCTTCCACAAACTTAATGATTGGCAAAAGCAGCTCGTCCGGGTTTAAAGGGTTTATTAACTCTTTTCAGCTCTGAAATGCACCAATCAGCTCTTTTTCAAGCTATATTAATGCTGTGTGTGGATCAGGGCATGCTTGTTTATGGTCTTGTGAATTGTCTCATTTTTGAAGCGGATCTACTTATTTATCCTGCAATTCATGCAGCAAAGGTTGTGTAAGAGCCGCAAATTGCAATATCTGTGACGATTCATTATGCTTAATATGTACTGGCTTTGGATCAGGAAAATGTACTCAATGCGTTTCCAATGCAAGTTTTATAGGCACAAATTGCCAATGCAATTCTGGATATTATTGGAATGATATTAGTGAAAGCTGTGAGCTATGCGATACATCATGCAAATCATGCACATCTGCTAATTGATATGATTGCTTGACGTGCTATAGTGGATATTATATGGTTTTAGGAATTTGCTCTTCAAGTTGCCCATCAGGATATATTTCTTCATCTGAAGGTGTGTGTGTATTTTCTCAAGAAAAAATATTTGATTTAAATTTGAATACTCTGAATGGTATAGTTTACGATGATGCAAGCTTAATTCCAGTTATAACTGGATCAGCAAAACAATTTTATCCAGACTATGAAGCCGATGATCCTATCCCTGCTTATCTAAGAGGCTTCTATTTTAATGGTGAATCTTCAATTTTAAGGATGCCAGAGTACTCAACCTATACATTGCCAAAACTTGTTATAGCCCCAGCCTTCACTATTTCTATGTGGCTTAATATTGAAACAGCCTATTCTGCTATAATTTCAAAGCATAATATTTTTGATAATTACTCAACTGTTTACTATATCTCTCTAATAGAAGGCAAGCCAGCGTTTTCTCTTCTAATAAGCTCATCTGCATTTTTTTATATGTCCCAAACATCGCTTAATAATTATGAATGGAGCCATATTGTATTTACTTTGGAAATGAACAGTGGCTCTAATATAATTTCAAGCTATGTAAATGGGCTATCAGACTCTTCTGCGGCAGCAGGATATGGAACTTTTAATGATATAGGTCCTCACACCACAATGACTATAGGAGCTCAAATTAGCTCTTCAGAAGTTTATAATTATTATCAAGGCTTTATTTATACTATTCAGATTTTTAATGCAGTAAAACCTATATCAAGCCTATCAACAACATCTTGTACTGAAAGCTGTAGTGTTTGTCCTATCAACCAAATCTGCATCCCAAACTGCAAAATAAAAGAATATTGAAGCGGCCCAGCCTATAACAAATGCTATAGTTGCAATATTAAATGTAAAAAAAGCTGCAGAGACTGACGAGATACTTGCTCGCTTTGCGATAATTTATTATGTGAATCCTGTAGTGATTATTCAAGCTGTGAAGTTTGTAAAGAACATGCTATTAACCCTGATTCGTGTGCCTGTGATGATAACTATGTACTTGATGATACCCAAAGTAATACATGCATTCCAATTGAGTCTGGCGGATTCAAAGGGGAAGATGGACACTTTCATAAATGTCCAAATTTATGCTCATCTTGTGAGTCTCTTACAAAATGCACAGCTTGTACAAGTAATGCTAGTATTCAAAACGACCTATGCTATTGCAACTTAGGATATAATGGAATAGAGAGTTGTATTTTAGTCTCTTTTTCAGCAAAGCTTACAGTTTTGGCTGATAACTCTTTATATCTGACTTTTTCTGAAAGTCTAGTAAAAGATCTAAATACTTCAGATTTTGTTATAATCATTGGAAATCAAGAAGAAATTTCATCTAAATTAGAAAAAATGAACAACACATGCTATTATATTTCTTTAGCAATTAGTGAGAAAATTTCTAAAGGTACTTTAGCTATTATTCAATTTATAGATCTATCAATAGTGAAATCGGTATCAAATGGTATCTTAAATTCATCAGAGATTTCTGCAAGCTTAAACTCATATGACCCAGCATCAAATTCGCCAGTTACTGAGTCAGTCTCATCTCAATCTCAAACAACATCTCAAGCGGCCGTATCTGTAGTTGCTTCTATATCAATTTTAAATTCAAATCCAAGCTCTTTATGATGCCTGATAAACACTTTGCAAATTCTGAGCTACATGACTTTATCAGGGATCCCTTTTTCAAGCAAAATGAGATCGTTTTTGAATAACTTGAATTCTTTTAATTTATTTCCTAACGTTTTCCAATATTTTATAGATAAAAACAAAGGAAATACCCCATACTCTCAAGCTGAAGAATTTGGATTTGATACTGATTTAATCCTAATAAATCAAGGAAATGATTTTACATTGCTATTAGGCTCAATTGCAGCTCTACCTTTAATTTTATATTTTTCACGATGCTCTAATAGATGGATAGGCAATAAATTTACAAAAAGATTGAAAGATTATCAATATGCCTTTTATTTAAGGTTTTGGATCCAATGCTACTTAGAATTAGGAGCAGCTGCATGCATTGGACTTACAATTTTTAAATTTAGCAATATTACACAAATTGCAAATTTTGCTTTGAGTTTATCTCTTTGCATATTACTACTAGCTACTCCAGGTGCATATTTTTGGTTTTCTTATAAAAATAAAGTCCTCATTAAAACCCATGATAAAGCATTTTTTGCCTCATTTAGCACTTTTTTTTATGAGTTTCGAACAGAAAAAGGACTTTTAACAGCCCAATACTATTTTCTATTTTTTGCTAGAAGGCTAGCTTATATAATAAACTTGGTTTACTTGAGAGATTATCCACAAACCGAAGTGACTGTGAATATTGTTCTTTCCATTTTAACTATAATGTACTTAGCTTTATGCTGACCCTTTAAAGACCAAATTTTACAAATAACTAACTTAGTGACTGAAATATTGATTTTCTTAATAATGAGTGCTACAGCTGCTTATTTATTTAATTTTGAGCAAGAAGTGATAGAAGGAATTGAGGATTCTATTATCATAATTGTCCTAGTTATTATAGCAATTCAAACAATTTCTTCAATAATTATTTTTTCTAAAACTTTATACCAAGCTATTAAAGAAAAACTTGTGAAGTCAGGAATTGTCAAAGAAAACAATAATCCGCTATGTAATCACATTAGAAAAATTCAAATATAATAATTAACAGAATGAGAAGCTTTGAATATTTAAAAGTTTATAATTTAGCTATAGTTATAATAATTTTCCGCCGAAAACCGATAAAGCATAGGTTTTAGATGTTTGAACTTAAAAGCAAAAAATAATCTGCTAGAGAGATCTAATAAAATTTATATTTTAATTGCAGGCTTTTATTTCGGGTTTGCTAATACTCAGTGGACTAAAAATGGTCAAAATGAGAATAGGGTCTCATTTTAAACATATTAAATTAAAAATAATTATTTCTTCCATAACTAGACAAATAGTTTTTAAATGCTTGTAAATTAAAGATAAAATTATTTGAAGTCAATATATATATTTATTTTAATAGTTTAATTTGAAGCAGCTGGAATAAAATAATCGAAGTAAATGTTGCTAGCTACTTGAGAAACATTTCAAAAATCCTATTTATAGATAAAATTTTCTTTCAATAATGGTTATCAAAGCTAATTATATACTCTAAACTTAAATTAAACCATTAAATTTTTCTTACAGTTGCTTGACAAATTATTAAACGGAATTTTCTATAGAATTTTTTGAAATTTGAAAAATACTTTTAAGATATATAAATCTTTAAATATTTTTTAATGAGGAGTAAATATGAAAGCAAAATATAGGAATTTTATCTTTAAATTATTTCCTAATTCTAAAAGCTTAATGGACTTAACTATAATTTCAACTTTTTTTAATTTCTTTAATGCAAATTTGGCATTTATTATATTTATTAATGTTTAATCTGGCTTTTATTTCTAAAATTATTTGGTCAGCCTATTCTATTCAAATAGCAACTTGAGCCATTTTTTGACTTTTAAGCATATAAATGCAAAGCTGGTTCAGAATTACATATAGAAATATACCCTTTTCTATTAGCTCAATAAGCCTATTTAATTTCGAAATTTCATTTGAATTAAAACTTTCATGTACAAAAGTTCCAAGCTAATTAAGTAAGACTACTATTAATTATATTCCTACGTGCTTATCATATTTATCTTTTCATTAGAATTTTCGAATGCATTGCAATTTTTAGTTAAGGGTTTTCAAATAATTCAAGCACTTATGTGTGGATTTTATATTTTAGGCATTTATAATTCTTAGATCAAACCGTTTTCAAATATTTCTTCAATAAGTATTTTTAATTCTTAATACCGAATATCGATTTGTTTCGCCATCATAACATAATGAAGTAATGAAATTTATTCTGATTATAATCTCCAAGGCTGTGCTCATCTGACTACTTAGCCTGCATGGCAACTGCAATTGAGGAATAAAACCCGGCCACTTTTATCTTTGCTCCCTTTTGTATTGATTAGACCATAATATTAGCTTTGGCTTATATACAATGCTCAACAAAGATAAAGCTAATTCACTTGAATTTAATGTTTCAATTGTTCAAGATTTAGCCACAACAAATTTCTCAAATTTAAATTATTCTTCACAATTTTTGCCTGTTCCAATGCCTACTATATCTTGCACTCAAAAATTCCTTATATCATCTACTAATCAATTATTTTATTTTGATGCAGCCTCAAGCATCATAGAAAACCAAAAATTTACACTATGTTATTATTTTAAGTGGGATTTATCAATAAATCCACTTATTTGAGAAAAAGCTCCAAATTCATATATATCAAAATCAAACATTTTTTCAGATTTTTATAATGCACCTTATCATTTAATTGTGCTTTATGCATTTCTGATTCTATTTGCTCGTAAAATTATGGATTTAGCAAATAGAGATGGCAAGCTCAATTTTCAGCTAATTATTATAGTTGGTCTCACAGCACAAGTTTATTGCATTACCTATGATTCTGGCTCTTTCTCATACCAAAACATATTATGTTTATCATATTGTCCTACGGGAAATTTACAATCTTTTACAACGTCGACTGCAATGTTTATACAAGACAGTGTTTCAGGAAATGTACATGTAGGGCACGACAGCTCTGGCTTTACAGGCTTTTTATGGAAATTGAATATTTATAACTCAAATGGCTTACACTTAAGCGATTGGAGAACAGTAGGATGCACATCACCCTGCACAAAATGTTCAAATAACCTGAGTTGTCCAAGTGATTGCCCATTAAATAAATATATATATGGTTCATCTTGCTTAGACTGTATGGCAAGCTGTGATAAAGGATGCGTAAGCTCTGATACTTGCAATTTATGTAAGACTAAAGAATGTGCTACATGCGAAGCATTCACAGGGACAGACTCATGCTCGACTTGCATTACGAATGCTGTTAGTGATGGAAATGGAGGATGCACTTGCAATACTAATGCATTTTGGGTATCTTTAACTCAATCATGTGAAAAATGTGATGTGATTTGCTCGAATTGCTTAAAAACAGCTTATTTTGAGTGCTCAACTGGCCAGGCATAAAACCGATTTTCTTTTCTCCTCTTCAATATCAAGCTACTTAGTCTTGATAATTGGAAATATAAGAGATGCTGCACTATTTTCACTTCTAAGCTATTATAATGCGGTTATAGTATATTTAATAATATATTTAATACTTTATACTATATATCTAGTGCACGAAAGAATATTTATATCTTTAGCGAATTTGGCATTATTTTTATATTAAATTTATATGAAATATATCATGCTTATATGTTAAATAAGCTAGATAAACAGATTACATCTTTAAAAACTCATTAATTTAAGCAATCAATGCTAGATTATATACGTGTCTATAACAAATAATTATGCTTGATTTTATTTATTTTTGTTTATCAATTTTAAGGCAGAATTCGTCTAAATCCATATTTGTGCGGCTAGGGATATAAAATTAAGCATTAAATATATATCTAGAAATGCTATAATAGTGTTATGGTGAAATAGCGTAATGTCTCTTATATTTCTTATTATCAAGACTATGTAGTTTAGTTGTGAGGGTAGGGTTAGGTTTCATGCTTGAAAACTCAACTTGTACAGGGAGCTATCAACTAGTTGGAAATGTCTGTCTAAATGGCTGTCCTTATGAGTTTGGTGGGTCTTGTTTGCCTGTAACAACCCCTGTGATAAATAATTCTTTCAATATAGATTTTCAAGGCTATTATGGAATTTTGACAACAGGAACCAGTTCATCATCTTTTCAGTTTTTTAACACTCCAGAATCAGTTGACCCAATTCCTGCCTATATGAGAGGCTTATATTTTGATGGGAGTGCTTATCTTTTATAGGGTTTTACCCTTAATAGCCCGATAAGGGCAGATGATTCCTGGAGAAATCATCGATTTGATCCAACCAAAGGCACTAAGTTGGTTGGACCAACTTGATGATTTCGCCAAGAATCATCTGCCCTTATCGGCTATAAAGGGTAAAACCTATATCATCCGCATCAATACTCCTTTATCATAGTTTTTCTATTGGATTATGGCTATATGTGACTGCGAGTGGCGATATATTAGAAAAACAAACTCGGCTTATTTTATCATCATCAGGAGTTGCAGCTATTATGGAAGATCCTACTCAAGCTGCAGCTTCTAAAACATTGTCTTTAGGCGCAACGCTTGCTGATTGGAATTATTTGTCAGTTACTTTTGCATATTTATCTGGTAGTACAACTATCACAATCTATGTCAACAATGTTATAGCTTCAACCCTACCAGTTTCAAAATATATTTATAGAGACCTTGCTTCCACAAACTTAATGATTGGCAAAAGCAGTTCGTCCGGGTTTAAAGGGTTTATTAACTCTTTTCAGCTCTGAAATGCACCAATCAGCTCTTTTTCAAGTTATATTATTGCTGTGTGTGGATCAGGGCACGCTTGTTTATGGTCTTGTGACTTGTCTCATTTTTGAAGTGGATCTTCTTATATATCCTGCAATTCATGCATCAAAGGCTGTGTAAGAGCTGGAAATTGCAATATCTGTGAAGATTCATTATGCTTAATATGCACTGGCTTTGGATCAGGAAAATGTACTCAATGCGTTTCCAATGCAAGTTTTATAGGCACATATTGCCAATGCAATTCTGGATATTATTGGAATGATATTAATGAAAGCTGTGAGCTATGCGATATATCATGCAAATCCTGTGCATCTGCTAATTGGTATGATTGCTTGACGTGCTATAGTGGATATTATATGGTTTTAGGAATTTGCTCTTCAAGCTGCCCATCAGGATATATTTCTTCTTCAGGTGTGTGTGCATTTTCTCATGAAAAAATATTTGATTTAAATTTGAATACTCTGAATGGCATAGTTTATGATGATGCAAGCTTAATTCCAGTTATAACTGGATCAACAAAACAATTTTATCCAGACTATGAAGCCGATGACCCTATCCCTGCTTACCTAAGAGGCTTCTATTTTAATGGTGAATCTTCAATTTTAAGGATGCCAGAGTGCTCAACCTATACATTGCCAAAACTTGTTATAGCCCCGGCTTTCACTATTTCTATATGGCTTAATATTGAAACAGCCGATTCTGCTATATTTTCAAAGCATAATATTTCTGATAATTACTCAACTGTTTACTATATTTCTCTAATAGCAGGCAAGCCAACAATTTCGCTTCTAATAAGCTCATCTGCATTTTTTTATATGTCCCAAACATCGCTTAATAATTATGAATGGAGCCATATTGTATTTACTTTGGAAATGAACAGGGCTATAATATAATTTCAAGCTATGTAAATGGGTTATTTGACTCTTCTGTGACGACAGGATATGGAACTTTTAATGATATAGGTCCTCACACCACAATGACTATAGGAGCTCAAATTAGCTCTTCAGCAGTTTATAATTATTATCAAGGCTTTATTTATACTATTCAGATTTTTAATGCAGTAAAACCTATATCAAGCCTATCAACAACATCTTGTACTGAAAGCTGTAGTGTTTGTCCTATCAGCCAAGTATGCATACCTAATTGCAAAATAAAAGAATATTGAAGTGGCCCAGCTTATAATAAATGCTATAATTGTAATATTAAATGTACAAAAAGTTGCAGAGACTGACGAGATACTTGCTCGCTTTGCGATAATTTATTATGTGAATCCTGTAGTGATTATTCAAGCTGTGAAGCTTGTAAAGAAAATACTATTAACCCTGGTTCGTGTGCCTGTGATGATAACTATGTACTTGATGATACCCAAAGTAATACATGCATTCCAATTGAGTCTGGCGGATTCAAAGGAGAAGACGGACACTTTCATGCATGCCCAAATTTATGCTCATCTTGTGAGTCTCTTACGAAATGCACAGCTTGTGCAAATAATGCTAGTATTCAAAACGACCTATGCTATTGCAACTTAGGATATAATGGAATAGAGAGTTGTATTTTAGTCTCTTTTTCAGCAAAGCTTACAGTTTTGGCTGATAACTCTTTATATCTGACTTTTTCTGAAAGTCTAGTAAAAGATCTAAATACTTCAGATTTTGTTATAATCATTGGAAATCAAGAAGAAATTTCATCTAAATTAGAAAAAATGAACAACACATGCTATTATATTTCTTTAGCAATTAGTGAGAAAATTTCTAAAGGTACTTTAGCTACTGTTCAATTTAAAGACCTATCAAAAGTAAAATCGATATCAAATGGCATCTTAAATTCATCAGAGATTTCTGCAAGCTTAAACTCATATGACCCAACATCAAATTCGCCAGTTACTGAGTCAGTCTCATCTCAATCTCAAGCAATATCTCAAACAACTGTATCTATAGTTGCTTCTATGTCAATTATAAATTCAAGTTCAAGCTCTTTATGATGCCTGATGAACACTTTGCAAATTCTGAGCTACATGACTTTATCAGGGATCCCTTTTTCAAGCAAAATGAGGTCATTTTTGAATAATTTGAGTTCTTTTAATTTATTCCCTAATGTTTTCCCATATTTTATAGATAAAAACAAAGGAAATACTCCATACTCTCAAGCTGAAGAATTTGGATTTGATACTGATTTAATCCTAATAAATCAAGGAAATGATTTTACATTGCTTTTAGGCTCAATTGCAGCTCTACCTTTAATTTTATATTTTTCTCGATGCTCTCACAGATGGATAGGTAAAAAATTTACAAAAAGATTGGGAGATTATCAATATGCCTTTTATTTAAGGTTTTGAATCCAATGCTACCTAGAATTAGGAGCAGCTGCATGCATTGGACTTACAATTTTTGAATTTAGCAATATTACACAAATTGCAAATTTTGCTTTGTGTTTAGCTCTTTGTATATTACTAATAGCTACCCCAGGTGCATATTTTTGGTTTTCTTATAAAAATAAGGCCTTTATTAAAACCCGTGATAAAGCATTTTTTGCCTCATTTAGCACTTTTTTTTTTATGAGTTTCGAATAGACAAAGGATTTATAATAGCTCAATACTATTTTCTATTTTTTGCTAGAAGGCTAGTTTATATAATAAACTTGGTTTATTTGAGAGATTATCCACAAACTGAAGTGACTGTGAATATTGTTCTTTCCTTTTTAATTATGATATACTTAGCTTGGTGCTGACCCTTTGAAGACCAAGTTTTACAGATAACCAACTTAGTGACTGAAATATTGATTTTCTTAATAATGAGCGCTACAACTGCTTATTTATTTAATTCTGAGCAAGAAGTTATGGAAGGGATTGAGGATTCTATTATCATAATTGTCCTAGTTATTATAGCAATTCAAACAATTTCTTCAATAATTATTTTTTCTAAAACTTTATATCAAGTTATAAAAGAAAAACTTGTGAAGTCAGGAATTGTCAAAGAAAACAATAATCCGCAATGTAATTAAGTAGAATTTAGTATGAGAAGCTTTAATATTTAAAAGTTTTATAATTTAACTATAATGATAATTATTTTTCGTTGAAAACCGATAAAACATAGGTTTTAAATGTTTGAACTTAAAAGCAAAAAATAATCTGTTGAGATCTAATAAAATTTATATTTTAATTTCAGGCTTTTATTTTTGAATTTTTTAATACTCATTGAACTTAAAATGGTTAAAATGAGAATACTTAAAAATAATTATTTCTTCCATAGGCAGACTAGCTTCAACTTTTTTTAAAAATTTTGAAAATTAAAGATAAAATTATTTAAAGTCAGCATATATATTTATTTAATACTTTAATTTGAACAACTGGAATGAAATAATCGAAGTAAATGTTGCTAAATAGGAAAGCAAAATATAGGAAATATATCTTTAAATTATTTCCTGATTCTAGAAGATTAGTGGACTTAAATATAATTTCTAGTTTTTTTTAATTTCTTTAATTCAAATTTGCCATTTTTTATATTTACTAATGTTTTTAATCTGGCTTTTATTTCTAAAATTATTTAGCTAGCCTATTCTATTCAAATAGCAACTTGAAGTCCAGCCAAGTCTCTGTCTAAAGTTGTTGCTAATAAACAGTGTCTATTCCGGTCTTGGGCCCTCAAGAAATCAATGACTTCTCTCAATTGTCTAAGTAAGGAAACTACCCTTTATAAGATTTGCGATTTTAAATTATATAATTTGAATTAAAAATTCCAAGTACCAAAGTTCCAAGTTAATTAAGGAAGACTTCGAGAAATTATATTCCTAAGTGTTATCTTTTTAGGCAAATTTTCGAACGCATTGCATTTTTAGGTGATGGGTTCAAGCACTGACGTGTGGATTTTATATTTTAGGTATTTATAATTCTTAGATCAAAATATTTCTTCAATAAGTATTTTTAATTCTTAATATCTAATATTGATTTGTTTCGCCATCATAGCATAATGATGTAATGAATTTTATTCTGATTATTATCTCCAAGGCTGTATTCATCTGACTACTTAGTCTGCACGGCAGCTATAATTGAGGAATAAATTCTAGCTACTTTTGTCTTCACTCCCTTTTGTGTTGATTAGACGCGAATATTAGCTTTGGCTTATCCACAATAGTTAGCGAAGATAAGGCTAATTCACTTGAATTTAATTTTTCAATTGTTCAAGATTTAGCAGCAAAAAAATTCTCAAATTCAAATTATTCTCCACAATTGTTGCTTGTCCCAATACCTGCTTCATCTTGCACTCAACGATTCCTGATATCATCTACTAATCAATTATTTTATTTTGATGCAGACTCAAGCATAATAGAAAACCAAAAATTTACACTTTATGATTATTTTAAGTGGGTTTTATCAATAAATCCACTTGCTTGAGAAAAAGCTTCAAATTCTTATATATCAAGGACAAAGATTTTCTCAGAAATTTTTAATGCACCTTATTTTTTAATTGTGTTTTATGCATTTCTGATTCTATTTACTTGTAAAATTCTAGATTTAGCAAATAGAGACGCCAAGCTCAATTTTCAGCTAATTACTATAGCTGGTCTCATAACACAAGTTTATTGCATAACCTGTGGTTCTGGCTCTTTCTCATACCAAAACATATTATGTTTGTCATATTGCCCTACAGGATATTTACAAAATACAGGCACAAATGCCTGCGATTTAAACTTTCTTGTTACGCTTGATGTGGTTTTAAGAAATCAGATTATTCTTGATATAATAGATGGAATTTCTGTAGGAAATTCAATTACTAATACTTATCCAACTTATGATGCAAACGATCCTTATCCAGCCAAATGGAGTGGCTACTACTTTAGATCTGATAGCTATTTAACATCGCCTCTTATGCTTTCTCCCTCATATTCAATTGCTATATGGTTAAAGACTCTGGCGGCAGGAATAGTTCTAGTTAAGCCTATACCAACATACCAATGGGTTGTAGAAATTTTGTCCTCAGGATATCCTAAGCTATCCCTTCTTATGTCAGATTCATCAACTAGGATTTCAGTAACAGGAGGTTCTAATGTTCTAAACGGATGATTCTTTGTTTCATTTGACGGCTATATTAATACTGACGGGACCACAACAATAAGCTCTTATATTGATGGATCACTCTTACAATCTTTTACAACGTCGACTGCAATGTATATACAAGACAGTGTTTCAGGAAATATATATGTAGGGCACGACAGCTTAGGCTTTACAGGCTTTTTATGGAAATTGAATATTTATAACTCAAATGGCTGACACTTAAGCGAATGGAGAACAGTAGGATGCACATCACCCTGCACAAAATGCTCAAATGACCTGAGTTGTCCAAGTGATTGCCCATTAAATAAATATATATATGGTTCATCTTACTTAGACTGTATGGCAAGCTGTGATAAAGGATGTGTAAGCTCAGGCACTTGCAGTTTATGTAAGACTAAAGAATGTGCTACATGCACAGCATTCATAGGGACAGATTCATGTTTGACTTGCATTACGAATGCCGTTAGCGATGGAAATGGAGGATGCACTTGCGATACATATGCATTTTTGGTATCTTTAACTCAATCATGTGAAAAGTGCGATGTGATTTGTTCAAATTGCTTAAAAACAGCTTATTTTGAGTGCTCAACTTGTACAGGGAGCTATCAATTAGTTGGAAATGTCTGTCTAAATGGCTGTCCTTATGGGTTTGGAGGGTCTTGTTTGCCTGCAACGACCCCTGTGATAGATGAGTCTTTCAATGTAGATTTTCAAGGCTCGTATGGAGTTTTGACAGCAGGAGCCAGTTCATCATCTTTTCAGTTTTTTAACACTCCAGAATCAGTTGACCCTATTCCTGCCTATATGAGAGGCTTATATTTTGATGGGAGTGCTTATCTTTTATCATCTACATCGGTACTCCTTTATCATAGTTTTTCTATTGGATTATGGCTATATGTAACAGCGAGTGGCGATATATTAGAAAAACAAACTCAGCTTATTTTGTCATCATCAGGAATTACAGCTATTATGGAAGATCCTACTCAAGCTACGGCTTCTAAAACATTGACTTTAGGCACAACGCTTGCTGATTGGAATTATTTGTCAGTTACTTTTGAATATTTATCTGGTAGTACAACTATCACAATCTATGTCAACAATGCTATAGTTTCAACTCTACCTATTTCAAATTATATTTATAGAGACCTTGCTTCCACAAACTTAATGATTGGCAAAAGCAGCTCGTCCGGGTTTAAAGGGTTTATTAACTCTTTTCAGCTTTGAAATGCACCAATCAGCTCTTTTTCAAGCTATATTAATGCTGTGTGTGGATCAGGGCATGCCTGCTTATGGTCTTGCGATTTGTCTCATTATTGAAGCGGATCTTCTTATTTATCCTGCAATTCCTGCAGCAAAGGATGTGTTAGAACACTAAATTGCAATATTTGTGAAGATTCATTATGCTCAATTTGTAGTGGTTTTGGATCAGGAAAATGCACCCAATGTGTTTACAATGCAATTGGAACTCCATGCACATGCATTGCAGGATTTATGACCTCTTCTGATGGATCTTCATGTGTAGCATGCTCAAGCAGGTGCTCTCATTGCACAGATACAGCTTATAACAAATGCAGCGCTTGCAATATAGGGTTTTACTTTTTTTCTCCAACTGGGCAATGCTTAAATGACTGCCCATCTGGGTATAACAAAGGGTCAAATACTTGTGATTATTTGGTAGATTATGGAATTAACCTTGATTTAACTGATAATATCCGTCTTAATACTGTTTCTGGATTTGATGTAGGCTGGGACATCGCCAATACTTATCCTATGTGGACTGATGCCAATGATCCAATTCCTTCTTACAAACGAGGCTATTATTTTAATGGAAACAGCTATGTTGTGTCGTCAGTTATGATTGCACCAGCCTTTGCAATTTCTATATGAGTGAAACCAATTGTGGCTGGGAATATTTTGTCAAAACACCACCTTAACAGTCCTATTCTTACAATTTCTATAGACACTTCAGGATTATAGCACGCCTTTTGATATAAATTTTCATTAGCTATTTTCTAAATATCATCTTGTTTAAATTTTCCTATTATGAAATCATTTTTTTAAACAAAATTCATAAATCCGATCAAAAAGTGCAGAAAAATATTTGGAACGAAATTTCCTGAAAGAAAAAGCCTGCAGCCCTCCAGGACATCCATCTTTATTGATAATCCTTTCTGACTCCTCATCAGCCACCTTATCTACTTCTACTAGCACATTTAACAGCTGACATTTTTTAAGCTTTACAGGGCAAATCCAAAGTAATGGAAAAACGCTTTTAAATCTCTATATTAATACTGCACTTATAAATTCTTATACAACATCAACTTCAATATACTTTGAAGACGTCAACTTACTCCCCTCAGTGAGCGAAAAACAATTTGGAAAAATCCCTATTTTTTGCCTAAAAATCCACCTTCCGCGAGAAACAGAATTTTGATATATAAGTGAATAATTAATATAATGAAATCTCAATCTAATTCTGTTTAATTATAAACAAATTGCATTTTAAAACATAAATTTAACAAATTAATTAATATTTGCTTTCCAATTATGCGAATCCGGATTTTTTTAAAAAAATTTACTATATATTTATATATAATTTTTTTTTTGTTCGCTCATAGAGGGGGGTAGTTAGGAGAGCTTTTTGTCGGAAATAACCAACGACTAGGCTCTATTGGGTTTGAAGGATTTTTATCTAGAGTCATGATATATATAGGCATAATCTGTAAATAGCCTGATATGGGTTGGGGATAGAGGGCAAAACTTCCCAATTGGTTCGGCCAAAATGGATTGGTCGAGCCAAGTAGAGCGAGGCTTATTTGCCGCTTCCTACTTGGCCCAACTAGCTCATTTTGGCCAAAACCATTTTGAAGTTTCCGCCTCTATTCCTAGCCCATATCGGGCTATTTACAAGATATCCTATAACTCTTATAGCCGCCAGGCTGATGACTATAAAACTTCTTCATGCAGCTCTGGGTGTTCTGCATGTCCATCAAATTTTCAATGCTTAAGTGAATGCGCCTTTAATTCATATCCAGATAGCTGCAGTTCTTGCTTATCAGGATGTGATAAAGGATGTGTTGATAATTTATCATGCAGTCTTTGCAGAGATAAAGAATGTGAGGCTTGTGATAGTTTTACAGAGGAATGCACCAGTTGTATTGCAAATGCTGCTAAAGTAAGCGGACATTGCAAATGTGTTGCTGGAACTGGGTGGATTTCGAGTTCAAAAACCTGCGAACTTTGTGATCCTATTTGTGATAATTGTTCTACAGTTCAATTTGATGGCTGCCTTACTTGTATATCAGGGTATTATCTTATTCAATCTTTATGCATGCCATTTTGCCCTACTGGATATGTTATAAATGGCAGCAATTGTGACAGAGCTCCTGGCTATGCGAATTTTTTAGTGTTTAATCTGATGCCTCATCAAATAAAAGACATTGTGACAGATTTAGCATCAAGTATTCCAGTCCTTACAGGCAAAGATAATAATTTTTATCCAAATTATGATACAACAGACCCTATAGCTACTATTTATAGAGGGTATTATTTTACTGGGTCATCTTATATGCAGCTGCCCCACTACACAGATACTTCATCACCGTTGTTTACTTTTTCTCCAAAGTTTGTGATGACAACCTGAATAAAGCCAATATCAAGTACTGGGACTATTTTTTCTAACTTCTCAAACAAAAAATATATTTTTTAATAGCAAAAGATGCATAATCTAAATTATTTTTGAAGCAACTTTATAGCACTTTTAAAATATTTTATTTATTGCTTTTTCAATATTTAAATATCTATAAACCCGACAAAAATACAAAAATATACTACAAAATATTTATACGTTTAAAAGAAGAAAGGGCAAATCAGCGGTGGGACATTTAAAAAATATGTCAGTTTTGAGTTCACAGGAAAAATGCCATCACTAGCTTTGACCCTACAAGATTCAACTACCATAACCTACACAAGCTCCAATCCACTATTAGAAGTAACTCTTTTACAATGGAATTTTCTTTTCATAAAGTCTAGTATAAGTGGAACTACCCCTCAGCAAACCATTAGCATACAAACAAACTCAAATTCAGATTTTTCAAGCAGCTTGCCTTCCAGCTGATTTATTGATTTACAAAATTCGTTTTTAATTACAATTGGTGCTAGATACCTAAATGCTTCTGCATTTTTTTCATTTTTCAAAGGCTTCTTATGGGATCTTAAAATATATAATGATATTCCATCAAGTGCTTTAGTGTCAAGTACTTGCAATGCTTGTTCATTATGCCCAATTGATAATGCTAATACTTGTCTGGATAGCTGCTTAATAGACAGCTATTGGAATGGTAGCAGCTGCATAACCTGCTTAACTGGATGCTCAAGAAAAGGCTGTGTAAGAAATGATTTAAATTGTAACCTTTGCCAGGATGTCATATGTGAAAAATGCGACGACTATACAAGTACTTGCAATAACTGCAAAACAAATGCAAGTTTAATAGGGACAAGCTGCCAATGTAATTCTGGGTATTATTGGAATGATAGTAATGAAAATTGTGAGCTATGCGATACATCATGCAAATCCTGTACGTCTCCTAATTGGTATGACTGTTTGACGTGCTATAGTGGATATTATATGATTTTAGGATTTTGCTCATCAAGCTGTCCATCAGGATATACTTCTTCATCAGCAGGTGTGTGTATATTTTCTCAAGAAAAAATATTTGATTTAAATTTGAATATACTGTTTTTAAGTACTTAAAGCTTTAATAATTTTACAATGATAATATAAAATGTTAGCATTTAATAATAATTTTTAAATACGAATTACCAATAGTCGACTAAGCCTATTGTTTAAATGCACAGAAACTTTTAAAAAAGTATACTCTGAATGGAGTAGTTTATGATAAAGCTAGTTCAATCCCAGTTGTAACTGGATCCTATCTTAAGTATCGATACTTGCCTAACGTCTATAATCAGATTGCTCAACTGCAGCTATCTCCAAAGCTGCGGTTTTTATTATCAAAAGAAGACATCAGTCTTAAATTTTGAATTTCGACGACACTTATTTGAGCTCAGGGAGTTACTTGGGTCTGATTGGTACCTAAAAGTCCCAGTCTCGACCACCTGAGGTAAATGGCACCCTTCTGGAAAATTCGTCCCTAGGACCAGGACTCCGGCAGGAAAAACAACAGGCTCTTGCTTCCCTAGCATAGCCAAGATAATTTTACCAGGATGAAACCAAAACTCATAATTAAAATATGCAAGAAATAAATTTTAGGTTGAGAGATCAGATAATTCGAACGACGCCTTATTTTAATTATCAATTATAACTGGATCAACAAAAAAATTTTATCCAGACTATGAAGCCGATGACCCTATCCCTGCTTACCTAAGAGGTTTCTATTTTAATGGGGAATCTTCAATTTTAAGGATGCCAGAGTACTCAACCTATGTATCGCCAAAACTGGTTATAGCCCCTACCTTCACTATTTCTATATGGCTTAACACTGAAACATCTTATTCTACTATAATTTCAAAGCACGATGTTTCTGACAATTACTCAAAGCTTTACTATATTTCTTTAATAGCAGGCAAGCCAGCATTTTCTCTTTTAATAAACTCAGCTGCGTTTTTTTATATGTCGCAAGCATCACTTACTCAAGTAAGTATAAAATTAACTCCCATTAAAGGTTAATTTTCTCTAAAAAATTTATTAAAAATCCTAAATAGAAATTAAAATTTAATTTGACCTATAATATTTTTTTATAATATAATTTGTTGGAGATTTATTTAATGATATCGAATATATATTAAAATATTACTCAAAACTTTTTATGTTAAATAAATTTTTGATTCTGAAATGGAGTATTTTTTAAAAAAAATAGAAATTATTGCATGCTTTGTTCGCTCACGAAGGAAAGGGCTAGTAATAATGAATGGAGCCATATTGTATTTACTTTGAAAATGAACAGTAGCTCTAATATAATTTCAAGCTATGTAAATGGGTTATTTGACTCTTCTACGACGACAGGATATGGAACTTTTAATGATATAGTTCCTCATACCACAATGACTATAGGAGCTCAAATTAGCTCTTCAGCAGTTTATAATTATTATCAAGGCTTTATTTATACTATTCAGATTTTTAATGCACTAAAACCTATATCAAGCCTATCAACTACATCTTGTACTGAAAGCTGCAGTGTTTGTCCTATCAGCCAAGTATGCATACCTAACTGCAAAATAAAAGAATATTGAAGCGGCCCAGCCTATAACAAATGCTATACCTGTAATATTAAATGTACAAAAAGTTGCAGAGACTGACGAGATACTTGTTCGCTTTGCGATAATTTATTATGTGAATCCTGTAGTGATTATTCAAGCTGTGAAGCTTGTAAAGAACACGCTATTAACCCTGATTCATGTGCCTGTGATGATAAATATGTGCTCGATGACACCCAAAGTAATACATGTATTCCAATTAAATCTGGCGGATTCAAAGGGGAGGATGGACACTATCATAAATGTCCAAATTTATGCTCATCTTGTGAGTCTCTTACAAAATGCACAGCTTGTTCAAGTAATGCCAGCCTTAAAAATGATCTATGCTATTGCCACTTAGGCTACAATGGAACATCGAATTGTATAGTAGCCTATTTTTCAGCAAAAATTACAGTTTTGGCTGATAACTCTTTATATCTGACTTTTTCTGAAAGTCTAGCAAAAAATCTCACTGATTCAGATTTTATTATAAGAATTGAAAATCAAGGAGAAATTTCATATAAATTAGAAAAAAAGAATAGTACCTGCTATTACATTTCTTTAGCAATATCTAAAAAAATTTCCAAAGGTACTTTAGTTATTATTGAGTTCTTAGATCTATCAAAAGTGATCTCGGTATCAAATGGCATCTTAAAATCATCAGAGATATCATCAAGCTTAAATTCATATGACCCAGCATCATATTCACCAGTTACAGATTCAGTTTCACATCAATCTCAAGCAGCATCTCAAACAACTGTATCTGTAATAGCTTCTTTATCAATTATAAATTCAAGTCCAAGCTCTTTATGAAGCCTGATGAACACTTTGCAAATTCTGAGCTACATGACTTTATCAGGGATCCCTTTTTCAAGCAAAATGAGGTCATTTTTGAATAATTTGAATTCTTTTAATTTATTCCCTAACGTTTTCCCATACTTTATAGATAAAAACAAAGGAAATACTCCATACTCTCAAGCTGAAGAATTTGGATTTGATACTAATCTAATCCTAATAAATCAAGGAAATGATTTTACATTGCTTTTAGGCTCAATTGCAGCTCTACCTTTAATTTTATATTTTTCACGATGCACTAATAGATGGATAGGCAATAAATTTACAAAAAGATTGAAAGATTATCAATATGCCTTTTATTTAAGGTTTTGGATCCAATGCTATCTTGAGTTAGGAGCAGCTGCATTAATCGGACTTACAATTATTGAATTTAGTAATATTACACAAATTGCAAATGTGGCTGAAAACCTTTTCTCAGGATATTTTCTCTCAGCTATATAATAATCGTCATTTTGTCAAAAACAATAAAGTATCAAGCAATTTATTATAGCCTGAGCACCTTTGTGGCTCTTTGACTTCCAGATTTTTTTCTGGGAGTTAGTCTAATCGCTTAATGATAGTTTAGAAGCTCTTCAAATGATAAAATATCTTCAATTTTGGTTTTTTTATTTTGGTTAGCTGGTTAAACCAATATCATTTGGTTAATCAACTCTTAACTTACTCATCAGGAGAGATAAAGGTGTTTGGGCTATATAAGAAAAAATTTGATCTCAGCTCAGAAAAACAGATATAGGAAAAAATACCAATAAAAAAAATGCTATAGCAAATTTTGCTTTGTGCTTAGCTATTTGCCTATTACTACTAGCTACTCCAAGTGTATATTTTTTGTTGTCTTATAAAAATAAATTCCGCATTGAAGCCCGTGAGAAAGCATTTTTTGCCTCGTTTAGCACTTTTTTTTATGAGTTTCGAACAGATAAAGGATTTGTATCAACCCAATACTATTTTCTATTTTTTGCTAGAAGGCTAGTTTATATAATAAACTCGGTTTGCTTGAGAGATTATCCACAGACCGAAGTGACTGTGAATATTGTTCTTTCCTTTTTAACTATGATGTACTTAGCTTTGTGCTGGCCCTTTAAAAATCAAATTTTACAAGTGACCAATTTAATTACTGAAATATTGATTTTCTTAATAATGAGCGCTACAACGGCTTATTTATTTAATTTTGGGCAAGAAGCTATAGAAGGGATCGAGGATTCTATTATCATAATTGTTATAGCTATTATAGCAATTCAAACAATTTCTTCAATAATTATTTTTTCTAAAACTTTATACCAAACTATAAAAAGAAAGTTTGTGAAGCCAGGAATTGTCAAAAAAATCAATAATCCGCAATATATGCTTTGGGTGCTCTTTTGAATTGAGATAAAGCATATTATTTGTCAAAGTCAACAACTTGAATTAGTTTGCTAGAAAGAGAGCTTTTATATTTTAAGTAAATATTAAAAGCAATGCATAAGGTATATACTCTTTTAAAAGAGCCCAGCAATCTTTATAGAGAGGCTCAGTCAATTTTTTGGCCTCTTTAGCAAACTGTAAAGACAAGCATTGGTCCTAGAGATTAGGGTGATAACCATTAAGTGAGTATTATAAAAAAAAATTTTAGATATCTTCTTGATTAAACTCATAATTGCCATGAATGTAAGTCAATCCAATTTACTTAAAGATGCTGAGCTCTTTAAACAAGTATAATCAAGTTAGAAAAATTGAATTATAATAATTAAGCAGAATAAGAGGCTTTGAGCATTTAAAAGTTTTAAAATTCTCTAGCTAATTCTGTTGAATTTTGAATACATTGCATTTTATTTGATTTTTTGAATTTTGGAAAAAAAATACTATAAAATTATATATCAATTATTTTAAAAAAATATTTACTCCTCCTTTAACGAACAAATTATTTTGATAGCTTAAGGACAGGGGGAGTAATAAAAATTTAAATTAGTATATTTATTATAAATATTTCTGTTTTAAGATATGGATCTGAGAAAATTATCAGTATTAAATTCTCATTATTATTTATAGATTAATAAATAAATAGTCTATACGTCCTATAAATTACTTAAGATTAATTTTAAAGCAAATGAATAATCTTTATCTATAATGGCAAGACAGTTTTTAATTAGATTTAGTGACTGATTCTTTAAATTAAATTGAAGGACAATATATAAAAATATTTTCTAATATAAATATGATAAAATTATTCTTGAATTATAAAATATCATTATATAAATTATAAATGCTTATTAAAAATAATTATTTAAAGCTAAATCCTTATGAGTTCATTTGAGCTATCAATATATCTATTTCTTATGATTTTTATTTTATTCTCTATAGAAGCTGTATTAAAAATTAAGATATTTGAGCAAAAAATAAGAAAATTCTTCAAAATCTTAAAATTATTTAAAATTACATTTTCTGGCCAAGGAAATTATAAATTCATATCTTAAAAATTCCTTCTGTTAAGTCATAAGAAAACTATAGCTTTCTAATTTTCTTCTAAATTAATATTCCATTCATGCTTGGCCATTTAAGCAAAAAAGCCTGTCACAATTATTTTATATTTTTGATTTAAATTTATTTATCATATTTTTAAGAACAATTATGAATATTTTAGATTAGTTTAATTATAAACCTACTAAATCTTTCAAATCAATGCCTTACTATCCTTTATAAAATGGATTTGATGCTTATTTTTATCGCCAAAATTGTGTTGAGCCTACCAATTTGTCCATATGATAGCACAGGATCAGTGTGTAACAATTCAAAATACATGGTTGATTCCAAGGTATGTGCACCTACCTGCCCTTCTCTTTTTTCTCATTATCAGTTGAATTGCCCTTCATGTGAAAACTATTGCAGCAAGCCTGCTACTGCAAATGATGCAATCTTATTTACATTGGAACTATCAACTGTCAAAGATTTAACTTTGACTTATGTAGCTGATTCTTCAGATTCTAATAGCTCCTCCTATTAAATTTTTAACCAAAAATCAAATCTAAATTATAATTATTTGGCTTTTTCATATAAATAATTGTTTTTTACCGATTAATTTAATCGAAAAATGAGAATTGTTTATAGATATATTGTTTAAATTTAAAGAGAGAGTAAGAAATTTATTAATCCAGGAGGAATTTCATATAAATCTCCAACACAAAACTCTCCTCTTCCTACCTTTGACCGTGGCTTCTATTTTGCGACTATGCTACTTTCTAATGAATTTGGTAAATAATAATACGAATATCTATATTTATCCTAAAAAATGTACATCAAGCATGATTGCAAACCAGAGCTACATTCCAGGTATTTTTTTCCTTTTGAACTTATGAATAAAACCTCTAGCAAGCGGAGACATTTTAAATATCCAAATAAGCTCGGCTACGTATATTAGGATATGAGCAGATACGACTGTTTATATGCTTGATTTTAATATCTTTAGTTTGGGTAGACCATCGTGAAAGGTTGGATCTCTTCCTAATCAAAGTTTGTTGTCTGACAAAGTAGTTCACCTGCCCTATCGCTTCATCAGTCTTTTCAGTGGCTAAAGTGGTTGCAATTCATTGATTTTTGCTTACAGAGTGTCAGCTAGAAATTCAAAAAAAATGAATTTTCTGGCCGAAGTAAAGTCTTAAGCATAGGGCACGATGTCTATCAACAGGTTGGGTATATGCTGGATGGCATAATGACGTTTTCTGTTATCTCCTGAGATGCTTCTTGGGCTTATCCTTTTCAACTCCATGTCCGACCAGTCCAAAAAGTCCTTAAAATTGAACTTGATCTAAGTGCCATCACTCATTTAAAATTGTTATCCATATCTAAGCTATCAAAAGCATAGCCAGCATAACTAAATGCCCAAGGCTTGCTGACCAGATAAGTTCTGGTCCAAGACATCATAATAATTATCGACTATTTATACTCTCTTAGCTGTTTTTCATAAGGCTTGGATTGTCAAACCTATTTTATTTTTCCTAACACTCTGTGAGCGAACAAAACCATTGGAAAATCCCTACCTTTTCCCCAAAAACAAACCCTCTTAAGCTAGAATATTTTTTTAATAGATATATAAGTGATAATTATAAGGAAATTTGTAGCTAATTTTGCTTAATTTTAAACACCTTACATTTTAAAACATAAATTTTGTAAATTAAATAAATATTACTTTCCAAATTGGGTTTTTTAATTTTTTAAAAAAAATTGCTATAAAATTTATATATAAATTTTTTTTTAAAAAAAATTAACCCATTCTATGCAGATAGGAGTAGTAAGTATAATCAATTGATTTATCTCTAAAATGGAAAGGTTTTATCCAAAAAATCATAACTACTATACAAATGCAGTATGTTAATATATAATTCAAGTGGGGTTCAAGTCTCACCAACTGGAGCGACAACTACAGCTTATAATTCATCTTGGCAGAAACTTTCAGTGGCCCTTAATCAGGCATCCTGCGCCCAAGCATATATAATTTTCTATCTGAATGGAAGCCCTATAGGAACAGCAGCTTTAGCCAACTATGAAATAATCTTCCCAAGTGGGACTTACACGTGAACTTTTGGAAACATAAGTGGAGGAAATTCATTTAGAGGGTTCATTTACTGGCTGCAGGTACGAGTTGACTATACAGTTACCCATGGAACTGTGACTTCTGCTGCTTTTATTAAATGGCTCTAAATAGTTCTTTTCTATATTATAGGACAGTTTCTTAGCGGCCTTTGCCCAGCAATGTGCAAAGGAAGAGGATATTTAAAATTTTTTGAGCCACAGTTTTTCGCTGTTTGAGCCCTTAAGCGAGACACGCTCAGAAATCAAGTGAAGAGTGAGACGAGAGCTGTAAAAATTTAATCCATGCCATTTGTTAAAAATTTTTATAGGGCTGTGGGAAGAAGGTTTGTGAAATATCAATTAGGGCTTAAAACGGTTGCCAATGTAACCTAAATCATCCTTCTCTCCGCTATAAAGGAAAAAAAAATCCTGTTCAATTTAAAGGGAGGTTAAATTTTTTTTAAATAAAAATATATTTTGGTACAATTATTCAATTTAAATGGAGAGCGAGGAAAAAGGCTGCATAATAATTAGTTAAATAAGTGACTCCTACTGTTAATTGCATTGATAACCAATATTTATCAGGCTCTTCTTGCGTAAACTGTGATGGAAGCTGCCCTACATGGCCTTGATGCATATCTGGGACAATCTGTAATGTTTGCTTATTATCTGACTGTAATTCCTGTTCAGGGTATTACCCATTGAGCTGCTCTTCATGCAATACAGGACTTCCTCCTTATTGTTGTGATCATTTAGGGACAACTTGCACTCAGACTTGGGCAAATACTGCGTGTAGCACTGGAGTCCCTGATAATGCAGGAGTTTGCTTGTATGGGTATCCTTATGGGTGGTATAATTGCGGAAATTCTTGCTATGCGGTTTTGACCGTAGATTTTACAGGAAATTTTGCTGGAGTTTATGGGTCTGTGTTTAATACTGGGACAAGCTCTAGCAGCTATAATTATTGAAACTCTCCTGAGATAGATGACCCATTTCCAGCAAAAAATAGAGGCCTTTATTTTAATTCTAACCAGTTTTTAGCTGGGTCTATAAATCTTTCTAATACTTGGAGCATGGGGATTTGGGTTTTTGCTGTTTCAGGGACTATAATTAGCCATAGCAGTAATAAGCTTACTATCAGCTTAAGTGGGACTATTAATTTTGATTTACTCCTTCCCTAAATTTTGAACAAAAAATTCCTGTTTCGACTTAAAGGGTTTTGTTTTTAAAATAAAAAAAATATAATGATTTTTTAATTAAGAATTTTAATTTATTTTTATAAATAATTATTAAAAGATTATTATATTTGCATTCCGAATTAAATTAGGTCAAAGCTATTTATAAAAAATCATTTTCACTATAAAATTCTCCTATTGAAAAAAAAATTACTTCAATTCAAAAGTGGCTAATAAAAATTTCACATATATTTTGTTCTAACTTAAAAAGGGGTTAGAAAAATGAGACGGGACATCCGCAAGCAACTCAGCATCAAAATCTATAACCTTAAACACCTGGAACTATGTTTCTTATTCAGTTGGCTTTGCTAATAAAGCTACAACTTTAACGCCATATATTAATAATGTCGCTGGAACTGCAGTTACAGTCACAGATTATGTATTCAGATTAGCAGATGGTGGAACTTTATATATAGGAAAGGGCTCACCAAATTTTAATGGATTTATTAGCTATTTTCAGCTATGAGGAACGACTGTTACAGATTTTTCAGCATCTTATACTGTATATACAAGTGCAGGCACAACTCTATGGCCATGTGATTATGCTCATTATTATGATGGAAGCACTTGTAAAACCTGTCTAGGGTCATGCACAATAGGCTGTACTAGAGGGACATCTTGCTATATCTGTGACGATTTTTTATGCTCCCAATGCTCATCTTTTGCATCTAATTCTTGCACATTATGCATTTCTAATGCTTCTGGAACTCCATGTACATGTGACCCTGGCTTTTATCAGCCTATAAACCAAGCTATCTGCTCTGCCTGCTATACTGGCTGCAAAACTTGTACAGGAAGTGGCTACCACCAATGCACAAGCTGCAAAAGTGGCTTTTATTTTTTAAACATCCAGTGTTTATCTGAATGCCCATGAGGCTACCTTCCCAACTCTGCCACGAATTCTTGTACCCTTTCTTCTACTACTTATGGGCTTTCTTTTTCTAATAATATTCTCCTTGACACTATTTCAGGAGTAAACGTAGGGTTGTCAAATGTTAATACATATCCTACATATGATGCCAACGACCCTCATCCTGCATATTTGAGAGGGTATTATTTTGATTACAATACCTATTTAAAGACAACTTTTATGCTTGCTCCGACTTTTTCAATTGGAATGTGGATAAAACCGACTGCGGCTGGACTTGTGATAACTAAATATGTGTCAACAACCCAATGGTTTGTACAGATTTTAAACTCAGGGTATGCTAAGCTTTCTCTGTTGTTATCAGACACAACAACGACGATTTCTGTTATAGGGACTACCTATCTGCTGAATCAGGGGTGATTTTTTGTATCGTTTGAGTGCAAAATTAATGCTGCTGGGACAACAACGATAAAAACTTGGACTAATGGGGCTAATTTAATTGCGGCAACAACAGCGACTCCTCTTTATCTTTTAGACAGCTTTGGTCTAATATAATTATTAATTAAAATGCTTTCTGTAAGAAAATCATACTTAAAATAGCTATTAATTCTTTATTTTATTATAAAATTCCTAAATTCATCGTTATTATCATTATTTTCATTATAATTTTTAGACAGCCAATCAGGCTCTATGTATATTGGACATTATGATTTAGGATTTTCTGGATTTTTATGGACATTAAAAATCTACTGCCAAAGCGGATTCGCATTAAGCGATTTTACAACAGTTGGATGCAGTAATAGCTGCCCTAAATGCCCTGCTGATTTTACCTGCTTGGATGGCTGTCCGTTATCACAATATTTTAATGGTTCTGCCTGCACAAATTGCAGAGCAAATTGTTTGAAAGGATGCAGAAATTCTGATACTTGTAGATTATGCAAGATGAAAGAATGCGCCACCTGCACAGCGTTCACAGGGGCGAATTCCTGCTTGACTTTGTATTACTACTAGCTTTTTAATGTGTTTCTGCTTCCAGCAGAGTGAAGACTGCCTTTTTAATTCCCAAGTGGTGACGTCAACAGCAATCTCATGAGCTGCGTTTGGCCTCGCCCGAACCTGAATCAAACACTTGTTTTTTTACCTCATAGAAATTCATTTACATCCCTACACACTAAATTAATGAATTCTTCCCAGGGCCACCCTCCTCAGGTATTGTAATTGCCCGAGGATGGCGCTATCTTGCGCCATCTTCGGGCAATTTAAAAAAATGCCCCACACCGGGAATTGAACCCACGTGTGGGCCCATTTTTGGTGCGTGGAAGTCGATGTTCTCCACTAACCAAAAATGGCCCCACACGTGGGTTCAATTCTCGGTGTGAGGCAATTACTATATGTCAGACAGTGAAACATCCACAATAAAAATACCACAGAGAAGAACGGATTTTGGGACTACTTATGTTATAGCCATTTTATCATTATGCTTAACTTGTATTACAAATGCAGTTCCTGATGGGACTGGTGGCTGCACATGTGCACAAAATAGCTTGTGGATATATTCTTCAGAGACATGTGAAATTTGTGATATGCTTTGCTCGGTTTGCTTGAAAAATACGTATTTTGAGTGCTCTACTTGATAATAAAATGGAATATTTGGAGCTTATCTTGACTATAATGGGAGTTTTAAGCCTTTATGCATAGCATAGATCTATAATAATAAATAAATAAGCAAAATAATAAGAAAAAATAGGTGCGGCGAATAATTTATTTAATGCTAATTATGAACGCTCTACTTGTTCAGGAAGCTACCAATTAGTTGGCACAGTCTGTCTTAACAGCTGCCCTTATGGATATGGAACTTCTTGCTTGCCAGTATCAACAGCAGTCATAGACCAATCCTTTACTACAGATTTTCAAGGCTTATATGGAATTTTCACCACAGGCACCAGCTCTTTATCTTATAACTTTTTTAACACCCCAGAAACTTTTGACCCAATCCCAGCTTACAAGCGAGGCCTCTATTTTGATGGGACTATGGTCCTTACCTCCTCCAACATCTTGATTTCTCACAGTTTCTCTATAGGAGCCTGAGTTTACGTAATTTCTAACGGTGACTGATTCCAAAAACAATTTCTCCTTTCCTTATCTACAGCAGTAACTATTACAGTCAATATGGAAGACCCATTACAAAGCAGCGACACTCAATCATTGACTTCAAGTACTGTATTTTCAGGGTGGACTTATTTATCAGTCACTTTTAGCTATAGTTTAGCTGTTACAAATTTAGCTATTTATATTAATGGAGCTTCTGCTGCAACTACTCCTGTAACAAATAGGATATTTAGGGATAATGTAGCTAGAAGCTTATGGGTAGGAAGAAGCAGCTCTCCTGGGTTTGTGGGGTTTATTAACAGTTTTCAGCTGTGTGGTCAAGCAGAGATCCCAGCCTGACCATATATTAATTTAGCAATGGGAATTATAGCCAAATGCCTATATAGATTTCTCTATCGAAAATTAAAAATAGATGGAAAAGGACTTTGACGAATTCTATTTAAAGGGACGAGCTGGATTTCTATGGTATGAAGAATTATACAGAATGTTTATCTGGTTAAAATTTTTTCACTAATGAATATAAAGAGTTAATTAGAGAAATACGCTGGATTTCGCTTTGGTATCCCATTTTAAAGCATGAATCCAGTTGAATTCTGCTTTAAATTTGATAGAAACAAATAAACCAATCAAGCATAATTATTTATCATAGATATATACAATATCTAGCATGATTGCGCGTTTTAGCAAGCTTAATATGCTTAAATAGTTTATTTTACATATAATATATATTATTTAAATAATACAAAAATTCTTTATTAGTATATGAAATATATGTAAACATGCTATAGATCGTGTTTTAATAGCTTAGAAGTGAAAACAATACAATCTCTCTTATATTTCTTATTATCACAACTAGGCAGTTTGGCATTGAGGTCCATGATCCCGGTCCGGGGTGAGGGGATCTGCGCTTTACCCAGCTGTGAAATGTGCCGATAAGTGATTTTTCAAGCTATATAAATGGACTTTGTAGCTCAGGCAGCTCTTGCTTGTGGTCTTGTGATTTATCTCATTATTATGACGGAACGAACTATTTAGCTTGTAATTCCTGCAGCAAAGGATGTGTCAGGGCAGCTACATGCAATATTTGTAATGATCTATTATGCGCTATCTGTACCGGTTTTGATTCAGGGAAATGCATTCAATGTGTTACTTATGCTAATGGCGCTCCTGGTCCATGTGTCTGCATTACCGGCTATGGTACTTCTCCTGATGGATTTTCATGTGTGGCATGCTACAGTGGTTGTAGCCATTGTACAGATACAGGCTATAATAAATGCACTGCCTGCTATTCAGGGCTTTATTTATTTCAAAATACCGGACAATGCTTAAATGAGTGTCCGTCTGGGTACAGCACGAATTCAGGGACAAATATATGTGATTATGCATCTGTGGTCGGGGTAAGTCTAGATTTAACAGACCAGATTCGCTTTGACACAGTTTCTGGCTTTAATGTAGGTTCTGATAATAGTAATGCTTATCCAAATTGATCTGATTCCAAAGACCCAATCCCTGCTTATAAAAGAGGCTATTATTTTTACCACAACAACTATATGTCTTCTACTGTTATGATTGCTCCATCATTTACAATTTCTATATGAACTAAACCGCTTGGTGCTGGGATTTTAATGACTAAATACACTTCCAGTGGCATTTTTAAAATAAATGTAGATTCCTCAGGATATCCAGAGCTTTCTATCAAATTTAATGATAATTCATCTTTAGTTCTGACAGCTTCTACAAGTATTTTAAACAGCTGACACTTTATAAGCTTTACTGGACAAGTCCAATCTGATGGGAAAACAAAATTAGCTCTCTATATAAATAATGCAGCATCTCCTGCTAGCACTATACCGATATCTTATAAATACCCTTAGTCTTTAAATTAAAAAATTATTTGTATTATTAAAAACAAGCTAGGATACCATGACAACAACTTTGACTTTTTTTAAAGACACCAATGCAGGATCTCTATATATAGGAAATGATGAAACTTTTACTAGCTCAGGATTATATGGATTTTTAGCTCGGCTAAACATATATAACTCTTATAGTCACGAGTTTGATGATTATGCTACTTCTTCTTGCACAACTGGCTGCTCTGTTTGTCCTGCAAACTATCAATGTTTAAGTGAGTGTGATTTTAATAAATATCCAGACAGCTGCACAGCTTGTTCAAGCTGCAGCCAAGGCTGCGTCAGTGGGTTTACCTGTGGGCTTTGCAGGGACAAAGAATGCTACTCGTGCACCACCTTTTCAGGAGAATGCATAAACTGTATCACAAATGCTTATAAATTGGCTGGGCATTGTAAATGTCTTGATAACGCAGTATGAGTGTCAAGTTCTAAGACCTGTGAATTTTGCAATGCTATTTGTGCGTCTTGTTCTACTATTAAATATAATGGCTGCATTACATGTATATCAGGGAATTATCTTATTCAGTCTTTATGTATTACTTTTTGCTCTACTGGGTATATTATAAATGGTAGCAATTGTGATAGTGACCCTGCTTATAGTAATTTTTTAGTATTTAATTTGAGGCCTCATCAAATAAAGGACATTGTAGTCGATTTAGCTTCGAGTATTCCAGTACTTACAGGCAAAGATAATGAGTTTTATCCGAATTATGATACAACTGACCCAATCGCAGCTATTTATAGAGGGTATTATTTTTCTGGGTCAGCTTATATGCAGCTGCCTCCTTATACAGCCACTTCATCACCGTTGTTTACTTTTTCTCCAAAATTCACTATATCGTCCTGAATAAAGCCAATTACTGCCACAGCGACTATTTTTTCCAAGCAAGCCAATAGTGGTCTGTTTGAAAAATATGTCTGTCTTGAACTGATAAATAAAGCTCCATCACTTACTATTTGGTCAAGCTTGGTTGGGTTTATCTGGTCCTAGTGGCAGTCTGGCAGTCCGGCCCCTTCCTGGCAGTCTGGCATTCCAACTCTACCTGGCAGTTTGGCAGAGCCAAGTAGGCCCGGACTGCCGGACTGTCAGACTGCCAGATAGAGCCGGGCTGCCAAGTCGAGTCTTAGAGTCAGGTAGACCCAGCCATATTGCCCAACTATTTCTTTAAAAGATTCTTCTACTGTATCCTATACAAGCTCAAATCCTTCATTACAAGTCGCCCTTTCTCAATGGAATTTTATATCAGCAATTTCTAGCACAAGCTCTACCCCTCAGCAAACCATAAGTTTATCTATTAACGGAGTCACCGATACATCAAGTGACCTGCACGCAAGCTGGCTAAATGATTTAGAAAATTCATTCTTCATAACAATTGGAGCAAGCCACTTTGACACTGCAACTCTGACTTCATTTTTCAAAGGCTTCTTATGGGATTTAAAAATCTATAATACACCAGCTAGCCCTTTATTCTCAAGCACTTGCAATGGGTGCTCATTATGTCCAATTGATAACGCTAATACATGCTTAGATAGCTGTCTAATTGACAGTTACTGAAATGGTAACAGCTGTACGCCATGCTTAACAGTATGCTGAGGGATTGGTTGTGTAAGAAGTGATAAAAATTGTAATCTTTGCCAAGACGTAATATGTGAAATTTGTGATGACTTTACAAATACCTGCATTACTTGTAAAACAAATGCAAACCTAATAGGTGTAAACTGTCAATGCAATAGTGGGTATTATTGGAATACTAATGATGAAAGCTGTGAGTTATGTGATATTTCTTGTAAAACCTGTACATCGTCTAGTCCTTTAGACTGTTTAATGTGTAAAAGTGGGTATTATATGTTTTCAGGGGTATGCCTAGCAGTCTGTCCAGCAGGGTATTCTCCTTCTTCTGGTGTATGTATTAAGAGTAAATCTGCTTAAATAAGACAAAAAATCTGTCCATTTAATGGGGTTAGTTTTGTTTCAAAAAAATAGTGGAAAATAAATTTTTCATAGTCAAATTTCATTTTTTTCATTCTGCTCTGAAAAAAGCAAACTAAAAGTAGATTTTCCATTTTCAGCATTAAATCTGACACTCAGCTATTTTCATAAAGATTCTTATTTTTTTTACCTTTAAAACAATTTTCCATTTACCCAAAAATTGAAATTTAACTGGATTTTGTTCGTATTTAAGATGGAGAAGTAAAGAAAAAATTTTTGACTTGGATTTGAACACTCTGAATGGAGTCATTTATGATAAAGCAAACTCGATCCCAGTTGTTACTGGATCTACTATACAGTTTTACCCAGACTATGAAGCTGATGATCCAATTCCAGCTTATTTAAGAGGATTTTGATTTAATGGGCAGTCTTCCCTTTTAAGGCTGCCTGAGTATTCCAATTATATATCACCAAAGCTTTTAGTCACTCCTACCTTCACAATTTCTATATGGCTAAACATTGAGAGCCCTAATTCTGTTCTATTATCGAAATACAGTATTACTGATAATTATTCAGTTCTTTATTCTATCTCAATAATGTCGAACAAGCCAGCAATTTCTCTAATAATAAACACGTCTCCCTTTGTGTATTCGTGCCAAACCTCACTTACTAGCTATGAGTGGAACCATTTAGAATTTTCATTGGAAGCTCTAAGTGGCTATAATATAATGTCAAGCTATATTAATGGGATATTTGATTATTCTGCAATGACAGGATATGGAACTTTTAATGATATAGGCTCTCATACCACAATGACTATAGGAGCTCAAATTAGCTCTTCAGCAGTTTATAATTATTATCAAGGCTTTATTTATACTGTTCAGATTTTTAATGCACTAAAACCTATATCAAGCCTATCAACTACATCTTGTACTGAAAGCTGCAGTGTTTGTCCTATCAGCCAAGTATGCATTCCAAACTGCAAAATAAAAGAATATTGAAGTGGCCCTGCTTATAATAAATGCAATAATTGTGATTTTAATTGCAAAACTACTTGTAAGGACTCGCAACCTACTTGTTCACTTTGCAATAATCTTCTATGTAAAGATTGTACTGATTGCTCTTCCTCAGGCTGCATTACTTGCAAAGAGAACGCTATTAACTCTGATTTTTGTACTTGTGATACAAGTTATGTGCTGGACCCTTCCAATAACAGCACATGTATCCCGATTCCATCAGGCGGATTCAAAGGCACAGATGGATATTTTTACCCATGCCCTAGTTTATGCGCAGCTTGTGAATCCCTGACCAAATGCTCAGCCTGTAAAGAAAATGCAAGCCTAAAAAACGACCTTTGCTATTGTAATAGTGGTTACAATGGTACCAAATCTTGCATTTCGGTTTCTTTTTATGCAAATCTCAAAGCTTTATCTGATAATTCTCTATATCTTTATTTTTCAGAGAGTTTAGCAAACAATTTAACAGTCACTGATTTTACTATTACAATTGAAAATCAAGGAAAAATTTCATGCAAAATTGAGCAAGTTAATAGGGCATCAAAACCTAAGGACTTTTACAGTAATCTTTTTCCTAATAAAATAATGGTACAATTTACTATAAAAATTACAGTTTTTTGCCTCTTAGTTTTTTTTATGGCATTAATAGTACCTGCTATTATATTTCTCTATCAATTTCAAAAGAAATTGCAAAAGGGACACTAGCTACTCTCGAGTTTTTGAATTTAAATAATATTAGATCAGTCTCTAATGGGATTTTAAATTCATCAGAAATTTCTGCAGCTTTAAATTCATATGACCCAGCACCTTATTCTCCAATTGTGTCAACAATTGCTTCACAAGCTAAAGCAGCAGCTCTCATCGCAGTGTCTGGTGCTGTAGCTTTATCTGTGCTAAATCCAAGCCCAAGTTCTTTATGAAGCATAATGAACGTTTTGCAGATTCTCAGCTATTTGACTTTGTCAGGTATCCCTTTATCAAGCAAAATCAGCACATTTTTGAATAATTTGAACTCTTATAATTTATTTCCAAATATTTTCCAGTATTTTATAGATGAAAATGAAGGGAATGCTCCATATTCTAAAGCCCAGGATTTTGGATTTGAATCTGATCTTATCCTTATAACGACAGGAAATGATTTTACACTGTTATTGACGTCAATCTCAGCTTTGCCAATTGTTTACTTTTTTTCACGATGCTCCTATAAATGAATTGGTAAAAAATTCAGAAAAACGGTTCAGGCTTATCAGTTTGCGTTTTATTTAAGATTTTGGATACAATGCTACCTTGAATTAGGAGCTGCTTCAGCTATAGGGCTTCTTAGTGTTGAATTCAGTAATGTCACAAAGCTTAACAATTTTATTATATGTTCAGCAGTTTGTATACTGCTGATTCTCACCCCACCTGCATTTTTTTTGTTTTCCTATAAAAATAAAAATCGGATCCAGTCACGAGAAAAATCATTTTTTGCATCATTTACACCCTCAACTCCTAAAGCGAACAAATGTTTTCAATCAATTCACAGAGGAATTTTATCTATTAGATAGTTTTTTTCGAAAAATCTGAAAAAAATTTGAAAAGTAAGACAAATATTTATTTATCTTTCAGAGTGCAAAATATTTAAAAATTTAATAATAATTATGTTTATATATTTTATTAATTTTTTTTCTCTCGTTAACAAAGGGTTAATTCGTAAAAGTAAGAAATTTCCAATAGTTTTACTCAGTCATAGAAGGAAATTAGTTCTTTATTTTATGAGTTTCGGACTGATCGTGGGCTACTTGGAACACAGTATTACTGTGTATTTTTTTTGAGGAGACTTATTTATATAATAAATTTGGTATATTTAAGGGATTTCCCTCAAACAGAAGTGACTATTAATATTGTCCTGTCGCTGATGACTATTATGCATTTATGATTTTTCTGACCCTTTGAAGATTCTATTTTACAGGTGAGCAATTTTTTGACGGAAATATTGATTTTTTTAATAATGAGTGCAACATCGGTATATTTGTTTGATTTAGAGCAGGAAATTGTTTCAATTGTGGAAAACGCTATTATAGCGACTGTAGTAACAGCTATTGGAATACAGTCATGCGCATCAATTGCCATTTTTGGAAAAACTTTATATGGAGTGATCAAGAATAAACTTACCAAAGCAGGAATTATGAAAAAAAATCCTTATGAGTATAAAAAACAGACTTTAGAATCTTAAAAATAATAAATTTATATATTTTAAATTATGTAATCACAAAGCTTTAATTTATTTTAATATTTTTTCAATTTCTTTAATAGAAAATTAAATTAAGAGATTGCTATAATAAATAAAAATTGGAGCCATAAAAAGACTAGCCAAAAATGTTTATGAATTGAAGCAATCAATTTATTAGCATATTATTTAAATTTAAGCAAATAATTATCTTATGTTTTTAATTTAGGCGACTCTAGAAATATTAAGCCTTTTTTATATACTAATTTCATGGCTTCTGATATTCTTCTCCGGGCACTATAAAGCATTTTAAAACCTTGCGCCTTTCAAAACAACAATAAAAATAATTGTTATCCTGAATTTAAATTATCTTAATTTCAAAATTTCTTCAACTTCTAATAAAAAAATTAATGAGCTGGCTCTTCTTTGTTGTCTCTCAAATTGTATTGACTCTTTCAAGCTGCCCATATGATAGCTGAGGATCTGGGTGTAATAACCCAAAATTTATGGTGGATTCCAAAGTATGTGCAGCTGGATGTCCTACACTTTATTATTTCTATCAACAGTATTTTGATATAGGATGATTTAGCTACTGTAGTAAGCCTACTGGCAGCGATGCAATTTTATTCACATTAATACTATCAAAGGTTCAAGATTTAACTTTAACTTATGTGTCAGATCTAAATGATTCTAATAAGAAATTTGTGAACCCAGGAGGAATCCCATATATTTCTGAAACACAAAATTCTCCACTTCCGACTTTAGATCGTGGCTTTTATTTTGCTAATACATCAAGTATGACAAGCAATCAGAGCTATACACCTGGCCTTTATTTTATTTTAAATTTGATAATCAAGCCTTTGGGAAGTGGAGAAATTTTAAATATACAAATAAATTCAACACAATATGTGAGGATATGAGCAGATATCTCTGGCTATTATAAAATTAGTGCATTAATTTTTAACTCCAATGGGGCTCAAATAGCAGTATCTGGAGCCTCCTCTGTTAAATATTCGTTATCTTGGCACTCACTCTCAGTTTCTCTGTCGCAGTTGTGTTGTGATTTAGGCTCCATAACCTTTTATATAGATGGGAATGAGGCTGGAAAAGTAATGCTAAGTAACTCTGAAATAAGTTTTCCAACTGAGACTTATATATGGACTTTTGGAAATACAGGCAGAAACAACTCATTTAAAGGATTTATTTATTGGATTCAAGCAAGAGCTGATAGCAATATAAACTATGGGATTATGACTATCACTATTGATTGCACTAATAATCAATATTGAGATGGATCTGCTTGTCAAAATTGCGAGGCTGACTGTCCAACTTGGCCTTGGTGCATTAGAGGCGGTGACTGTAGTTTTTGTAGTTCCACAGATTGCAGTTCATGCTACGGTTATTCTTTATCAATGTGCAAAGATCATTTTTCTAATCAAATACCTAAAATTTCCCGCCTCGTTTGCTGACCAGGATGTCAAACTTGTACTGGAATTGAATATTACGAATGTACCAGCTGCCAAATAGGCTATTACTTTCTTAATATACAATGTTTACCGGAATGCCCAACAGGATATACCCAAAACTCTACAACAAATAGCTGTGATCTTGGTGTTGATTATATTTATCTATTTTTATTTCCTAAGATAATACTTTTGGACTCAATTTCTGGAAAAGACGTAGGATCATCGAATATCAATTCATATCCAAATTATGACCCTAATGATCCTTATCCAGCTTATAATCGGGGATATTATTTTAACCCTAGCAGCTATTTAAAAACAAGTTATATGCTTTCACCTTCTCATTCTATCACAGCCTGAATAAGGCCTATTACAGATGGTCTCCTCTTAATCAAGTATATATCAGGTACAACCCAATGGTCTGTGAAAATTTTGCCTTCAGGACAGCCAGAACTTTCTGTTTTCCTCTCAGACTCTTCTACAATTCTTTCTGTAACAGGTGCATCAAGCGCCCTAAATTATTGATTTTTCATTGTATTTGATTGTGATATTAATTCTGATGGGACAACTACTGCAAAATCTTATATTGATACAGCCAACCTGGCCACCTCTTCATCTACAATTCCTCTTTATCCATTAGACAGCTCATCAGGAGATCTATATCTAGGGCACTATAGCTCAGGATTCACTGGATTTGCATGGAAAGTTAAGCTTATCCCTATAACAAACTCGTGAGACACTTTTTATGTTACTTCAGGATGTTTAGGAAATTGCTCAAAATGTGCAGGAGATTTAACTTGTCTGGACAGCTGTTCAATTAATCAATATTTTGACGGATCTATATGCAAAAACTGTATAGATACTTGCACTAAAGGATGCAGAAATTCTGATACCTGCAGATTATGCAAGACAAAAGAATGTGCTACCTGCACTGCATTTTCAGGGGCGAATTCATGCCTAACTTGTATTACAAATGCTGTAAGTGATGGAGCTGGGGGCTGTAAATGTGCAGATAATGCTTTCTGGGTATCTTCATCACAGTCTTGCGAAATTTGTGATAATTTCTGCTCAACTTGTTTGAAAACAGCTTATTTTGAATGCTCAGCGTGTTCAGGAACAAATTTTTTGATTGGGACAGTCTGCTTTAGTCGCTGTCCTTATGGGTTTGGATCTCCCTGCTCACCAGTGTCAACTGCTGTCATCGATTTATCTTTTGATGGAGATTTTCTAGGCCAATACGGACTTTTTGTAACAGGTACAGATTTCGTGTCCTTTCAGTTTTTTAATAACCCTGAGGCTCTTGATCCTATCCCTGCATATAAGCGAGGCTTATTTTTTGATGGAAGTAAGCATTTATCAACCTGAACAAACCCTCAATTGTTTCATAGTTTTTCTTTAGGGGCTTGAATTTATGTAATTATTGATGGTAGCTGAATGCAAAAATCTATCTTGATTAATTATTCTTCATTGGGGAGCTTTACTATTAGACTTCAACTTTGGAATAATACCAATATTCCTGTAACTTTGTCCTCATCAGGTCTACTCAACACTTGAAAGTACTTATCAGTCACCTCTATTTATTATCTAGGGCAAACTACTTTAGCAATCTATATGAATGGCGCTGCTCTCTCATCACTTCTAGTTCCAGATAGGATTTTTAGAGATAGTGCTACAAGCACTATAACAATTGGAAAAAGCAGCACATCAGGTTTTGTTGGATTCGTTAGGTCTTTTCAGATGTGAAATACTCCAATAACTGATTTTTCCAGCTATATAAATGCAGCTTGTGGATCAGGGTCAGCTTGCTTATGGTCTTGTGATTTGTCTCATTATTATGATGGTGCGAACTGTGTATCCTGCAATTCATGCAGCCTTGGATGTGTAAGGGGAAATACCTGCAATATTTGTTATGATTTATTATGCTTGAAATGTACAGGATTTGACTCAGGAAAATGCACTCAGTGTGTTATTAATGCGAGTTTAAATGTAGGGGTATGTGCTTGTAATCCTGGATATGGGGTGTCTTCTGATGGATTTTCATGTTTTGCGTGCTATACTGGGTGCTCTCAATGTACAGGCTCAACTTCTCATGAATGCAAAGCATGCTTTTCAGGATATTTTTTCTATGGAGATACTGGTGAATGCTTAACTGCATGCCCAACGGGGTATATTATCAATCCTGGGACAAATATCTGTGTAAAATGCGATGTCTCATGCAAAACATGTACTTCTGCTAGCTATTTGGATTGCTTGGAATGTGCTGATAGCTATTATAAGATTACTGGAATTTGTTTAGGCGGCTGCCCGTCAGGGTATTCTTTATCTGCAAATGGGTGCGTGCAGGAGAAAATTTTTGATTTAGATTTGAATACTCTAAATGGAGTCATTTATGATAAAGCAAGCTCGATACCGGTTGTTACTGGCTCTACTAATAAATTTTATCCAAATTATGAACCTGACGACCCAATCCCTGCTTATCTGAGAGGATTCTGATTTAATGGTCAGTCTTCAGTTTTAAGGCTACCTGAATTTTCAAATTATACATCTCCAAAACTCATTATAGCCCCAACCTTTACTATTTCTATATGGTTAAACACCGAAACATCATTCTCAGCTCTATTGTCAAAAAATAGCATTTCTGATAATTTACTCACTCCTCCCTTGACTAGATTCAAAATATATTGGAAAAATCTAAAATTACTGCTTTTTGGTGAGCAAATTTTTTTTTTTGGATTTGACATATAATGAATATTATAATGTAGTCTCAAGCTGATTTTGCTTAAATTTTAGATAGCTTACATAAAAAAAATCATAAAAATTAACCCCTCATATATCAGAAAACAAATTCTTGTGGACTCAGCTCTTTATTTTATCTCATTAATAAGCAGTAAACCTGCAATTTCTCTCCTAATAAGCTCATCCCCTTTCTTTTACTCATGTCAAGCATCACTCAATAACTATGAATGAAGCCATATTGTATATACATTAGAAGCTGCTCAAAATGGCTACAATAAGATTTCCTGCTATATCAATGGAGTGCTTGATTCATCAGGAATGACAGGTTATGGAGCTTTTCTTGATATAGGTCCTCATACCACAATGGCTATAGGAGCTCAAATTAGCTCGTCAGCAGTTTATAATTTTTATCAAGGCTTTATTTATACTATTCAAATATTTAATACAGCAAAATCAATATCTAGTCTATCGACAACATCTTGCATCGAACCTTGCAGTGTTTGTCCTATCAGCCAAGCATGCATACCTAACTGCAAAATAAATGAATATTGGAGTGGCCCTGCATATAATAAATGCTATAATTGCAATATTAAATGCAAAAAAACTTGCAGAGATTGGCGATCTACATGTTCGCTTTGTAGTAATTTATTATGTGACGTCTGCACTGATTATTCAGCTTCTGGATGCTCAGCTTGCAAAGAGTATGCGATTAATCCTGATTCCTGTATCTGTGACATAAATTATGTATTAGATGCTTCCAATAATAGCAGCTGCATTCCTCTTGAGGCTGGTGGATTTAGAGATCCTAACTCCCCCTCTGTGAGTGAACAAAACCATTAGAAAAATCGCTATTTTTTGCCCAAAAAACCCATCCTCTGTGAGTGAACAAAAACTTTTTAATAGAAAAATTTTTTATGGAAAAAATTTTTGATATATAAGTGATAATTAGCATAATGAAATCTAGTGCTAATTCTGTTTAATTTTAAACAAATTGCTTTTTAAAAACATAAATTTTATATATATTAAATTAATATTTGCTTTCCAATTTTTGCGTATTAGGATTTTTTTAAAATTTCGAAAAAAAATTTATATATAAAAAAAAAAAATTAACCCCTCCGTGAGTGAACAAATACATTTTGGAATTTTTTATCCTTGTCCAAATTACTGCACTATTTGTGAATCCCTTACTAAATGCTCTGCTTGTGTAGAAAATGCGAGTCTAATTAATAATCTCTGTTATTGCAATATAGGCTATAACGGTACTAAAAATTGTATTTTAGTTCCTTTTTCAGCAAAACTCTCCGTTTTATCAGATAATTCTCTGTATCTCACTTTTTCAGACAGTCTTGCTAAAAAACTTACTACAAATGATTTTACCATAAAAATTGCAAAGCTAGGAAATATTTCCTATAAAATTGAGGAGGTGAATAATACTTGCTATTATATTACTATAAAAATTACAGAAGAAGTATCTAAAGGGACATTAGCTACGCTTGAGTTTTTAAATTTGACAGAAGTGAGATCAGTCTCAAATGGGCTCTTAAATTCGTCAGAAATTTCAGCATCTTTAAATTCTTATGACCCTGCTCCATATTCGCCTACTATTGCTGCAGTCAGTTCTCAAGCAGAAACAATAGCTCAGACGACTGTTGCTTTAGTAGCTGCTTTGTCGATTATCAATCCTAATCCGAGCTCTCTATGGAGCATGATGAATACTTTACAAATCCTCAGCTACTTGACATTATCAGGGATCCCTTTGTCTAAAAAAATAAGCGCTTTTTTGAATAGCTTGAACTCCTTTAACTTATTCCCAAATGCATTTATATATATTACGAATAAAGATGAAGGAAAAACTCCGTATTCTCAAGCAAAAGAGTTTGGTTTTGATACTGATCTGATACTATTAAATACTGGAAATGATTTTACGCTTATATTGGCTTCATTTTTAGCTTTTCCTATTATTTTATTTTTTTCTCAATGCTCATTCAGATGAATTGGTAAGAAATTTATGAAAACTGTGAAGGCTTATCAGTTTGCCTTTTATTTGAGATTTTGGATACAATGCTATTTAGAACTAGGAGCAGCTGCAAGTATTGGACTTATTACTTTTGGATTTAATAATATCACTCAGATAGCGAATTTTCTTATATGTATAGCTATTTATATTTTGCATGCTATTGCTCCAGCAGTGTTTTTTTGGTTTTCTTATAAAAATAAAAATAGGATCCAGTCGCGAGAAAAAACCTTTAATAGACGATTTAGCTCGTTTTTTTATGAATTTCGAACTGATCGAGGGTTACTTGCAACACAGTATTATTTTGTATTTTTTATAAGGAGACTTATCTATATCATAAGTTTGGTCTTCTTAAGAAACTATCCACAAACTGAAGTAACAATTAATGTCGTTCTTTCAATAATGACTATAATGCATTTATTTTTCTTTTGGCCATTTAAAGACTATACTTTACAAATTTGTAATTTATTGACTGAAATAGGTATTTTTTTCATAATGACCACTATTTCTATTTATTTATTTAATTTAGACCAAGAAAATTTGTCAATTATTGAGGAAGTGATTGTATCAATTGTAATAGCTATTATGGGAATTCAGATTTTAGCTTCAATAGTTATTTCTGTAAGGACGTTATATAAGATTATCAAGTATAAGCTAGAAAAACAAAAATTTTTAAAGGTCAATTCATGCGAGATAGCAAAAATTAAATAATAAAACTTATCATTTTAGCTTTTATTTTGACAAAAGACTGATTATTTTATATGAAATTATATATAATTTAATTTTTTATATGTCGAAGCTTACTTTAAATTCCAAATAATTCAATTTTGCTTAATTATTCAGCCTTTTTATAATAATTTATATAATTTAAGTTTGAGGTATAAAATCGATATATAACAATAAGCATCACTTATTTGAAAAATTTTAATTCATGAAATTCGAATATTTTTTAAAATGGGATTTTTGAAATGCTTCTCAGGTGGTTAACAACGCTTATTTTATTCAGTTGCTTTTAAATTAAAATATTAAAATAAATATATATAACTTTGATAATTTTAAAAACATTTAAAAAACGATTGAAGCTAGTTTGCTAGTTATTAAAGAAATAATTATTTTACTTTAATATGCTTAAAATGAGACCCATTTTTATTTTAAACGTTTTTAGTCCAATGAATATTGGCAAATTCGAAAATAAAAACCTGTTAAAATTGGATCTCATTAAAAGATTATTTTTACATTAAAATTCAAACATTTAGACCTAGTTTTTTATCAGTTTTCAACTATCTAGTTATGGAAGAAATAATTATTTTTTATTTAATATGTTTAAAATGAGACCCTATTTTCATTTTGACCATTTTTAGTTCAATGAGTATTGACAAATCCGAAATAAAAGCCTGCAATTAAAATATAAATGTTATTAGATCTCTCCAGCAGATTATTTTTTGCTTTTAAGCTCAAACATCTAAAACCTAAGCTTTATCGGTTTTCAACGGAAAATAATTATCATTATAGCTAAATTATAATCTTTTAAACATTTAAAGCTTCACATTTTGCTTAATTATTATATTTGAATTTTTCTAATACGATTACATTGCGGATTATTGTTTTCTTTGACAATTCCTGACTTCACAAGTTTTTCTTTAATAGCTTGGTATAATGTTTTAGAAAAAATAATTATTGAAGAAATTGTTTGAATTGCTATAATAACTAGGACAATGATGATAATAGAATCCTCAATCCCTTCTATAACTTCTTGCTCAAAATTAAATAAATAAGCAGATGTAGCGCTCATTATTAAGAAAATCAATATTTCAGTCACTAAGTTGGCTATTTGTAAAATTTGATCTTCAAAGGGCCAGCACAAAGCTAAGTACATCATAGTTAAAAAGGAAAGAACAATATTCACAGTCACTTCGGTTTGTGGATAATCTCTCAAATAAACCAAGTTTATTATATAAACTAGCCTTCTAGCAAAAAATAGAAAATAGTATTGGGTTGTTATCAGTGTTTTATCTGTTCGAAATTCATAAAAAAATGTGCTAAATGAGGCAAAAAATGCTTTATCACGGGTTTCGATACGGGCTTTATTTTTATAAGAAAACCAAAAATATGCACCTGGGGTAGCTATTAGTAATATGCAAAGACCTAAACACAAAGCAAAATTTGCAATTTGTGTAATATTGCTAAATTCAAAAATTGTAAGTCCAATACATGCAGCTGCTCCTAACTCAAGATAGCATTGAATCCAAAACCTAAAATAAAAGGCATATTGATAATCTCCCAATCTTTTTGTAAATTTATTACCTATCCATCTATTAGAGCATCGAGAAAAATATAAAATTAAAGGTAGAGCCGCAATTGAGCCTAATAGCAATGTAAAATCATTTCCTTGATTTATTAGGATTAAATCATTGTCAAATCCAAATTCTTCAGCTTGATAATATGGAGTATTTCCTTTGCTTTTATCTATAAAATATGGGAAAACGTTAGGGAATAAATTAAAAGAATTCAAATTATTCAAAAATGATCTCATTTTGCTTGAAAAAGGGATCCCTGATAAAGTCATGTAGCTCAGAATTTGCATAGTGTTCATCAGGCATCATAAAGAGCTTGGACTTGAATTTATAATTGACATAGAAGCAACTATAGCTACAGTTGTTTGAGATGCTGTTTTAGATTGAGATGAGACTGACTCAGTAATTGGCGAATTTGATTCTGGATCATATGAGTTTAAGCTTGCAGAAATCTCTGATGAATTTAAGATGCCATTTGATACCGATTTTACTTTTGATAAATCTAAGAATTGAATAATAGCTAAAGTACCTTGGGAAATTTTCTCAGTAATTGCTAAAGAAATATAGTAGCATGTTTCATTCATTTTTTCTAATTTAGATGAAATTTCTCCTTGATTTCCAATTATTATAACAAAATCTGAAGTAGAGAGATTTTTGGCTAGACTTTCAGAAAAAATCAGATATAAAGAGTTATCAGCCAAAACTGTAAGCTTTGCTGAAAAAGAGACTAAAATACAACTATTTATCCCATTATATCCTAAATTGCAATAGCATAGGCTGCTTTTAAGACTAGCATTACTTAAACAAGCTGTGCATTTTGTAAGAGACTCACAAGATGAGCATAAATTTGGACATTTATGAAAGTGTCCATCTTCCCCTTTAAATCCGCCCGACTCAATTGGAATACATTTATTACTTTGGGTATCATCAAGTATATAGTTTTCATCACAGGCGCATGAATCAGGGTTAATAGCATGCTCTTTACAAGTTTCACAGCTTGAATAATCACTACAGGATTCACATAATAAATCATCACAAAGCGAGCAAGTATCTCGTCAGTCTCTGCAGCTGCTTTTACATTTAATATCACAATTATAGCATTTATTATAAGCTGGGCCACTTCAATATTCTTTTATTTTGCAATTAGGTATGCATACTTGGCTGATAGGACAAACACTGCATATTTCAGTACAAGATGTAGTCGATAGGCTTGATATAGGTTTTAGTGCATTAAAAATCTGAATAGTATAAATAAAGCCTTGATAATAATTATAAACTGCTGAAGAGCTAATTTGAGCTCCTATAGTCGTTGTGGTATGAGGACCTACATCATTAAAAGTTCCATATCCTGTCGTCGTAGAAGAGTCAAATAACCCATTTGCATAGCTTGAAATTATATTAGAGCCACTGTTCATTTTCAAAGTAAATACAATATGGCTCCATTCATAATTATTAAGCGATGCTTGGGATGTGTAAAAAAATGCAGATGAGCTTATTAGAATAGAAATTGTTGGCTTGCCTGCTATTAGAGAAATATAGTAAAGCGTTGAGTAATTTTCAGAAATGTCGTGCTTTGAAATTATAGCAGAATAGGACGTTTCAGTGTTAAGCCATATAGAAATAGTAAAGGTAGGGGCTATAACAAGTTTTGGCGATGTATAGGTTGAGTACTCTGGCATCCTTAAAATTGAAGATTCTCCATTAAAATAGAAGCCTCTTAGGTAAGCAGGAATAGGGTCATCGGCTTCGTAGTCTGGATAAAATTGTTTTGCTGATCCAGTTATAACTGGAATTGAGCTTGCATTATCATACACTATACCATTCAGAGTATTCAAATTTAAATCAAATATTTTTTCTTGAGAAAATACACACACACCTGCAGATGAAGAATTATATCCTGATGGACAGCTTGAAGAGCAAATTCCTAAAACCATATAAAATCCATTATAACACGTCAAGCAATCATACCAATTAGCAGATGTGCATGATTTGCATGATATATCGCATAGAGCACAGCTTTCATTAATATTATTCCAATAATATCCAGAATTGCATTGACAATTTGTGCCTATAATACTAGCATTAGAAACGCATTGAGTGCATTTTCCTGATCCAAAACCAGTGCATATTAAGCATAATAAATCATCACAGACATTGCAATTTCCGGCTCTTACACAGCCTTTGCTGCATGAATTGCAGGATATATAAGAAGATCCGCTTCAAAAATGAGACAAGTCACAAGACCATAAACAAGCGTGCCCTGATCCACATACAGCATTAATATAGCTTGAAAAAGAGCTGATTGGTACATTTCAGAGCTGAAAGGAGTTAATAAACCCTTTAAACCCAGACGAGCTGCTTTTGCCAACCATTAAGTTTGTGGAAGCAAGGTCTCTATAAATATAATTTGAAACTGGCAGGGTTGAAGCTACAACACTGTTTACATAGATTGTGATAGCTGTACTACCAGATGAATATGCAAAAGTAACTGACAAATAATTCCAATCACTAAGTATTGTGCCAGAAGACAAAGCTCTAGAAGCTGTGGCTTGGGTAGGATCTTCCATAATAGCTGTAGCCCCTGATGATGATAAAATAAGCCGAGTTTGTTTTTCCAATATATCCCCACTCGCTGTTACATATAGCCATAATCCAATAGAAAAGCTATGAGAAAGGAGTATTGATATAGATGATAAAAGATAAGTACTCCCATCAAAATATAAGCCTCTCATATAGGCAGGAATAGGGTCAACTGATTCTGGAGTGTTAAAAAACTGAAAAGATGATGAGCTGGTTCCTGTTGTCAAAACTCCATAAAAGCCTTGAAAATCTACATTGAAAGACTTATCTATCACAGGGGTTGTTACAGGCAAGCAAGACCCGCTAAACCCATAAGGGCAGCCATTTAGACAGACATTTCCAACTAATTGATAGCTCCCTGAGCAAGCTGAGCACTCAAAATAAGTTGTTTTTAGGCAATTCGGGCAAAGCACATCACATCTTTCACATGATTCAGTTAAAGATATCCAAAATGCATATGCGTCGCAAGTGCAACCTCCATTTCCATCACTAACAGCATTCGTAATGCAAGTCAAGCATGAGCCTGTCCCTATGAATGCTGTACATGTAGCACATTCTTTAGTCAAACATAAATTGCAGGTATCAGAACTTACGCATCCTTTATTACAGTTTGTCTTACAGTCTTTACAAGATGAGCCATCAATATACTTGTCTAGTGGACAATCACTTGGACAACTTAAATCAGCTGAACATTTTGTGCAGGTTGATGTGCATCCTGATGTTCGCCATTCATCTAAGTAATAATTATTTAAGCAATAAATTCTCGCTTTCCAAATAAAGCCTGTAAATCCAATGATATCATGTCCTATATATGCATTTCCTGAAGTACTGTCTTGCATATACAATGCAGTTGCTGTTGTGAAAGATTGTAAGAATGATCCATCAATATACGAGCTTATTGTTGTGGTCCCGTCAGTATTAATGTGTCCGTCAAATGAAACAAAGAATCATCCATCCAGAACATTAGAACTTCCTGCTACTGAAATTGTAGTTGAAGAATCTGACATAAGTAGGGAAAGCATAGGATATCCTGAGGGCAAAATTTCTAAAGACCATTGGTATGCTGGTATAGGTTTGACTAGAACTACTCCTGCTGATAGGGCTTTTATCCAAATAGCAATTGAAAATGTTGGAGCAAGCATAAGAGGTGATGCTAAATAACTATTAGATGTAAAGTAGTAGCCTCTCGATTCAGCTGGATAAGGATCATTTGCATCATAATTTGGATAAGTATTACTTATCGAATTTCCTACCAAAATCCCTCCTCCTTGGTCGAGAATAATCTTATTATTTAAAGTCAAGGTAAGCGTAACAAGAAAATTGAAATCGCAGGTATATGTGCTTGTATTTTGTAAATATCCTGTAGGACAATATGACAAAAATAATATGTTTTGGTATGAGAAATAGAAAGAGCCGCAATAAACTTGTGTTATGAGACCAGCTATAGTAATTAGCTGAAAATTGAGACTGGCATCTCTATTTGCTAAATCCAGAATTTTACAAATAAAAAAATTCAAAAATGCATAAAGCACAATTAAATGATAAGGTGGATTATAAAAGTCTGAAAAAATGTTTGACTTCGATATATGAGAATTTGAAACTTTTTCTCGATAGAGTGGATTTATTGATAAAACCCACTTAAAATAATCATATAGTTTAAATTTTAGGTTTTCTATGATGCTTGAAGCTCCATCAAAATAAAATTCCTGATTGGGAGATAGTATCAGGGATTGCTTAGCGCGAAATGAAGGATAGATTGGAATAAGCAAATTTTGAGGAGAAATATTTGAGTATGAGAAATTTGTAGCTGCTAAATCTTGAACACTTGAAAAATTCATTTCAAGCGAATTTGCCTTATCTTCGGTTAGTATTGTGCAAACGCTGAAACAAATATTCTGAGTAATTCAGCTAAATAGGGAAGGATTTGCTTTTTTGTAGTCAATTTTATGTTTAAGATAAAAGTGACTAGGCTTTATTCCTCAATTATAGTTGCCATGTGGGCCAAATGACCAGATGAGCACAGCTTTGAAGATAATAATCAGAATAAAATTCATTATGGCATCATGGTGAAACAAATCAATAATTAGATATTAAGAACTAAAAAATTTTATTGAGGAAATATTTGATTATATATTGTCTAAGTCATTATATAATATAATTATTTCCAATTAAATCAAAAATTGTATATTGAAAATAAGTTTATTTAAATTTGATCAATTTTTGTTCTAATTGAAATTATTTTAGTTGTTTTGTTTGATATCTTCACTATAGGTATTCTAAACTAAAAATTGAATAATAATTACAATTAAGATTGTCTAAATATATTAGCACAATTTACTCTAAGCTATTATATTCAATACTAAAGTTATTTTACTATTTTTCTAATTCTTTTCTAAGCACTAAGTTATATAAATTAATTTTATTAGATTTAAGTATCATATATAATAATATGAAGGTTCCTAAATTAAATTATAAAATAATTTTTTGATCAGCTTTCTTTACTTTTTGCACAATTTGGCTGTGAATCGGAAGTATTTTTACTTTGTCGATATTTCCAGTGTTGAACTTAGCTCTAAAAAAATCATATATAGCCTAAGAGCAATTTTAGACCGCTATTATGTGAAGAAACCAGCCATTCCCTGAGTTAGCTCACTAAACTCAAGCTGATAAACTTGCTCAGAAAGTTGACAAATTTCTCATATTAGACATCGCATAGTCAACTCCATCAACTTTGTCTAGAAAATCAAACTCGGAAGTTGCTCATAGCGTTATAGTCTAAGAAACTCAAAGTCTATCCTAGGCTATATAGTCCTAACAAAAATAGTTATTGAAGCAAGCAGCTGAACCCCTATTATTATGACAATAATAATCACAATACAATTTTCAATTTTAGATATCACATTTGACTCAAGATTAAATAAATAAGCAGCTGTGGAGCCCATTATTATACATATTAATATTTCAGAAACTAAGTTGCTTAATTGCGATATTTGGTCTTTAAAAGGTGAATAAAGTAATAGGTGCATGATAGTCATTAAGGAAAGCACAATATTAATGGTAACTTCTGTTTCTGGGTAGTTTCTTAAGTAGACTAAGTTTACTATATAAATAAGCCTCCTTAGAAAAAATACAAAGTAATATTGGGTTGTGAGAAATTCTTGGTCAGTTCTAAACTCATAAAATAGTGACCCAAAAGAGGCAAAAAATGTTTTTTGATGTAATAGGATCTGATTTTTATTTTTATAGGAAAATCTAAAAAATAATCCTGGAGTAATAATGAGTAATATGCAGACTGATGCACAGATAATAAAATTGATTATTTGTGTTGCGTTAATAAACTTTAATTCGATAATTCCTATACTAACTGCAGCTCCTAATTCAAGATAGCATTGAATCCAAAATCTCAAATAAAATGCAAATTGATATGATTTTAATGTTTTTCTGACTCCTTATAAGGAAACATGAAATTATTTCTATAAAATATTTAATACCTTTAAATATGATAAAATTTGATTAAATTTAAAGCACATCTTATATATTTAATTATTTTAGATTATCTTTTATATGATTATTTAGTCAATTTATATAAATTCAAAGTACTTGACAACAAATAAATAAAATAATTAAAAATAAAATAAGTAATGAGTAAGCTTACTACCAATCCATCTCTGAGAGCATTTCGAAAAATAATATATTAATGGTAGAGCTACAATAGAAGCCAATATCAATGTAAAATCATTTCCTTGATTTATCAAAATTAGATCAGTCTCATATCCAAAATCCTGAGCTTGAGAATATGGAGTATTTCCTTCTTTCTCATCTATTAAATAAGAAAACATATTTGGAAATAAGTTAAAACTGTTCAAATTATTCAGAAACGCTCTTATTTTGCTAGAAAAAGGGATTCCAGATAAAGTCAAATAGCTAACCTCCCGTAAGCAAGCAATGTTCGCATATAGAGGGTTTTTTTTTTATATATAGATTTTATAGTAAATATTTTTTTCAAAGTTTAAAAAATCCCAATTCGAAGTAATTTAAAAGCAAATATTAATTCAATCTGTAAGAATTATGTTTTAAAATGGGGAGCTATTTGAAATTAAATAGAATTAGCTATCACTTATATATCAAAATATTTTTCATAAAAAACAATTTTTTTTAACTAGTTTTTTTTGCCAAAAATAAGGATTTTTCAAATATTTATGCTCGCTCACCGAGGAAGGGAGTGAGAATTTGCAATGTATTCATAATGCTTCATAAAGAGCTTGGATTTGGGCTTATAAATGATAACGCAAGACCTGCAGCAACTGTAGTTTGCGTTATTGCCGTTGCTTGTGATGTAACTGCCTCAACATCTGAGGAATACGGATCAGGATCATAAGAATTCAAAATCACAGTAAAATCTGATGAATTTAAGATGCCATTAGACACTGATTTTACTTCTTTTAGATCTAAAAATGTAAATGTAGCTAAGGTGCCTTTAGAAATTTTCTCTTTTATGTTCAAAGAAATATAATAAAAGGTACTATTTACTTGCTCAATTTTACATGCAATTTCTCCTTGCTTTTCAATTACTACTATAAAATCATAGACTGTAAGAACTTTTGCTAGGCTTTCTGAAAAGGTAAGGGAGAGGGAATTATCAAAGAGAACTGCAAGTTTGGCTGAAAAAGGAACCAATGCACAAGCTTTAATGCCATTGTAGCCTAGATTGCAATAGCAGAGATCGGTTTTGAGGCTAGCGTTTTCTACACAAGCTGTGCATTTTGTAGAAGACTCACAAAGAGTGCAGAGGTTTGGACAGGGATAAAAGACACCATCAGGACCTCTAAACCCACCTTGTGCTATAGTAATGCAAGTGGTGTTATTTGGAGTTCCTAGTACATGATTATCATCGCAGATACATGAGTCAGGGTTTATAGCATTTTCTGTGCAAGTTAAGCATTCTGCTGATGAATATCCAACGCAGTCTTCACATAATAAATTACTGCAGAGTGAGCAGGTGTCTCGTCAGTCCCTGCAAGACTTTTTGCATTTATTATTGCAATTATAGCATTTATTATAAGCAGGCCCATTCCAATATTCATTTATTTTGCAGTTTGGGATGCAGATTTGGTTTGTTGGGCAAACATTGCAGTTTTCATTACACAATTTAGTAGACAGGCTTGATATTGGTTTTATTATATTAAACATCTGGATACTATAAATAAAGCCTTGATAATAATTATAAAGTCCTTGAGAACTAAGTTGGGCTCCTATAGTAATTGTAGTATGAGAAACTGTATCAGTAAAAGCTCCATACCCTGTAGTTGCAGAGGAATCAGATAGCCCATCTATATAGCTTGACATTATATTATAGCCGCTATTTGGCTCTAGTGTAAATGCAATATGACTTCATTCATAATTATTAAGCAAGGCTTGGAATATACATAAAATGGCGATGACGTCTAGCCTGCCCTCTCGTGTGATGGTAGGGATGTATATCTGGGGATGGCTTTGGAGTCAGGAGTTGGCCCAGCAATATTTGGTGTCCTGCAGCGAAGGACTAAAGCACAAATTCGCTGATTTATGGCATGATCAAATAGATAGAGTTGCATTGAATTTTTATTACCAGCATCACCCAAGCTAGGAAGAATCACCTGCTCAAGCTGCTATCGTGGTCGCCCCCGGATCAAGGGAATAGTTGAGTTTTTTCTCAACGATGACATGGGAAGAGGGAATAGGCTAGACAACAAGGCAGTCTATCCAGTTAAAGGGTTCCGAGCAGGAGCAATATAATAGGCAGTGAGGAGTTAGCTAGGCAGCCGAAGAGACCACGCTCGAAATGTGATGCCCAGCGAAGATCTTTGACCCAATAGGGCAATATCACTACCGAGAAGCCAGGGGTTTCAACTAGGCTTGGAGTTACCAGAGATGAAAGCAATCCAATTTTTCTGTACTGCCAGGCGACTAGCGCTGCACAAAATCTGCCAGTGAGAAGTGAGGACTATCCCACCCACTATTATCTAATTTAATTTAAGCAAGGTTTGGCACTGTAATATAAAAGGAGATGAATTTATAATCAATGAGATTGCTGGCTTGCTGCCTATTAGCAGGATTGAATAAATCACTGAAAAATTGTTAGTAATATCATGTTTCGATAACAGAGCAGAAGAGGAAATTTCTGTATTAATTCATATAGAAATTGTAAAGGTAGTCCCAATTAGAAGATTTGGAGATGTATAGGTCGAATACTCAGGCAGCCTTAAAACTGAAGATTGCCCATTAAAATAAAATCCTCTTAAATAAGCAGGGATAGGGTCATCAGCTTCATAATCTGGATAAAATTGTTCAGATGACCCAGTTATCACTGGGATTGAGCTTGCTTTATCATAAATGACTCCATTCAGAGTATTAAGGTCTAAGTCAAAAATTTTTTCTTTGGCCAGCACACATCCACTTGGAGAAGAAGAATATCCTACAGGACACTCAACTTTACAAACTCCTAAAGAACTATAATATCCATCTGCACAAGATAAGCAGTCCAAAGAGCTAGATGATGTGCAGGTTTTGCAAGAAATATCACATAATTCGCAGTCTTCATTAATAGTGTTCCAATAATACCCAGAATTGCATTGGCAGCTTGTGCCTACTAAATTTGCGTTTGTTTTGCAAGTAATGCATGTATTTGTGTAATCGTCACATACTTTGCAGATAACGTCTTTACATAAGTTGCAGCTTTTATCACTTCTTACGCAGCCATTTGTAGAACATCCAAGCGAACAGGCTACACAGATGCTGCCATCCAAGTATTTGTCTAAACCGCAAGGATCAATGCAAGCATTGCCATTATCAATAGGACATATGGAGCATCAATTGCAAGAACTTGAAGCTAAACTACTGACTGCTATTGGTGTATTATATACTCTTTTATAATGAATAAAACTTGCTACTAAGCAATGTTTCTATTTTACATGGTGAATAGGAAACGGTAGCAAAGTTTCTCATTATTATAAATTGTTGTAGATTTTTAGATCCCATAAAAATCCATTAAAAAATGATATTAAAGATGTAGGGCTTGAGTAGCATGCCCCAATTGCTATTAAAAACGAATTTCTAACTCCTCCTCTTTAAATTGGAACAAAAAATCCTGTTTCAGGGTTAATTTTTTTTAAAACACAATTTTCGATAAAAAAATGTTTAAAAATCTTAAAAAATTAAATTGAATAAAATAATTTGAATTTAATGTATTTTGTGAAAAATAATTAAAAATTTAATCAATCAATTCAGTGTGAAAACTGTTTAAATAAAATTCTATTATGCAATTAATCTATTAAATTATGTCAAAACTAATTTTAAAACAATTATTACTTTCATCGATAAAATTTTCTTATAGAAAAACCAATTCAAAGGGGGTGAAAGTGCTGAAAAAATGCGTTTTGTTCTAAATCTATCAGCCAGCTTGGGGCTAAATCGCTTGAGAGATCGCTTGCTCCATTTAGAGATAAAGTTATAGTTTGCTGAGGGGTAGAGCTTATGCTGGAAATAGGTCATACTCTTTCCTCTAGGCTTTTTAATAGTGAGACATTCTCTTTGAGGCATTGTCGAAATTTTTTCTATGAGATATTTGATCGAAATTTGACTTACTTAACTTAATTATCTGGTGTTTAAGGTGTCTAGTGCCGCAGCCCAAAAAGGACCTATGGCAAAACTAGTGACGTAGGCGAGCCATCTTAGAACAGGTCAGCCCTAGCCAAGCCTTCTATCAACTCCTGCTTCACCAACCTTGCTGCACGTCTCACCCGGCGCGATGCCGTCGCCCTTGTCTCGACTCAGCTCCTGCGCGTGTTCCACCTAAGGGTCATCTTCCCGTGGAGATGTGCTGAGAGGTAAAACCCCGAAATCTTGAGAGGACTGACGAGCAGTTCCTCTGGTTATCCCCAGAGTTAAACCGCTATTGCTGTCCAGAAGTTCTCGAGTGAAAACCTAACCCCATAAATAAAATTCCATGAGGGAGAGAAAAATTAGCAGAGCTAATTTCTCTCGAACCGAATGCCATTTTATTTATGATCGAAATTTGACGATTTCTTCCAAGCAAGTGCCTCACGAGAAAAAAATTTGACCAAATTTTCCCAGGAAATATCTCATTCGCAAAGAGTCCCGATCAAATGACATGAAGCCACTGGAAATTGCTGATATAAAATTTCATTGAGAAAGGGTAGTCTCTAATGAGGGATTAGAGCTTGTATAAGTAATTGTAGATGAGTCTTTTAGAGTCAAAGTAAGTGATAGATATTTGTTTATTAGTTCAAGACTGATCGATTTTTTAAATAATCCGCTATTAGCTTGCTTAATTCCCACTTGGAGATATTCCAAAAAAATCTCAGTTAATTTGAAAAATTTATGCTCTAAAACACAAGTTGTTAAAAATTTAATACAATTTGCCCTGTGATTTTAATATATATATAATTAATTATATATTAAAAGCATTCACTAAAAAAATTATATTTGTTTGTATAGAGGCTAATCTCCCTTAATGATTTTTTAAATAGCCAAGGAGGTAGAAAAAATAACCCCAGTGCCTATTATTGGTTTTATTCAAGCTGCTATAGTAAATTTTGGTGCAAAAGTAAATAGTGGTGTGGTAGTACCTGCATAAGGAGGCAGCTGCATATAAGATGAGCCAGTAAAATAATAACCTCTATTAATAGTTGCTATAGGATCAGTTGCATCATAATCAGGATAAAAGCTATTATCTTTGCCTGTAAGTACTGGTATATTTGACTTTAAATCAGTAACGACATCTTTTATTTGATGCGGCATCAAATTAAATACAAAAAAATTGGTATAAGCAGGATTAGCATTACAATTACTACCATTTACAGTATATCCAGTAGGGCAAAATGACATACACAAAGATTGAATCAGATAATACCCTGATATACAAGTAAGGCAGCCATTAAATTTCAGTGTAGAGCAAGATGCACAAATTGAATGACAAAGCTCACAGCTTTGGAAGTTGGGAACTCTTAAATTAAATTATTAAACTGACCATAAGTGGGCGACAGAATAATGGCCATGTTGTGGCAAAACCTTTCTACCCATCTGGCAGGAAAAGAAAGCCTTCGGGAGAGAAACAAAATACCATTTTTCAGCATACTTCCCTTCGAGATGGTCTCTAACGAAGATCACCTTTCATCACACCGGTCCACTGTTCTATCAGGAGGTGTGGTCACGAAGTTCTATTTCCGTCAATGTCACCATTTATTTGGGAACTCATAATGCAATTGCAAGACACATGCAATGGCCAGCTGATTTATAAGCATTTGCAATACAACTTGTGCATTCTCCTGAAAAGTTAGTGCATGATTCGCATTCTTTATCTCTACAAAGGTTGCATGATAAGCCATTAACACATCCTTGGCTGCAGCTAGAGCAAGCTATGCAGCTATCAGGGTATTTATCGAAGTCACATTCACTTAAGCACAAATGATTTGATGGACAAGCAGAGCAGCCAGTCACACATGAAGAAGTAGCATAATCATCAGCTTGGTTGCTATACGAATTATATAGCTCAAGAAAAGGTTTGATCTTATGTTATGGAACAAAGATTGCCACAAATTGAGGGTTGAGAAGCTTTATAAATTTTGTTAGCCACAATTGGTAGCTACACTTTTGGTGAAAACGCTAAATGACTAAGAGTTTATAATTTCTATCTATATGGATGCTCGAGCTATATATTATTAATCGTGCTAAAAAGCCGTGAAGTCCTGAAGTTCCAAAAGTTTCATCGTTTCCTATATAAAGGTATCCTAAAGTAGTATCTTTAAAGTAGGTCAAAGAAGTAGTTGTAATAGAGTTAGTAGATACTGCATTGATGTAGAGATTAATAATGGTTTTTCCATCAGACTGAACTTGGCCTGTAAAGCTTAAGAAATGCCAACTGTTTAAAATACTTGTAGAAGCTGTTAAAGTTGTAGAAGTTGAATCGCAAAATTTTATTGAGAGGACTGGAAACCCAGATGGGTCTACAGTTATCTTGAAAATATCGCTAGAGAAGTACTTTGTTACTAATATCCCACCTGAGAGTGGTTTAGTTCATATAGAAACTGTAAATGATGGTGCTATCATTACAGTCGATGATAAATATTTGCTGAATTTAAAATAGTAGCCTCTTTTATAAGCTGGAATTGGATCATTAACATCAAAATTTGGATAAGTGTTTGCATTATAAATACCTATATTGAACCCAGAAACAGTATCAAGACGAATCTGGTCTGTTAAATCCAGATTTATTCCTATATTTGATACATAATCACATGCATTTGTGATTGAATTTTTAATATACCCCGATGGACACTCACTTAAGCATTGTCCAGTTGAGGCAAACAAGAAAAACCCTGAAATGCACGCAGTGCATTTATTATAGATCGAAATAGTACATAGAGAACACTCGCTTGGACATAACGCACATGAGAGTCCATCTACAGAAGCCCCATAGCCAGGATTGCAAAAGCATGAGCCAGAAACTAAATTAGCGCTAGAAATGCATTGAGTGCATTTTCCTGCTCCAAACCCTGAACAAACTAAGCATAATATATCATAACAAATATTACAGGAATTTCCTCTGACACATCCTTTAGTGCATGAACTGCAAGATAGGCAAGAAGCACCATCTTGATATGCTGAATATGAGCAAGTTGATAAGCAAGAAGATTTTAATCCAGCCCCACAAAATGAGAAGCCATTAAGGATACTTAAAAAATCACTAATTCTTACATTCCACAGCTGAAAAGAATATAAAAACCCAACAAATCCAGAACTGCTATATTTTCCTAATTTCAAATTAGTAGATGATTGGTCTCGAAAAATCAAATTAGGGCTGCTTAATGAGTCCACTAAATTTCCATTAATATAAATTTCGAAAATAGTCGTACTTGATGTGTAAGCTACTACGGCTGATATGTAATTTCAAGCTAAGAGCAGGGTACTTTGTGTTAATGAAATTACTGACTCTACTTGCATATTATCTACCAGTTTTACTCTCATAGATCCATCTGATATTATTTGTAGCTGATTTTTACTTATAATAGTGTCAGCAGTTAAATCCCAATTTCACGTCCCCATAGAAAAGCTGTGAGAAAGTGGAACAGGCAATGAAGATTCTAAATGCATGCTCCCATCAAAATAAAGACCTCTTTTATATGCAGGCACAGGATCAACTGCTTCAGGGGATACAAAATGCTGATAGGTGCTTGAAGAACTCCCAGAAGTAAAAATACCATAAGAACCTTGAAAATCAGTATTCCCAATGATTTAATTATTTCATTAAAATATTCATATAAGGACAATACAATATTTTAATTACTAAAAACCTATACGATTCAATTAATTATATCAAATAATAAATCAATAACTGCAGTTGAGACTACTGTGCAAGCAGCTCCATATCCATAAGGACAGTCATTTAAACATATATCATTTACCATCTGGCTTCCCGTTGTGCAGCTGCTGCATTCAAAATAGCTGGCTTGCTTACAGAGAGAGCAAAGCACATCACACACTTCACAATTACCTGGCTTCCAAAACGTGTTTGTCTTGCATTTACATCCTCCTGATCCATCATTTTCTGCATTTGTGATACAGCTTGAGCAAGACCCAGAAAATGAATCACATACATAACATTGTAGAGTCTTACAAAGGGTGCATGTGCCGGTAGAACTGCTATATCTACACCCATTGGTGCATGATCCTGCACAACTTTCACAAGCTGATACATTATAAAACTCCAAAAATGGGCAAGTTTTAGGACAGTTATAGTCACTAGGACACTGAGTGCATGGAGAAGTGCAGCTTGAAGTTTTATAGTCGTTGATATAATAACTTGCTGAATTAAAAATTTTTAAATTGTATAAAAAACCTTCAAATCCACTTGTGCCTGCATTTCCAATATAAAGAGTACCAGTATTTAGGTCCTGAAAATAAGTTTGTGTTGAAGAGCTGCCTGACCCTGTAGATATTGAGTTAAAATATGAGTTTATGGTCACTGTGCTGCTTGAATCAATTTTTCCTGTAAATGAAACAAAACTCCAGCTGCTTATCAGGATATTCTGAGATGATAAAACAGAAAATGACGAAGAATCACTGACTGCCCCCTCCGTGAGCGAACAAAACCATTGGAAAAATCCCCAAAAGCCCACCCTCTGTGAATGAACAAAATATTTTTTAATATAAAATTTTTTTATGAAAAAAGTTTTGATTATTAATATAAATGACAAATTAAATTATTTTTGAAAAAAAAAATTACTATAAAATTTATAAAAAAAAAATTAACCCCCTCCGATTAGCGAATAAAGCTTTTTGTTTGCTCAGTGAGGTGGGGGGAGTGAGAGAAAGCGAAAGTTTGGGAAATCCACCATTGAGTTCCAAACAAAAAATTTGTACACCTGAAACTATTTTACTAACAATTGGGCCTGAAGATGTTGGAAATACTCATATAGATATAGTAAAATATGGGCCTATCACAGTATTTGTTAACATATAGCTTGATGATTTAAAATAATACCCTTGTAGATACTGAGGGTATGGATCGCCTGTCTCATAGGTTGGATAAACATTACTGGTAGGCCCAACTTGTACCCCTGAGACTGAATCGAGCTTTATTTGGTCGTAAAGGGATAAACTTAACCCCTAAATAGAATTGCTTGAGGGAGAGAAAATTAGCTCCGCTAATTTCACTCGAACCGAAATGCCATTTTATTTAGGGTTAGGTTTTCTTCTGAGAACTTCTGTACAGCAACAGCAGTTTAACTCTGACAGATAAAGCCGAGGTACTGCTCCAAGTACATCAAGAAGTTCGAAGTTTTACCTCTCAGCACACCTGAGGTTACCCTTAGGAGGAGCACGTGCAGGAGCTGAGTCAAGGATGAGCGAGGCAAAACGAAGCCCATCGAAGCCAGAACATCGTAATGGTCCGTGCCCTGGTGAAACAAAATGGATCGATCCAGAGGTCCATGGGCCCGATACATGGATAAAATGTGGTGAAAGCCCTGGACAAGGTGACCCCTTAGTAGACGTTAAACGTTATATATAATTAATGATAATGATAAACTTAACCCAGTTGCTGATGAAAATGTGCAAATTTTTGTTGAGAAATTCTCTATATATCCTGTTGGGCAGTTAAGTAGACATACCTTATTAATATATAAAAAATAGCCAGAATTGCAGGAAGTGCATAAAGTGTCTAAAGACCCTACACAAGAAGCACATTTTGTATGGCAAGGAGAGCAAAGAGCTTGGTTTGCAGGTTGATAAAATCCAGGATTGCATTGGCAAGGAGGTCCAGAAGCATTAGAAATGCATAGCGTGCAGCTGTTTGGTAAAAAAGATAAGCATTTGGCACATAAAATATCGTCACAAATATAGCAAGATGTCCCTCTAGTGCAGCCCATTGTACAAGAGCCTAAGCATGGCTGGCAATTGCTTCCATCATAATAATAAGAATACTCGCATGGCCATAAGGTTGATACCACTCCGCCTGTAAAGCCATAAAGATTATAGGGCGTAGAAAAGTCTGTAATGGTTTCTCCTCATAGCTGAAAATAGCTTATAAAGCCTTTAAATTTTGGAAGACCTGAGCCTATATACAGCTTTCCACCATCTGGAAACCTAAATACGCTATTTGCAACTGTAAGTGCTGTCCCAGGTATCATATTTAAATAAGGAGTTATTGTTGTAGATTTATTAGCAAACCCAACTGAACAAGAAATGTAACTTCATGTTTTTAAAGCTAGAGGATTTGATACAGTGTAGCTTACTTTTGTGCCGTCTCAAGTTTCTAACTTTGCAGTTAATATAATTAAATCCCCCCTTTGTGAGCAAAGAAAAAAATTTTGTTTGCCTACGGATGGGGTTTAATATTTTTTTTAAAAATTATTTTTCGATACTTAAATTTTGAAGATTTATGTATGCAAATTATTTAAAATAAACAAAATTAGCTATAATAATTATCATTTATATATAAAAAATATTTTGCATAAAATATATTTTTTGATAGCTGAGGGGTAAAAAATACAGATTTTTCCAATATTTTGTTCGAGGAAGAGTAAGTATTTTTTTTTGGTTATTTAGAAGATATCATAGTAAAATAAAAAATCCTAAAAATTAAATTTAATGTCAAAATATTTAAAAATCAATTTATCTTTATTAAGATTTTTTTTAAAATAAAATTACGACATAATAAATTGTTTAACTTAAGCCTTATTATTCAGATGAATCAAAAATATTTTTATCCGATTAATAATAATAAAATTGTTCGCTATTAATTGTGAGATAAGTCAAAATCAATAGCTCCTATAGTCCTAAAATTAAGTTTATTTGAGCCAGCACTAATTAGAACCCCAGAAATAACATAAGCCCAAATTCCTATGCTCCAAGTATTAGATAAGTTTATAGACCCACTCAAAACCCTATTCGAATCAAAATAAAGGCCTCTATTTTTAGCTGGCAATGGATCAGACGCTTCTGGACTATTCCAATAATTATAGCTTGAAGAGCTACTACCAGTAATAAATTCTGAACCATATGCCCCAGCAAATGGGGTATTAAAATCAGCTGTTAAAACTGTAAAACAATAATAACCTCCACAGTCCCATGCCCCATACGGAGTCCCATACAAGCAAACTCCTGCGCTAGGTAACCCAAAATTACATAATGTGCTAGTCCAAGTTTGGGTGCATTCTGTTGCTAGATGGTCACAGCATAATGGAAGGACTCCTGTAGTGCATGCAGAGCAAGTTGCAAAAGAATACCCAGTATAGTTATTGGATTAATCCAGATGACTATGGACTATTCTTATTGATGTTAAATCATCATTAATATAGCTAAGTCTAAACTAAAAAAAAGGCTGAAAAAAATCCACACAAATTGACTTTATTATCAAGACTAATCTTATAGAAATCTATTGTGTCGGATAAGCTATACAAGAGCTACAATCTGGCGAATAGCAAATTGAGCAGTCGCTTCTAATGCATCAAGGCCAATTTGGGCATGAATTATTACAGTCATTGCAATTAGTTCCATCTCAGTACTGCTTATCAGCACAATCAACCGTTGGAGCCGACGTTGGGCTATTTACTTCATTATCGACTCTTGTTTGAAGCCAATAAATAAACCCTTTAAACGAATTATATGTACTTGTAGATCCAAGATTTCAATTATAAGTCCCACTAGGAAAACTCATCTCAGAATCAGCTCATGACGTGCTATAATCTGTACCTCCATCAGCATCAATGCTGAATGATGCTGTATTACAATTATCCTGACTAAAATAAATTGACACATAATGCCAAGATGAAGAATATGAATTTCCACTCATCTCTGAAACAGAATATTGTGATCCGTCTGAGCCTTTAATCAAAGCATCAAATTGATATAACCCAAGGACTGAAGATATTCTTATATAAGAAATTGGGTCAATAAGGACGTTTAAAATTTCTCCACCATCAAGAGCTTTTATTCATAAATTTAAAATAAAATAAAGACCTGGGATAAAGCTTGTGCTGCTGGACATCCCAGATGTAGGGGCAAAATAAAAGCCTCGGTCTAAGGTAGGTAACGGGGAATTTTGTGATGGATCATTAAATGAGATTCCTCCTGGGTTTAAAAATTCTGTTCCACTGGGATCCTGGATTCTGTCAAGCGTAAAATCTTGAAAACCAGAAAATTCTAAAGTGAATAAAATTGTATTTGACGGATCAGGCCCATCACAATATTTATAGCAGCTAGGACAAGTATATTCATCTGAAAAGCGAGTTGGGCACTCCTCTGTACATATAAGGTTGTCAGTCATGTATTTTGGCTTATTACAGCTAAGTCTTCCACCTACATCTAAACTATCATTTGGGCAAGCTGAAAGAACTAAAACAGCATGAGCGATTAAAATAAAGATCCCTAGCATTTTTATTATAATCTCATTCAATAACTTAAAAATACATAAAAATGATAAAATTTAAGAATAAACAATAAGAAATTAGAAAAGTCTATATAGATAATAATTATATGATGGCCAAGAAATGTTTCGAGCCAGGGTGTATGAATGAGGTTGAGTATGCATGTAAATGCTCTTCTCTTGAGACTTTATTGTGCGGAGAGCATATCAGGGAGCATGTAAATTTGCCTCATGGAGTTCATAATCTTGAATCAATTTTTATGCAGCTTTACGAAGGGACAAAAGAAGCAATTCTTGAATTCCTTACAAAAGAAAAGTTAAAATATAGCGAGTTGAGAAGAAACATTATAGATTCTTATATCCATAATTCAGAGAATGATTTTGGAGATTTCACAAGCAAGCTCGATTGTTATTCAGATGAAATAAATGATTTCTTTGCAAAGATTTCCCAAGCTACAAAATTATTAAAGTCAGAAGAAGATCCAATTTTAGGATTATTGAGTTTACAGCCTCAAGAAGCTATTGAGAAAGTAAAATTGATGACCATAGCTAGCAGAAATTGATACAACGGTGCAAAGCTGTTTTACATTTTCAAGGAAAAGTTAAAAAGTCTAAATAGACCTTTCTTTACAGAAATATGTGGGGCTTATCTAGAAATAAGGAATATGCAAAATGCTACTGAAATAGATAATAAAATTAAGAAGGTAGCAAGTATAGAGTTAGCAGATGCTAAGGATTCGACTTCATTGATAATAAATGAGAATATTGATAGTTTAAAAGGGCTTGCAAACAAGCCAATAAAAAACACCCCAGAAAATAAGGCAAGCTTGCTTAATTTTCAAATAAGCACTGTTTCTAGTGATCTCGACAGTAAACAAAAAGAACCAGAAAACGCTTTAAACGCTATAGACTCCACAACCACTAACTCCCCCCCCCCCCCTCCGTGAGCGAACAAAAAAATTTTGTTCGCTCACGGAGGGGGGTTAATTTTTTTTTTTTAAAAAAAAATTTTATATATAAATTTTATAAAAAATATTTTTTTTCGAAATTTAAAAAAAAATCCTAATTTGCAAAAATTGGGAAGCAAATATTAATTTAATTTGCAAAAATTTATGTTTTAAAAAAACGCAATTTGTTTAAAATTAAACAGAATTAGCTCTAGATTTCATTATACTAATTATCACTTATATATCAAAATTTTTTTTCCATTAAAATTTTTTCTATTAAAAAAATTTTTGTTCACTCACGGAGGGTGGGTTTTTGGTCAAAAAATGGCGATTTTTCTAATGGTTTTGTTCGCTCACGGAGGGGGGGGGGGAGTAAGCAGATTCACTTGCATAACTCAACTTCCAAACGGCAAGCTATTCTGTTTTGATAATACTAACCATTCTGGGATTACAGTTCTGATTGATGTGAATGGTGGATTCGAAGTGCTGCCATCTGGAGCTTCTCATGAGTGATCATCATTTATACATTTCAACAAGAGTGTCTATTGTTTTGGAGGATGAAAAAGAGGTTATTTATCTCTATCTAGTAGATTTGATTTGGATCAAAATCGATGAATTCAATTAGCTCCAATGCCAAAAGGAGACTACAAATGCAATAGCATAATTATAAATGGAAATATCTTGATTTCTGGGCTTCTAAATGAAAATCTTTTGTTATACTCAATTGATATTGACTCTTTCTCAACAATACCTTATGAATTTAGTCGAAATAGATGAAAGATCCTGATAAATGTAGAAAGACTATATTTGATTGAATGCGATAATGGATTAATCTATGAAAGCGAAATTGGAAGTTTCTCGAATTGGAGACGAATAGGAAAATCAAAAATTAATTGTAATCTTGATCAAGTGTATTGTTCATATAATAAAGGAGGAATATGAATCTCACTCCCCCCCTTTTAAAATTGGAACAAAATATCGGTAAAAATTTCCACTTTTTTAGTAAATTAACCCCCCTTTAAATTGGAACAAAATTTAATTTTATAAAAAAAAAATTATATATAATTTTTATATAAATTAAATGTTTCTTATTAACTAAAATTAAAAATTTAGTTATATCTTACTCTTTTTTAAAGATAAAAGTATAAAGAGCATCTTATTTAAATAAATTTATTATCCTTGATTGTAAATTTTAAAAAAAAATTAATTTTTTTTTTTTAAAATTTTCAAAAAAATTTTTGTTTTTTTTGATAAAAATGATATTTTTTATTTAAATAGTTTTGATATAAATTCAATAGGAATTCTTTATAAAATTTAAAAAAATTTACTTATTTCTTACTTTATTTTAAAAAGAATAGAGTATATAATAACATCTTATTTAAACAAAATTAGCACTTTGATCGATAAATTTTCTAAAATTTTTTTTTTTTATTTTTTTTATCAATAAAAATAATAATTTTTTGTGTAAATAATTTTGATACCAATTAATAGTGGCGTATTAACTAATAATGAAAATTTAGTTATATCTTGCTTTGTTTTAAAGGATAAAGAGTAAATGGCGATTTATAATTGGGCTAGAGAATATTATTATTTTAATTTAAATCAAAAAATACTTATTGATGCTGCTTACTATAATAAGCATATCGCACTTAAAAGAGTAGGACAAAAGATTGAAGCAATAAAATGCAATAACCAGGATTTTAATCTTGATCCTTCTTATCTGGATGAACGCAATGTAAAAGATATTGCTCTAAGTACTTTAGGAGAAAATCTAGCGAAAATTAATTTCCTTGACGAAGAAATCAAACTCAATCCAAGCAATGCTAGTTTATACTATGATAAAGGCAACGCTTTTTATCGTTTACAAAGATATCATAGAAGCAATCGAATGCTATGACAAAGCAATCAAACTCAGATCCAGAGCAGCTGGTGATTTATACAATAATAAAGGCAACGCTTTTTCTCATGTAAAAAGATATTATGAAGCAATCGAATGCTATGATGAAGCAATCAAACTCAACCCAAACAGGCTATATTTATACGATAATAAAGGCGCCGTTTTCGATGTTTTGGAAAGATATCTAGAAGCAATCGAATGCTATGATGAAGCAATCAAACTCAATCCAAACAAGTCCTGATTATTACAATAATAAAGGCAACGCTTTTTATGATTTACAAAGATATATAGAAGCAATCGAATGCTTTGACAAAGCAATCGAAACTCAGACAAAGCTATGATGGTGATATTTACTGGAAGAAAGGATCTGCTTTATATAAATTAGATAGATACCCAGAAGCGATAGAAAGCTATAGCAAAGCAATCAAAATCAATCCAAGTAATGCCAAGTATTATAATGATAAAGGCAATACTTTTTATGTTTTAGAGAGATATCAAGAAGCAATACAATGCTATGATGAGGCAATCAAACTTGAACCCGATAATCCTTTGCATTTTTGCAACCGTGCTAGAGTATTTAATAATCTCAGACAGGAAAAAGCTGCTTTGCAGGACTTTAATACGGCTTATAATTTGAAGCAAGGAAATCAAGTAAGTGATGTTTTCGCTGGGGGTCAATGAAAACTTTCTGAAGAGGATATCAAGTTTATTAACGACGTATTAGGGAGAGACCGTATTGAGCTGCTCCAAAAAATGCAGATTTAGAATAATTAGGCTTCGTCTAAATAAATCTTTTCCTTATATAAATTAGAGCTTCTATATATCTAGTTTCACCAAAAAATTTAGAAATTTACTTTGTGTTGCAATAATAGACGTAATGGGAGGACTAACCTTAAGAAATAAATCAGCTGAGATTTTGAGTGGGCCAGACAATCCAGAACTAGAGATGGATTTCAGAGCAAATTACTCAGCGAGTCAACTCTATCCTAGTCTTTATAAACCACCACTGTTACAAGCTTGCCAAGATTATCTTAATCCTTGTCAACAAGGAGCATCTCTTTATAATCTTAACTATGAAAACAAAAAAACTACTTTAAATATTTATAACACTGAAACTAAAACCCAAGAAGTCATAACCTTGCAGACTCCACAACCACTCGACTCAAGAACTTGCATAGCTCAACTTCCAAATGGTAAGCTATTCTACTTTGGTAATCATTTACTTTCTGGATATACAGTGCTAATTGATTAAAATTATCAAGTTGAAGTGCTGCCATCCGGTACTCCTTGTGGATGATCATCATGCATCTATTTCAACAAAAGCGTCTATTGCTTTGGAGGATATAATCAATGTTTTTTACCTCTATCTAGTAGATTTGATTTAGATCAGAATCGATGAATTCAATTAACTCCGATGCCAAATGGCGATTATGAATGTCATAGTGTAATGTTTAATGGTAATATTTTGATTTCTGGAAAGTGGTATGGAAATCTTTTGTTATATTCAATCGATGTTAACTCTTTCTCGACAATTCCTTATGAGTTTATTGAAGGAAGAAGAAAGATCCTGATAAATGCAAGTAGAGTTTATTTGATTGAATGCGATAAAAACGGGAAAATGTATGAAAGTGAAGTTGGAAGTTGCATGAATTGGAGACCAATAGGAAAAACAACAAAAATCAACTATATAGTTGATTGAATGTATTGCTCATATAATAAAGGAGGAATATACTTTTGAATTGAGGGATATCACTGTTACAAATTTGATTTGAATGAAAAGAGAATGATTGAATTAAAATAGTATAAAATGGTTAGTAAAAGTAAGTAAGTAGTGCTCTAAGAATTGCCTAACAAGTTCTGCCTCTTTTCGATTGGAAATGAATTTGAGATAAGACAATTTTTTTGGTCACAAATCCTTACTAACATTTATCTCCACAATTGAATCGTGCAATACCATTTCTGCTGCTAACTATCGTGTTCTCATTTTCCATCAATATGATACACTTAGAAATTTAATTTGTCTTGTAATAATAAACATAATGGGAGGACTAACCTTAAGAAATAAATCAGCTGAGGTTTTGAATAGACCAAAAAATCCAGAACTAGAGATGGATTTCAGAAAAACTCGCTCAGCGCCTCAAATCAATCCTAGTCTTTACGACCCACCACTAATGCAAGCTTACCGAAATTATCTTAACACTTGCCAAATCGGAACATCTCTTTATAGCATTTGAAAAGTTGATAAAAAAACTAATTTATATATTTATAACACTGAAACTGACACCCAAGAAGTCATAATCTTACAGACTCCAAAACCACTAGACTATTCCGCTTGCATATCTCAACTACCCAATGGCAAGCTATTCTGTTTTGGTGACGATAAGTATTCTCGAACTACAGTCTTAGTTGATAGAAATGGTGGAGTCGAAGTGCTGCCATCTGGAATTCCTATTAGATTTTCATCATGCATCTATTTCAACAAAAGCGTCTATTGCTTTGGAGGACAAAATAAAAAAACTACTTTAACTCTATCTTGTAGATTTGATTTAGATCAGAATCGGTGAATTCAATTAACTCCAATGCCAGGGCCTGATTTCAATTGCAATAGCATTATGCTTGATAGAAATATTTTGATTTCTGGATATATAGGAGAAAATCTTTTGTTATACTCAATTGATATTGACTCTTTCTCGGCAATTCCTTTTTGGTTTGAAATTGGGAAAAGAAAGATCCTGATAAATGCAGATAGACTTTATTTGATAAAATGCAATGAAGGAGCTATCTATGAATGCGAAATTGGAAGTTACATGAATTGGAGACCAACAGGGAGAATATCAATAATCACTCGCAGAGCCTGACAAGTGTATTGCTCATATAATAAAGGAGGAATATACATTGGAATAGAGGGATCTTATTTCTTCAAGTTTGATTTGAATAAAAAGAGATTGATTGAATTAAAAATGTCATAAAATGATTAGTTAAAATAAGTAAGTAATGTTTTAAAAATTTCCTAACAAGTTCTGCCTCTTTTTGATTGATACTGAATTTAAAGTAAGATAAATTGCTTTTTGTCATAAATTCTTACTACCATTTGCTCCACAATTGAATACCTCCAAACTCACAAGTTTACTTATGAGTAGTTTCATTGTTAACGAGGGGTGAAATTATAAGTAATTGAATTTGCTTGTATAGCAAGCTTCACTGAAAAATTTAGAAAGTTACTTTGTATTGTATAATAGACATAATGGTAGAACTAGCCTTAAGAAATAAAACAGCTGAGATTTTAAGCAAATCAAACAATCCAGAAATTGAGATGGATTTCAGAGCAAATTGTTCAGTGAGTCAAATTAATCCTAGTCTTCATGGCCCACCACTAATGCAAGCTTACCAAGATTATCTTAATTCTTGTCAGCATGGAACATCTCTTTATAATCTTAAACGTGATAATGAGGAAACTGATTTAATTGTTTATAACACTGAAACTAAAACCCAAGAAGTCAAAACCTTGCAGACTCCACAACCACTAGACTTATCAACTTCCATAACTCAACTTCCAAATGGCAAGCTATTCTGTTTTGGTAATTGTGTACTTTCTGGATATACAGTACTAATTGATACAAATGGTGGAATCGAAGTGCTGCCGTCTGGAACTCCTTGTGAATGATCATCATGCATCTATTTCAACAACAGCGTCTATTGCTTTGGAGGAGATAATGAAGGTACTTTAACTCTATCTAGTAGATTTGATTTGATTAGAGATCGATGAATTAAATTAACTCCGATGCCAAAATCTAATTTCAAGTGCAATAGTATAATATTTAATGGAAATATTTTGATTTCTGGATATTATTATAGAAGAAATCTTTTGCTATACTCAATTGATATTGACTCTTTCTCGACAATTCCTTATGAGTTTGCTACATGGAAAAGAAAGGTTCTGATAAATGCAGAGAGACTTTATTTGATTGAATGTGATAATAGAGGAGATATCTATGAAAGCGAAATTGGAAGTTACATGAATTGGAGACCAATAGGAAAAACAACAAAAATCAATTGCAGAGCTGATCAAGTGTATTGTTCATATAATAAAGGAGAAATATATATTGGAATAGATGGATCTTACTACTTCAAGTTTGATTTGAATGAAAAGAGATTGAATGAATTAAAAATCTAATAAAATGATTAGTTAAAAGTAAGTTAGTATTGTTCTAAGAATTGCCTAGCAAGTTCTGCCTCTCTTCGATTGGCTTAATTCTTGAGGAATTAAATTTTAGATGAGATAAATTGTTTCTTATAATTAAAAAAAAATATATCCTTATATAAATTAGATAATAATTATATGATGGCTAAGAAATGTTTCGAGCCAAGGTGTATGAATGAGGTTGAGCATTCATGCAAATGCTCTTCTCTTGAGACTTTATTGCGCAGAGAGCATATCGGGGAGCATGTAAACTTGCCTAATAGAGTTCATAGTCTTGAATCGATTTTTATGCAGCCTTATGTAGGGACAAAAGAAGCAATTCTTGAATTCCTTACCAAAGAAAAGTCAAAATATAGCAGTTAACAAGAAAAATTATAGATTCCTATAGCCATAATTCAGAAAAAGATTTAGGAGATTTCACAAGCAAACTCAATTGTTATTCAGATGAAATAAATGATTTTTTGGTAAAGATTTCCCAAGCTACAAAACTATTAAAGTCAGAAGAAGATCCAATTTTAGGATTATTGAGTTTACAGCCTCAAGAAGCTATTGAGAAAGTAAAATTGATGACCATAGCTAGCAGAAATTGATACAATGGCGCAAAGCTGTTTTATATATTCAAGCAAAAGTTAAAAAGTCTAAATAGACCTTTCTTTACAGAAATATCCAGGGCATATATAGAAAAAAAGAATATGCAAAGTCCTCTTGAAATGGATAATAAAATTATGAAGCCAACAAGTATAGAGTCAGCAAACGCTAAGGATTCGATTTCCTTAATAATAAATGAGAACAGTGATAGTTTGAAAGAGCCTGAAAACGCAAACAAGCCAATAAAAAACCCCCAGAAAATAAGGCAAGCTTGCTTAATTTTCAAATAAGCACTGCTTCTAGTGATCTCAACAGCAAACAAAAAGAAACAGAAAGCGCTTTGAACGCTATAGATACCTTAAGAAATAAAACAGCTGAGATTTTGAGTAGACCAAACAATCCAGAATTAGAGATGGATTTCAGAACAACTTGCTTAGCATATCAAGACAATTTTAGTTTTTATGATCCATCACTTATGAAAGCTTACCAAGATTACATTCAAGCTTATCAACAAAAGACATCTCTTTATAATATACCTAGATATAATATACCTAGAAATAAAAGCAACAGAATTAATTTAATTATATATAACACTGAAACTGAAACCGAAGAAGTCAAGACCTTGCAGACTCCACAACCACTAAAGAGATTTCCTTGCATAACTCAACTTCCAAACGGCAAGCTATTCTGTTGTGCTAATACTAAACTTTCTGGGATTACAGTTCTGATTGATGTGAATGGTAGATTCGAAGTGCTGACATCTGGAACTCCTCATGAGAGATCATCATATATCTATTTCAACAACAGCGTCTATTGCTTTATAGGATGAAATAGAGGTTATTGAGCTCCATCTAGTAGATTTGATTTAGATCAAAATCGATGAATTCAATTAGCTCCAATGTCAAAAGATATCTTGAAATGCAATAGCATAATATTGAATGGAAATATTTTGATTTCTGGATATGCAAGTAGAAATCTTTTGCTATACTCAATTGATATTGACTCTTTCTCAATAATACCTTATGATTTTGGTCGAGACAAATGAAAAATCCTAATAAATATAGAGAGACTATATCTGATTGAATGCGAAAATGGATTAATATATGAAAGCGAAATTGGAATTTTATAGGGTTTTTACCCTTAATAGCCCAATAAGGGCAGATGATTCTCTGCAATCATCAAGCTGATCCAACCAACTTAGTGCCTTGGTCGGACAACTCGATTATTCCGCCGGGAATCTGCTCTTATCGGGCTATTAAGGGTAAAACCCTATACTCGAATTGAAAGCGAATAGGAAAATCAAAAATTAATTGTCATCCTGATCAAGTGTATTGTTCATATAATAAAGGAGGAATATGGATCTCAACGATTTATAAATCGGTTAGAGAATATTTTTATTTTAATTTAGATCAGAAAAAAATTATTGATGTTGCTTACGGTAATGAGTCAATCTCGCTTAAAAGAGTAGGCCAAAAGATTGAAGCAATAAAATGCAATAACCAGGATTTTAATATTGATCCTTCTTATCTGGATGAATGCAATGTAAAAGATATTGCTCTAAGTACTTTAGGAGAAAATCTAGCGAAAATTAATTTCCTTGACGAAGAAATCAAACTCTATCCAAGAGATCTTTTTGCATACTATCATAAAGGCAACGCTTTTTATAAGTTACAAAGATATCTAGAAGCAATCGAATGCTATGACAAAGCAATCAAACTCAGTCCAGGCTATGATTATATAGACAACAATAAAGGCAACGCTATTTCTCGTTTAAAAAGATATTATGAAGCAATTGAATGCTATGATGAAGCAATCAAACTCAATCCAAACGCTATTTTTTACGATAATAAAGGCGCCGTTTTCGATGTTTTGGAAAGATATCTAGAAGCAATCGAATGCTATGATGAAGCAATCAAACTCAATCCAAACAATCCTGATTATTACAATTATAAAGGCAACGCTTTTTATGATTTACAAAGATATATAGAAGCAATCGAATGCTTTGACAAAGCCCTCGAAATCTGACCAACCTATGATAATGATATTTACTGGAAGAAAGGATCTGCTTTATATAAATTAGGTAGATATCCTGAAGCAATAAAAAGCTATAACAAAGCAATCAAAATCAATCCAAGTAATGCCAAGTATTATAATGATAAAGGCAATACTTTTTATGTTTTAGAGAGATATCAAGAAGCAATACAATGCTATGATGAGGCAATCAACCTTGAACCCGATAATCCTTTGCTTTTTTGCAACCGTGCTAGAGTATTTAATAATCTCAGAGAGGAAGAAGCTACTTTGCAGGACTTTAATACGGCTTATAATTTGAAGCAAGGAAGTCAAGTAAGTGATGTTTTCACTGGGGGCGAATGAAAACTTTCTGAAGAGGATATCAAGTTTATTAACGACGTATTAGGAAGAGACCGTTTTGAGCTACTCCAAAAAATGCAGATTTAGAATAATTAGGCTTCGTCTAAATAAATCTTTTCCTTATATAAATTAGAGCTTCTATATGTATAATTTTATCATGATAGATTAATAGGTTATTGGCATCAAGAAGAATTATGAATTTACTATTAAATAAAAACTAAATTTTATTTAATAATTTTAGTTTAAAATAGAGAAATTTCATAAGCAAAAGTCCAAGACTCAGCAAAAGAAATTTTTTATTTTTTCCCCTTTAAATTGGAATTGTGCGTAGAAATTTAATATAAATTATTTTAAATAAAAATAACTAACTTTTTTGATTGGAACTATTTTTTATTGTTCCATTATAAAGAGTGGAGGGGAGTAGGGTCCTTATTGAAATAAGAGAGATCATTATAAATTGTGGAAGTTTCAGAGTTTGGATTGATGGACTGAGTTCAGTTTCTGCTCTTACAGCCAGAGTTAGTATCTGCTATAATTCAAAATTGGAATCTAAAGAGAAATCTCTGATTCAATTACTCATAATTACTTTTTTGAAATGAGGTTTATACATATTAATATTTCTTCTCACAATCCCCCCTTTGGTCAGCTTACGGTGGATAATTTCATATAGTGCTCTCGTAAAAATAGCTATTGAAGCAAATGCCTGGATCACCATAGCTGTTATTGTAATTGCTATGACACTTTCAAATTCTGAAATAGTTCCCTGATTTAAGTTAAATAAATAAACTGATGTGGAGCTCATTATTAATAAAATTGAGATTTCAGTCAATGCATTACATATATTTAGTTTTGATTTAGTTATAATAATCATTGTTTAGAGATAAAAATTTAATTCATGAAATTTGAATAATTGTTTAAAAATGGGATTTTTGAAATGCTTCTCGGGTTTATTCCAGTTGCTTTCAAATTAAAATACATTAAATTGGGACACTTGTAAACCTGCCCCTCTTGGTACAACAGTTCATACCTTATGACTGCGGCGAGCTGGGACCGACTCTGAGTCGAGAATCAAGTGCAGTAGCTTCCATTGGATATCGAGGACGCATGGGTATTCCTATACCGAGAAACTGGGTTTTCGGTCCAGACCACAAGGGAATGGCCTTTATCCTGTAACTGTCGAAGGAAGGCACTTCAGCACTCGAAAGACTCCAAGGAGCTGGTCCTTGGAATCAAGCTCTCCAATCACCCGTAGCAGGTCGCAGAAATTCATAAGCCGCCAACTCAAGACTTAAGCATAAGGAGGAGACAGAAGGCACTCGTAAGAGGGATAGACCCTCTGGGCTGGAGTCGAAAAGCAATAGAACCTCCCGTATGGGAGTCTTTGGTGACTGCGTCACCAATATGGCTTCCTGACTTTTAATAACCTAACCTAGCCAGCTTTCAAATTAAAGTATTAAAATAAATATATATGTTGGCTTTAAACAATTTATCTTTAATTTAAAAGTATTTAAAAAATGATTGAAGCTAGTTTGCTAGTTATAAAGAAATAAATATTTTTAATTTAATTTATTTAAAATGCAACTTTATTTTTATCTTGAACTTTTTTAGTCCAAATAATATTGACAAATTAGAAAATAAAAACCTGTTAAAATATATATTTTATAAGATCTCATCAATAGATTATTTTGCGTCAAAAGTCAAACGTCTAGAGCCTATGCTTTACTGGGTTTTAGCTATAATTATGGCTAAATTTTAAAACTTTTAAATATTCAAAGATTTTCATTCTGCTCAATTATTACATTTTAATTATTCTATTACGATTATACTCATTTTGAAGAACTCAGCACTTTAAAAGATTTTCAAATAAACAAACGGCACTTCGATACCCAATAGACTTCAAGGATCCTTGGAATTAAGCTACTCCAATCGCCCGAAACAGCAGAAATCCATAAGTCGCCAATTCAAGACTGAAGCCACAAGGCAAGGAGGAGACAGAAGGCACCGGAAGGGCACTCGCAAGAGGGATAGACCCACTGGGCTGAGTCGAAAAATGGTAGAAGCTTCTGTACAGGAGGTCTTTGGTGACTGCGTCACCAATATGGCTAATCCTAATCTCAATAAAAAAGAGCACACAAAGTATATATTACGGATTATTGATTTTTTTGACAATTCCTGACTTCACTAACTTTCTTTTTATAGTTTGGTATAAAGTTTTAGAAAAAATAATTATTGAAGAAATTGTTTGGATTGCTATAATAGCTATAACAATTATGATAATAGAATCCTCAATCGCTTCTATAACTTCTTGCTCAAAATTAAATAAAAAAGCCGATGTAGCGATCATTATTAAGAAAATCAATATTTCAGTCACTAAATTGGTTATTTGCAAAATTTGGTCTTCAAAGGGTCAGCAGTAAGCTAAGTGCATTATAGTTAAAAAGGAAAGAACAATATTCACAGTCACTTCGGTTTGTGGATAATCTCTCAAATAAATTAAGTTTATTATATAAACTAGCCTTCTCGCAAAAAATAGAAAATAGTATTGGGTTGCTATCAGTCCTTTATCTGCTCGAAACTCATAAAAAAAATGAGGCAAAAAATGCTTTCTCACGGGCTATAATGCGGGCTTTATTTTTATAAGAAAACATAAAATATGCACCTGGAGTAACTATTAGTAATATGAAAAGAGATAAACACAAAGCAAAATTTGCAATTCGTGTAATATTGCTAAGTTCTAAAATTGTAAGTCCAATGCATGCAGCTGCTCCTAACTCAAGATAGCATTGAATCAAAAACCTGAAATAAAAGGCATATTGATAATCTTTCAATCTTTTTGTAAATTTTTTACCTATCCATCTATTAGAGCATCGTGAAAAATATAAAATTAAAGGTAGAGCTGCAATTGAGCCTAAAAGCAATGTAAAATAATTTCCTTGATTTATTAGGATTAAATCAGTGTCAAATCCAAATTCTTTAGCTTGAGAGTATGGAGTATTTCCTTTGTTTTTATCTATAAAATATGGGAAAACGTTAGGTAATAAACTAAAAGAATTCAAATTATTCAAAAATGATCTCATTTTTTTTGAAAAAGGGATTCCTGATAAAGTCATATAGCTCAGAATTTGCAAAGTGTTCATCAGGCTTCATAAAGAGCTTGGACTTGAATTTATAATTGACATAGAAGCAACTACAGATACAGTTGATTGAGATGCTGTTTGAGATTTAGACGAGACTGACTTAGTAACTGTCGAATATGATGCTGGATCATATGAGTTTAAGCTTGCAGAAATCTCTGATGAATTTAAGATACCGTTTGATACCGATATTAATTTTGGTAGGTTAAAGAATTGTATAGTAACTAAAGTATCTTGGGAAATTTCCTCAGTAATTACTAAAGAAATATAGTAGCATATGCCACTTATTTTCTCTAATTTAAATGAAGGTTCTACTCGATTTCCAATTATTATAACAAAATCTGAAGTAGTTAGATCTTTTACTAGACTTTCAGAAAAAGTCAGATATAAAGAGTCATCAGCCAAAACTGTAAGCTTTGCTGAAAAAGAGACTAAACTACAACTTTCTATTCCATTATATCCTAAGTTGCAAGAGCATAGGTCGTTTTTAAGACTAGCATTACTTGAGCAAGCTGTGCATTTTGTAAGAGACTCACAAGATATGCATAAATTTGGACATTTATGAGAGTGCCCATCTTCCCCTTTGAATCCGCCAGGCTCAATTGGAATGCATGTATTACTTTGGGTATCATCAAGTGCATAACTATCATCACAGGTGCATGAATCAGGGTTAGCAGCATTCTCTTTACAAGCTTCACAGCTTGAATAATCATTGCAGGATTCACATAATAAATCATCGCAAAGTGAGCAAGTATTTCGTCAGTCTCTGCAGCTGTTTTTACATTTAATATTACAACTATAGCATTTGTTATAGGCTGGGCCGCTTCAATATTCTTTTATTTTGCAGTTAGGTATGCAGATTTGGCTAATAGGACAAACACTGCAGCTTTCAGTACAAGATGTAATTGACAGGCTTGATATAGGCTTTACTGCATTAAAAATCTGAATAGTATAAATAAAGCCTTGATAATAATTATAAACTGCTGAAGAGCTAACTTGAGCTCCTATAGCCATTGTGGTATGAGGACCTATATCATAAAAAGTTCCATATCCTGTCATTGTAGAAGAGTCAGATAGTCCATTTATATAGCTTGATATTATATTATAGCCACTGTCTATTTTCAAAGTAAATACAATATGGCTCCATTCATAATTATTAAGCGATTTTTGCGACATATAAAAAAACGCAGATGAGCTTATTAAAAAAGAAAATGTTGGCTTGCCTTCTACTAGAGAGATATAGTAAATAGTTGAGTAATTATCAGAAATATTGTGCTTTGAAATTATAGCTGAATAAGATTTTTCAGTATTAAGCTATATAGAAATAGTGAAGGAAGGGACTATAACAAGCTTTGGCGAATTATAGGTTGAGTACTCTGGCATCCTTAAAAGTGAAGATTCTCCATTAAAATAGAATCCTCTTAGGTAAGCAGGGATAGGGTCATCAGCTTCATAGTCTGGATAAAATTCTTTGGTTGATCCAGTTACAACTGGAATCAAACTAGCTTTATCATAAACTACTCCATTCAAAGTATTCAAATTTAAATCAAATATTTTTTCTTGAGAAATTATGCACACACCTGCAGATGAAGAAGTATAGCCTGATGGACAGCTTGATGTGCAACTTCCTAAAACCTTATAATACCCACTATAGCACGCCAAGCAATCATACCAATTAGGAGACGTGCATGATTTGCATGAAATATCACATAGCTCACAACTTTCGTTGCTATCATTCCAATAATACCCAGAATTGCATTGGCAGCTTGTCCCTACTAAGCTTGCATTTGTTTTGCATTTATTACAAGTACTTGTATAGTCGTTGCATTTTTCACATATGACATCTTGGCAAAGGTTACAATTTAAATCCTTTCTTACACAGCCTTTACTTGAACATCCAGTTAAGCAGGCCAAGCAGCTGTTACCATTCCAATAACTGTCTATTAAGCAGCTATCCAGACAAGTATTAGCATTATCAATTGGGCATAATGAGCAAGTATTGCAAGTACTTGAAACTAAAGCACTTGATGGAATATCATTATATATTTTAAGATCCCATAAGAAACCGTTGAAAAATGATGTAAGTGTGGAAGCATCTAGGTAGCTAACTCCAATTGAAATTAAAAATGAATTCTGCAAATCAATAAATCAGCTGGAAGGCAAGCTGCTTGAAAAATCTGAATTTGAGTTTGTTTGTAAGGTAATGATTTGCTGAGGTGGAGTTCCACTTATACTAGATTCTACGAAAAGAAAACTCCATTGTAAAAGAGTTACTTCTAATAGTGGATTGGAGCTTGCATAGGCTATGATAGTTGAACCTTTTAGGGTCAAAGCTAGAGATGGCATTTTTCCTATGAGCTCAAAACTGACATATTTTTTAAATGTCCCACCGCTGATTTGCCCTTTCTCCTTTGGTATATTTCTGTATTTTTCTGTTGTTTGTAGATATTTAATGCTGAAAAAGCAATAAATGAAAGATTTTTAAAAGTGCTATAAATTTGCTTCGAAAATAAATTAGATTATGCATCGTTTGCTTTTAAAAAAATATATATTTTTTTGCTTGAGAAGTTAGAAAAAATAGTTCCAGTACTTGATATTGGCTTTATTCAGGTTGTCATCACAAACTTTGGAGAAAAAGTAAACAACGGTGATGAAGTGCCTGTGTAGGGGGGTAGCTGCATATAAGATGACCCAGTAAAATAATATCCTCTATAAATAGTAGCTATAGGATCAGTTGTATCATAATTTGGATAAAAATTATTATCTTTGCCTGTAAGGACTGGAATACTTGATGCTAAATCTGTCACAATGTCTTTTATTTGATGAGGCATCAGATTAAACACTAAATAATTCGCATAACCAGGAGCTCTATCACAATTGCTGCCATTTATAACATATCCAGTAGGGCAAAATGGCATGCATAACGATTGAATAAGATAATACCCTGATATACAAGTAAGACAGCCATCAAATTGAACTGTAGAGCAATTATCACAAATAGAATGACAAAACTCGCAGGTTTGTGAACTCAAAATCCACCCAGCTCCAGCAACACATTTACAATGTCCATTTACTTTAGCAGCATTTGCAATACAGCTGGCGCATTCCCCTGTAAAATTATCACAAGCCGGACATTCTTTATCTCTGCAAAGGCTGCATGATAAATTATCAACACATCCTTTATTACAACCTGGTAAGCAAGAACTGCAGCTATCTGGATATGAATTAAAGGCGCATTCGCTTAAGCATTGAAAATTTGATGGACAAGCAGAACACCCAGAGCTGCATGAAGAAACTTTATAATCATCAGCCTGGTGGCTATAAGAGTTATATATCATGATTCTAGATAAAAATCCTTCAAACCCAGCAAAGCCTAATGGTTGGTCGTTTCCAACATAAATTTCTCCTAAGAGGTCTTCAAAGCATATTGAAGTTGTAGTTGTATAAGAATTTATAGGTGTAGTATTAATATAAAGATTTAGAAGCGTTTTGCCGTTACTTTGGATTTGTCCTGTAAAACTTAAAAAATGTCAGCTGTTAAATATGCTAGTAGAAGTAGATAAGGCGGCTGATGAGGAGTCAGAAAAGGTTATTAATAAAGATGGATGTCCTGAAGTGTCTATAGAAATTGTAAGAATTGGACTGGAAAGGTGTTTTGACAAAATAATCCCATTCACAATTGATTTTACTCATATAGAAATTGTAAAGGCTGGCGCAATCACAACTGACGACAACAGATAGCTGTTTGCTTCAAAATAATAGCCTCGCTTGTAAGAAGGAATTGGGTGATTGACATCAGTAAAGTAAGGATAAGTATTGGCGACGTCTCAGCCTACATTAAACCCAGAAACAGTATTAAGACTGATCTTATCAGTTAAATCAAGGTTAATTCCATAATCTACTGAGTAATCACAAGTATTTATCCCTGTGTTATATAGCGCTTTCCCGAGGATGGCGCCATTCCGCGCCATCCTCGGGAAAGCGCTATACCCAGATGGGCAGCTATTTAAGCATTGTCTAGTTGGAGGAAAAAAATAAAACCCCTTATTGCAAGCGCTACATGTGTTATAAGCTGTATCTGTGCAATGCGAGCACCCGTTCGAGCATGCTACACAGGAAGACCCATCAAAAGAGGTCATATATCCTGCAATGCATGTGCATGGAGTTCCAATTGCATTAGAAACACATTGGGTGCATTTTCCTGCTCCAAAGCCAGCACATATTAAGCATAATGAATCGTCACAAATATTGCAATTTATGGCTCTAACGCAGCCTTTGCTGCATGAATTGCAGGATAAATAAGAAGACTCGCTTCAATAATGAGACAAATCGCATGACCATAAGCAAGCGTGCCCTGATCCACACACAGCATTAATATAGCTTGAAAAAGAGCTGATTGGTGCATTTCAGAGCTGAAAAGAGTTAATAAAGCCTGCAAACCCGGACGAGCTGCTTTTGCCAACCATTAAGTTTGTGGAAGCAAGGTCTCTAAAAATATAATTTGAAACTGATAGGGTTGAAGCTAAAACATTGTTAATATAGATTGTGATAGCTGTACTACCAGATTAATATGCAAAAGTAACTGACAAATAATTCCAATCACTAAGTGTTGTGCCAGAAGACAAAGCTCTAGAAGCTGTGGCTTGAGTAGGATCTTCCATAATAGCTGTAACTCCTGATGATGATAAAATAAGCCGAGTTTGTTTTTCCAATATATCCCCACTCGCTGTTACATATAGCCATAATCCAATAGAAAAGCTATGAGAAAGGAGTATTGATATAGATGATAAAAGATAAGTACTCCCATCAAAATATAAGCCTCTCATATAGGCTGGAATAGGGTCAATTGATTCTGGAGTGTTAAAAAACTGAAAAGATGATGAACTGGTTCCTGTTGTCAAAACTCCATATAAGCCTTGAAAATCTATATTGAAAGACTCATCTATTACAGGGGTTGCTACATGCAAACAAGACCCACCAAACCCATAAGGACAGTCATTTAGACAGACATTTCCAACTAGCTTCCTGTACAAAATGAGCATTCAAAATAAGTTGTTTTTAGGCAATTCTGGCAAAGCACATCACATCTTTCACATGACTGAGTTAGAGATATTCAAAATGCATATGTATCACAAGCGCAGCCTCCTGATCCATCACTAACAGCATTTGTAATACAAGTCAAGCATGAGTCTGTCCCTGAAAATGCTGTGCATGTAGCGCATTCTTTAGTCAAACATAAATTGCAAGTAGCAGAACTTACGCATCCCTTATTGCAGCTTGTTTTACAGTCTTTACAAGATGAGCCATCAATATACTTATCTAAAGGACAATCACTTGGACAACTTAAATCAGCTGGACATTTTGTGCAGGGTGATGTGCATCCTGGTGTTCGCCATTCATCTAAGTAATGATTATTTAAGCAATAAACTCTCATATTCCAAATAAAGCCTGTAAATCCAATAAAATCATTTCCTATGTATACATTTCCTGAAACGCTGTCTTGCATATACAATGCAGTTGCTGTTGTGAAAGATTGTAAGAATGATCCATCAATATAAGAGCTTATTGTTGTGGTCCCGTCAGGATTTATGTAGCCATCAAATGAGACAAAGGACCATCCATTCAGGACATTAGAGCTTCCTGCTACTGAAATTGTAGTTAAAGAATCTGACATAAGCAGGGAAAGCGTAGGATATCCTGAGGAAATTTCCAAAATCCATTGGTATGATGGTATATGCTTGACTAGAACTATTCCTTCTGATAAAGCCTTTAGCCAAACAGCAATTGAAAATGTTGGAGCAAGCATAAAAGGATATGCTAAATAACTATTAGATGTAAAGTAGTAGCCTCTCGATTTAACTGGATAAGGATCATTTGCATCATAAGTTGGATAAGTATTAGTTATCGAATTTCCTACCAAAACCCCTCCTCTTTGGTCAAGAATAATCTTATTATCTAAATTTATGGTAAGCGCAAGAAGAGTGTTTAAATCGCAGGCATTTGTGCCTGTATTTTGTAAATATCCTGTAGGACAATATGATAAACATAATATGTTTTGGTATGAGAAAGAGCCAGAACCACAGGCAACACAATAAACTTTTGCTATGAGACCAGCTATAATAATCAGCTTGGTGCCTCTATTTGCTAAATCCAGAATTTTGCCAGTAAACAGTAACAGAAATATATAAAACGCTATTAAACGATAAGTTGCATTATAAAAATCTGAGAAAACGTTTGAAGTCGATATATAAGAATTTGAAGCTTTTTCTCTATCAAAAATGCTTGGAGCTGCGTCAAAATAAAATTTCTTATTGGGAGATGTTATCAGAGCTTGCTTAGGGTGGAATGAAGCAAGGGTTTGAATAAACATTTTTTGAGGAGAATTATTTGAGAATAAGAAATTTTTAGCTGCTAAATCTTGAACACTTGAAAAATTCATTTCAAAAGAATTTGCCTTACCTTCGCTTATTATTGTACAAATGCTGAAACTAATATTCTGGCTTATTCAATTAAATAGGGGAGGATGATATGTTTAATTTTAAATTAAAATAAATAAAGAAATTTTTTTGAAGTTTTTTAATTAAGATAATTACTTACTTAAGCTACTCAGTGAGGAGTCCCCTACATATTTTTGCAGGATATTACTCTATTCTATAATTGCTTCAAAGCTTGCTTGCTAGCACAAGCAAACTTCCGATGTGCTGCTTCTCATTGAAGAGGGCTTTCACTCGTATTCATAGACGCATGCCGCTTTTTAAAGGGCCACTTCTAGAAATTCGAAAAATAAATTTTTTGGCCATCTATCGACTAGGATTGAAACTCAAATTAGAGGACGCAACTGCCAAGTATCGCGCTAGGAGCATGCCCAGTTGGATAGAGAAAAAGCAAGGCTGGTTGCACATCTTAAAACTCCTTTCTTCCACAAGCTCCCTGGCTTCCCAATTAACCTTCACACCCTATACTTCTAAGATGTCAGATTGTTTGAATACACCATTTTAAAATGCATGGCTTTAATCAGCCAAAGGAAGGATGATCAATATAAAAGTGACCAGGCTTTATTCCTCAATCATAGTTGCCATGTAGACTAAATGACCAGATGAGCACAGCTTTGGAGATAATAATCTGAATAAAATTCATTATCATAATGGCATAATTGTTGAAACAAATCAATATTAGACATTAAGAATTAAAAAAATTTATTGATGAAATATTTGAAATAATATTAAGGGTGTTTTTGGAGAAATTTTTAAGGATAACTTTCTCTTCTTGGCAATTTTAATATGATCCTTTTTTCCAGTAACTCTTTATCCAGCTATACTTATTATCATGAATAGTCCGATTATTGGGATGCGAAGATTTCTATTTGGTAAAACCTGATAGTAGTTTGTTAAATTAAAGCAGCATTGGTTTTGCTAGTTTAGAATTTTCTCACACCAAAGATGGGGTCTAAAAGATAATTGTTTATATATGAGGAGCGCATAGTGCGTATGCTAAGGAGGCAGCCCTTGGATTATGGGAGAAATAGGTTTTATTGCTGAGCACTCACGATAGTTGGCTATTTATGCAGGAAAGATAAACAGCAAAAAACGCAGATCATGAGGCCTTCTGGCAGAATTATCAAAGACTTGATTGGATGAACTCATGCATTGAATGAATAGGGTTGTTTGATAATATCAGAAAACGCAGTTAAAAGAGCTGGCTTGTTTAGCCCTTCAGAAAAAGATCATATTATAATATAAATAATAAGCAAAAAATATAAGATTATATATTAATCTAACCCTCCTTTGCAAGCTAATTCTGTTTTAATTTTGCGTTTTAAAACATAAATTTTGCAAATTAAATAAATGTTGTTTTTACTCTTTGCGGATTTTTTAAAAATTCGAAAAAATATAATTTTTTTTAAAAACTTTAGCCCCCTCCATGAGTGAACAAGATTTTTTTACTCACTCGCTGAGTGGTAGGGAGTAAGGAAATTTCTATGCATACTAATCCACCCATGCTTTCTCCAGTAATAAATACAGAGAGACAATCAGAATATTGCTATCTTATTTTCTTTATAAACTCAACACCTAGCCTAATGTTACGCTTATATCTCTTACCTCTCCTCTTGCAGCTCCACTTCTTCCATATCCTCATTGGTCAAATGCAAAAGCTGTAAAATTTGACTGCTCAAATCGATGGGCAAAATGATAATAGCTGCTTGAAGCTGAAAACCAGCAATGAAAATGAAGACTGAAGCACAGGGATTTTCATTAGTGTATCTAAACATATGAAGCTCTACTCCTTGGCTTGATTTCAGCTCAAGTAAATTTTCCTCAGAAAATAAAACTCCAGCACAGGGGATGATACCTTAGAATTCCTCAACCCATCCTGAAATTTTTTTAGATAGAAATTATCCCATAATAAAATATGAAAATCTCAGGGTACTGTTCTATTGAATTTTGGTTAAATTCTATACCTTAGTTAATATGTTCGGTTACATCTTTACTTCTCCTATTTACCTCACTTTTATCATACCCTCCTCATTGAGAAATTAGGTATAAGCTCTACATTTTAATATCACATATAATTCAATAACCTAAAAAATAAAATTAATTTGCCGAGAATGGCTCAGGGCAATTTCTATATATTCACTCGAAAAAAAATTTTTTAATATAAATTATAATATAGGATTTGCCCTAGGATGGCGCTATATGGCGCCATCCTAGGGCAAGCGAAAATTGGCTCCACACGGGAACCGTATTCCACGTGTGGAGCCATTTTTCCACGTGTGGAATCCACATTTTTCCACGTGTGGAATCACATTTTTCCACGTGTGGAATCCACATTTTCCCACGTGGAAAAATGGCTCCACACGTGGAACACAATTCCCGTGTGGAGCCGTGTCTCCAATTGCCCGAGGATGGCGCAATATAGCGCCATCCTCGGGCAATTTCTATAGTATTTACTTTCAAACATTCTTGAAAAATACTATATAAATTGCTTTAAGTATAAATGAAACTCGTGGCTAAACAAAATTTTTTCTTCGATCACGGAGGGTGGAGTGAGCATCTCACAATCAGAATTTTCCTGTAAATTATCCCTTATTATTTGTGACAGTTAAAGACAGAGAATAAATAAATTATTGTTATATTTAGACTTTCCATAATCCTTCACTAGGCTTCCAAACACTTATATCTTATTCTTTTATTAAAACAAATCATAAAAATTATTATTTATCCAATTTAAATAATAAGCACTATGAGCCTTATTTTTATTGTTATCTCCCAAATTGTGTTGACTTCTTCAAGTTGCCCATACGATAGCTGAGAATCTGGGTGTAATAACCCTAAATTTATGGTTGATTCCAAAGTATGTGCTCCTGGATGTCCTACACTTTATTATTTCTACCAACAGCATTTTGATGTAGGATATTTTAACTACTGCAGTAAGCCTACTGGCAGCGATGCAATTTTATTCACATTAATATTATCAAAGGTCCAAGATCTAACTTTAACTTATGTGTCAGACCTAAATGATTCTAACAAGAAATTCGTGAACCCAGGAGGAGTCCCATATATTTCTGGAACACAAAATTCTCCGCTTCCGACTTTAGATCGTGGCTTTTATTTTGCTACCACATCAAGTATGACTTCTCCGCTTCCGACTTTAGATCGTGGCTTTTATTTTGCTACCACATCAAGTATGACTAGCAATCAGAGCTATACACCTGGCCTTTATTTTATTTTAAATTTGATAATCAAGCCTTTGGGAAGTGGAGACATTTTAAATATACAAATAAATTCAACACAATATGTGAGGATATGAGCAGATAGCTCTGGCTACTATAAAATAAGTGCGTTAATTTTTAACTCCAATGGGGCTCAAATAGCAGTATCTGGAGCCTCCTCTGCTAAATATTCGCTATCTTGGCACTCACTCTCAGTTTCTCTGTCACAGTTGTCTTGTGATTTAGGCTCCATAACCTTTTATATAGATGGGAATGAGGCTGGAACAACAAGTTTGACTCATCCCTTTAAGAGTTAGCAAACCGATAGTAAAGTCCTTATTTTTTGACAAAGCAAAATACTTTTTTAATATAAAATCTCGAATTTTGGTTGTTCGCAATACTTTTGATTGGCTTTTAACGTTTTTTCTCTAATTCCCCCTTCTTATAGCGAACCAAAAAATTTGAAAAAAATCCTATTTTTGCCCAAAAAACTCTCCGTGAGTGGAAAAAAATTGTTAATAAAAAAATTTTTGATATATAAGTGATAATTAGTCTAAAGAAATCTCTAGCTAATTATGGTTAATATATTAAATTATTTGTATTTGAAAACATAAATTTTACAAATTAATAAATATTTCCTTTCCAATTTTTACGGTTGGTTTTTTTGTTTTTAATTTTAAAAAAAATTAACCCCTCAAAACAAAATTTTTTTGTTCACTTATGGAGGAGAAGGAGTAAGGAAATTTCTCGAGGAAATGTCGCAAAATCAAATTGCACATATTGAACTTTATCATAAAATTCTTTAAAAAATTAACCCAACTTATAAGCAAGCTCTTATATGAGGGGGTAAGCAGCTCTGAAATAAGTTTTCCAATTGAAACTTATACATGAACTTTTGGAAGTACAAGAGGAGACAACTCATTTAGAGGGTTTATTTATTGGATTCAAGCAAGAGCTGATAGCAATATAAACTATGGGATTATGACTATCGCTATTGATTGTGCTGATAATCAATATTGAGATGGATCTGCTTGTCAAAATTGTGAAGCTGGCTGTCCAACTTGGCCTTGGTGTATTAGAGGTGGCTGTAGTTTTTGTATTTCCTCAGATTGCAGCTCATGCTACGGTTATTCTTTATCAATGTGCACAGATCACATTTCTAATTCTCAAATATCTAAAATTTCCCGCATCGTCTGCTCAACAGGATGCCAAACTTGTACAGGAGGCGGCTATCACGAATGTAAAAGCTGCCAAACTGGCTATTACTTTCTTCAAATACAATGTCTCACTGAATGCCCAACAGGATACACCCCTGACTCTTCAACAAATAAATGTGTTTTTAGTGGGACTACTGCATATAGTTTTCAATTTCCCAAAATCATACTTCTAGACACCATTTCTGGAGTAGACGTAGGGTCGTCAAATACCAACTCATACCCAAATTATGACCCTAATGACCCTTATCCAGCTTATAATCGAGGCTACTATTTCAACTCTAATAGCTATTTAAAAACAATTTATATGCATTCTCCTTCTAGCTCTATTGGGGCCTGAATAAAGACTATTACTGGAGGTTTCGTTCTCATCAAATATGTATCGACCACAACCCAGTGATTTGTTCAAATTTTGCCTTCAGGGGAGCCAAAATTTTACTTTCTTCTCTCAAATTCCTCAACAACTCTCTCAGTTACCGGAGCCTCAAGCGTCTTGGATTATTGATTTTACGTTTCATTTGAATGCATTATTAACACTGATGGGACCACAACTGTAAACTCTTATATCGATACAGCCAATCAGGTCACTTCCTCAACTACGACTCCTCTTTTTCTATTAGACAGCTTATCAGGAAATTTATATTTAGGGCACTACAGCTCAGGATTTACTGGATTTGCATGAAAAGTTAAACTTGCCGTTGATACAGCCATATGAACACAGTGATATTCAACTACAGGATGCTCAGGAACTTGTATTAAGTGCGCAGAAGATTACGTTTGCCTAGATGATTGCTTAATTAATCAATATTATGATGGTTCTACATGCAAAGACTGTATGAGTACTTGCACTAAAGGATGCAAAAATTCTGATTCCTGCAGACTATGCGAAACGAAAGAATGTGATACCTGCACAGCATTTTCAGGGACAGGCTCATGCTTAACTTGTATTACAAATGCTGTCGATGATGGTGCTGGGGGCTGTACTTGTGATACTAATGCTTTCTGGGTTTCTTCGTCACAGTCTTGTGAATTTTGTGATATATTCTGCTCGACTTGTTTGAAAACAGCTTTTTTTGAATGCTCTGCGTGCTCAGGGAGCTACAATTTGATTGGGACTGTATGCTTTGATGGCTGCCCTTATGGGTTTGGGACTTCTCCTTGCTCACCAGTGTCTACTCCTGTTATTGATATTTCTTTTGATGGAAATTTCCAAGGTGCATATGGAATTTTTACGACAGGGACAGATCCAGCACTTTTTCAGTTTTTTAACACTCCTGAGACAGCTGATCCTGTTCCTGCGTATAAGCGAGGTTTATTTTTTGATGGAAATATGTATAGATAATTCCTGGGGATAGCGCGGAATACGCTATCCCCAGGACCAACCGGGATCGGATTCACACATGGAACGGGAGTTCCATGTGTGGATCCATTTTTTTACATGTGAGATATTTACTTTCACGTGTGAAAAATGGATCCACACATGGAACCCTCGCTCCATGTGGGATCCGATCCCGTTGGTCCTGGGGATAGCGTATTCCGCGCTATCCCCAGGAATTTTCTATACTTGGCACCGTCATTTACTCCTCAGCTGTCTCATAGTTTTTCTTTTGGAACTTGAATTTATGTCATAAATAATGGTGACTGGCTACAAAAAATACCTGACCGGCTCAATTATGCATCAACAGGGAGTTTTTCCATCAGATTGGAAAATTCTGCGAGGGGATTGTTGCCCGTAACCCTGTCCTTATTCCCCCTTTCTCTTGGAGATTAGATTAGTTAAAAGTTAGAATGGGTCTTCGGGGTTTATATCACCCCTCTCCGCTTTCGCTGACTTCAGGTTCCTTGCCCTCATCACCAGTTTGCACTTATACCCTTTTTCAAGGTTACCTAAAAATAGTGACGTCGCCATCCCTCAGGGAGCAGCACTCAGATACTTCCTTGGACAACTACTATAGGTCAGCAATCTATTCAGGGATGGGAGATAGGGCACGCTCCGACTCCTCCTTCTGGTTCTACTACCATTCGCATCAAGAAGTATGAAGTTTTCGTATTACTCTGGGTGCGGGGTAAAAAACTCTGTCATTTTCCCAACCAGGGACAAAAAACCCACCTCAGGCACAAATTCCAGGCTTCGGCCCTCTTAGACCCAAAATCCCAATGATACGGAAGAAGGACAGGTCCGATAAGTCTCCATTTTATTTAAGATCTCTCGGAGAAGATTTTCAAAATATTATTTTATAAATTTAATGTAAAATCTTATTTTAAATTAAAATATAGTTGGTATCTGTAATAGTTCTAAATAAAATTGCGACGCCACAGATCTGTCTTTTCTAGGATCTGTTCAGAGATTTTGGAACCTTGCTAGAGCCTGAAGCCAACCAAAACAGAAAAGGAGTCTAGGGCTTTTAGTATTTTTATCTGTTGGTTTTTGCCTTCGGGCTGATATGAAGGTCTAGTGTCCACCTGATGGGCATTTAAGAAACCCTGGAAATTACTTCTACAATGAAAGGGATAGTTGGCGCCAATAATTGCTAGGGAGTCTATCTCTGGTTGGAACTTCAGTCACTGAAGCAGCAGCCATCAGCCCCTAAGAAAGCTCCGAGACAGCATTAAGAGTCAGACTAAGCTATCTTTGATAAAAAATTGTGACAAAAACCAGTGAAGTTCGCCCACAGCTGAAAAGTATACAAGCTAATATAATTAGCAGGATATACGATTATATAACCATTATTTATATCAAAATATTTACCTCAAAACAATCATATTATCAAGATTTCCCAAATTAAGAATTTTCCAATTACGGGAAGCTAGCCAGTCCACTCAATACCTGGAAATATTTATCAGTTACTTCAATCTATTATCTTGGGAGCTCTACTTTAACAATCTATATAAATGGGTCTCCTGTCTCATCCCTGCTCATTTCAAATAGGCTTTTTAGAGATACTTCTACAAGTTCTTTAATAATTGGGAAGAGCACCACATCTGGTTTTGTAGGATTCATTAGGAGCTTTCAGATGTGAAATACCCCAATCAGTGATTTTTCAAGCTTTATCAATGCAGTGTGCGGTTCAGGATCTGCTTGCTTATGGTCCTGTGATCTATCCCATTTCTATGATGGGGCAAACTATATATCCTGCAATTCATGCAGCTTGGGATGTGTCAGGGCAAATACCTGCAATATTTGTTATGATTTATTATGCTCTGTTTGCACAGGATTTGACTCAGGCAAATGCACTCAATGCGTTGCAAATGCGAGTGGAGCTCCAGGGCTGTGTGCTTGCAATACTGGATTTGTGGCTTCTACTGATGGGTTTTCATGTGTTCAGTGCTCAACAGGATGTCAAGTTTGTACAGGACCTGGATATTATCAATGCACAAGCTGCAAAAATGGCTATTACTTTCTAAATATTCAATGTTTATCTGAATGCCCATGAGGATACACCCAAAATTCAGTGACGCATACATGTGACTTTGTATCTTTAACTTATTCAATGTCATTTTCTAATGAGATACTGCTAGGCACCTTTTCTGGAAATAGTATTGGAGCATCAAGTACAAACTCATATCCAATTTATGATGCCAATGATCCTTATCCTTCTTATTTGAGAGGCTACTATTTCACTATCAAGACCCATATGCATACAAGCTTTATGCTTGCCCCTTCATTTTCAATTTCCTTGTGCTTAAAACCTACATCAGGTGGTATTGTCATGCTTAAGTATATATCAGGGTCCAAATGAATTATTCAAATTTCTGCTTCAGGCCAGCCAAGTCTTTACCTTCGTCTATCAGACCCATTATTATTTCTTGTCGTTATAGGATCTTCAAGTGTACTTAACAACTGAACTTTTATGTCATTTGACTGCATAATTAATGCTGATGGGACAACAACGATAACCTCTTATATTGATGGGGCAAATCAGGTTTCTGCTTCAACACCTACTCCGCTTTACTATGTAGACAGTCAATCAGGAATTTTTCAAGTTGGGGATGCTAGCAATGTACTTGGACTTAGCTAGATTATAGAAAAACTCTTGTCGGAATCTGAAGATCCTTATTCCCTTCCATACCGCTTCGCCGACAATGATCTCACCTTAAAGTCCTTCACTACAAGACACGGGCCTGCGGCCTGGTATCGGCCACTGTGCGGTACACCAACTGGTTTCCACCATTGAGAATTCAAAAGGGTTAATTTAATGGTTGACTCTCTGCTAAGATGGAACTCCATATCCCAGGGCGTAACTCGTGATTTCATGCTGGCAAAATAGTCCCAATTTAGCAAGATGAAAGTCATTGGCACTGTAGGTAAACTCCTTTCCACCTTACGGATCCATCTCCCTCTAATGTAAAAACATGGCGTTGGAGTAAAGCCTTCGGCTGGCCAACCCACTGTTGCGGTTTACCAAACCAAACAAAACCTAGCCGGATACACATATCGAATGCCAGACTCTCTCCCTTAGGGTCGATGCTGACTACAGAAGTTAAGCGGGTGGGTTGATTCGCCATGCCATTGTAATGTATATGATGCTAGCGCGGCATTTACAGGATTTTTATGAAATATAAAAGTTTATAGTCAAAATGGTCATGCTTTAGACGATTATCAGACAGTTGGATGCTCAGGTAGCTGCACAAAGTGCCCAGCTGATTTAAGCTGTCCAGATAACTGCCCTTTATCTCAGTACTATGATGGCTCTGGCTGCACAGATTGTATAGCAAGCTGCAATAAAGGGTGCAGAAACTCTGAAACTTGTAGACTCTGCAAGACCAAAGAATGCGCCACCTGCACAGAGTTTTCTGGGACGAATTCATGCTTGACTTGCATTACAAATGCAGTTGCTGATGGGACTGGAGGCTGCACTTGTGATACTAATGCTTTTTGGGTAGCTTCATCTCAAACATGTGAAATCTGTGATGCCTTATGCTCTACTTGTATAAGTGCAACTTATTTTGAATGCTCTACTTGCTTAATTTAGCTATCAATAAAGTACCCATTTTTAATAATATTTTTATCTTTCTGAACAAGTTTACTTTATTTTTTATGCTAAAAATATTCCTACTTATTAGCCGTTTTCTATTTCTCTATATTAGATATAATACTTTAAATGATGATTTCCTAACTGACAGAATTGGCTGAAGATTTATTTAAATGGATCTTTAATTATATTTTGCTCATTAAGGAGTTAATTTTATATTGTTCATTTTCTGATAGAGAAGTTAGGAAGCTACCAATTAGTTGGTACTGTTTGCCTTAATGGCTGCCCTTATGGGTATAGCAATCCTTGCTCATCAGTATCAACCCCTGTAATAAATCAGTCTTTTGATATAGATTTCTATGGTTCGTATGGAGTTTTTACAGCAGGAGCAAGCTCAACATCTTTTCAATTTTTTAATAACCCAGAATCAATTGACCCGATTTCAGCATAATATAATATGGTGACCTAAGCCTATTCGATACTTTAACACAATTTTATCAATCTCATAGCCAAGGAGAACTACCAAGACTGATTAGGATTGATGTTTACGTGATTAGCTATGAATTAGTTTCTGTGGTTAGAAATGGAGCTTGCAATGCCCTTCGGGACCCGAGGCCATCTTCTCTCTTAGAAACCAAGGGTAATCAGTCTGGCTATAGGGATTAGGTCTTATTTCTGCAGCTGCAGAGGGATTGCACTCAGTACCATTAGACTCCAGGTTTCCTCTAGCTAGATTAAGAAATTACCCACCAGTCTCCATATAGGCAGCAGAAGTTCATAGTCTGCTCGCTCAATATTGGATTACACAAGGCAAGAATGAAGTGATAGCAGTAAGTGACACTTTGGCTACCCATGGCATCAGGAATCGAAGAAGGAGTGAGATAGTATTCGAGTTAACTTGCTGCAAAGTAGGTGAATCTCCTAGAATGTCCCTCGTCAGCAATATGACCTATCAGTTTGAATGCAAAATTAAGATTTAATCCGATTCCTGCATATAAACGAGGCTTATATTTTGATGGGACGATGTACTTACTATCAAATACAAATATTCTGCTTTCACATAGTACAATTAAAAAATGGAAGGCATAAGTTAGGGGTTCAGTCCCCTATACTTTTTCCTAGTGAGGGAAGTTCTTACTTTCTGAAGGAAATCAGAGTTGGGACTGCTTCGGCAGCTCCAATTACTCTTGAATCATATTCAAGAACCGAAGAGAGACTCGTCTGGGCCATAGGCAACAGAAACGGTTTGACGGTTAGGCCGATTCCACCTACCGTTGTTCAGAGCTGTTTGCTAGTGGATGGAATTCATGAAGGAGGAGCTTGTATTGTTAGATCCTAAGCTAAGTGGGGGTCGACAAAGTGTTATCGTAATCTTAATCTTAATCATTCACATAGTTTCTCTATTGGAGCTTGGATTTATGTAATAACTAATGGAGACTGGCTGGAAAAGCAAAATCAATATCTTGTTCTCTACTCTACAGGAGATATAAGAGCCAAAATGGAAAATCCTACCCAAACAACATCTGTTCAAACTTTATCATCAGGTACGACACTTAATAATTGAAACTATTTATCATTCACCTTTGAATATACATCTGACTTAACAAATATTAGGATTTATTTAAACGGCGCTTCAATTTTAAGCTCACCTATTTCAAATTATATATTTAGAGACCTATCTACAACAAGTTTAATGATAGGCAAGAGCAGCTCTTCTGGCTTTGTGGGGTTTATTAATTCTTTTCGGCTATGAAATACACCTATTAGTGATTTTTCAAGCTCTATTAATAGCGCTTGTGGCACAGGACAAGGATATACTTGTTTATGGTCTTGTGACTTGTCTCATTATTATGGTGGGGCTTCTTATACAGCCTGCAATTCCTGCAGTAAAGGATGTGTCAGGGCATCTACATGCAATATCTGTGATGATTTATTATGCTCTGTCTGCAGTGGCTTTGGGTCAAGTAAATGCACTCAATGTGTTACTAATGCTAGTGGAGCTCCAGGCCAATGTATCTGTAATGCTGGATACAAGACTTCTTCTGATGGATTTTCATGTGAGGCATGCTATATTGGCTGTTCTCAATGTACAAGCTTAGCTTCTTATGATTGTTTAGCATGTTTTTCAGGATATAATTTCTATGCAGCCACTGGTGAATGCTTAAGTGCATGCCCATCAGAGTATTTTGCAAGTCCTGGGACAAATATTTGTGTAAAATGTGATAATTCTTGCAAATCATGTACATCTGCTAGCTATTTGGACTGTTTGACATGTGCTGATGATTACTATATGGTTTCAGGAATTTGTGTAAGTAACTGCCCATCAGGGTATTCCAGAACGGTAAGTGGATGTATTTTGGTTCAAGAAAAAATTTTTGATTTAGATTTGAATACTCTCAATGGAGTCATTTATGATAGTGCAAGCGAAATACCTGTTATTACTGGATCAACTAATTCTTCGCTCACAATTAAACAAGCATAAAGAATGCTATATTATTTTAGAAAAAAAATAAATGTTAAAGCTTATGAATATATCATTATGATTAATTTGACTGTTTAAATTGATTAAATTATATATTTAAAGTTGTTGAAAATAGAAATCTTAAATTGAAAAATAACTCTTGACTTTCTTCCTCCGATGATAATTTGTAAGATTGATTATTGAGCTCCTGTTTGATCGTTGAAAGAGAGTAGCCAATTTTATCCAGACTATGAAGATGATGATCCTATCCCTGCATATTTGAGAGGCTTCTGGTTTAATGGTCAGTCCTCAGTTTTAAGGCTACCTGACTATTTAAATTATACATCTCCAAAACTCGTAATGGGCAAAAACTTTACTATTTCTATATGGCTAAACATTAAAGCGTCATTTTCTTCTCTATTATCAAAACATAATGTTTCTGATAATTATTCAGCTCTTTACTCTATCACTTTAACTAGTGACAAGCCAACGATTTCTCTTTTAATAAACTCGTCTCCATTCTTTTATATGTGCCAAGCATCGCTTAATCATTATGAATGGAGCCATGTTGTATTTACATTAGAAACTGCTCAAAATGGCTACAATAAGTTATCCTGCTATATAAATGGGGCTTCTGACTCATCAGTAATGACAGGATATGGAAGCTTTCTTGATGTTAGTTTTTTTACTACAATGACTATAGGAGCTCAAATAAGTTCATCATCAGTTTATAATTTTTATCAAGGCTTTATTTATACAATTCAGATATTTAATACAGTAAAATCAATATCAGCTCTAGCGACAACATCTTGCACCGAACCGTGCAATGTCTGCCCAATAAGCCAAAAATGCATTCCTAACTGCAAAATAAATCTATATTGAAGTGGGCCTGCCTATAATAAATGCTATAATTGTAATATTAAATGCAAGAAATCCTGTAGAGACTGGCGATCAACATGCTCTCTTTGTAGTAATTTATTATGCGACATCTGCACTGATTATTCTGATTCTGGGTGCTCAGCTTGTAAAGAGTATGCAATAAACCCTGACTCATGCATTTGTGATCTCAATTATGTTCTGGACACTTCTAGCAACAGCACTTGCATTCTTCTTGAGGCTGGTGGGTTTAGAGGCTCTGATGGCAAATTTTATTCATGCCCGAAATACTGCACTTATTGTCAGTCTCTTACAGAATGCACTGCCTGTGTGGAAAATGCGAATCTAATTAATAGCTTATGCTATTGTAGTTTAGGCTATAACGGAACTGCAAATTGCATATTAGTTCCTTTTTCAGCAAAACTCTCAGTCTTATCAGATAATTCTCTCTATCTCATTTTTTCAGACAGTCTTGCTAAGAATCTTACTATAGATGATTTTACTATAAAAATTAAAAAACTAGGAAAAATATCATATAAATTTGAGCAGGTAAACAGTGCATGCTATTACATTACTTTAAAAATTTCAGAAGAAATATCAAAAGGCACATTAGCTATGCTTAAGTTTACAAATTTGACTGAAGTGAGATCAGTATCAAATGGTGTCTTAAATTCTTCAGAAATTTCGGTGTTCTTAAATTCTTATGACCCTGCGCCAAATTCTCCAGCTATTGCAGCAGTATCATCTCAAGCTGCTGTTGTTGCTCAAACAGGCATTGCTGTAGCTGCTGTTTTATCTGTTATAAATTCTAATCCAAGTTCTTTATGGAGTATGATGAACAGTTTACAGATTCTCAGCTACTTGACTTTGTCTGGGATTCCTTTATCCAGCAAAATGATATAGGGCTTTCTTCTAGTGGCGTAGTTCTTATGCCTGCCAGGCTTGAGTTTTTGGTGCAAAGAGTTGCCCAAGGTTAGCTTCAAGGCGAGAGACTCAGTACTATTTCCACTGATTAGTGGCCTAGCTCCTGCAGCAGTTTTTTTGCTTGGTTTGCCACCAGCACACGAGATCAGTCTGGGTGTCTGATAGAAACAGGGCGAATTACCTGCTTGTGGTTTCGCCTGAATGGTGTAAGTTGTTGAAATTTTTATTTGGGATGGTCAAGGGAAAGGGATAGGCAAAGATAGATGAAATTCAAATGCCAAAGCCTCTCCAGCCAAAAGGGTTCCAAATGAAACGATCGGGCCTGATCTAAGCAAGGTTGAATAATACTGTCTCTAAATGGAGGTTCCGTCTAGCTCAAATTGTGGAGGGAAATGCCTATACCGATAAAGAGAGGGCTTCGGCTTGGAAGCTCACCTCATAACTAGCGCTATAGAGCGCATGGTGCTCAGGTAATGGATATATAATAGTCCAGAATAATCCAAATTAATCCAGCAAAATGAGCGCTTTTTTGAATAGCTTGAACTCCTTTAACTTATTTCCAAATGCTTTTACATATATTATAGATGAAGATGAAGGAAAAACTCCTTATTCTAAAGCAAAAGATTTTGGGTTTGACACTGATCTGATATTAATTACTGCAGGTAATGATTTTACACTGATTTTGGTTTCTCTATTAGTTTTCCCAATTGTGCTTTTCTTTTCTCGATGCTCATTCAGATGAATTGGTAAGAAATTTATGAAAAGCGTCAAGGCTTATCATTTTGCCTTTTATATAAGATTTTGAATACAATGCTATCTAGAACTGGGAGCAGCTTCAAGTATTGGACTTATTACTTTTGGATTTAATAATAACACTCAAGTAGCGAATTTTATTATGTGTTCAGCTATTTATAGTTTCCATGCTATTACTCCACCAGTATATTTCTGGTTTTCTTATAAAAATAAAAATAGGATCCAATCACAAGAAAAGACCTTTACTAACTCCTATCCTTCGTGAGTGGACAAATCATTGAAAAATCTATTATTTTTTTGGATAAAAATCCCCCAGCGAACGAAAAAAAATTTTAATATATGAAAACAATATTTTTAAGTGATAATTATTATATGAAATCACTAGCAATTTCTGCTTAATTTATGCAATTTGCGTTTAAAAATATAATTTTACAAGTTAAATTAACTTTTGTGAATTTTTTTTTGTAAATTGAAGAAAAGAAGTTTACTATAAAATTTATATTTAAAAAAAAAATTAGCAATAAATTTTTTTCTGCTCAAAAAGGGGGGAATAAGCTATTTAGCTCGTTTTTTTATGAATTTCGAACTGATCGTGGGCCACTTGCAACACAGTATTATTTTGTATTCTTTGCAAGGAGACTCATCTATATCATAAATTTAGTTTTTTTAAGAGACTATCCACAAACAGAAGTGACCATTAATATCATTCTTTCAGTGATAACTATTCTACATTTAATTTTCTTTTGGCCATTTAAGGACTCTATTTTACAAATAAGCAATTTATTAACGGAAGGAGGCATTTTTATAATTATGAGTGCAACTACAGTTTATTTATTTAATATGGATCCCAAAATTATGTCAATTATTGAGGATGGAATTGTAGCAATTGTGATCGCAGCTATGGGGATTCAAATTTTAGCTTCAATAGCCATTTTTGCAAGGACATTATATGAAATCATCAAATATAAACTAACAGAAGCAGGAATTATAAAAAATCAACAACAAATTTTAGAGGAAAATTATAAAAGAAAAAAGTTAATATAATAATTTATTATTTTTATTCATATATTTGAACTTTTTAAGTTAAAGGTTATGCTGGCCATAAGTGGGCAAACCTACTAGCCTTCACTTATCTTGGCTCAAAAATGTCATCATTTTGGATTCTGATCTGAACCACCTGTCTAAGGATTAGTTTCCTTAGGCAGAGCCACTTCCTGCTAGAGTACCCCTATAGTCCTAATGAGAGAAAAAAACTGCTCCATAGAGATTGCGCCTCGGAGTCCAATTTTCGTCAACCTCACCATTTAATTTTTTGAACGTTTTAAGAATTTAAATCTTATTGGCATTTCAAAACGAATCCGATAATAGCATCAAAGTTTAACTGGAGTTTAAAATGGCAGCATCTTGTCTGGCAAGTTTATGTATTAAGCTATTTGAAACTTATTGATAAATAAGAATCTTAAAAAACAAAATCAAAATTAATTTTATACTCTTATTTATTTAAAATTAAATCTGTATGATTTTTATAAGAGTCTTTGAAATTTATCTTAGTTCCAATTATTCTCCTTTCAATATCAGATTAATCAATTATATTAATTTAAAATTGATTAATTATTTAGTCCCCCCCCCTCCGTGAGTGAACAAAAAAATTTTGTTCACTCATGGAGGGGGGTTAATTTTTTTTTTTAAAAAATTTATATATAAATTTATAAAAAAATATTTTTTTTCGAATTTAAAAAAAATCCTGATTCGCAAAAACTGGAAAGGAAATATTAATTTAATTTATAAAAATTTATGTTTTAAAACGCAATTTGTTTAAAATTAAACAGAATTAGCTCTAGATTTCATTATGCTAATTATCACTTATATATCAAATATTTTTTCCATAAAAAATTTTTCTATTAAAAAATTTTTGTTCACTCACGGAGGGTGGGTTTTTGGGCAAAAAAATGCCGATTTTTCTAATGGTTTTGTTCACTCACGGAGGGTGGGGGAGTTAGCATTAATATAAACAAATTAGCTTAGTTTAACACAAGCTTTTAGTATGCGCAGATACTTTTTTCATCCGTCTTGTCACTACTCTCGAACCCATGCCAAGCTTTGCAGTTCGACTGCTCCTCCTAGTTTCCTTGAAGCCATAGGAACCCAGGAGTATGCCAGACAATAGTAGTTTAGCGCGTTGCCTTGCTTTATCCGATCTTCTCCCAGTGCCTGGTGGACCTAATGGTCTGCCTTTTATATCAGTAAGGGAAAAGGTAAAAAAGATGAACAAGGAGAGCTAAGTTAAAATTCCTAGCCGTTTTCAAGAAGTCCACGTTTAAAAACCTAACCCAATAATAATTAAAGTTGCTAGGTACAAAGAATTCATGGAGTTTTACTTTTTTCATCGAGGCCATTTTGTTATTATATTTATCATTAATCTCAAATAAAAAATTATATTGTCAAAATGCTAATTTTCCTTTAATTTCAATTAGAGCTATAAAAAAGAACTAAAGAGCTTTAATTATAGTAGAAATGACAACAATTAAATGCCTTTATTCTATTAAATAAAATCAGTTATGCTTTTACCTTAAAATGCTTTATTACCTTAAAACAATTTTTCAACTACTTTATTAAAATGAACAAAGCCTTAATTTTTATCAGTCAAATTGTGGGCTATATGACGAAAACAAGTTGCTAAATTTGTTTAAGCAAATAAACTCTTGATCAAATGTCTGAAAAGAAAAATTATCTCTCAAACTTCGCAAGCAGCCTTTTGATCAACACAAAAACACAGTAAATTATGCAGCCCATATTGTGCTTGTCTATTCTGTATGCCCAAACAACAGCATAACCGTCTTAGGAGCTACTGCCTGTCTAAGCTCTAAATATTATGTTGACAATAAGGTTTGTGCAAATGCATGCCCATCTCTTTTTAGTTATTATCAGCTATATTGCCCCTTTGCTTGCAGCAAAATGTGTGGCAAGCCCACTGACGCAGGCGCTATTTTATTTACATTGGAATTTTCCAATATCAAAGACTTATCAGCAACTTATATTGCAAGCACTAGTAACTCTGCCGATAAGTGGAACAACCCAGGGTCTATTTCTTATAATTCTCCGACCCAAAATTCACCACTTCCGACATATGATCGTGGGTTTTATTTTGCAACAACTTCAGGAATCACTAGTAACCAGAGCTACACCCCAGCAGTTTATTTTATATTAACCCTATGAATTAAGCCACTTGCCAGTGGGGAAATTTTAAATGTCATTTCAAGCTCAACCCAATATCTCCGAATATGGGCTGATTCCTCTGGAGTTTATAGTGTGGGCGTGCATTTATTCCTGTAATTTTAATATTTAATAAGTGCCAGTAGAAGAGCAGGCTAAAAGTAAGCATAAGCTATATAAATTTACTGCAAAAATTTATGATTCCAGTGGAAATGCCAATACAGTTACTGGTTCTGGCTCTTCTTATTCGTCATCTTGGCATTCAGCTTCGATGCTTCTCGAGCAAACTTCTTGTAATTCAGCAAGCATTATTTTTTACATTGACGGGTCATCGGTTGGGACAACACCTTTATCTTCTGCAGAAGTAAGCTTCCCTACTGGAACTTATACGTGAACGATTGGGAATACTAGTGGAGGAAACTCATTTAGAGGGTTTATTTATTGGCTACAAGCTAGAGCTGACACTAATACAAATTATGTGGATATGCCGAACAAAATTAACTGTATTGATAATCAGTTTTGAGATGGAGCTGCCTGTCAGAATTGTGATACAAGCTGTCCTACCTGGCCTTGGTGCATTAGAAGCACAGACTGCAGGATTTGTTATACTTCAGACTGCAGTGCTTGCTATGGGTATTCGCTTTCTATGTGTACCGCATGCTTTACAGGGATAGTTCCTGGGTGTTGTGATATTTTAGGGACAACTTGTACACAGACCTGGACAAATACAGCCTGCAACACTGGAGTCCCTAATAATGCAGGAGTTTGCTTGTATGGGTATCCAGTTGGCTGGTGGAACTGTGGAGGAAATTCTTGTTTTGGTACGACAACTGGAGATTTCACAGGGACTTTTGCAGGGATTTATACTTCAGTTTATATTACAGGGACAAGCTCAAGCAGCTATAATTATTGGAATTCTCCTGAAGGGTCTGATCCATTGCCAGCAAAAAAAAGAGGACTTTACTTTAATTCCAATCAATATTTGACAGTGACTCAGAATTTGTCCAATACTTGGAGTATAGGGATGTGGATTTTTGCTACTTCAGGGACTATTATTAGCCATACCACTAATAAGCTTACTATAAGTTCGAGTGGGACTATTAATTTTGACTTACAAAAATGGGATGGGACTTATGCAAGCTATTCGACATCACAGACTATAACTTTGAATGCATGAAGCTATGTTTCTTATTCAGTAGGGTTTGCAAGTAAGACTACAACGTTAACTCCATATTATAATACAGTAGCTGGGACAGCAGTAACAGCTTTAAATTATGTATTTCGGTTAGCAAGTGGTGAGACTTTATATATAGGTAAAGGGTCTCCAAATTTCAATGGCTTTATCAGCTATTTCCAGCTGTGAGGAACCACTATAGCTATTCCACAGTATTGGCCGCTATACTAAAAAAAATACCACAAAAACACTAGGTTTGAGATAGTTTTCTTTCCTATCTCAGTCTAGGCATCTCAAATAACATTTGTTATTTTTCATAAAAAAACAATATGATAAATACAAATTTCAAATGCCAATAATAATCTATTATAATGGAAGAGCTATACCACTGACTTTTCTACTCCTTATAATCTTTTTGGCTTTTCTGGAGGCATAGTGGCAACTTTATGGTCCTGCGACTACTCTCATTATTATGATGGAAGTATGTGCCAGCCATGTATAGGTACATGCACAATGGGCTGTACCCGAGGGACATCCTGCTATATCTGTGACGACTTTTTATGCAAACAATGCTCATCATTTTTATCAGGTGCCTGCACGTTATGTATCGATAATGCCTCTGGGACTCCATGCTCCTGCAATTCTGGGTTTTATCAGCCGATAAATCAAGCTTTATGCTCTGCTTGCTATACTGGATGTGCTTCTTGCACTGGCTCAGCTTATTATTTGTGTGCATCCTGTGGCTCTAGCTATTTTTTATATGGCAGCATACAATGTCTTTCAAATTGCCCTACTGGGTATACAGAAAATACAGGCACAAAAAGCTGTGATTTTTTGTCGAATACTGGGCTGAGCATAGTTTTTTATGATAAAATTATGCTTAATTCTATTGCGGGAGTCCAAGTAGGATCTTCTAATTCAAATACATATCCTAGTTATGATTCAAATGATCCATATCCATCATATCTAATTTCCCACCTTTAAGAACGAGCAATATTTTTTGCTCTTAAAGGAGGGCTTATTTTTTTAAAAATTATTTTAAAATTCTATCTATTTTTAAAGATACTTGTAAATATTGCCTTGGTACCGGTATAAGGCCCATATTGGTGTTAGCTTCGTATTATCCCAATTCCAGGATAAAAAGCTGGCAACCTGTATGGGCGTAAACTGGTGCATACTAAATATTTATTTTAAAATTGTAAACTGTCTTATAGCATAATTATTAAGACATCTTTATAAAATTTGCAATTGAGCAAATTATATTAAAAATATTGCTTACTCTTTAATGGTTAATTTCTCCAAAATAGGTATTTTGCTATCATTTTCCTCATTATTAAAGGAGGAAGAGTAAGAGGCTACTATTTCAGTGGTAGTTACTATCTGTCGACTAATACCGTGATTGGGCCTTATTTTACTGTTTCAATATGAGTATATCCAACTGGGGCTGGAACTATTGTCTCGAAAACAATTTCTGGGATTGAAATATTTTGCTTAATTCAGTTCAATATCGATAACTTTTTTTGCCATTTTCTATAAATTTATTTATCACAAATTCTATTTTATTAAAAAAATTAAGAGTAATTAAATTACATTATATATTTAATTTATAAAAAAAACTGTATTTTTAAGAATTTTTTATTAACTGTGATTTGCTTCAGTAAAATCCATAGTGAAAAATTATTGCTTATATAATTAGAGTTAGAAATTTTAAATGGGTCTGGATACCCAAAGCTCTCCATCACTTTGAGCGACTCATCATCCTTTTCAGTAACTTTATCCCATTCTGCACTGAATAGTTGAAACTTTATCGCATTTACAGGAAAAATCGACACAAGTTACATAACAACAATAAACTCATATTTTAATTCTCTTGCAACAGATTCAGGCTCCTCGTCAAATGCTGCTTATTTTCAGGATCGCAGTTCAGGCACTCTTTATACTGGGACAAAATCTACCTTAAGCAGTGGATTTACTGGATTTTTATATGACTTAAATATTTATAACGTCGAAAACTTACAGTACAGCGACTATACAACATCAAGCTGCACTTCTCCTTGCACAAGCTGTCCTAGCGATCATAATTGTCCTAACTCTTGTCCGTTATTGCAATATTATGACGGCTCTTCTTGCGCTAATTGTATGGGATCTTGCACAAAAGGATGCAGATATACAGATACTTGCGGACTTTGTAAGACAAAACAGTGCTATGAATGTACTTCTTTTTCTGGATCTTGCTCAAGCTGCATTACAAATGCAGAAAGTGATGGGTCTGATGGGTGCCAATGCAAGACAAATGCTTTTTGGCATTCTAGTACAGCGACTTGTGACTTTTGTGATGCAATTTGTTCTGTATGTAAGCAAACTACTTATTTTGAGTGCACTACTTGCGATACAGGGAAACAATTAGTAGACAGTACTTGTTTAAATGATTGTCCATATGGCTATGGAACTTCTTGTTCTTCAGTGTCAACACCAGTGATTGATCAATTATTCGACACTGATTTCCAAGGATCTTATGGGATTTTTACTACAGGAGCAGACTCAAGTTCTTATCAATTTTTTAATACCCCTGAGACTGTAGATCCTGTCCCTGCCTATGCAAGAGGACTATATTTTGATGGAAACATGTATTTATTATCTTCAGTTTCTGTCTATCTTTCTCATAGTTTTTCTATTGGTGCATGGATTTATGTAGCTACTAATGGAGATTTATTGCAAAAACAAACAAGGCTAACAGTTTCATCAACAGGCGCTATAACAGCTTTAATGGAAGACACTGCACAAGCAACATCTACACGAACTTTATCCCCAAGCTCCTCATTCACTGGCTGGGCTTATGTGTCTTTTACTTTATATTATACATCAAATGCTTCGCCTATTATTCTGTATATAAACGGAGTTTCAGCAGGGTCGACTACTATCTCTGGCAGAATATATAGGGACCAAGCATCAACCAATCTGCAGCTAGGAAAAAGTAGTAGCTCTGGGTTTGTAGGGTTTATTTATTATTTTCAGCTGTGAAATACTCGGATTACAGGGTTTTCAGCTATTATCAATGGCTTTACGTTTTGTGGATCAGGGCTAGGAGCTTCTTGTTTATCGACATGTGGGATCTCTACCTATAAAAACGGTGCTTCTTGCTCTGCTTGTAATTCCTGCAGCACAGGATGTATCAGAGCTAATACATGTAATATCTGTGACGATCTATTATGCTCTATCTGTGCAGGTTTTGGCTCAGGAAAATGCAATAATTGTGTATCCAATGCTTCAAAAAACCCAATAAATTGTGTTTGTGACTCAGGGTTTAGAACTTCAAATGATGGATTTTCGTGCGTTGCATGCCCAGCAAACTGCCAAACCTGCACTGGAGGTGGATACTACCAGTGTACAGCCTGTTTAACTGGGCATTATTTTCTTAATATTCAGTGCTTACCAGAGTGTCCATCAGGATACACACAAAATTCAGGTACAAAAAACTGTGATCTTTCTATTGCAACTTATTCGCTAGATTTATCTAATAGTATCTTGCTAGGTACCATTTCTGGGATAACTGTTGGGGCTTCAAATGCTAATTCATATTCAAACTATGACCCAAATGATCCTTATCCTTCTTATTTGAGAGGATACTATTTTAATTCTGATAGCTATATAAAAACAAATTTTATGCTTGCTCCTTCCTTTTCAATTTCTATATGAATAAAAGCTACAACATCTGGCCAGATTATTTCTAAGTTTGTATCGGCAACTCAATGACTTATATATATTTTGGCTTCAGGACAGCCAAATATTTCACTTCTTCTATCAGATTCATCAACCATTATATCAGTTACCGGATCTTCAAGTGTGCTTAACAACTGATTTTTTGTTTCATTTGACTGCATAATTAATGCTGATGGGACAACAACGGTAAGTTCTTATATTGATGGAACCAATCAAGTCTCCTCTACTACAGCTACTCCACTTTACCTTTTAGACAGTCAATCAGGAATTATGCAAATTGGGGATTCTAGTTTAGCATTTACAGGATTTCTATGAACTCTTAAAATTTGTACCCAAAGTGGCCATGCTTTAGACGATTATCAGACAGTTGGATGCTCAGGTAGCTGCACAAAGTGTCCAGCTGACTTAAGTTGCCCTGATAACTGCTCTTTATCCCAATACTATAATGGCTCTGGCTGCACAAATTGTATAGCAAGCTGCAGTAAAGGGTGTAGAAATGCTGACACTTGCAGACTCTGCAAGACCAAAGAATGCGCCACCTGCACAGAGTTTTCTGGGACAAATTCATGCTTGACTTGCATTGCAAATGCTGTTGCTGATGGGACTGGAGGCTGCACTTGCGGTACTAATGCTTTTTGGGTAGCTTCATCTCAAACATGCGAAATCTGTGATGCCTTATGCTCTACTTGTATAAAAACAACTTATTTTGAATGCTCTCTTTGCTCAGGAAGCTCTCAACTGGTTGGGAACGTCTGCTTAAATGGTTGTCCTTATGGATTTGGATCTCCTTGTTCACCAGTCTCAACCCCTGTGATAGATCAATCTTTCAATATAGACTTTCAAGGCTCTTATGGGATTTTTGCAACAGGAACAAGTACATCATCTTTTCAATTTTTTAATACTCCTGAATCAATTGACCCGATTCCTGCATATAAGCGAGGCTTATATTTTGATGGAAGCATGTACTTATTGTCGTCAGCTAACTTTTTGTTTTCACATAGTTTTTCTATAGGAGCTTGACTTTATGTAATCACTGATGGAGATTGGCTTGAAAAAGAAAGCCAGCAACTTGTTTTACATTCTACAGGAGATATAAGTGCTAAAATGGAAGACCCTACACAAACAGTGTCTACTAAAAGTTTATCTTCAGGGTCTACTCTAACTAATTGGAACTATTTATCAGTCACCTTTGAATACACTTCTAGTGTCACAAATCTCAATATTTATCTCAATGGTGTTTCAGTTGCAAATACACTTATTTTAAATTATGTGTTTAGAGACCTTGCTACCACAAATTTAATGATCGGGAAAAGCAGCTCTTCAGGCTTTGTAGGGGTTATCAATGCTTTTCAGCTATGAAATTCTCCAATTAATGATTTTTCAAGCTATATTAGTGCTATTTGTGGCTCTGGCTATGCTTGTTTATGGTCTTGTGATTTATCTCATTATTATGATGGGACTACTTATACAGCCTGCAATTCCTGTAGTAAAGGCTGTGTCAGGTCATCTATATGCAATATTTGTGATGATTTATTATGCTCTATTTGTTCTGGATTTGGCTCAGGAAAATGCACCCAATGCGTTTCTAATGCTAGTGGAACTCCTTGTGTATGTAATCCTGGCTATACAACTTCTGCTGATGGGCTTTCCTGTGATCAATGCTCTTCTGGTTGCTCTCAATGTACAGGTTTAACTTATGTAAAATGCACAGCATGCTTTTCAGGGTATTATTTCTTTGCACCAACTGGGCAGTGCTTAGTTGAATGCCCATCTGGCTATAGTACAAATTCTGCAGGAAAAGCTTGCGATTGGTCATCAGATTTAGGGATTGGTCTAGACTTGACTGACCAAGTACGTCTTGATACAGTTTCTGGGTTTAATGTAGGCTCTGTGAATACAAATATTTATCCTGATTGGAATTTAGATGCAAAGGATCCTATTCCTTCTTATAAAAGAGGCTACTATTTTTATCAAAGCAATTATTTATATTCCACTGTCGTAATAGCACCATCCTTCACTATTTCCCTGTGGGCAAAGCCACTTTCAGCTGGAGTTCTATTGACTAAATATACTTTGAGCGATATCCTAAAAATATCAATAGTCTCCTCAGGATATCCTTTGCTTTCAGTAACCTTTTCTGATTCATCATCTCTCACTTTAACTACTCCAACAAACATAATAAGTAGTTGGAACTTTTTAAGCTTTACAGGGCAGGTCCAAAACGATGGCAAGACGAAGTTGTCTCTCTATATCAATACAGCGGCATTTGCTGTTACCACAACGTCATCTCTAATTTACTTTAAAGATACTAATACAGGAATTTTATATATTGGAAATGACGAAACCTCTGGGACTTTAGGATTATATGGGTTTTTAGCAAGAGTTAATATTTATAGCTCCTATAGTCATCAATCTGATGATTATTCTACTTCTTGTGGTGGTGGATGCTCAGTTTGCCCTGCAAATAATCAATGCTTAAGTAATTGCGCTGTAAATGAATACCCAGATAGCTGCACTGTTTGCTTGGCAGGCTGCAGCCAAGGGTGTGTCAGTAATTTATCTTGTAGACTTTGCAGGGACAAAGAATGTTACTCGTGCACTACTTTTTCAGGTGAATGTACAAGCTGCATTACAAATGCTTATAAGCCTGTAGACCACTGTATGTGCCTTACTAATGCAATATTGCCTAGAATAGCATTTCTTTTGCATTAGTATGATTTGGCAATATTTTCGATAAAAATCATAAATAATCTGACAAGTCCAACATTTTGGCATGCTAATTAATTTGAACATAAAATTAAGCTACCAAGGGAGCTATAGCCATGCTCGTGACATATGAATCTCAAGCACCCAATCCTGTGAGCTCTGTAATGCAGTGTGTGCTACTTGTTCTACTCTTAAAATTGATGGCTGTCTTACATGCATAGCAGGCCATTATTTAATTCAGTCTTTATGTATTTCATTTTGCCCTACTGGATATGTTATAAATGGTAACAATTGTGATGCTGATCCTACTTATACAGCCTTTTTAGTATTTAATTTAATGCCACACCAAATAAAAGATATTGTGCTAGATTTAGCTTCAAGTATCCCAGTTCTCACAGGTAAAGATAACAAATTTTACCCTACTTATGATGCAACTGATCCAATAGCAGCTATTTATAGAGGATATTACTTTTCTGGATCAGCTTATATGCAGTTACCTCCTTATACAGGCACAGCTTCATCATTGCTTACATTGGCTCCTAAATTCATTATTTCTACTTGGATAAAACCAATATCTGGGACTGGGGTTATTTTTTCTAAACAAATTAATAGTGGAGCATTCATTTACTTAAATAGGTTTGACATCAAGCCCACTGGGCTTCCCTCCTTGTAGCAAGTTATCTCACTCACAATGTGTCAGGTAACTATTGATGGTCGGCCATCTTCAGTCCTTCCAGATCTTGCATGCAACTAGTTGAGTGTAAGGCATGTTAAAGGTCCCAGTCTTCACCTCCTGGGTTGATGGCGCATTTCTTAAACTTTTTTTTCTTATTTGGATGACTCCAGTACTCCACACGGCTAGGTTTAATGCTCCATTATTACCGAGATAAGCTTTATTGGCGAGTCAAGCCTGAAGACAAAATTTTAAAAGATTTATTTTTGATCGAGAAACAGAAATTCGAACGACACTACATTTATAGTAAAGCATTTACAAAATATGTAAGTCTTGAACTAGTAAATAAATTTCCTTCACTTACTCTGACTCTTCAAGAATCCACTACAATTACTTATACAAGTGCTCTTGCCTCATTGGAGACTACTCTTTCTCAATGAAATTTTATTTCAGCTCTGTCTGACATTAGTACAACTCCTCACTCCATATCTATAAGAAAGTATTTTTCTAAAAATTATTAATAATTATAAATTTTATATGAAAAATTCATATAAAAATTAAGACACTATTGACATCCTAAAAACAGAGCTCTACCCAATAATTGAAAGAGAATGTAAAATTAATTATCGCAGTGGAAAGAAGCAAAAAAGGCACTTATTGGCTAATTCATAATCCATAAGGATATTTGATGCCTATAGTCGTTATATTTAAAGATTCTTTATTCTTATCTTTTAAAGAGGGATTTAAAAATGATTTTGCTCGCTCACGGAGGGGAAGTAATTTGCAGTTGGATTATTTTTTAATGGAATATTAATTAAGAGTTAGCAAATAGTTAAGCTTACTGCAAATCTAAATACTGATACATCAAGCGATTTGCATGCAAGTTGGCTAAATGATTTAGAAAGTTCTTTTTTCAATTTGATTGGAGCAAGTTACCTTGATTCTACAACTTTAACATCATTTTTTAATGGGTTTCTATGGGATCTGAAAATCTATAATACAATTACAGCCAGTCCTTTAGCGTCAAGCTCTTGCAGCGGGTGCTCATTATGCCCAATTGATAATTCTAATACTTGCTTACTCTTAATTCAAAAACAAATAATGATCCATTTTTTAAAATAATTAACTATTTGGTTAAAAGAGAGAATTTTTTTAAATATAATATTCTTATTTAAATTAATTATTAATTAAAGCTCTAGAATTTCTAAATTATAATAAAAAATTCACCCTTTCATATTCAAAGAAATCGGCATACTCAGCAAGATAAAAATATTTTGTCGACAGAATTAGATAATTGTCTTATAGACAAATACTGAAATGGTATTATCTGCGATTCATGCTTGTCTGGATGCTCAACTGTTGGCTGCGTTAGAAAAGATAACACTTGTAACCTTTGCCAAGATATCATATGCAAAATATGCGATAATTATACAAATACCTGCATTACTTGCAAAACATATGCAAATTTAGTAGGCACAACCTGTAAATGTGATGATGGGTATTACTGAAATTCTGGTACTGAAAATTGCGAAGCTTGTGATTCTTCTTGTAAAACCTGCACATCTTGGAATTATTTAGACTGCTTGACATGCGCTGATGGCTATTATATGGCGTCAGGAATTTGTGGGTCCAGCTGTCCGTCAGGGTATTCTTCAACTCCAAGTGGATGTGTGCTGGTTCAAGAAAAAATATTTGACTTAGATTTAAATACACTGAATGGAGTCAAATTATTTTTACAGACAATATATCGGAAAATTGAAATCTTAAAGAAAAAAATTTGTAAAATTCCTATATGTAAATTGCAGATAAATTTATGCACCAATGGAGTCATATATGATAAAGCAAGCCTAATACCAGTCGTTACTGGGTCAACAAAGCAATTTTATCCTGATTATGAAGCTGATGATCCAATTCCAGCTTATTTAAGAGGATTTTGATTTAATGGACAATCCTCAGTTTTAAGACTGCCTGAGTATTCAAATTATACATTGCCAAGACTTGTGATTGCCCCTACCTTTACAATTTCTATATGGCTAAACATTGAGAGCCCATACTCTGCTATATTGTCAAAACATATGCTAATATATAAATCTAATGAAATTTATTTAAATTAAAGGAATAGAAAATTAGCTTTAATATGAAAATTATATATATAATAATTAAAGTATAACATTTCTAATGATTATTCAACGCTTTACTATATATCGATAATGGACAGCAAGCCTATAATTTCAAGCTCTTTAGGCTTATCTCCAATTTTTCATATATGTGAAGCATCACTTAAAATTTATGAATGGAGCCATTTAGCATTTACATTGGAGACTGCTTCTGGTGGCTATAATACATTGTCTTGCTCTATAAATGGTATATCTTATTCTCCTAGTTTGACAGGATATGGAGTTTTTAGTGATGCTGGTCCTCATACTACAATGACTATAGGAGCTCAAGTAAGTGCATCATCTATTTATAATTTCTATCAAGGCTTTATGTATAGTATTCAGATGTTTAATATTGCCAAATCAGTATCAAGCCTATCGACTACCTCTTGTACTGAAGCCTGCAGTGCTTGTCCTATCAGTCAAATCTGTATCCCTAATTGTAAAATAAATCAATATTGGAGCGGCCCTGCTTATAATATATGCTATCAGTGTAATACGAAATGCAAAAAAAACTGCAGGGACTGGAAACCTACTTGCTCACTTTGTAGCAATTCATTATGTGACGTCTGCACTGATTATTCTGCTTCTGGCTGCACAACTTGTAAAGAAAAAGCGATTAACCCTGACTCATGCATTTGTGATGTAAATTATGTCCTTGACACTTCCACTAATAATACATGCATTCCTCTGGAAGCTGGAGGATTCAGAGGTCCTGATGGAATTTTATACTCGTGTCCAAGCTACTGTATTAGTTGTGAGTCTCTTACTAACTGCACTGCTTGTGTAGAAAACGCAAGGTTAAAGAATAATCTATGCTATTGTGATCTAGGCTACAATGGCACGAAAAATTGTACTTTACTCCCCCATTTTAAAGTAGATCAAAAAATCTGTTCAATTTACAAAATTAAATATAAAATTTTTTATGAAAATAATTAATAAAATTTAGGGTCTTGTTCAAATAGTATTCTAATTGTATATTTGTTTTAAAGTTGAACAAGCTATCAGGAATTTAAATTTTCCATCATTCATTCCAATTTAAAGGGGGAATTTAGTTAATTTTTCAGTGAAAGTTTCCGTTTTATCTGACAATTCTCTTTATCTCACTTTTTCAGACAATCTTGCTGACTCCCCCCCCCCCTCCGTGAGCGAACAAAACCATTAGAAAAATCGCCATTTTTTGACCAAAAAACCCACCCTCCGTGAGTGAACAAAAATTTTTTTAATAGAAAAAATTTTTAATGGAAAAAAATTTGGATATATAAGTGATAATTAGTATAATGAAATCTAGAGCTAATTCTGTTTAATTTTAAACAAATTGCGTTTTAAAACATAAATTTTGCAAATTAAATTAATATTTGCTTCCCAATTTTTGCAAATTAGGATTTTTTTAAATTTCGAAAAAAATATTTTTTATAAAATTTATATATAAATTTTTTTTAAAAAAAAAAATTAACCCCCCCTCCGTGAGCGAACAAAATTTTTTTTGTTCGCTCACGGAGGGGGGGGGAGTGAGAGCCTTACTCTAAATGATTTTACTATAACAATTGCAAAGCAAGGTAAAATTTCATGCAAACTAGAGCAGCTTAATAACACTTGTTACTATATATCTTTAATAATATCAGAAGAAATATCTAAAGGCACTATAGCTACTCTTGAGTTTTTAAATTTAACCGAAATGAGGTCAGCTTCTAATGGGGTCTTAAATTCATCAGAAATCTCAATATCCTTGAACTCTTATGATCCTGCACCTTATTCTCCAGCCATTGCGGCAGTCACTTCTCAAGCTACAGCTAGTGCCCAAACTGCTATTTCTGGAGCTGTTGCTTTATCTGTTGTGAATCCAAATCCAAGTTCTCTATGAAGTATGATGAATAGTTTGCAAATTCTTACTCTTCAGTCAACGCAAAATAATCATTTTTATAGAAAAAAAAATTAATGCTGGGAATATCACTTTTAGCTTAACTAAAAAATAAAAGCCCAAAAATACTGTTAAAATCTTTTTTATAATGTTCTATGCATCCTTATATACTATTATATTTTCCTTTCTTTTAACTATATCATGACATTTTTGAGGCAAATTTCTAAGGCTACTCTTAAAGTGGGAAGCTCTACCTGTATACAAAACTTTAAATTATAAATTATTATATTAAATAAAAAATTTTTGAGTCTTTATTTTCTAGGAGATAGCTACTTGACTTTATCAGGAATCCCTTTTTCTAGCAAAATGAGCAGTTTTTTGAACAATTTGAATTCTTTTAATTTATTTCCAAATGTTTTTAAGTATGTCATTGATAAAAATGAAGGAAATACTCCTTACTCTCAAGCAAAGAATTTTGGGTTTGACACTGATCTGATATTAATAACTACAGGAAATGATTTTATAGTCCGTTCCCGGCTATAGATCGGGCTTAGCCCGATCTTTGCCAGGAAACTCGGGGGGTTGTCTCAGTCACTTTGAGGTGACGAGTCAACTCCCCGAGTTGGCAAATCACCAATAGCGGCTATTTGCCAACTCAGGGAGTTGACTCGTCACCTCAGGGAGTTGACTCGTCACCTCAGGGAGTTGACTCGTCACCTCAGGGAGTTGACTCGTCACCTCAGGGAGTTGACTCGTCACCTCAGGGAGTTGACTCGTCACCTCAGGGAGTTGACTCGTCACCTCAGGGAGTTGACTCGTCACCTCAGGGAGTTGACTCGTCACCTCAGGGAGTTGACTCGTCACCTCAGGGAGTTGACTCGTCACCTCAGGGAGTTGACTCGTCACCTCAGGGAGTTGACTCGTCACCTCAGGGAGTTGACTCGTCACCTCAAAGTGACTGAGACAACCCCCCGAGTTTCCCGGCAAAGATCGGGCTAAGCCCGATCTATAGCCGGGAACGGGCTATACTTTAATATTGACTTCTCTATCAGTTTTTCCAATTTTTTTCTTCTTTTCGCGATGCTCATTCAGGTGGGTAGGGAAGAAATTTGTGAAAACAGTTAAGGCTTATCAATTTGCCTTTTATTTAAGATTTTGGATACAATGCTATCTAGAGCTGGGAGCAGCTGCAAGTGTTGGACTTATAACGCTTGGCTTTAGCAATATAAGTAGCGTCCTGCAGTTGCTAGCTATTAGTAAAATCTCCCTTATCATCTAGAATAAGTTTTAAATAATAATAATTAAACTTTTTTATTATTCAAAATATTTAAGACTGCCAACAGTAATTCACTGAGAAGATGGAATAGACCAATCCACAGAATTGCCTGAGTTATATCACTCAAATAACAAATTTTATTATTTGCTCAGCTGTTTATGTTCTATTAGTTGTTACCCCACCAGCATATTTTTGGTTTTCTTATAAAAATAAAAATCGGATCCAATCACGAGAAAAAACATTTACAGATCTATTCAGCTCATTTTTTTATGAATTTCGAACTGATCGTGGGCTACTTGCAACACAATATTACTTTGTGTTCTTTATAAGAAGATTTATTTATATAATAAATTTAGTCTTCTTAAGAGATTATCCACAAACAGAAGTGACTATTAACGTCGTTCTTTCTATGATGACCATTTTGCATTTAATTTTCTTTTGGCCATTTGAAGACTCAATTTTGCAAGTATGTAATTTATTGACTGAAATCTCAATTTTTTTGATAATGAGCTCATCCTCAGTTTATTTATTTAATTTAGACCAGGATATTGTTTCAACTATTGAAAATGGAATTGTAGCAATTGTGATAGCTATTATGGGAATTCAATCATTTGCTTCAGTAGCCATTTTTGCAAGGACTTTGTTTGGGATTATCCATCATAAGCTTACCAAAGCAGGGATTGTAAAACGAAGCGTTCACCCATATAAAACTCAAGTTTCAAAAGTTGAAAAATAAATACAAAATTTTAATGAAATTAAATATATTCGAAATAAAGTAATTAGTCGTTGATATATAATAAGGAATTTTAATATATTTAGCAATAAATGGGTTCTGCTCAGCTAAATGCTACCTATTTTGCCTTTATATTTTAAACATTCTTAAAAGTATAAAACTTTATATCCTCTTTTTAGAAGAAGGCATCTCATATTCTTTAATTACAAACTTATATCCTAAGCTTGCTTACTTATATCCTAAGCTTGGTTTTATCAGTCTTTGAAAGCAAACAGCATTTTAATTCAGCTTTTTGATTGCTCAACTGTGGTTTAAAAACCGAAATTGGGAAATTAAACTAATTTGGCTAAATTTTACCATAGCATTATTAAAAATGGAGTTGAAACCAAATTCAGGTTTAAAAATGCTTTGGCTTACAAATTTTATTCAATGTAAAACTTAAGCAATAAACTTTAAATCACCTCTAATATTATTGTAAATAAAAAATAAAGATAATTTGACGTTAATATTTTCCGAAATATTTATTATTTCTATCGCTTTATCACTCCTATTTAAATGGAAAATATTAATTTTATCGCCTGATTTCTTTTGACTTTCAAATTACTCATTCAATATCTAATGCATTGCAAGTCAATGCTATATAATTTTTAATTATAAGCTCACCATTAGTGCTTTGGAATTTCAATACTTCTTTATTTTAAGATCCCATAACAAATACAAAAGGGAATTTGAAAAAATTAATTGATTTACTTCAGAATTAAATTGGATTTAATTTAATCATACCAATCATGTATTTAAATTCAAATTTATCTCTCACGTAAATATTTTTTGACCCTTTTATATTTCATAATAGATTATTTACATTATTATAATTTTATTATTAAATCCGTAAGCAGGTTTACATAATAATTATGATTAATCATCTTATTTAATTAAAAAATTTTTTAAAACCTAAATTTCTATTGATGAATTTTTAAAAAGAACAAAGATGAATTTTTAAAAGAAAGAATCGAATTTTTAGCTTATCAGCAAAATATTACAGACGTTCATTCTCAAAATATTTTGAGTCTTTTTACGACTATTTACAGCCGAATAAACATTAGAAGATCATTATTTTTTCTGTAATCAAAATTAACTGTTTATCAAGAAAAATTAATTTTTACTTATGATCAGTCTCTTCAATATTAAGAAACTAACCTTTTATGATTTTTATTCTTATCTTAATTGCTGAATATCATCATAATTTTATCAAATAATTCGTCGGTAATAGCTATTTTTGTTTAGCTCATAAACTTATCGACGTCATTTTTATAATTAATATGATTCTAATTTTGCTTTTTTTCACCAGGCTTTGGTTGACTTTCTGCTGCTGCCCATATAATAGCAACGACTATGGTGCATTTGGTTGCGCATGCAAAAGTGGAATCAAATACTACGCTGACGACAAAATATGCTTAATCCTCATCATTTACTGACCATTTTATTTAAATTTTCCAAAATCTAGGAAAATTAAGCGACCATTTATAATAATGAATATCAGAGAATATTAAATATATTCGCTTTTTAACGATTCTTATCTCATATCTGAGCACAAAAATATTTAATATAGGTAAAATTTTAATATAAAAATTTTATTTTTTTTTTTATCCCCAAGAAGAGCTAGCTGGATGTCCTTCACTTTTTTCATCTAGCCACAATAGTTTTTGAGACACATATTTCTGCAATGCACCTAGTGGAGATAGTGCAATTTTATTTACATTGCCCTTTTCGACAGTCCAAGACGTAACAGGCACTTATATAGCAAGCTCAACTGGCTCGGCTGACCAATTTACAAATCCCAGCTCAGTTCCTTATAACTCTGCCACCCGCACTTCTCCTCTCCCAACTATTGACCGTGGCTTTTATTTTGCCACTACTTCAGGCATAAGAAGCAGCTCAAGCTATACCCCAGCCTTATATTTTACTCTAAATATGTGGATAATGCCTCTCAGTAGTGGAGAAATTTTGAACGTTATTGCAGGCTCTACGCAATATTTGCGGATTTATGCAGATTCCAGCAATGTATACAAGCTTGCCGCAAATATATATGATGATAATGGTAATGCAAAAAGTATAGCTGGGACTGCGACGTCAGCTTATACGTCATCGTGGCATTCTGCTTCAATAGTGCTCGACCAAACGGACTGTGACACTGTAGATGTATCTTTTTATATTGGTAACTCAGGAGTTGGAACAACAGTGATAAATAACGCAGAAGCAAGATTTACAGTGGCTACTTATGTATGAAAAATTGGGAGTGTAGCTGGCGGAGACTCATTTAGAGGGTTTATTTATTGACTGCAAGCTAGATCAGATACCACTAGAACTTATGGAACAACTTCTCCTATTATTAATTGCGTTAATAACCAATATTGAACTGGATCAGCCTGCGGAAACTGTGATTCTAGCTGTCCTACTTGGCCTTGGTGCGTAAGAGGAACTGACTGTAGTATTTGTCAAACAGTCGACTGTAGTGCATGCTCTGGGTATTCTTTATCAATGTGCTCAGCTTGCTATACAGGCATTGCTCCAGGATGCTGCGACACTTATGGGACAACTTGTACACAAACTTGGTCTAATACTGCATGCAGCAGTGGAAAGGTTCGTATTGGAGGAGTTTGCTTATATGCATGCCCTTATGGATTTGGGAATTGTGCAGCTGTTTCTTCTGCTGTTTTAACAGCTGATTTTACAGGGGCATTTACTGGGAGCTATGGAACTGCTTTAATTACGGCAATAAGCTCGAGTAGTTATAATTATTGGTCTTCTGCTGAATCTTCTGATCCTTTCCCAGCTAAAAATAGAGGGCTTTATTTTAATTCTAACCAGTATTTGGCTGGATCTATTAATTTATCCAATACTTGAAGCATGAGTACGTGGGTTTATGCTATTTCTGGTACTTTAGTCAGCCACAGCTCTAATAAACTTACCATTGATTCCAGTGGCTATATTATTTTTTACTTGGAAAAATGAGACGCTAGCTCAGGAAGCTGGTCTGCTACTCAGACTATAACTTCAAACACATGGAGTTACGTTTCCTATACAGTTGGATTTTCAAATAAAATTACTACTGTTACTCCTTATCTTAACAATGCTGCTGCAGCATCTACTTCCATCACAAATTTTGTTTTTAGATTGCCTTCAGGAGGAACATTATACATAGGAAAAGGCTCAAGCAACTTTAAAGGATTTATCGCTCATTTTATGCTATGACAAGTCGCCATTAGTGACTTTTCTGCCTATTCTAGTATTGGCACATTAACTGGAGGGACAGTATCAACTTTATGGCCTTGTGATTACTCTGAATATTATGATGGAACTAATTGTGCATCATGTTTAGGTACATGCACAATGGGCTGCACCAGAGGAACATCTTGTTATATTTGTGATGATTTTTTATGTACCCAGTGCACATCATTTGCATCAGGAACTTGCACATCGTGTGTTACTAATGCTGCTGGCTCTCCTTGTACTTGCAATTCTGGGTATTATCAGCCTACAAATCAAGCTGTATGCTCTCCTTGCTATAATGGCTGTACCCACTGCATCGATTCTTCATATTATTCTTGCACTTCTTGTAGCTCCACCTATTTTTTATACAACTCTATGATATGTCTTTTGAGCTGTCCTTCAGGATATACAGAAAACTCAAGCACAAAAAACTGTGATTTTTCATCAACGACTGGGCTAAGCTTATCTCTTTATGATAAAATAATGCTTCATTCCGTTTCAGGAGTCATAATAGGAAATTCTATGTCAAATTATTACCCTAGCTATGATTCTAATGATCCTTATCCGGCCTATCTAAGAGGATACTATTTTACTGGCACAACTTATATGTCCTCATATACTGTGATTGGACCTTATTTTACTGTCTCTATTTGGGTGTATCCTACTGCAGCAGGAACAATTCTTGCTAAAACAGTTTCAGGGAATGAAATATTTTGTTTAGAAATTTTGAGTGGTTCAGGGTACCCTAAGCTTTCTCTTATTTTAAAGGACTCTTCGTCTTTTTCAGTTACTCTATCAGAAAATGCATTGAATGGCAGTTGAAATTATATTGCATTCGCAGGAACAATTGATGCAAGCCATAAAACTACAGTAAGCTCATATTTTAATTCTCTAACGAAAGAAACAGGATCATCATCCAATGTTATGTATTTTCAGGATCGCAGCGCAAACTATCTTTATATTGGGACAAAAGCTACCACAACCAGCGGCTTTATTGGATTTTTGTATGACTTAAATATTTATAACGTCGAAAACTTGCATTACAGCGACTATACAACCTCAAGCTGTATTTCTTCATGCTCAAGCTGCCCAATCGATCATAACTGTCCCGATAATGCACCAATTACACAATATTATGATGGGTCGACATATAGTAATTGTATGGGGTCTTGCACACAAGGATGCAGATATGCAGATACTTGCAGACTTTGTAAGACAAAACAGTGCTATGAATGTACTTTTTTCTCTGGATCTTGCTCAAGCTGCATTACAAATGCAGAAGCTGATGGGTCTGGCGGATGCCAATGCAAGACAAATGCTTTTTGGCATTCTAGTACAGCGACTTGTGATTTTTGTGATGCCCTTTGTTCTGTATGTAAGCAAACTACTTATTTTGAGTGCACTACTTGTGTCACAGGAAAACAAATAGTAGACATTATTTGTTTGAATGATTGTCCATATGGCTATGGAACTTCTTGTTCTTCAGTGACAACAGCAGTAATTGATCAATTATTTGACACTGATTTCCAAGGATCTTATGGGATTTTTACAACTGGAGCATCATCAAGCACATATCAGCACTTTAATTCCCCTGAAACTTATGACCCTATTCCTACATATGCAAGAGGGCTTTATTTTGATGGAAACATGTATTTATTATCTTCAGTTTCTGTCTATCTTTCACATAGTTTTTCAATGGGCGCATGAATTTATGTAGCTACTAATGGAGATTTATTACAAAAACAAACAAGGCTAACAGTTTCATCAACAGGCGCTATAACAGCTTTAATGGAGGACTCTGCACAAGCAACATCTACACAAACATTATCCCCAACCTCTTCATTTACTGGTTGGACTTATTTATCACTTGCTATTTATTACACCTCAAATGCTTCCATTCTTTCTATTTATATTAATGGGGTTTCTGCTGGCTCTACGACTATTTCTGGCAAAATTTATCGAGACCAAGCGTCAACCAATTTGCAATTAGGAAAAGGAAGCAGCTCTGGATTTGTTGGGTTTATTTATTATTTTCAGCTGTGAAACATCCAAATATCAGATTTTCTCACTATTATCAGTGGCTTTACATTTTGCGCATCTGGAGCTTCTTGTTTATGGGAATGCAGTATTTCTACTTATAAAAATGGTGCTTCTTGTTCAGCCTGCAATTCTTGCAATAAAGGATGTGTCAGGGCATCTACATGTAATGTTTGTGATGATTTATTATGTTCTGTTTGCTCTGGTTTTGGCTCAGGAAAATGCTCCCAATGCGTTTCTAATGCTAGTGGAGCTCCTGCTCCATGCGTGTGTGACCTTGGATATTGAACTTCAAATGATGGGTTTTCATGTCAGCCATGCTATACTGGATGTTCTCAATGTACAGGCTTAACTTATCAAAAATGCACAGCATGCTTTTCAGGGTATTTTTTCTTTGCACCAACTGGGCAGTGCTTAACTGAATGCCCAACTGGATATAGTGCGAATTCTGCAGGAAAAACTTGTGATTGGTCATCAGACTTAGGAATTGGCCTAGACTTGACTGACCAAGTGCATCTTGACACGGTTTCTGGTTTTAATGTAGGCTCTGTAAGTACAAATGCTTATCCTGACTGGAATTTAGATGCAAAGGATCCTATCCCTTCTTATAAAAGAGGCTACTATTTTTATCTTAGCAATTATTTATCATCTACTGTTATGATGTCACCTTCATTTACTATTTCTTTATGGACAAAACCACTGACCGCAGGAATTCTAATGACAAAATACACAACTAGTGGCATTTTTAAAGCTACTATAGACTCCTCAGGATACCCTTTGCTTTCAATAGTTTTTTCTGATTCTTCAACTGCTACTTTAACTACCTCAACAAGTGTAATAAATAGCTGAAACTTTTTAGCCTTCACAGGACAAGTCCAAACTGATGGCAAAACTAAGCTGAGTCTTTATATTAATACAGCGGCTTTTAGCGATATTACTACTACAGCTTTAATTTATTTTAAAGACACTAATGCAGGAACTCTATATATTGGAAATGATGAAACCTTTGGGACTTCAGGATTATATGGGTTTTTAGCAAGATTATATATTTATAACACTGATACTTATCATTCTTATGACTATTCATCCTCATGCAATACTGGCTGTTCTGTTTGTCCTTTAAATAACCAATGTTTAAGTGAATGCGATTTTGATAAATATCCTGATAGCTGCACTGCTTGCTTGACAGGCTGCAATCAAGGATGCGTCAGTGATTTAACTTGTCGACTTTGCAGGGATAAAGAGTGCCACTCATGCACTACTTTTTCAGGAGAATGCGCAAGCTGCATTACAAATGCGCATAAACCAGTAGACCATTGTGTGTGCAATACGAATGCTGTATGAGTCTCTAGTTCTCAGTCCTGCGAGCTCTGCAATACAATTTGTGGTACTTGCTCTACTGTTGATTATAATGGCTGTCTTACATGCACAGCAGGCTACTATCTGATTCAATCTTTATGCATGACTTTTTGCCCTACTGGATATGTTATAAATGGTAGCAATTGTGATACTGACCCTGCTTATACAGACTTTTTAGTGTTTAATTTAATGCCACACCAAATAAAAGATATTGTGCTAGATTTAGCTTCAAGTATCCCAGTTCTCACAGGCAAAGATAACAAATTTTACCCTACTTATGATGCAACTGATCCAATAGCAGCTATTTATAGAGGATATTACTTTTCTGGCTCAGCTTATATGCAGTTACCTCCTTATACAGGCACAGGTTCCCCATTACTTACTTTTTCACCAAAATTTACGATATCAGCCTGGATAAATCCAGTATCTGATACAGGCGTCATTTTTTCGAAGCAAACCGACAATGGAGGATTTGAAAAATTTGTGAGCCTTGAATTAGTAAGCAAATATCCATCACTTACACTTACATTGCAGGATTCTAATGCAATCACTTATACAAGTGCACTTTCCTTAGTGGAGGCTGGATTGTCCCAATGGAATTTTATTTCAGCTATATCTGATATCAGTGCAACTCCTCAGCAAATTATAAAATTTACAACAAATACATATACTGACATATCAAGTAATCAGCATCCAAGCTGATTAAATGATTTGCAAAGCTCATTTATAATAACAATAGGGGCAAGCTATCTTGATTCCACAACTCTGACGTCATTTTTTAATGGGTTTCTATGGGATCTAAAAATTTATAATACAATTACAGTTAGTTCTCTAACGTCAAGCTCTTGTAATGGGTGCTCATTGTGCCCAATAGATAATTCCAATACTTGTTTAGAAAACTGTCTTATAAGTAAATACTGAAATGGCTACAGCTGTGATTCATGCTTATCTGGGTGCTCATCTGTTGGCTGTGTAAGAAGAGATAAAAATTGTAACCTTTGCCAAGACGTGATATGTGAAATATGTGATGATTATACAAGCACTTGCATTTCTTGTAGAACACATGCAAGTTTAGTAGGTTCAAGCTGCCAATGTAGTGATGGGTATTATTGAAATTCTGGTAATGAAATCTGTGAACTCTGCGATATTTCTTGTAAAACATGCACATCTCCGAACTTTCTAGATTGCTTAACATGCGCTAGTGGTTATTATATGGCGTCAGGAATCTGTGGTACAAGCTGTCCTTTAGGATATGAAAAAAAATCAGGTGATTGTATAAGGGTTCAAGAAAAGATTTTTGACTTAGATTTAAATAGTTTAAACGGGGTCATTTATGATAAGGCAAGCTCGATCCCAGTTGTTACTGGATCTACAAAGCAATTTTACCCAGACTATGAAACTGATGACCCAATTCCAGCCTATTTAAGAGGATTTTGGTTTAACGGGCAAACTTCAATTTTAAGACTGCCAGAGTATTCAAATTATGCATCGCCAAGACTTGTGATAGCCCCAACCTTTACAATTTCTATATGGCTAAACATTGAAAGCCCTTATTCTTCTATATTATCAAAGCATAATATTTCCGATGGCTACTCGACTCTTTACTCAGTTAATTTAATGGATAGTAAGCCTATATTTTTAAGCAATTTAGGGTTACTGCCAATATTTTATATATGTGACGGATCACTTAAAAATAATGAATGAAGCCACGTAGTATTTACATTGGACACTACTTCAAATGGCTATAACAAGTTGTCTTGCTACGTAAATGGAATATCTTATCCATCAAGCTTAACAGGATACGGAGCTTTTCTAGATTCAGGACCTCATACTACAATGACTATAGGCGCTCAAACAAGCTCATCAGCCATTTATAACTTCTATCAAGGCTTTATTTATAGTATCCAGATGTTCAATTTAGCCAAATCAGTATCAAGCTTATCAACTACCTCTTGTACTGAAACTTGCAGTGTTTGTCCAACAAGTCAAATATGCATCCCTAACTGCAAAATAAATCAATATTGGAGCGGTCCTGCCTACAATAAATGCTACCAATGTAACACAAAATGCAAAAAAACCTGCAGGGACTGGAAACCTACTTGCTCACTTTGTAGCAATTTATTATGTGACGTCTGCACTGATTATTCTGCTTCAGGATGCTCAACTTGTAAAGAAAATGCGATTAACCCTGATTCATGCATTTGTGACTTAAATTATGCCCTCGACTCTTCTAATAATAACACCTGCATTCCTCTTGAGGCTGGAGGATTTAGAGGTTCTGACGGTAAATTTTATTCCTGCCCAAGCTACTGCACTTATTGTGCATCTCTTACCAGTTGTTCAGCTTGTGTAGAAAATGCAAGTTTGAATAATAATTTATGCTATTGCAATCTTGGGTACAATGGAATCAAAACTTGCTCGCTCGTCCCTTTTTCAGCATGGCTAACTGTTTTGTCAGATAATTCTCTTTACCTTACTTTTTCAGAAAGTCTTGCTAATGTTTTGACAATCAAAGACTTTACTATTACTATTGAAAGTCAAGGAAAAGTTTCATATAAAATGGAGCAGGTAAATAGTACCTCTTATTACCTTTCTTTATCTATTTCAGAAGAAGTTTCAAAAGGGTCGTTAGTAATTCTTACATTTTGGGATTTAGCTCAAGTGAGATCAGTCTCAAATGGTGTCTTAAACTCATCTGATATTTCTGCAGCTCTGAATTCGTATGACCCTGCGCCATATTCGAGCGCTGTTGCAGCAGTTGCAGCTCAAGCAAAAGCTGGTGTACAAGCTGCTGTTTCAGGGGCTATTGCTTTATCAGTTGTAAATCCAAGTCCAAGCTCGCTTTGGAGCATGATAAATACTTTGCAAATTCTTAATCCTTTTGAGTGGGAACATTTTAATAATTAAAAGTTCATTTTAAAAAAATTTCAATTTATATAATAATTTCAAATAATTTTTTTTTATATAAAATGTTTTTCTTGTGGATTGGAATGAGATAGTTACTTGACTTTATCAGGAATCCCTTTTACAAACAAAATGAGTACGTTTTTGAACAATTTGAACTCTTTTAACATAATGCCAAATGTATTTTCATATATCATAGATAAAAATGAAGGAAATATTCCGTATTCTCAAGCTAAAGAATTTGGATATGACTCTGATTTGATTCTTATTACTACAGGAAACGATTTTACACTGATATTGGCTTCTCTATCAGCTTTTCCAGTTATTTTCTTCTTTTCTCGATGCTCATACAGATGAATTGGTAAGAAATTTATGAAAACTGTCAAAGCTTATCAGTTTTCTTTTTACTTGCTCCTCACTTGTTTATGGAACAAAACCAGAAAATTAAGATCCTTACTCCCCCCCTCCGTGAGTGAACAAAAATTTTTTGTTCACTCACGGAGGGGAGTTAATTTTTTTTTTTTAAAAAATTTTATATATAAATTTTATAAAAAATTTTTTTTTCGAAATTTAAAAAAATCCTAATTCGCAAAAATTGGAAAGCAAATATTAATTTAATTTATAAAATTTATGTTTTTAAAAAGCAATTCGTTTAAAATTAAATAGAATTAGCTCTAGATTTCATTATACTAATTACCATTTATATATCTAAATTTTTTTCAATAAAAATTTTTTCTATTAAAAAAATTTTTGTTCACTCACGGAGGGTGGGTTTTTTAGGCAAAAAATAGCGATTTTTCTTATGGTTTTGTTCACTCACTGAGGGGGGGGAGTTAGTTAGTAAGTAAGTTAAGTTAAGTGCTATAAGGCTAAAAGTGGATAGACCACTTGCTTTGCTATCTGGTGTAAACCCACCTAACTTAAGGATAGAGCTACCTCTTGCAGATATCCCATTAGTCCCAATAAGTAAAGGCTAGGTGGAAGGCACGCCCATCTGCAGGGTCAGGGGACACCTTTAGGGAGAAACAAAACTTTCCTCTTAGGTAGGCATCCCCAAAACCTGAAGGCCAACTTTTCAAAAAGTTGTACAGGGCACTATTTTCAGCTTTTTCAGGATGGGTCTCCCCACTCCGTAGGAGTGCACCTTGAGTCCTCTTCTGTCAATGTCACCATCTTATTTCTATATGTTAGTACGTAAGCAATTTTTTTGTTTTAAACTATACAATTTTAATAGGCACTAAAGCCATTTTTTAAGGTGACCTTGGTGTATCAAAATGCTCATACTTAATTTTAAAGACTTCTACTTAATAGCGGATCTCTTGTCTCTTCGTTAAGAACCCTATTGTATAATTGTGTCAGTCTGAAAGTATGGCTTTTTAACTAGGACAGCGTTTATTGAGCGCCTAGTGCAATCTGGATTTAATGCTTTTGCGTAGCAGGTACTAAATAGAAGGATGGAGTGACTAAAACGACAAATCCCAAAAAGAATAATTAATCCTTACTGATGATAAGCGCCTTCCATTAATTATAGGTGTTTGCATAGCCATTTGAACTTCGGCACAAGAGAGACTCCAAGAAGCTGATCCTCAGAATTAAACTACTCCAATCGCCCATAGAATGGCTGCAGAAATCCATAAGCCATCCATCAGATGCAATAACTTCCTTCGACAGCTACAGAAAAAAGACTGCTCCACTGTGGCCTAAGCCAAAATCCCCAATTTCTCGTTAGAGGAGTGCCCTGGGTCCTCGGATCCAAAATACGTTGTCAGGCCCTCCATTTCCAACCACAGGAAGGAAGCCAAAACGACCTGGATACAGAAAAAAATTACCCATCATGCTTGCGAGCAATTTATTAAGCTCGGTATCCAAAGATGGGGAGTTAAGGTTTTGGATTCAATCTTACCTTGAGCTAGGAGCTGCTGCAAGTATTGGGCTGGTCACATTCGGATTTAGCAATATGACTCAAATCACCAATGTCATTATCTGTATCATTATTTATATTTCATTAGTTGTTACCCCTCCAGCATATTTTTGGTTTTCTTATAAAAATAGAAATAGAATCCAGTCTCGAGAAAAGACTTTTACTGCCTTATTCAGCTCCTTTTTTTATGAATTTCGAACTGATCGTGGGCTACTTGCAACGCAATATTACTTTGTGTTCTTTTTAAGGAGATTTATTTATATAATAAATTTGGTCTTTTTAAGAGACTACCCACAAACTGAAGTAACTATTAATATTGTCCTTTCTCTGATGACTCTTATGCATTTAATTTTATTTTGGCCATTTGAAGACTCTGTTTTGCAAGTATGCAATGTATTGACTGAAACATTAATTTTACTTATAATGAGCTCCACATCAGTTTATTTATTTAATTTAGATCAGGAAATTATTTCAGAATTTGAAAGTGTTATTGTAGCAATAGCAATAACAGTTATGGGGATCCAGGCATTTGCTTCAATAGCTATTTTTGCGAGAACATTATATGAAATTATCCGTCATAAGCTGACCAAAGCAGGGATTGTGAGAAGGAATATTCGTATGTATAAGCCTCATCTCAAAAAAGTAAAAAAATAAATAAATTATAAAACTTAAGCATATTGAATTACTCTAGCACAATTGTGCCTTAAGTATTTTGTTACTTGAGGTCCAGCTAAATTAACAGCTCTGAGCAGCGGTAGGTGGACCGGCCTAATCGTCGAGCCGTTAAAGTTAATAAGCCCTTCCAGACTTCTCTTGTCAGTACCAGCCTCAGCACCGACCTCTTCCCTTCAAGCCGAGACTCTCAAGAAGTTTTGACTCCTCTCACTAAGCTCGGATTACAGGTCCATCCTGTTTGAACAGGTACTAGGACCTATCCCTAACTGACATTTTTAATATTGTGAAATTATAAATAGATAAATTATGAGTAATTGAATCAGAGATTTATCCTTAGATTGCAATCCTGAATTACAGCAGACATAAACTCTGACTATAAGAACAGAAGCTGAATCAGTCCATCAATCCAAACTCTGAAACTTCCACGATTTTATAATAGATCTCACTTATTTCAATAGCAACTCTACTCTTTATAATGAAACATAAAAACAATCCAATTAAAGAATTTAGTTATTTTTATTTCTTCCAGTAAATATCACCATCATAGCTTTGACTGAGTTTTGATTACTTTGTCAAAGCATTCGATTGCTTCTATATATCTTTGTAAATCATAAAAAGCGTTGCCTTTATTATTGTAAAAAATAGCACTTCTTGGATTGAGTTCGATTGCTTCATGATATCTTTCTAAACTATAAAAAAGCGTTGCCTTTATCATTGTATAAATAAGCACTGAGTGGGCTGAGTTTGATTGCTTCATCATAGTATTCGATTGCAAATCACAAAAAGCATTGGCTTTATTTTTTTAAAAAAGAGCGCTTGGTCTGAGTTTGATTGCTTCGTCATAGTATTCGATCGCTTTATGATATCTTTTTAAACGAGAAAAAGCGTTGCCTTTAAATTGAAATGAAAAAATTATTTAAATAAAAATTAGGTTTTTATTTAAGAGTAAATTCATAATCCTTCATGCCAATAACCTAAAAATTTACCATAGGAAATTTATACATATATACTTGATTTTCTTGCTTCAAATTATAAGCCCTATTAAAGTCCTGCAAAGCTGCTTGCTCCTGTCTGAGATTATTAAATGCAATAACACGGTTGTAGAAATGCAAAGGATTATTTGGCTCGAGTATGATTGCCTCTTCATAGCATTGCATTGCTTCTTGATATCTCTCTAAAACATAATGAGTATTGCCTTTATCATTATAATACTTGGTGTTATTTGGATTGATTTTGATTGCTTTGCTATAGCTTTCTACTGCTTCTGGGTATCTTCTTAATTTATATAAAGCAGATCCTTTTTTCCAGTAAATATCATTATCATAGTTTGGTCAGATTTCGAGGGCTTTGTCAAAGCATTCGATTGCTTCTATATATCTTTGTAAATCATAAAAAGCGTTGCCTTTATTATTGTAATAATAAACATTGTTTGGATCGAGTTTGATTGCTTCATCAAAGGATTCGATTGCTTCTAGATATTTTTCCAAATCATAGAAAACGATGCCTTTATTATTTCACAAAAGAGCGTTTGGATTAAGTTTAATTGCTTCATCATAACATTTGATTGCTTTATGATATCTTTTTAAGCGAGAAAAAGCGTTGCCTTTATTATTGTATAAATAACCATTGTCTGGATTGAGTTTGATTGCTTTGTCATAGCATTCGATTGCTTCTAGATATCTTTGTAAAACATAAAAAGCGTTGCCTTTATCATTGTATGAATTAGCATTGCTTGGATTAAGTTTGATTTTTTTGTCAAGGCAATTAATTTCTGTTAGATTTTCTCCTAAAGTACTTAGAGCAATATCTTTTGAATTGCATTCATCCAGATAAGAAGGATCGAGATTAAAATCCTGGTTATTGCATTTTATGGCTTCAATCTTTTGACCTACTCTTCTAAGTAAGATATGCTTATTATAGTAAGCAGCATCAATAAGTTTTTTTTGATCTAAATTAAAATAATAGTGTTCTATAGCCGAATTATAAATCGCTGAGATCCATATTCCTCCTTTATTATATGAACAATACACTTGATAAGGATCCAAATTGATTTTTGATCTTCCTATTCGTCTCCAATTCGAGAAACTTCCAATTTCGCCTTCATAGATTAATCCATTTTCGCATTCAATCAAATATAGTCTCTCTGCATTTATCAGGATCTTTCATTTAGCAAAACCAAAATCATAAGGTATTGTTGAGAAAGAGTCAATATCAATTGAGTATAGCCAAAGATTTCTGTTTTCATATCCAGAAATCAAAATATTTCTATTTAATATTATGCTATTGCATTTGTAGTCACCTTGTGGCATTGGAGCTAATTGAATTCATCGATTTTGATCTAAATCAAATCTACTAGATAGAGTTAAATGACCTCTATCTCATCCTCCAAAGCAATAGACGCTGTTATTGAAATAGATATATGATGAGTATTCACAAGGAGTTCCAGATGGCAGCACTTCGAATCTACCATTCACATCAATCAGAACTGTAATCCCAGAAAGGTTAGTGTTAGCACAACAAAATAGCTTTCCGTTTGGAAGTTGAGTTATGCAAGCGAATTTATTTAATGGTTTTGGAGTCTGTAAGGTCTTGACTTCTAGGGTTTCAGTTTCAGTGTTATATATAATTAAATTAGTTCTGTTGTTTTGATTTCTTGGTATATTATAAAGAGATGTCTTTAGTATATAAGCTTTAATGTAATCTTGGTAAGCTTGCATTCGTAATGGATCATAAAAACTAGAATTATCTTGATATGCTGAACAAGTTCTTCTGAAATCCATCTCTAATTCTTGATTGTTTGGTCTACTCAAAATCTCAGCTGTTTTATTCCTTAATATATCTATAAAGCTTAAAGCGCTTTCTGTTTCCTTGGGTTTACTGTTGAAATCACTGCTTATTTGAGAATTAAGCAAGCTTAACTTATTTTCTGGGGTGTTTTTTATTGGCTTGTTTGCGTTTTCAGGCTCTTTCAAACTATCACTGTTCTCATTTATTATCAAGGAAATGGAATCCTTAGCGTTTGCTGACTCTATACTTGTTGGCTTCCTAATTTTATTATCCATTTCAGGGGTATTTTGCATATTCCTTTTTTCTAAATGAGCCCCGCATATTTCTGTAAAGAAGGATCTATTTAGACTATTTAACTTTTGCTTGAATATGTAAAACAGCTTTGCACCGTTGTATCAATATCTGCTAGCTATGATCATCAATTTTACTTTCTCAATAGCTTCTTGAGGCTGTAAACTCAATAATCCTAAAATTGGATCTTCTTCTGACTTTAATAATTTTTGAGTTTGGGAAATCTTTACAAAGAAATCATTTATTTCATCTGAGTAGCAATCCAACTTGATTGTGAAATTGCCAAAATCTTTTTCTGAATTATGGATATAGGAATCGATAATTTTACTTTTCAACTCGCTATATTTTGACTTTTCTTTTGTAAGGAATTCAAGAATTGCTTCTTTTGTCCCTTCATAAGGCTGCATAAAAATTGATTCAAGATTATGAGCTCTATTAGGCAAGTTTACATGCTCCCCGATATGCTCTCCGCACAATAAAGTGTCAGGAGAAGAGCATTTGCATGCATGCTCTACCTCATTCATACACTCTGGCTCGAAACATTTTTTGCCCATCATCTAATTATTATATAATATATAAAGATATATTATTATTTTTCAATTATCTTTATGATATTATGCTTAATCGCAATTAAAAATAAAACTAACACATTTCAATACTTTAATTTAAATAAAGATACTTGAAAGCTTCTGCTTTAACATTTATAGCATATGCTCATATTTTTGCATTTATTTCAATATTTCTCCTGCATCTTTATTGAGAGACCTATTTATTTTAGTTTTAAAAAATGAATTTTAACTTATTAAATTCTTAAATTGAAATTATATATGGCTTCACAAAATTGATAAATTTTTTAAAGTTTTTTATTTTAAATAAATCAAGTTCGGCATTCGGCTTAGCTTATTTTTAGAATAAATAACTGAAATTTTTATAGGCCTTTTTTATACCTGATCTTGATGCAGCAGAGCTTGGATTAATTATAAAAAAGATTTAAGATAATTTTTTTGACAGTCCTCTACTCTTAGCCGAATTTATTTACTTATTGCTGGTTATAATAATTCCATAAATTTAAATTATATTTGAAACATTATGATGCTCTATTTTTTTAGTTCTCTAAATTTGATAGAAATCTCAATCTCCAATTTATTATCACTTTCTTCTATAATGATCTATTGCTACAAAAGAAGCTCAAGATTCTTAATTTTATATAATTCCAAATTAGCTGATTTCTTAAATTTTTTTTTACTAATCTATATTTAGAACTGAGTTTCTAAGAGCTCATTTTTAGCTCAATCATCTTGCTTCAATTTATCATTATTTAAAAATTCTCCTGAAGTGAATATTTTTGATTTGCATTTAAACTTATCTCTTTCATTTTTATAAAAATATGTTTTTAAGTTTCCTTTTTATCACCAAAATTTGGTTGACTTTCAGCTGCTGCCCATATAACAGCTTAAACTGAGGGGCGTTAGGGTGCACATGCCAAAGTTCATCCAAATATTATGCAGACAGTAAAATATGCTTGACTGGGTGCCCTTCTCTTTTTTCGCCTGACCACGATGGTGTATCAGTGCTTTTTTGATGTGATACTCCTAGTGGGGATGATGCAATTTTATTTACATTGCCCTTTTCAACGGTCCAAGATGTAACAGGAACTTATATAGCAAGCTCAACTGGTTCTGCTGATCACTTTGTAAATCCCAGCTCAGTTTCTTATAACTCTGCCACCCGCACTTCTCCTCTCCCAACACTTGATCGCGGCTTTTATTTTGCCACCACTTCAGGTATAATCGGAAGCCAAAGTTATACCCCAGCTTTGTATTTCACTCTAAATATGTGGATAATACCTCTCAGCAGTGGAGAAATTTTGAACGTTATATCAGGCTCTACACAATATTTGCGAATTTATGCAGATTCCACAAGTGTATATAAATATTCGGCAAATATTTATGACTCTAGTGGTAATGCAAAATTTATGGCTGGGACTGCGACTTCAACTTATACTTCATCGTGACATTATGCATCAGTTGTTGTAAACCAATCGGATTGTGATACTATAAATGTATCTTTTTATATTAATGGCTCAGCAGTTGGTACGACAGCTGTAAATGGTGCTGAAGGAAGGTTTACAGTGATGACTTATTCATGAAAAATTGGCAATGTAACTGGTGGAAACTCATTTAGAGGATTTATGTATTGACTGCAAGCTAGATCAGATACCACTATGACTTATGGAACAACGACTCCTACTGTTAATTGCGTTTATAACCAATATTGAAGTGGTTCAGCGTGTGTGGATTGCGATTCTAGTTGTCCAACCTGGCCTTGGTGCAGAAGAGGAACTGACTGTGGCACTTGCAATACATCTGACTGTAGTGCATGCTCTGGGTATTCTTTATCACTGTGCTCAGCGTGCTTTACAGGTATTGCTCCAGGATGCTGCGATACTTATGGGACAACTTGCACACAAACTTGGTCTAATACTGGAAAATCTCTGATTGGAGGAGTTTGCTTATATGCATGCCCTTACGGGTTTGGGAATTGTGCAGCTGTTTCTTCTGCTGTTTTAACAGCTGATTTTACAGGGACATTTGCTGGGAGCTATGGAACTGATTTAATTACGGCTACAAGCTCTAGTAGTTATAATTATTGGTCTTCTGCTGAATCTTCTGATCCTTTTCCAGCTAAAAATAGAGGGCTTTATTTTAATTCTAACCAGTATTTGGCTGGATCTATTAACTTATCCAATACTTGGAGTATGAGTATGTGGGCTTATGCTATTTCTGGCACTTTAGTCAGCCACAGCTCTAACAAACTTACCATTGATTCCAGTGGATCAATTATATTTTACTTGGAAAAATGAGACGCTAGCTCAGGAAGCTGGTCTGCTACTCAGACTATAACTTCAAACACATGGAGTTACGTTTCCTATACAGTTGGATTTTCAAATAAAATTACTACTGTTACTCCTTATCTTAACAATGCTGCTGGGACATCTACTTCCATCACAAATTTTGTTTTTAGATTGCCTTCAGGAGGAACATTATACTTACTCCCCCCCCCCTCAGTGAGTGAACAAAACCATTAGAAACATCCCTATTTTTTGCCCAAAAATCCACCTCCGTGAGTGAACAAAAATTGTTTTATGGAAAAAAAAAATGATTATAATTGATAATTATTATAATGAAATCTCGAGCTAATTCTGTTTAATTTTAAACAAATTGCGTTTTAAAATATAAAAATTTACAAATTAAATTAATATTTGTTTTCCAAATTTTATAAAAGTGAGCTTTTTTTTACATTTCGAACAAAAAAAATTTTATAAAGAATTTATATATTTTTTTAAGAAAAAAATTAAACCCTATCCGCGAGTGAACAAATTTTTTTTTTCACTCACGGAGGGGGGAGTTAGGAAAAGGTTCAACAAACTTTAAAGGATTTATCGCTCATTTTATGCTATGGCAAGTAGCCATTAATGACTTTTCAGCCTTTTCTAGTATTGGCACATTAACTGGAGGGACAGTATCAACTTTATGGCCTTGTGATTACTCTGAATATTATGATGGAACTAATTGTGCATCATGTTTAGGTACATGCACAATGGGCTGCACTCGCGGCACATCTTGCTATATTTGTGACGATTTTTTATGCTCCCAGTGTACATCATTTTTGTCAGGAACTTGTACGTCATGCGTTACCAATGCTGCAGGGTCTCCTTGCACTTGCAATTCTGGGTATTATCAGCCTACAAATCAAGCTGTATGTTCTCCTTGCTATAATGGCTGTACCCACTGCACCGATTCTTCATATTATTCCTGCACTTCTTGCAGCTCCACCTATTTTTTATACAACTCTATGATATGTCTTATGAGCTGTCCTTCAGGATATACAGAAAACTCAAGCACAAAAAACTGTGATTTTTCATCAACGACTGGGCTAAGCTTATCTCTTTATGATAAAATAATGCTTCATTCCATTTCAGGAGTCAATATAGGAAATTCTATGTCAAATTATTACCCTAGCTATGATTCTAACGATCCTTATCCGGCCTACCTAAGAGGATATTATTTTACAGGCACAACTTATATGTCTTCGTATACTGTGATTGGACCTTATTTTACTGTCTCTATTTGGGTCTATCCTACTGCAGCAGGAACAATTCTTGCTAAAACAGTGTCAGGGAGTGAAATATTTTGTTTGGAAATTTTGAGTGGCTCAGGGAACCCTAAGCTTTCTATTATTTTAAAGGATTCTTCGTCTTTTTCAGTTACTCTATCAGAAAATGCATTAAATGGCAGTTGAAATTATATTGCATTTGCAGGAAAAATTGATGCAAGCCATAAAACTACAGTAAGCTCATATTTTAATTCTCTAACGAAAGAAACGGGATCATCATCCAATGTTATGTATTTTCAGGATCGCAGCGCAAACTATCTTTATATTGGGACAAAAGCTACCACAACCAGCGGCTTTATTGGATTTTTATATGATTTAAATATATATAACGTCGAAAACTTGCAGTACAGCGACTATACAACCTCAAGCTGTATTTCTTCATGCTCAAGTTGTCCAATTGATCACAACTGTCCTGATAATGCACCAATTACACAATATTATGATGGGTCGGCATATGTTAATTGTATGGGAACTTGCACAAAAGGATGCAGATATGCAGACACCTGCGGACTTTGCAAGACAAAAATGTGCTATGAATGTAGCTTTTTCTCTGGATCTTGCTCAAGCTGCATTACAAATGCAGAAGCTGATGGGTCTGGCGGATGCCAATGCAAGGCAAATGCTTTTTGGCATTCTAGTACAGCGAGCTGTGACTTTTGTGATGCTCTTTGTTCTGTATGTAAGCAAACTACTTATTTTGAGTGCACTACTTGTGCCACAGGAAAAGAAATAGTAGACATTATTTGTTTGAATGATTGTCCATATGGCTATGAAACTTCTTGTTCTTCAGTCTCAACCGCAGCGATTGACCTATTATTTGACACTGATTTTCAAGGATCTTACTCCGACCTTTAGGATAAAAAATTTTTTCTGCATTATATTTAAAATTATACATACATCATTTTTCGATTTTATAAAATTCGAAATTTGCATTATCTGAAGAAAAAATTTTATATAAATTATTAGAATAAGCAAGGAATCTTGCCATAACAGTTATTAATTGTATAAAAAATTTTTGATACAATTAGAAGTATTTATATAAATTTTTTCACTCTTCAGCAACAAGTTATGGGATTTTTACAACTGGAGCATCATCAAGCACATATCAGCACTTCAATTCCCCTGAAACTTATGACCCTATTCCTGCATATGCAAGAGGACTATATTTTGATGGAAACATGTATTTATTGTCTTCAGTTTCTGTCTATCTTTCTCATAGTTTTTCAATGGGCGCATGAATTTATGTAGCTACTAATGGAGATTTATTGCAAAAACAAACAAGGCTAACATTTTCATCAACAGGCGCTATAGCAGCTATAATGGAGGACACTACACAAGCAACTTCTACACAAACATTATCCCCAACCTCTTCATTTGCTGGTTGGGCTTATTTATCACTTACTATTTATTATACCTCAAATGCTTCTGTTCTTTCTATTTATATTAATGGGGTTTCAGCTGGGACTACGACTATTTCTGGCAAAATTTATCGAGACCAAGCGTCTACCAATTTGCAGTTAGGAAAAAGCAGCACATCTGGGTTTGTTGGGTTTATTTATTATTTTCAACTGTGAAACACACAAATTACAGATTTTCTAACTATTATTAGTGGCTTTACATTTTGCGCATCTGGAGCTTCTTGTTTATGGGAATGCAGTATTTCTACTTATAAAAATGGTGCCTTTTGTTCAGCCTGCAATTCTTGCAATAAGGGATGTGTCAGAGCATCTACATGCAATATTTGTGATGATTTATTATGTTCTGTTTGCTCTGGTTTTGGCTCAGGAAAATGCACCCAATGTGTTTCTAATGCCAGTGGAGCTCCAGCTCCATGTGTGTGCAACCCTGGATATTGAACTTCAAATGATGGTTTTTCATGCCAGCCATGCTATACTGGATGCTCTCAATGTACAGGCTTAACTTATCAAAAATGCACAGCATGCTTTTCAGGGTATTATTTCTTTGCACTAACAGGGCAGTGCTTAACTGAATGCCCATCTGGCTATAGTGCAAATTCTGCAGGAAAAACTTGCGATTGGTCATCAGATTTAGGGATTGGCCTAGACTTGACTGACCAAGTGCGTCTTGATACTGTTTCTGCGTTTAATATAGGCTCTGTTAATACAAATATTTATCCTGATTGGAATTTAGATGTAAAGGATCCTATCCCTTCTTATAAAAGAGGCTACTATTTTTATCAAAGCAATTATTTATCATCTACTGTTATGATAGCACCTTCATTTACTATAGCTCATGATCTCTTTTAGTATCTTTGGAAATTCCATTAAAAGGAAAATTAGATAAATCGAAATTAATAGATTAAGCATCTTTTAGATTTTCCGATTATTTTGCTATCACTTCCCTTGAGTTAGTGAGCAATTTTTTACTATAATTTACTCACCATAATAGATTGCTATACCACAGAATAATACTGACTAGAAAAAATATGGTCAAGGGCACCTATTTTATACCATTAAAGTCTGATTAGACATCTTAAAAAACAATAAACAGAGATTTGTCATTTTCGTTTTTGCTCTTCAAAAAGTGACAAGTACAAATTAATTTTGAAACTTAAAATGGATGGCCAATAATAATCCAGGAGCTATAGCAAGGTTAATTTTTAAAAAATGTATGAAAATTTCTATATAATTAAATATGATAGTAGAAACTATTTTATATCAAATATAAATTTTAGACACAAGCTGCCTAAAATTAATTAGCTATAGCTGAAATTTTCATCAATATTACCATTAATTATAAATCAAATTATTGCCTAAAAAAATAATAAAAATTTGCCTGCTAAGAAGTAGAGGAAGATTTCCATAAAAATACGCTAGCCAAGGAGTGGGAAGTAAAGATCCATTTGATGACCTAAGATTTATTTCTTTATGGACAAAACCACTATCAGTAGGAATTCTAATGACTAAATATGCAACTAATGACATTTTAAAAATTACTGTAGATTCCTTATATCCCTTGGGTTAACGAAAATCCTATAACCAAGGATTAACTTATTTAAGATAAATTTTATAATATCATATAATAAAAATATTGATTTTTGGGTATTCAAAATTTTTAAAAATCAAATTAAAAATCATTATTATAATGCAAAACAAAAACATCATAGAACTAGAAGGAGATTTCTTAATAATCATTACTGATTAGATACGATTATATTAATTGTTAAAAATTATACTAAAAAAATTTTGCTCATCTCTAAGGGTGTTAATTTCTCAAATCGGGATTTCCTAATGATTCTGCTCATATCAAAAGGGGAGTTAGGATATCCTTCTCTTTCAATAACTTTTGCTGATTCCTCATCTACTACTTTAACTACCTCTACAAGCATTCTTAATAGTTGAAATTTTTTAAGCTTCACAGGAGAAGTTCAAACTGATGGCTTAACTAAACTGAATCTCTACATCAATACAATAGCTTATCAAGATATTACTACTACAACTTTAATTTATTTTAAAGACACTAATGCAGGAACTCTTTATATAGGAAATGATGAAACCCTTGGGACTTCAGGATTATATGGCTTTTTAGCAAGATTATATATTTATAACGCTTATACTTACCAATCTTATGACTATTCATCTTCATGTAATACTGGCTGTTCTGTTTGTCCTTTAAATAACCAATGTTTAAGTGAATGCGATTTTGATAAATATCCTGATAGCTGCATTGCTTGTTTGGCAGGCTGCAATCAAGGATGCGTCAGTGATTTAACTTGTAGACTTTGCAGGGATAAGGAATGCTACTCATGCACTACATTTTCAGGAGAATGCGCAAGCTGTATTACAAATGCGTATAAGCCAGTAGACCATTGTGTGTGCAATACTAATGCTGTATGAGTCTCTAGTTCTCAGTCCTGCGAGCTCTGCAATACAATTTGTGATACTTGCTCTACTGTTGATTATAATGGCTGTCTTACATGCACAGCAGGCTACTATCTGATTCAATCTTTATGCATGACTTTTTGCCCTACTGGATATGTTATAAATGGTAACAATTGTGATGCTGACCCTGCTTATACAGATTTTTTAGTGCTTAATATGATGCCACATCAAATAAAAGACGTTGTAGTAGATTTAGCTTCAAGTATCCCAGTTCTTACAGGCAAAGATAATAGCTTTTACCCTACTTATGATGCAACTGATCCAATAGCAGCTATTTATAGAGGGTATTACTTTTCTGGCTCAGCTTATATGCAGTTACCTCCTTATACAGGCACAGGTTCCCCATTACTTACTTTTTCACCAAAATTTACGATATCAGCCTGGATAAATCCAGTATCTGATACAGGCGTCGTTTTTTCTAAACAAACCAGCAATGGAGGATTTGAAAAATTTGTGAGCTTTGAGTTAGTAAGCAAGTATCCATCACTTACCCTTACATTGCAGAATTCTAATACAATCATTTATACAAGTGCTGCTGCCTCTGTAGAGGTTTCACTTTCTCAATGGAATTTTATTTCAGCTGCATCTGACATTAGTGCAGCTCCTCAGCAAATTATTAAAATTATGACAAATACATTTACAGATATCTCAAGTGACCAAGATTCAAGCTGATTAAATGATTTACAAAGCTCATTTATAATAACAATAGGGGCAAGCTATCTTGATTCTATAACTTTGACGTCATTTTTTAATGGGTTCCTATGGAATCTAAAAATTTATAATACAATTACAACCAATTCATTAGTATCAAGCTCTTGTAACGGGTGCTCATTGTGTCCAATCGATAATTCAAATATTTGTTTAGAGAGCTGTCTTATTGGCAAATACTGAAATGGTTATAGTTGTGATTCATGTTTATCTGGATGCTCAACTGTTGGCTGCGTAAGAAGAGATAAAAATTGTAACCTTTGCCAAGATATCATATGTGAAATATGTGATGATTATACAAGCACTTGCATTTCTTGTAGAGCGCATGCAAATTTAGTAGGTCCAAGCTGCCAATGCAATGATGGGTATTATTGAAATTCTGGCAATGAAATTTGTGAACTCTGCAATATTTCTTGTAAAACATGCACATCCCCGAACTTTCTAGATTGCTTAACGTGCGCTAATGGCTATTATATGGCATCAGGAATTTGTGGGACAAGCTGCCCATTAGGGTACGAAAAAAAGTCAGGCAATTGTATAAGGGTTCAAGAAAAAATGCTCGACTTAGACTTAAACACTTTAAGCGGGGTCATTTATGATAAGGCAAGCTCGATCCCAGTTGTTACTGGATCTACAAAGCAGTTTTACCCAGACTATGAAGCTGATGATCCAATTCCAGCTTATTTAAGAGGATTTTGATTTAATGGGCAATCTTCAATTTTAAGACTGCCTGAGTATTCAAACTACACATCGCCAAGACTTGTGATTGCTCCTACCTTTACAATTTCGATATGGCTAAATATTGAAAGCTCTTACTCTGCTATATTATCAAAGCATAATATTTCTGATGGCTACTCGACACTTTATTTGATCTCATTAATGGATAGCAAACCTATTTTTCTAACTCCCCCCCCCCTCCGTGAGCGAACAAAAAAATTTTGTTCACTCACGGAGGGGGGTTAATTTTTTTTTTTTTAAAAACAATTTATATATAAATTTTATAAAAAATATTCTTTTCGAAATTTAAAAAAAAATCCTAATTTGCAAAAATTGGGAAGCAAATACTAATTTAATTTGCAAAATTTATGTTTTAAAACGCAATTTGTTTTAAAATTAAACAGAATTAGCTCTAGATTTCATTATACTAATTATCACTTATATAGCAAAATTTTTTTCTATTAAAATTTTTTTCTATTAAAAATATTTTTTGTTCACTCACGGAGGGTGGGTTTTTGGTCAAAAAATGGCGATTTTTCTAATGGTTTTGTTCGCTCACGGAGGGGGGGGGGGAGTAAGCAATTTAGGGTTGTGATCAGCATTTTATATATGTGATGCATCACTTAAAAATTATGAATGGAGCCACATAGCATTTACATTGGAGATCATTGCAAGTGGCTATAATAAGTTGTCTTGCTATGTTAACGGAATATCTTATCCATCAAGCTTAACAGGATATGGAGCTTTTCTCGATGTAGGCCCTCACACTACAATAACTATAGGAGCTCAAATAAGCGCATCATCCGTATATAATAACTATCAAGGCTTTATTTATACCATACAAATGTTTAATACTGTAAAATCAGTATCAAGTCTATCAACATCCTCTTGTACTGAAACTTGCAGTGCTTGTCCAACGAGCCAAATCTGCATACCTAACTGTAAAATAAATCAATTCTGGAGCGGTCCTGCTTATAATGCATGTTATCAATGTAATACAAAATGCAAAAAAACTTGCAGAGACTGGAAACCTACTTGCTCACTTTGTAGTAATTTATTATGCGATATCTGTACTGAGTATTCTGCTTCTGGATGCTCAACATGTAAGCAAAATGCGATTAACCCTGATTCATGCATATGTGATGTAAATTATGTCCTTGATACTTCCACTAATAATACATGCATTCCTATTGAAGCTGGAGGATTTAGAGGTCCTGACGGTATGTTTTATTCATGCCTAAGATACTGCACTTATTGTGAATCTCTTACTAGTTGTACTGCTTGTGTAGAAAATGCAAGCTTGAATAATAATCTATGCTATTGCAATCTAGGCTATAATGGGGCAGCAATTTGCTCACTAGTCCCTTTTTCAGCATGGCTCACTGTTTTATCTGATAATTCTCTTTATCTTACTTTTTCAGATAGTCTTGAGAATTCCCTTTCCATATACGATTTTACCATAGTAATTGAAAAACAAGGAAAATTATCATATAAAATGGAACAGGTAAATAGTACCTGCTATTATCTATCTTTATCTATCACTGAAGAAATTTCTAAAGGCTCCTTGGTAATTCTGGAGTTTCTGCATTTAGAAAAAGTGAGATCAGTTTTAAATGGCGTTTTAAATTCATCAGAAATTTCTGCAGCTTTGAACTCATATGACCCTGCGCCATATTCATCTGCAGTTGCAGCAGTCGCATCTCAAGCAGCAGCTAGTGCACAAGCTGCAATTTCCGGGGCAATTGCCTTATCAGTTGTAAACCCAAGCCCAAGTTCTCTTTGGAGCATGATGAATACTTTGCAAATTCTTACTCCCCCCCCCCCCCCTCCGTGAGCGAACAAAAAAATTTTGTTCACTCACGGAGGGGGGTTAATTTTTTTTTTTTAAAAAACAATTTATATATAAATTTTATAAAAAATATTTTTTTTCAAAATTTAAAAAAAAAATCTAATTTGCAAAAATTGGGAAGCAAATACTAATTTAATTTGCAAAATTTTATGTTTTAAAACGCAATTTGTTTAAAATTAAACAGAATTAGCTCTAGATTTCATTATACTAATTATCACTTATATAGCAAAATTTTTTTCTATTAAAATTTTTTTTTATTAAAAATATTTTTTGTTCACTCACGGAGGGTGGGTTTTTTGGTCAAAAAAATGGCGATTTTTCTAATGGTTTTGTTCGCTCACGGAGGGGGGGGGAGTTAGTTACTTGACTTTATCAGGAATCCCTTTTACAAGCAAAATGAGTTCATTTCTGAACAATTTGAACTCTTTCAACATAATGCCAAACATTTTTTCATACATCATATACAAAAACGAAGGAAATACTCCATATTCGCAAGCAAAGGAATTTGGATATGACTCTGATTTGATTCTTATTACAACAGGAAACGATTTTACACTGATATTGGCTTCTCTTTTAGCTTTTCCAATTATTTTCTTTTTTTCTCGATGCTCATATAGATGAATTGGTAAGAAATTTATGAAAACTGTCAAAGCTTATCAGTTTTCTTTTTATTTAAGATTTTGAATCCAATCATACCTTGAGCTAGGAGCTGCTGCAAGTATTGGACTGGTTACGTTTGGATTTAATAATATGATGCAAATCTCCAATGTCATTATCTGCATCATCATTTACGTACTATTAGTTGCCACGCCGCCAGGATATTTTTGGTTTTCTTATATAAATAGAAATAGGATCCAGTCACGAGAAAAGACATTTACTGCCTTATTCAGCTCCTTTTTTTATGAATTTCGAACTGATCGAGGGCTTCTAGCAACACAATATTATTTCGTTTTTTTTATAACTCTTTCTTGTAAGGAATTCAAAAACATTGGAAAAATCATACTTTTTATTATGAGCAAAACATTTATTAAAGTAAAAAATTTTATAAAAAAATAATTTGAAATATAAATAGTAAATAATAAAATTAAATCCTCTACTTATTATACTGTAATTCGCATATCTTGGATTAAAGTAATTCTGCAAATTGGATGGCTCAAATTTCAAAAATAATTATATGAAATTGTATAGTCCTTTCAAAGAAAACTTTGTTAAGTAATAGTGGACACTAGTAAGAAGATTGATATACATTATAAACTTGGTCTATTTAAGAGACTATCCACAAACTGAGGTAACTATAAATATCGTTCTTTCAGTAATGGTCATCCTGCATTTAATTTTCTTTTGGCCATTTGAAGACTCTATTATACAAATATGCAATTTATTGTCCGAAATATCAATATTTTTAATAATGAGCGCGACTTCAGTTTATTTATTTAATTTAGACCAGAAAATTATTTCGGATTTTGAGAATGTCATTGTAGGAATTACAATTACAGTTATGGGAATTCAGGCATTTGCTTCAATAGCTATTTTTGTTAGAACCATATATGAAATCATTCATCATAAACTTACCAAAGTGGGAATTGTAAGAAGAAACATTCGTACGCTTAAGCCTCATCTTAAGAAAGTAAAAAAATAATAAAATTATTAAATTTTAACTCCTATATTATGGCATATAATAAATCTAGAATTCATCTCAATGAAAAAGGTTTTATATTAGAATATATTATAATTTAAAAGAAAATATTTTAATTGTAAATATTTAAAAACAGTCAAATTTTGATAATATATTTAAATATTAAAGTAATATTAATTATGTCCAAAATTTTTTGCTATAAGTATGAAATCATACTACACGAAAGCGCAAAAATTTTATATTAAAAAATTTTGAATGATAAACATATAAGGACCGTGTGAAGTCGCAATGGCGCACTGCTAGATTTAAGCGTTTTCTATAAAAACCATTGCAATTTTTTTTTATTTGGTTTGCCAGTTTAGCTTGGTTTGGCAAAGTAAATATTATAAATGGAACGAGCTCAACAAAATTTATCAGCTCAAGAAGTAAGAATTAGCCAGATAATTTTTCTTAGGCAGCTGAAAACCATTATAAAAATAATTTCTATGCACATCTAGTAATATTAGATTGGCTATTAGTTTAATATGATAAAAGCAATTATAACTTTGTTTGTGCGTGGTAAAATAATGGCAAAATTATGCTACTTTAATTTAACAACCTCATTAAAGAAAATATAAAACCTTTGTAAAAATGTTTTACAAAATTGCAGGGTAAATCTTTAATATAAGCAATTAATACAGCAACTAAGTATTTGCTATAAATAGTTATCTATTTATATCTATGATATTAATATGTAAATAATTATCTTCATAAATAAATTCTTCCAGTATCTCAAATAGTCAAAAACGCTTTAAGATAACTATTGAATAATGCTAAAATTCAAGCATTTGAAAATATAAATATGGAATTAAATCCTGAATATTTTGCATAATAGCATTTAGGAAAAGATTGGCTATTGAACTTAACTGCATTTTAGGGCTGCTAAACTCCCCATTCGATTTAAAGTCATTTTAGAATAGCAAAACTTGCACTGTCTATTCAGCTATCAAAATGGGAATACAATTTTTGTTCATCAACGAAGAGGAAAGTAATTACAGTGTATCAAAATAAAATATTGTATTAAATAAATTAAATTTCTAACTTTTTAAATCAAAATAGCTAAAATTATACAGAATCTATTAATTGTTTTCAAGCTGTATATTTAATAGATCAAATGCAATTCCATCATCCAAGGATTGTATATCAGCATCCCAAAGTGAGCAATTGTACATCATACAGTCTTCTATAAATACTTTTGCATATTCTTTTACGTCCTCTAGTCCATTTTCTAAATCATCAATTTTGGCTTGTCATAATTTTAATTTTCTCTTCATCACATTTCTAGTATTTTCCCTATTATTTTTGTCTGAACTGACTTTTATATCTTTTAAAAATAATACATTTTCAGCTATCAGAGGGATAAATTTGTCCATTTGGCCACCCCTGCTGACTTTATTAACATCAAGAATAAACGCTCATTGAATAGTTTGGAAGCTGAATATTCGAGAGATTACTAACTCCCCCCTTAGCTATCGAACAAAACCATTGGAAAATTCCCTATTGTTTTACCGCAAAAATCTAATTCCGTGAGGAACAAAAAATTTTAAATATAAAAATTTGTATGAAAAAATATTTTTATATATAAGTGATAATTATTATAATGAAATCTCGAGCCAATTCTGTTTTATTTTGAACAAATTGCTTTTTTAAAACATAAATTGTACAAATTAAATTTGTTTTCCCAATTTTGCGAATTGGATTTTTTTATATTTCCTAAAAAGAAATTAACTATAAAAATTTATATATAAATTTTTTAAAAACAAATCAACCCTCCTATAGAGCTAACAGAATTTTTTTTGATCACTCACAGAGGGGGAGAGTAAGCATTCTAATAGCTTTAAGGCTGCCAAAATATTGATAGGGCTGGAACTTTTGAGGATAGAAAATAACGCAATATAAAGCCTAGGATAAATTTTTACCCAAAACTGCATTTTGTTATCATCAGTAAACCTAGAAAAGGCAACCCTAATTAGTAAAAAGCTAACTTCATAGTATTTTTCATCCTCCATCGCAGTTGCTAGATATTTAGCAATTGAATCGATAGCGAGAAAATAGTCGTCTTTAGCTCCACTATACATTAAAAACGCAATATTTTTTATTACATACCCGATTTTTCTTGTCGGATTTGCGAATAAACTCCAAGTATCGCTGGCTATCCTAAACGTTATATTTTCAAGAGTTTTTTCATGGCTTGGGTATACAAGCAAAGATGTTAAAATTATAATTTTGGATCATGTTTCTAAGCTGCTTGGAAATCGGCGACAGACTTCGAAGAACTTAGGATTGATAATAAAATTAATTACTTCTTTTCCAATGATTTTTCCAAGATTTGCACCTTCTTTATTTAGAAATGCCAAAATTAATTCAGAAGCTAAATCAACTGATAGGGTCGCTTCAGGCATCAAAGCAATCATTCGCAGACATACATTGGCTAAGCAGTCAGCCCTTATTTTTGCAGACAGTTCATCAGGATAGGCAAGGCATACAATTTCGTAGCCTTTGTCCATTAATGTTTTCATGAAAATTTTAAACAATTTCTTGTCTCCATCTTCTTCAAAGCCTGGATATGGCATGTGATAAGCATCTCTTGCTCAGGCATTGCAAATAGATAGAGCTTGACTGAAAACCTTTTGCACAATGCAATGGAGCTCTTTTACTAGACGAGGGTTTGTATATAAATTCATAGTGTGCACTCTTGATTTCAATATATATAAAATGTTGACTATGAAGATACCCATTTCTTCTCATCGAGAAAAACTTAATCTCTTTGTAATTATTGTTATTTTGGGTGTGTTTTTTGTGCATTTTTTAAATTTTATTATTGCTTAATTATGGAATAAAGTTAGTAATTTTAATACTTTTAGGCATTTTATTCAGAAATTTTGTTGAGTTTTAATTGAGATCTTCAGAGAGTCAAAATTCAAGAACAAAGAGTTCAGGAAGTGAGCGACACACAGTTCCCGGCCATCTGTGCTCGTTGAATCTGGAATCAGCAAGTACTCTTTCTGAAAATAAGCAAAAATATTATCAAAAACCAAATCTATGTCCATTCTGAAAGACTGAATCAATCGGACTATATAGACAAAATTTTTAGATTCCTGTGCACTCAGACAAAATTTAATTCAAATTATTGCAATTCCTTTCGTTAGTTCAAATGGATACTTATCCATTATTGGGTCAAAAATTTTTGCTATTTGAGCATGATATTTTAAATCATAATTATTCTTTGGGTTATTATAAAGTTTTATGCACAGTTTTAAATAGTTTTCTAGGTCTTTAAAAACCATAGTCATCAAGGCTGGAATTTTTTCATTTACATTTAGATTTTTTATATTAAGAGAGCTATGGAGTACTTTTTTTATAACTCTCCCCCCTCCGTGAACAAGATTTTTTTGTTCGCTAACGGAGGGTTAATATTTTTTTTTTAAAAATTTATATCATAAAATATTTTTGTATTAAAATTATTTTTGTTAGCTCACGGAGAGTGGGTTTTTGGGCAAAAAATAGGGATTTTCTAATTGTTTTGTTCGCTCACTGAGGGGGGAGTAAGCAAAATGACATTTTCGTCTCTATATTTTTCGGCGAGCTGGCAAGACAGCCTAATTAGATTTGCCATTGTTTGGTGCAAATTGGAGCCATCTAAATATAAAATTGATAGCCCTGGAATTTTTTTAATGAAATGAAGCCAGTAGGATCTTAAATTTTTATCACTTGTAAGAGGACCTCTACAAAGACAGGCCCATAAAAGTTCACTATTTAAAATAGTCCTAAATTCATAAGGATTTGGTGCTTTTTTGGTCAATTTTATGAATTTTTTCATCAAAATTAGCATATAAATTTGAACTGAGCTGGCCTCAACTCCTAAAGCCCTTATCAATACATTTGCACAGCAAGTCAGCCCACGAAAAGCAAGCTCAGGGTTCATGTAGTCTGAAATCTCTTCAAGGGCATTGCAGATAGCCCAGTTAAGTTTCTCCACGTCCAAATTCATATTTTCCATAAATTCAAAACACCTCAATACAATGAGATCTCCATAAGTAATTCTTTGGAACAAAGGGGAGCTCTCTAACGATAAGGCTTTTTCGCTGAGGTCTTGTGCATTAATTTCACTTCAAATATTTTTCCCACCAATTTTGGAAATCCCTTGGAGAGTTTTAAAAGATTTAATGAATTTTTCAATATTTTCAGACTCGCATTTATCAAGAGAATCACAACTTAAATATTGGCTTGATGCTTGACTGAAAATTATAGCGAGAATAGGGTCCATAGTAAATGGAATTACTTTGTCTGATGAAAAAACCCATTCTTTTGCTAAGTGTCTTATAAGTGGGCTTTCATCGTTTAGACATTCAATTATAAAGAAGACAACTTCTCCGTTTCCCAGTACACTTGAAAGAGCTTCCATATGATTTTCTGAAGAAATCTTTCAAAATTCGATAAATATCCTAAGACCTTTTGCTGTATTTGGCTTTTGGAGAAGAGATATAAGAGCCTCTAGCCATACTTTTTCACTAATTTTACTATATTCAATTAATAAATTGCAGGCTGTTTCTTTATGCTTTGTTTCTATTAGAGTCCATAGTTGTATTAATTGAGGAATTGAAAGGATTTCACCTTTTAAATCGATCAATGCATTATAGACAAGAAGCAAAATTTCAGTTGATCTTGGCTTAAGATTATACAGCTGTGGAAGATGCTCATGAAAATCCGCTCCAATTCCATGAAATCTGACCAAAATTGATTTAATTTTTTCAATTATTTGTAGATTGTATTTTTGATCAGTTAGCGTGTTCATAAATAAGTAAAATGATAAATTTGCAATAGATTTATTAGTAAATTCATTGTTATTTGATAAGATTTCAATATCATCAATTAAAATTTCAATAAACTCTGGCGACTCAATACAAATTGCTAATAATTTTTCAATTATGACGTTTATGATTTCAGAGTTGCATTCTATATAACTCATAGAAAATCGAAGAATCCTTACCCTACTTTAACGAGATAGCAAATTATTAGAAAAAACTCTTCTTTTTAGAAAGTAAAACATTATTTTAATATAATAGTCTTTGTATAAGATTTTGAAATATAATTAATTATTAAAATAATGAGTTCCTCAATTAAGTATGCTAATTTAGAAGCTTTGAATCTAGATGAATTATTTAGCTCCAAAAAAGCAATATTTTAATATAAAAATCAAATTGTTTGTGCTAGCAACACATCCTCTATGTATCGGATAGTCTTTTAGTTGCAAGAAGCCCCGAAAGGCTGGGCTAGCCTTAAAGCAAAAAGCTCAGAACTATTCCAATGATTAGTGGCCTTGGTCAAGAAACATTATTTTATACATTTTGCAAGCAGCACCCGAGAAGTGTCGCATATGCAGAGATAATAAGCACATCTCGTAAATAAATCTAAATTACTCTTTAAATAATATTTTTAATTAAAAAAACTTGCTTGCTCGCCAAGTAGAAATTAGGACTTTTTGTGAATGCAGCCTTATATTATTTTCAAACAAAGAAAAAAATAATTCCCAAAATACCATATGATTCAAATTTCTGGTAACATTTAATGCCTTTCCATGTATCCCTGCTTTTAATCTATAGAAATAAGTAACAATATCTAAAGAAATCCTATCAAGAACTGGTGTCTTGATAGGCTTTGTATTATAAATATATTCCAATAAATCAACTGTGCAATTTTTAGCACTAATTGAATTTTCATTTTTCTTAATAATTTCTAAATTCTCTTTAAAAATCTCTCTGACACAAGCAGCCAAAAAATCTGCTTTTTCAGCATCAATTTCATCTTCAAAATCATTTGAGCACAGCCATTCGCTTATCCTCACAATAAAATCGCCATTCATTTTCGTTTGTCTCAGCACCGATTTTACTAAAATTTTTAGTTCTGGATATATATAGTTATCGCTTTCCAGTGGATAAATTCTGCGAATTAAATTTAAGACACTTCGTTTTACTTCTTTATCTTTATCTTCAATTGCCTCAGCCAAAGCTTTTATCATTAACTCCTTTTCGCAGGATTCCATGTCAAATCTAGAATGCAAAAACTGCAGGGCAGCTGACCGAGATTTTGATGATTTTAATACAATAAGCCAGATGGAGCCATACAAGTCTTGCTTCATTTTAACGGCTAGGATGTCCAAAGTCTGGCTGACCCTTTGGAAAACTTTGGGTAATTTAACAGAACCTGAGAGCAAGCAGCTGATTAGGTCGAAAAAGATATGTTTCAGATTGCTTATTTCTGGCAAAAATACGCTTTCTATTATTTGCATAAATTTGTTTTTGCAGCTTGCTGAGGCGAATTGGAAGAAAGGAAAAAATCCAGCTGATAATATATGATATTGGTGCAGAGGGATCTCATGGAAAATGTGCTTATAAATGCTTAAAGTGAGTTTATGCACTTCTTCAGACTGATTTGGCATAAGGCACTGAGATAGAAACTTAGAGTATTGGTGCAAGATCCCTGTCGGAAATCTTTGGTCTTTATGTGCTTCTATAATTTTCTTGCTCTTCCCCTTTAAATTGAAACAAATTATCCATTTTTTAGGTAATTCACCTAACTTTAGATTGGAACAAAATTTTTATTTTATAAGTTAAAAAAATAATTTATTTCTATGCAATGACTTTAATTCCCTATTTAAACCCTAAAAGTCTAAAATTTACCTGCAATTTATTCTATTTTAGGAAAATTTAAGCAAAGATAGCACTTTGAATTGATAAATTTAAGAAACTAATATAAAAAAATTTTTATTATTTTTTTTAAAATATATCGGCTTTTCCCATGAATAGCCTCCATAAGGCAATGATTTGCCCATGGGGCTTAATTTTTTTATCACATAGAATTGATAAATTTATGTCAGACCAAAAATACCCCAATGGGCAAATCATGATATTATGGGCTATTAACAAGAAAAACCGATATTTAATTACCTTTAAATTGGAGAGCTTTATTAAATTTAAAGTAAATGAGTTAGCACCTTGAAGCCAAGCTATTAAGTCAATTCACTGCCAAGACCTAGAGTTCTTGGTTTGGTTAAAGCATTTTTGCAAGCTATCATAGAATTCTTGTTCCATTTTCAAATTACTTAAATAAATAATGCTTACAATAAAGCCATCAGTTACTAGCAATCACGATGAGTCTGGAATTATTCTTTCAAATAAACTCCTGACTGACCTAGAAGTGCTCAATTTAACCCGAGAGCTGCAACGCGCTGACACCAAAGCAAAAGTAATTGATCTTTCTTTTAATAATCTCAAAGATCGTTCAGGAGTCTATATTGGAAATTTACTAGCTCAAGGCTATGATTTAAAAACTCTCAAACTAACTGGTTGCTGTATAGAAAAAGATGGGGTGCAGCGAATTTTGGAGACTTTGAACAATAGCTCTAAGCTTAGATCTCTTGATATTGGCCAAGTAAGCGATATCGGACTCAGCATTCTTGCTAAGTACGTCCCAAGATCTAACTCATATATGTGAATAAACAAATTCTTTTTGCCCACTAAGAAGTAATTAATTTTTTAAATGTAAACTATACAAAACAATTTTTTTTTAAAAAAAACACACAATTACTTAAAATTCATCAGAATCAGCAAAAAGATTTTTATTAAATTTTTACAAAGGCTTTGTTTTTCCAAAAATAAGGGGCTTTCAATGATTTTAAACACACGTAAGATGGAAGGAGTGAGAAGCTAAAATACCTGGCTTTTCAAGAGTTTTCTGAAGGCTGCTGAACTGAAAATGCAAAAAGAAACGCAATTGACGCTTTATACCAAAGCCAAAGTCTTTTAGATGTAGAAATCACTTGTCTAGGCCATCAAGATTTTATTGAAGAAATCCAAGCAATCTGCGACAGAAATAAAAAAGCACATGCTCAAAGGAAAGAAGAAAAGCTCTGCGCTCAACGTCAAGATCCAAAACTTTTCGCTGAAGAAATCCAAAAATTCATCGAAGGCTCAGCTCAAAATCTGCCCGTCAGAGTTTACCTTGAAAATTCTTTAGGAACCATCCTCAACGATACTCTCTATGAACTCGCCAAGTTCAGGCAAAAAGAAAGCGACCCTTCTCAGAATACAGCCTCAAAAAATATTAAATGGATAATCCGGCACATCATTGATAACTATTTCCCAAATAAATAGATAATATTTATGAATAAATCTATGTCTGAAAAAATTTTCGATTTATTTTTACAGGCAAGAAACTACCACGACGCCTGTGACCTTGAAAAGGCAGCCGAACTCTATAAGCAAGCAATAAATCTCGCGAATCAGCACTCGGTAATTCCAAGTGAATTATTGGATAGCTATGCAGAGCTTTCAAATACTTTAGGAGACTACGAAACAGCTGCAAATTTGTACAGAGAAAGTATAAGGCTTTTTCCCTCTGAAAATTCGTCAAAGTATATGGCTCTTGCTCAATTAAGCCATGGGCATGATTCACTTGATCTTTACAAAAAGGGCATCGCCTTATTGAAGAAAAACCAAGAAGACGAAGGCATAAAGTCTCAAATTGCTTCTGCATATGCAGCGATCTCAGAATTATTCATGACAGATCTTTGTGATGAGCCTAATGCAGAATCCACCTGTGAGCTCTGCATCAAAAATGCCTTAAAATTTGATGATACCTGCATAGACGCCTATCAGATTTTGGCAAATCTAAGACTCATAAGAGGAAACTACGCTGAAGCCAGAGACGCGATGGAAAAATTCAAAACAATTCTATTGCATTGCGGAGTTTTCAATCTGCCCTCATCTCAATCCCTTGGCGAGTCCTCCAGAACTTTGGTTGAACTTGAAGACTGAGACGGCGTCTTATTTGTCTGCGACGTCGGCCTCTCAATTGACGACACACAAAATGAACTTATTTACATGCAAGCTTTTGCATTATACAAGCTAAACCGAAAACAAGAAGCCAGCGAGCTTCTAGATTTCCTAAGCCAAAAACAACTAGACTCAGAGCTCCAAGAAGCAGTCAGCGAGCTACACAAGTCACTGTCTGAAAATTAATAAGATAAGTATAAATACCAAATTAAACTTAAATGCTCCGCCCTCAAAAAGACTTTTCAAGCAAACCTCAAAACAAATCAATCAAAGGCCCTTTGTCTGTCACAAACGCACGAAAGCCAATTTTTAAAGCCAAACGATTCCTCATCTCAGGCACCACAGCCCGCACAGGGTCTCTTGCTTCTGCGCGGGATCTTGACGAATGTTTAGAAAGCAGCGTTGAACGAAAACTTTCAAATGCAGACTCTGGAGGAGAGTCCCCAAAAATGAAGCCTCCCAAGCTGCCTCTATCAGGAGAAGACTCTGTGAAGAAAAACCTCAATTTTGATGCAGAAGAGCTAGGAAACAATTTTTCATTACTAATGACTCCTTCAGGACATGAGAGTTTTGGGAAGAGAAAAATGAAGGATGACGGAGAAATTGTGGAAGGAAAAAGGGCTAAGAATGGACTGAAAAAGTTCTTAAAGGCTCTTTATGACCCAGATCTTGGGCAGAGCGAATACTATCGAGTGTATCAGGAAGAAGAAATTGTTAGCGATAGGGAGATACAGCAAAACATCATTAAGAGCGAGATTGATGAAGACTGCCCCACAAATGACTCACAAATTGAAATCTGCATTGAGTACTTGGCTGCTCAGGTGGAAGAAGCCATACTTAATGAAAAATAATTATGTAAATTCGCATATTTAAAATTAACGTTATTGGGATTCTCAGCTAGCTTAAATAAACTATTTTTTTATTTAAGCAGATGAATCCCAAAACTTTCATAAGGGTCACAATATACTCCATTTGTGGTCACTGAGCTTAGCTTTTCTATGTCTTCTTTTTCCAAAATCAGCTTTTGAGCTTCAATGTTCCTATAAATAAATGTGGCGTCTCGGCTCGGGCGCCCTGGAAGAAAATGCAGTTTCGAGCACATATTTATTATATCTGGGCAAGATTTTTGTCAACCCAAAAATGGGCAGCTATGCTAGGTAACAATTCTGGCACTTTTAAGAACCTAGCCCTATTCAGCTTTCAGGATTGGATTTTACCGAGGAAAGAGGAGGTTCAGAGTTAGAAAGGGAAAGACCAGCATCGTCTGCATGCAATGCCTAGACCAATCGGGGAATTTCCTAGCGTAAAACTGAGAGTTTTGAATTTTACTTTTTGCTGGGATTAGACCAGAAATTCTATTTTTTTTGATTTTTTGGGGCAACCTTAATACATCATCTAATACTGGAGCCGACAAGTCAATTAGGAAATAGAGACACAAGGCTATACTTCAGATACTATGGCAGCAAGCACTGAAGGAGAAGAAGGATGGCGTCCAAACCTTGGCTACCTGGCGAATCCTCACCTCATTCGAGCAAGTTCTCCTGGCGATGTCACTAAGAGTGTGAATCCTCTGCGGGGATCTTTGGTACTGTATTACTAACAGTCAAGTCGCTAAACCTTAAATAAGTGCAAGTTTAAGGGCTTCAAAGTTCCCAATAATTCTTTTTGGAGTTTCAGATTTTACAATTACTCCACAATTTCTTGCTAAGCACCATGCTATAAGCAATTGTGCTGGATCAACGTGATATTTTCTGCTTAAATCAATAACCACTTGGTCTTCCAGTGCACATTTTTTGAATTTGGAAAGGGAATCATTTATAGGATTATAGATAACTCTATATCCCAAAGGGACAATTTTGTGTAGATGGCAAAAATCTACAAGCTCATGCTGGGGATTAAATATCGATATTTCGATTTCATTAGTCTCTGGCTTTATTCTTGAGTATCCAAGCATATCTTGCAATAGAGCAATTGTAAAATTAGACACTCCTATGCTTTTCACTAATTCCCCCATCTTTTAAATTGATATAAACATTAGTAAAATTTCCGTTGTTGGGTAGTTTGACCCTCTATATTGGAATACATTTTTTTTAATAAGAAATTTATAGTTTAAAGAAATAATTTTTTAATATTCGTTTTGCCCTAATTTAATCGAAAAAGTAGAATCAAATTAATTTAAACAAATTCACTCTGAATAGACCGATTATTTAATTAATTTTATAAAATGATTTAAAATCCAAAAACATTGGTTCAATTTAAAGAGGAGAGTAAGCCTTCATCTTGAAGTTTTTCCATCTGTTCTCATATTTTATAAAGGGGATAATAGTCTACTAGAGAAAGGTCTTTTGATGGTGAAAAGACTGGAGGATCTTTACCATCTGGCTTTAGAGATAAGGGTCAGTGAAGAAGATATTGACCAAAATACGATAGCTTGAGTCTTGATAAAGAATTTATACAAGCTGGCCTTATGTCCCTATGGTGGGTTAGCCAAGGCTTTCCAATGATATATAATTCTTTACGCGATATCTTTCCAGAATTAATAAAATCTTGTAATGCATCTCCAATAGCATCCTCGTTCCCATAAATTGAAGCTGTATCGATGTGTCTGTATCCGGCCTTAATCCCAATCTCTAAAGCATTTCTTATGTTTGCAGACGCTATGTTAAATGTTCCAAATATTAGAGTAGGCATTCTTTGATTAATTAAGAAGAAATGCTTCCATATGCAAAAGTAAATAGATGAATTATAAAAATGAGGAATCAATCACTTAATCTATGATTAAATCATCACATAATATACTTGAAGCGGGCTTAAATATATCTCTAGTTAATTCAAGGCGTTAGTTTATTTTGTTCAAAATTTTATAAAAAGCAATTAATTTAATATTAGAAAGTTTATAAATTTTATATTTTCATAAAATTTTAGAATATTTATTGCTCATTATTGAATTCTTATATAAATATGGAATTTTATATTACTAATCAATCACCGGATTCTATTTTATCCTAAAATACAAAGCTTAATTATTTTTTTAATTTTTAATTTAGTTAACTCATCATTTTTTCAAGGGTAATTAATTTTCGAATCTTTATTTATTTATTTTTAAAACCTATTTTTGAGCTGAGATTAAATATTTTTTATTTATAAATATTGATTTATTTTAACTTATTATTAAAATAATATTATGATGCAAATTGTGTGTGTAATTTAGAGTAAGTAAAAAGACATTTTGAGAAGGGCTCCGTGCATATGATCGGAATAATTCCCTCATATGACTTTTTCTCAGGTATTTTGCTGTAATTTTTTCTCATGAAAAATTTTGATAGAATTTAACTTTTTTCGAGAAAATGTCACACGAGGAAAATACTACGACTGAGGAAATACCATATTAGGGAGAAATTCCTATCAAAACACGAGCAATGTTTGAGATTGATTAGATTACTAAGTTAAAATAGGTCTTCATGGTTTATTTCAGCCCCTCTCCACCTTGTCGATTTCAGGCTCCTTGCACAAGCATCGGTTTCCACTTACGCAAAAAATGGTGACGTCGCCATCTATGGGCAGACGCACTCAGGCGCTTACTTGTAAACTCTTAAAGGTCAGCGCCAACTCTATTTGAGATTGGGTGGTAGTGGACGTCCCCAGATCCTCCTTCTGGTCCACATTACACTCGCATCCAGAAGTACGGTGTCCCAACCAGGGAAAACCATCCCGTAAACAAATCTCCAGGCCCCATCCTCCTTCTTTTGTGCAGCAAGGTCCCAAATTCTGAGATTTTCTGGAGAAAGACGGATATCTTACCATTTTGTTTGTGTGGGCAACGTTTGAGAAGTTTTCTTTTTTGATGTCAACTAGTTTATCCTATACTCCATGAAATTCACATATATCCGGTAATGAGAAGCAAAAAGCTTGATAAATCCATAATAATTCTTTATTTTCATAGAGCCCTTAGCAGATTGATGCAAAGGATTATTTCTGTCAAATGATTATCTTAATAAACCAGATATAAATGAAACTTTAAGGCCAGAATAAGCTAAATAAATGAAAATCATTTATAATATTAATTAAATTACACCATTAAGTCACAGAATTCTCCTTCATTGAATTATCTATCTTTATTTGAATAATAAAATATAAAATCAAATGGGCTGCGGAGCCAGTAAAGACAAAGATCCTAAAATAGTTTCCGGAATTATTAAAGTAAAGCAAGTTGAAGACGAAGAAATAGATCAAATAGTAGAGCTTCCCCTGAGAGCTCGCGAAGAGGACATTGACTTATTTTCTATAGTAGAATTGTCAATTAGTTGTAGTAACCTTCACCACTATGAGCACTTCAGAGTTCCTGACCCAATGGTGATCTTTTACGTTGAAGACGAATCAGGGGCTTGCACAGAAAAATCTCGAACGGAAATTCAAAATTGTTCACAAAATCCATCCTTTATAACTTCATTTAAAGTCTCCTATTGTTTTGAAAAACAATTGAAATTTAAATTTGATGTCTTTGACATGAAAGATCCAAACAACCCGAATTTAGACAAGCAAGGCTACATTGGGACCGTGAGGTGCAATATCCATGAAATTGTCTGTTCACCGACTCGGAGCATTGCAAGGCAACTGGAAAATACACAAAATAAAAGAAAAATAGGCTTGTTCACTGTGAGTTCGGAAGAAATGAGCGATTTAAATCACCATGTGAAAATGCAGTGGGAAATTGACAGCCGAAACTTGAGAGGGCCACTGTTTATAAAGCTTTATAGAATTTCTCATGATAATGAAGTCCCTATCTATCAAAGCGAAACGTCAGATTCTCATCCCTTTAGATGAGATATAATTGATTTATCAGTTAATAATCTATGCAGAGGCGATGACAGGAGAAAAATAAAATTGGAGGTCTATAAAAGTGATAGGAAGAAAAATGAATTAATTGGAGCTTGCCAGTTTTGTTTAGCAGATTTAAGGCAAAATAATAATTTCCAAGACTTTATTTCATTTGGAGAGAAAACTATTGCTACATTAAACTTAATCGGATTCCAATATGAAGAAAAAGTAACCTTTTTAGACTATATTTTTGGAGGCTGTGAAATTTCTTTAATTGTGGGAATCGATTTCACCAAAAGTAACGGATTGCCTTCAGCTAATAACTCCTTACATTATTTGGACATCGACCATCCCAACGAATACATCCAAGCGTTATCCGCAGTTGGCGAAATTTTACAATATTACGATTCTGATAAAAAAATCCCAGTATAGCTCATGCACCTTTATGGATCGACCTCATTGAAAATGTAACCGCTCTAATGGACTTCCTATATCTTGTACATCTTAGAATAGACCCCTCACTATTTAGAGAAATATTTAGACTATTATAAAAAAATCCCTAGTTTTAAACTAGTTCCATATAGTTTTTATATTATTGTTTTTTTAATAATTTGAAAAATGTTTTAAAAAATCAGCATAAGATTTTGCCAAAAGAAGCCAAATCATGTTTTACAATAAAAATAGTTATTATCTCTTGATATTTGAAAAATACGATTTTCGCGGTAAAATGTTTTGGCCCAAATATTGGAAATTAAAAATAGCGAGTCAAAAAATTTTTTGACAAGTGTGAACCATTTTGACAATTAAACGATCCAATTTTAAAAAAATATCTTTATTATAAATATTAATTTTTAATTTAAGATATGATTTTAAATAAAAAAATGGCAGATTTATAGTGACTATAGGAAAAAATGTTACCCCTCATGGAGCAAGCTCCTATGAAGAGTTAAGGTCTGATTTGATTGCAAAGCTTTATCAATTTAAAGGAATTTTATTTTACCCAATGAACTTTTTTTGCTTCGATTTAGTCTTGAAGATCTCGTGTTCGCGTTTGAATTTTTTTTATGGTATTTTTGACTTTAAAAAAAAAATGGCGACTTATAGTGACTATAGGAAAAAATGTTACCCCTCATGGAGCAAACTCCTATGAAGATTTAAGGTCTGGTTCAAATGCAAAGCTTAATCATTTAATATAAATTTTATTTTGCCCAATGAACTTTTTTGCTTCGATTTATTCTTGGAGATCTCGTATTCGCATTTGAATTTTTTTTGCTTACTTTTGACTTTAGAAAAAAAAATGGCAGACTTATAGTGGCTATAGGAAAAAATGTTACCCTCATGGAGCAAGCTCCTATGAAGAGTTAAGGTCTGATTCAACTGCAAAGCTTAATCATTTAATATAAATTTTATTTTGCCCAATGAACTTTTTTGCTTCGATTTAGTCTTGGAGATCTCGTGCTCGCGTTTGATTTTTTTTTAGGTATTTTTGACTTAGAAAAAAAAATGCAGACTTATAGTGACTATAGGAAAAAATGTTACCCCTCATGGAGCAAGCTCCGATGTAGAGTTAAGGTCTGATTCAAATGCAAAGGTTAATCATTTAATATGAATTTTATTTTGCCCAATGAACTTTTTTTGCTTCGATTTAGTCTTGGAGATCTCGTGTTCGCGTTTGAATTTTTTTTATGGTATTTTTGACTTTAAAAAAAATGGCAGAATCTTATAGTAAGTATCGAAAAAATGTAACCCCTCATAGTGATGTTCCTATAAGGAATAATATGAAATAAATACAAAGCCTAATTGTTTAAGCTGAATTATTATTTTTATTAAAGAGCTTTTATTTTTCTCAATATCAACTTGGAGATGATGTGCTCATATTAAAATTTTTTTATTAATATTCTTTAAATTTAAATATTATTTTTATTAATTAAATTAATTTTAAGTTAAAATTAAATGGACCAGCCATTTTTTTTATTTAAAATCATATCTTAAATTAAAAATTTAATATTTATAATAAAGATATTTTTTAAAATTGGATCGTTTAATTGTCAAAATGGTTCACACTTGTCAAAAATTTTTGACTCGCTATTTTTAATTTCCAATATTTGGGCCAAAACATTTTACCGCGAAAATCGTATTTTTTTCAAATATCAAGAGATAATAACTATTTTTATTGTAAAACATGATTTGGCTTCTTTTGGCAAAATCTTATGCTGATTTTTAAAACATTTTTCAAATTATTAAAAAAACAATAATATAAAAACTATATGGAACTAGTTTAAAACTAGGGATTTTTTTATAATAGTCTAAATATTTCTCTAAATAGTGAGGGGGTCTATTCTAAGATGTACAAGATAGGAAGTCCATTAGAGCGGTTACATTTTCAATGAGGTCGATCCATAAAGGCTCATTAGCTATATACGGTTTCGGAGCCAAACTTCCCCCTCTTTTTGATATATAGAGGTTTCCTCTATATAGCGCTAAAAGCGCAGACATTTTCCCAGGAGCTTTCCAAGTTCGTCGGACCAAATCGCTTTTTGGTCCGACCAAGGCATTGATTTGGTGCAAACCTACCGATAAATTCCGATCAGAATTTATCGGCCTTACAGCGCCAAACATAGGAAACTTCTATAATTTCCCATTGTTTCGCCCTCAATGGAAACATCTTTGATCCAGAAGTGAAAGGGATTTCAGAAGTTCTAGAAGCCTATAAAAGTGCCTTATCTACAGTTAGACTCCATGGTCCTACTATATTTAACGAACTTATCCAAACAGCCATTACATATGCCTCGACAATCCAAGTATCTCAGAAGCATCAGCAGTATTTTATTCTGCTAGTATTGACTGACGGGATGATCAATGACATTGACTACACCATCGACGAAATTGTGAGGGCTGGAGAATTCCCTTTAAGTATCATCATAGTTGGCGTGGGAAACGAAGACTTTTCCATGATGGAACAGCTAGATGCAGACATCCACCCTCTTTATTCAAAGCGGCTGAAGAAAAATATGAAAAGAGACATAGTACAATTCGTGCCGTTTTCTAAGTTTAAGTCAAATCCAAGCGATTTAGCCAAAGAAGTGTTATATGAAGTACCCAAACAGCTGATAGCATATATGAAAGGAAATGGAATCCTCCCTAACGAAGAAGAAGATGACAAAAACTTATACAGGACTAATACAGCTGGTCAAAAAATGATCCCTTCACCACAAAAAATGCACGATTCTGCAATGCTATTGAGCAGCATGAAAGAACAATTTATAGGCAAAGTGGAAGAGCTGGGCTTTGAGAGAGAAAAAATAGCTGAAGTTGTGGAGGAAGGAGTTTGCTGTATGGATGTAAATATAGTTGTGGAGATTTTGGAACAAAGATCGTCAATGACTGTAAGAAAATCTGTTCTGAGAAAGTCCAATTCCAAAACTCTGTCAGTGCCTCCGAGTAAGGTGAGGTTTGAAAATGATAATAAATATTATATCATAGATAAAGATGTCAATTAAATAATTAATTTTTGGTAAAAAATTGACTTAAAGATGGGCCTTTTTCATCTTTTTTGTAAAAGGTTTTACAGTGGCTTTCAGCATTCCGTTTTTCGTGAGTTTCTTGCGGATTATTTCGTAAAGTGTCCTAGCGAAAATTGCGACTGAGGAGGAGGCTTGGACTGCCATAGTAAAAACAACAGCCACAATAATTGCACTTTCGACGTCAGTAACAGTGCTGTTATCTACCTCAAAAAGATATAGCAGTTGCCCGATGATGGCGCTCAATGCGCCATCATCGGGCAACACCAAACAAGGGCCCACATGTGAAATGGGTTCCACGTGTGGAGCCCTTTTTGGCTCGTGGAAATGAGGATTCTCCACGTGTTAAAAAGGGCTCCACACGTGGAATCCATTTCTACTGTGGACCCTTATCTGGTGTTTGCCCGATGATGGCGCATTGAGCGCCATCATCGGGCAACTGCTATAAATAGAAATTCCTCCCATGATCAAGCCGATCATCATCTCTGTTATTAAATTTGAAACTTGTAGAATTTTGTCCTCATAAGGCCAATAAAAACTAAGATACATCACAGTAATTAAAGAAATAACGACATTTATAGTCACTTGGGTTTGCGGATAATTATATAAATAAATCAAATTTGTGATATATATGAGTCGTCTTGTAAAAAAGACAAAGTAATACTGCGTCCCAAGCAGGCCTTTATCAGTTCTGAACTCATAGAAAAAAGAACTGACTCTCCCTTTTAAACTGGATCAAAACCCTGCTTCAATTTAAAGGGGGTTAATATTTTTTTAAAAAATTTTTATATTATATAAAAAAGCTTTTTCAATTTTAAAATCTTAAAATAATATAAATTGAGGCAATACTTAGAATTTTAATTAATTTATATGAAGAAATAATTAAAAAAGTTAATCGATTCGGTGTGAAAATTGTTTAAATAACTACTTCTTGCACTTTTTCGATTCAATTAGGTCAAAACTAAATTTTATAAGAAAAAAATAAATTGAGAATACTTTGAAATTTTAATTTATTTTTATGAAGAACTAAATAATAAAAAAATTAAGCGATTCATTGTAAAAACTGTTTAAGTAGCATTTACTTTCATTTTGCCTATTAAATTAGGTCAAAACTAATTTTATAAAATTATTATTTTCATCGATAAAATTTTGCTATTAAAAATAAATTTTGTTCCAATTTAAAAGGGATTAAAGCAACCAAAAATGCAAATTTTACAATGTTTTGCTCCAATTTAAAGGGGAGGAGTGAATAAAGAAGTAAATTCTTTGTTCTGGGACTGGATTTTGTGCTTGTTCTTGTAAGAAAAATAAAAAAACAAAGGAGGAGAGACAGCCAACAATAAATAGACGATGCTGCAGGTACCGAAATTTGTAATTTGTGTCGAGTTGCTTCATCTTGAGGTTAAAAGGCCAATGATTGCAGAAGCTCCTAGCTCGAAATCGGTTGGATTTTGCCTTCCTTTTCAGCAATGAGGACTAGCGTCTTCTCATATTGCAAACAAAACTTTTTCCCCCCTGGAGGTCACTAGTTCAACGACGAAGGCATAGCTGGCGCTAACATCAGCTAGTTTATCCCCTAAATGGGACTCCAGTCACTGAAGCAGCAGCCGCAAGTCCCTAAACTGTGAACTCCGAGGTTCTGAAAAAGTGCCAAGAACTATGCTGAAAGCCGGAACAGAGCTATCTCTAATGAAAAAAGTTGAAAAATCCAGGAAGGTGCTCCCGCAGCTAAGCACACCTTCTTTATAAGCTTGCCTCAGGTATGATGTTAAGCAAGGAGTCCATAATCTTTAATCCTAATTCTAGCTCGAGATATGACTGGATCCAAAATCTTAAGTAGAACGCGTATTGATAATTCCTCAATGTCTTCATGAATTTATTCCCAAACCATCTATACGAGCATCGAGAAAAAACAAAAACAGCTGGAAAAACTGCTAGAGAAGCCAATAAGATCGTAAAGTCATTTCCTGCATTAAGCAAGATGAGATCAGTATCAAATCCAAAATCTTGAGCTTGAGAATAGGGAGTATTTCCTTCATTTTTGTCTATCACGAACTCAAAAGCATTTGGAAATAAGTTATACGAATTAAGACTGTTCAGAAATGCTATCATTTTGCTTGATAAAGGAATTCCTGATAAGGTTAAATAGCTTAAAATTTGCAATGCATTCATCATACTTCATAACGAGCTTGGAGTAGGGTTTACTACAGACAAAGCAGCCGCTAACGCTACACCTACTTGGACAGCTGCCTTTGTTTGAGAGGCGATTGCTGAAATTTCAGCAGTATATGGAGCTGGGTCATATGCGTAGAGCTCTGAAGACAAAGAACTTGAATTTAAAATTCCGCCTGACACAGAAATAATATCTGTAAGATTAAAAAACGTTAAAGTGACTTCAGAGCCTTTCGAAATCACTTTGTCAATGCTTAAAGAAATATAATAGCTGGTATCATTTAATTTTTCAAGTTTTCAGGTCGCATCTGTTTTGTTCTCAATTTTTATTGTAAAATCGTTCTCTGTTAAAATATTAGCCAGGGCATCTGAAAATAGGAGATCTAAAGAATTGTCGTCGAAAACGTAAAGTCTTGCCGAAAAAGAAACTAATGCGCAAGAACTGGCCCCGTTATAGCCTAAATTGCAGTAGCATAAATCGTTTTTCAAGCTTGCATGCTCTACACAAGCAGTGCATTTTGACAGAGATTCACAATATGTGCAGTAGTTTGGGCATGAATAAAATAGCCCATCAGATCCTCGGAAGCCTCCAGGAGTAAGAGGGACACAAGTGCTGTTATTGGAATAATCCAGCACATAATTTTCCCCACAAATGCATGAATCAGTATTAATAGCATTTTCTTTGCAAGCTGTACACCCAGTTGAAGAATAATCAGTATAGCTTGGAGGGCTTTTAGCTATCTTCGGCGAGCAAATTTGTAGAGTTTCTCGGCTTCATCAGTTGCCAAGCCAACTCCACGAGTTGAGAGTAAGCATATGTCTGCTGTTTGTCAACTCGTGGGGCTGATTTGGCAACTTATGTCACCGGACCAACTCCACGAGCTGAAGCGAAAGTTGCTAGTCCAAGGAGAGCTAAATGCCCTTCTAGGCTATGCAAGTATCACATAGCAAATTGCTGCAAAGGGAGCAAGTAGACCGCCAGTTTCTGCAGCTTTCTGTGCATTTTACATTGCACTGATAGCAGACATTGTAGCCTGGGCCGCTTCAATATTGAGTTATTTTACAGTTGGGGATGCAAATTTGGGTTATTGGGCAAACACTACAGCTTTCAGTGCAGGAGGTTGTAGATAAGCTTAATATAGATTTTATACCCTTATATATCTGCACCTGATAAATAAATCCTTTAAAATAATTATATATAGTATTGCCATTCCCTGTCTGTGCAGCAATTGCCATTACTGTGGATGTGGTGATATCTTGAAAAGAGCTGCCTGATACCGTCGCATCTGAGTCTTTGATTCCATTTATATAGCAAGTTATTATAGTATTTCCGTTACCGTCAACATTTGCTGTAATTGATAAATGGCTTCACTCATAATAAGACAGAGATTTCTGTGAAATATAGAGAAATTGAGATGAATTGATGAATAATGTAAATACAGGCTGCCCACTCATTAAATTTATGGAGTAAACTATTGAATAGCTGTTGCTGGCATCATTTTTAGACAAAATAGCTGCATTTTGAGTTTCGGTGTTCAGCCATACTGAGATAGTAAAATACGGTATTAGAGTTATTTTGGGGCTTGTATAAGCTCCATAATCTGGAAGTCTTAAAATAGAGGTCTGGCCATTAAACCAGAAACCTCTTAAGTATGCAGGGATTGGATCATCAACTTCATAGTCAGGATAAAACTGTTCGGTTGACCCAGTGACCACAGGCACCAAGCTTGCAGCGTCATAAATGACTCCTTCAAGAGTATTCAAATTTAAATCAAAAATTAAGGTCGTTATCAATACACACTGACCATTGACCTTGGAATATCCTATTGGACACCCAAATGTGCAAAGCTGAGTAGAAGAGGAATAAATATAGTCTGAAAGACATGAAGAGCATTTATCAGAGGCCACATCTTTATAACAGTGAGAGCATCCTGCAGGGCAAGCTACACAGGAAAAACCATCATCTGACGTTCTGTATCCTTCATTACAAACACAGGTGGTTGGGCTTAGAGAAGCATTTGATACACATTGAGTGCACTTTCCTGAGCTGAATCCTGTGCAGACTGAACACAAAATATCATCGCAGATATGACATGAATTACCATTTACACACCCGCTGCTGCATGAATTACAAGAAGTGCATATTGCTCCACCATAGTAGCTCGTCAAATCGCAAGACCATAAACAAGCATGCCCTGAGCCACACGGAGCGTTTATATAGGCTGTAAAAGAGCTGATAGGTGAATTTCATAATTGAAAGCTATTAATGAAGCCTACAAAGCCAGAAGAACTGCTGCTTTTCCCAATCATTAAGTAAGTCGAGCTAAGATCACGTAAAATATAGTTGGTAATTGGTAAAGTTGCAACTGATCCGCCATTAACATAAATTGTCAATGTTGTAATATCTGAAGTATAGCTAAAAGTGACTGATAAGTAGTTTCAGTTAGTCAGTGTGGTGCCTGAAGACAAGGATTGAGGGGATGTTGCTTGAGAAGGGTCAGTCATGGTAGCTGAAATGCTCCCTGTTGAAGATAATATAAATCGACTGGGCTTTTCTAATAAATTGCCATCAGTTTTTACATAAATTCATGCTCCTATAGAAAAACTATGCGAAAGCAGTACGGTGGCTGATGATAATAAATACATGTTCCCATTAAAGTATAGCCCTCGCTTATAGGCTGGAATAGGGTCAACTGACTCAGGACTGTAAAAAAATTGATAAGTTGCCGAATTTGTTCCTGTTGCAAAGATTCCATATGAGCCTTGAAAATCCGCGTCAAAAGATAGATTTATAACAGGGGTTGTTACTGATGAACAAGAAGTGCCATAAGGACAACTATTCAAACACACAGTCCCTACTAATTGATAGCTTACTAAGCATGTAGAGCATTCAAAATAAGTCGTTTTTAAGCATGTCGAGCAAGCTAAATCGCAAATTTCGCAAGTTTCTGACGAAGAAACCCAAAAAGCATTAAAAGCGCAGGTGCAGCCTCCAGAGCCATCACTCACAGCGTTTGTAATGCAAGTCAAGCAAGAATTTCCTCCTGTAAATGATGTGCATGTAGCGCACTCTCTGGTCTTGCAGATTCGACAAGTATCAGTATTTCTACAGCCTTTAGGGCAATTATTCCCTTTGCAAGTTGTGCAGCCTGAGCCGCTATAGAATTGAGTCATTGGGCAATCATCTGGACAACTCAAATCTACTGGGCACCTCGCACAGGTGCCTGAGCATCCTCCTATAAGCAAGTCATCGGATGCATGCCCCTCTTGGGGGTAAATAGTAGTTTTCCACAAGAACCCTTTAAACCCTGCACTTGAATATCCCATATAAAAACTCCCAGAGCTGCTATCTTGAAGATAAAGCGGTGTAGCGCTAGAAGCAGACAGAAGAGAACCTCCATTGATATAAGAGCTCACAGTTGTTGTGCCATCAGCATTGATTTTCCAGTTGAACGATACATAATATCAAGAGTTAAGGACGCTTGAAGCGCCATCCAGGGTAATAGTGCTCGATGAGTCTGATAAAGGAAAGCTTATAGTAGGCTCTCCAGTTGACTTTATTGACACACTACCTTTCACTGACCCTCCTCTGTATTTTGCTAGAACATAACCCTCTGCTTCCGCTTTTATCCATATAGAGATAGAAAAGTTAGGGGCAAACATAAAGCTGGCTTTCATATAGCTAGTAGGATTGAAATAATACCCTCGCAAATAGGCTGGATATGGGTCATTTGAATCATAAGTAGGATATGCATTTGTGGCTAATGACCCTACGTCACTACCAGAAACACTTCCAAGTAGGATTATATTAGAAAAAGAAAAAGGAAATGAGGCAGTTGTAAGGTCACAATTCTTTGTGGAGGAATTTTGTGTGTATCCTGATGGGCATTCAGAAAGACACTGGATATTAAGAAAGTATTTGCCACTGGTGCAGCTCGTGCATTGATAATATCCATCTCCTGTGCAGGTATTGCATCCTGAAGAGCAAGCTACACAAGAAAATCCGTCATTTGAAGTTCGATATCCAGAGTTGCAGACACAATTAGTCGGATTTTTTGATGCATTAGTCACGCAAGTTGTGCATTTCCCTGAGTCGAAGCCAGTGCAGACTGAGCATAATACATCGTTACAGACGTTACAAGTATTAGCTCTGACGCAGCCTTTACTGCAGGTACTACAAGCTAAGTAAGAGCCACTATTTTTGTAGGTAGATATATCACACGATCATAAGCAAGATGTCCCAGACCCACAGAATGTAAAGCCACTATAAAGAGAAGCGAAATTTGTAATCTGGGTATTATATAAGTGGAAATAGTAGATAAACCCAACGAACCCAGTAGAAGAACTGCTTTTACCTAATTGCAGGCTCGTTGATGCTTGGTCTCTGAAGATATTTCCACTAATAGTAATTGACCCAGCTGCAGCTCCATTTATATATAGAGAGATAGGAGTGGCGTTTGAGGAGTATCATACACAAAAGGAAACATAAGCCCAGCCTGTAAACGTAGAACTTGGAGTTAAGGTTTGTGTAGAAGCCACTTGAGCAGTGGATTCTACTATTGCTGTAATTGTGCCTGCTGACGAAACTGTTAGTCTTGTTTGTTTTTGTAATAAATCTCCATATGTAATTACATAAATTCATAATCCCATATAGAAACTGTGAGAAAGGTAAACAGAAGTGGAAGACAACAAGTACATGCTTCCATCAAAATAGAGGCCTCTTTTATATGCAGGAACAGGGTCTATAGTTTCTGGAGTTACAAATGGCTGGTAAGTGCTTGAGGAAGTCCCTGTTGTAAAAATCCCATAAGACCCTTGAAAATCAGTATCAAAGGATTGGTCAATAACAGCAGTTGTGACTGAGGAGCATGAAGTCCCATATCCATAAGGACAGTCATTTAAGCAGATGATCCCTACCATCTGTTTCCCTGCTGCACATGTATTACACTCAAAATAGGTGGTTTGTTTGCATATAGCACAAAGCGCATCACAAAAATCACAAGTGGCAGTGGTAGACTGCCAAAAAGCATTTGCCTCGCATTGGCAGCCTTAATATAAATTAGAATGACATGGCCAATAACCCACCATCTTAAATCCTGCAGCTGGCATCCTACAGGGTGAGCAGGATCTTGAGGAAGGTAGAATGGGTGTTTGGAATGTGCTCCGGCCAAATTTTTCTTTTCTGTGAAGCTCAAAATTGGATCGGCCAACCACATGCTTTACTCCAATGTCAAATTCTTGCCTCAGTGGGAAATTGGGAAAGACACCCCAGCAAATTCAATGCCATTAGTCTTGACCTATCGCGATGCTTCCAAAGGTGAAATCAGGCGTTATGCTCTGGACTACGGATTTCAATTTTATCTGGCCAGAAAATTCAGCATGAGCAACCTTTGTATAAAAGTGAGCTTGCGATCAAGCAGGGAAGTGTTAGAGATGAGGCAGTACTTATGGAAAAACAGCAAACTTCTCTATAAATCTTAATAGCTAGCATTGGCAGCCTCCAGACCCATCACTTTCTGCATTTGTTATACAGCTTGAGCAGGTACCAGTAAAAGTGGTGCATGAATAGCATTGCTTTGTCTTGCACAGTCCACACGTGTCAGTATATCTGCATCCCTTAGGACAGGAAACACAATCAATGCAATTTGACCCATTATAATACTTACTCCCCCTTTAAAATTGGAACAAAATATATGTAAAATTTCCATTTTTTTGGTAAATTAAGCCCCTTTAAATTAAAAAAATTTTATACATAAAAATCATAATTTTTTATGTAAAAAGTTTTGATAGAAGTTAAATGTTTCTTCTTAACTAAAATTAAAAATTTAGTTATATCTTGCTCTTATTTAAAGAAAAGAGTATAAAGAGCATGCTATTTAAATTTATTATCCTTAATCGCTAAATTTTTCCAAAAAACATTTATTTTTTTTAGATAAAAATAATGTTTATTTAAATAATTTTGATATAAATTCAATGCAAATTCTTTACAAAAATCAAAAATTTACTTTGTTTCTTGGTTATTTTAAAGAATAAAGTATAAATAGCATCTTATTTAACTAAAATTTAGCATTTTAATCGATAAATTTCCTACAATTTTTTTTTAAATTTTTATCAATAAAAATAATAATTTTTGTGTAAATAGTTATGATACCAATTAATAGTGGTGTATTAACTAATAATGAAAATTTAGTTATATATCTTGATTTATTTTAAAGTATAATGAGTAAACAGCATTTTATTAAACAAATTTATTAATCTAATTCGATAAATTTTTGAAATTTGTTTTTATAAAAATTTTTATATTGATTTTTTCGTATAAAAAATTTCTTAACTTCCCTTTAAATTTGAACAAAATTTTTTGTTAGATTTAATGAGAGGGGAGTTAGAAAATGCACATGTATTAGGACAGCCATGATCACTAGGGCAGCTTGTGCATGGCAAAGTGCAGCTTGAAGTTGTATAGTCGTTCAGCTGTAAATTTCCTTGGTTAAAAATGTTTATATTATATAAAAAACCTGTAAAACCGCCAGTAAAGGTTTCCATTGTTCCTATATAAAGGGTCCCAGAACTGTTGTCCTGAAAAAAAGTAAGTCCAGAAGAGAGACCTGAATCTTTAGTTGCCGAATTTAAATATGAATTAATGGCAGTTGCATAGGTTGAATCTTGCTTCCCTGTAAAAACAATAAAATTTCAGCTGTTAGTTATTACATTGGAGGATAAGGTGACAGAAAAGGTGCTAGAGTCAGCCCAAACTACAGACAGTTTGGGATATCCAGTGCCGCTTAAAATTTCAAGGCAAAATATTTCACACCCAGAAACTACTTTTGTGGCAATAATGCCATATGCAGTTGGAAATATCCATATAGAAATTGTGAAATATGGGCCTATCACAGTGCTGGTTGATAAGTAATTTGTTCCAGAAAAATAATACCCTCTAAGATAAGCTGGATATGGGTCATTACCGTCATAGGAAGGATAAGTATTTGAGCTTGATGAACCGACTTGTACCCCTGAGACTGAGTTCAGGAGAATCTGATCATAAAACGACAAGCTAAGACTAATGGATGAAGAAAAAGTGCAAGAACTTGTTTCAGTTGTATAACCTGAAGGGCAGCTTGAAATGCACATAGAACTTAAAAACAAATAGTAGTTAGTTTGGCATGCTGTGCATTGATAATAGGCAGACGATGACGCTAGGCATGTAGAGCAAGTGCTGTAGCAAACTGAAATGTCACACTGAGCTAAACCTGAAGGCTGATAATATCCAGAATCGCATGCACATGTAACCCCTGAGGCATGGGTTACACATTCATAGCAAGTCCCTGATGAATAATTATTACATTTGGTGCATAAATCATTTACACATATATTGCATGAGTTCGCTCGAGCACAGCCATTTGTGCATGTGCCCAAGCAGGGTTGGCAGGCAGATCCATCATAGTATTGATTAAAAGCGCACGGCCATAAAGAGCTTACAACTCCTCCAGAAAATCCATAATAATTGTAGCCTGAGCTAAATCCTGTAATTGTAACTCCTCATAACTGAAAATAGCTAATAAACCCATTAAAATAAGTGCTTCCGCTTTTACCTATATAGAGAGTTTCTCCAGCTGGAAGCCTGAACACATAATTTGTGGCTGTAGTTGCCGTACCGGCTGCATTGTTTAAATATGGGGTAATAGTTGAGGTTTTGCTTGCAAACCCCACAGAATATGAGACATATTTCCAAGTGCCTGCAGGAATTGAATGCGAGGCAGTATAACTAGCATATGTTGCGTCTCATTTTTGTAAGTCAAATGAAAGCGTTCCACTAGAAGAAAGTGAAAGTTGGCCTGTGCTGTGGCCAATTATTGTTCCACTCATAGCGTAAACTCAAAATGCCATACTTCACGTGTGTGATAAATTTATTAACCCAGAGAGATATGCACTACCGTTAAAGTAAAGACCTCGATATTTCGCAGGAATCGGATCTGCTCCTTCTGGAGAGTTTCAGAAGTAATAACTTGAAGCGCTTGCTCCCGTTATTAAAGCTGTCCCATAGCTGCCAGCAAAAGAAGTCAGAAAATCAGCAGTTATTACAGCGGAGCTGACTGATGCACAGTTTCCAAAGCCATATGGGCATGCATACAAGCAGACCCCTTGAACCAGAACTTTTCCTGTTTGGCAAGCAGTATTTGACCACGTCTGAGTACAAGTAGTCGCCAAGATGTCACAGCAGTTCGGTAAAACACCTGTAATACAGCTTGTACATGTAGATGACCCATAAGCTGGGCAAGTGCCGCAATCTGCAATACCACATCCAGCGCAACTAGTTGCACTAGTGCACCAAGGTCACCCTGAGCAATTAGTAGGGCAACTTATGCATGATGAGCCATTTCAATATGCGTTAACAAAGCACTCTCTAGCATTAGGTGTAAAGCTGGCTCCATAATTCTTAGTCCCATCATATCTGACTTCAATAAACCAAATGAATCCATTAAATGAGTTGTTTCCTCCTCCTTTCCCAATTGTTCACGTATAAGAATTGCTATTAGGAAAGCTTGCTTCTACGCTACTGAATGGAGCTACTGCAACAAATGCAGCGTTGAATCAAAAAGTGACACCTAGAGTGCTGCAATCGCTTTGGGCAAACTGAATGCTTAATTGCTGTCATCAATGTGATGCCTGGACAGCGCTTTGTATTGTTTTTGTTGTCTCACCACTCCCAGTAGAGCTCTGCGCAATGATGTCTATTTTCATCAGTTCAGTATCATAATAGCAACGTATATAATTCTTTGAATTATAAGAAACAACGAAAAATTGTCCAGCCCCACCGCTCTGAGGCTTAATTCAAGTATTCAATATAAAATAAGGCCCTGGAATATGGCTTTTGCTGCTGGTAATGCTTGATGTTGTTGCAAAATAAAAGCCGCGGTCTACTGTTGGAAGAGGAGAATTTTGTGTCTGAGAATTGTATGAGACTCCGCCAGGGTTTTGGAAAAGTTCGGTATTATCAACATCGCTCGCGATAGATGAAAGAGTTAGATCTGTGACCGTTGAAAATAGAAGTCTAAAAACAACGGCATTTGCTGTCGTTGGCACATCGCAGTTTGTGCTCGTTGAAGTGCATAAATTTGTACTTGTAGTAAAAAGAGAAGGACAAGAATCAGCACATATTTTGCTGTCAACCAAAAACCGACTAGAGTCACATGTTATGTATGAAGTTGATGAAACAGTGCATGTCGAGCTATTTATTGGGCATGTGGCAAGGCTCACCAGGAACCTGTTGAATAAAGTCAAAAATAGCATCATTTTTATTTAAGAAGTAAGACGAGGCAGCAGTTATGATCTAAAGTAAAACAGAAATTTAAAATTTTCTCAGCTGATTTTAGAAATTCAAGTGCTGAGGATGAGAATGAGCAGTTAGTTTTAAACAAAAAGAAATTATAGCAATCATTTGTGTTTTTCAGAAATTAGTTCATAAAGAATAATATTAGACTATTTTCTAATGAAATATTAACAAAATTTCATTATTTTTAGCTATAAGATTTTATTTAGATTCTTAGACAGCCAATAATCTTTATTATTAAAGCAAATTTGAAAAATGGGTTATTGAAAAATTATATTTTCGACTGCATAATAATCTTATTATATGTTTAAATGCTCATTAGTTCTTTAATAATATGAATTATTGCTAATTCATATTGTTTTTTAACGTAAAAATACATAAGCTTCAACTATAATGCCAAATTAGTGCAAATTCAGCCAATATATAAGCTTTTATATTAATGTTCTAAAGTGAATTTTTTAATATGCAACAAAAATTAGGTCTTATTTTTGTTGTCGATTTAAAATATAAAGTTATAATATTCTAATTATATATTTTAAGACAAATATATATTTTAAAATAATTTTATTTAATTATTCTTGGCTATGATTGGGCTTTTTGAAGTGTATTCAAGGAGGCCTTATATTATTTATATTTTCTTTCGTTGAGAGTTTTTGCTTACTCCCCCCTCCGTGAGTGAACAAAACCATTTGAAAAATCGCTATTTTTCGCCCAAAACACCCTCCGTGAATGAATAAAAATTTTTTTAATAGAAAAATGTTTTATGGAAAAAAATTTTGATATATAAGTGATAATTAGTATAATGAAAATCTAGAGCTAATTCTGTCTAATTTTAAACAAATTGCGTTTTAAAACATAAATTTTATAAATTAAATTAATATTTGCTTTCCAATTTTTGCGAATTAGGATTTTTTAAATTTCGAAAAAAAAATTAATGCCCCTCCGTGAGTGAACAACATTTTTTGTTCACTCACGGAGGGGGGGAAGTTAGCAAACTCAAAGAGAGTCCTGATAAAAATAACTATTGAAACAATCGATTGAACTGCGATAATAGCTATGACAATTGCAACAATGCTAGTCTCAATTGCTGAAACAATTTTTTGCTCAAAATTGAATAAATAAACCGATGTTGCACCCATAACTAAGAAAATTAAGATTTCAGTCAATAAATTAGATACTTGCAAAATCGGATCTTCATATGGCCAGAAAAACCACAAATACATGATTGTCATTAAGGAGAGAACGATGTTAATAGTCACTTCAGTCTGTGGAAACTCCCTCAAGTATACCAAGTTTACTATATAGATAAGCCTCCGCGAGAAGAATAAAAAGTAATACTGCGTTGCAAGAAATTCTCCATCAGTTCTGAATTCATAAAAGAGCGAATCAAATAAGGCAATAAAGCTTTTTTCGCGTGATTGGATCCTATTCTTACTTTTATAAGAAAACCAAAGAAGCCAAGGCGGAGTAATTGATAGCAATATATAAATAAATATACAAAGAATAATATTGATCATTTGAGTTAAATTGCTAAAGCCGAGTGTCACAATTCCAATACTTGCAGCAGCTCCCAATTCAAGATAGCATTGAATTCAAAATCTTAAATAGAATGAAAATCGGTAATTTTTTAAAGCTTTCATGAATTTCTTGCCTATCCACCTGTGAGAGCAGCGCGAAAAGAAAAAAGCTGCAGGTAAAGCTGAGAGTGAAAACAATATGAGTGTAAAATCGCTTCCCGTAGTTATCAGTATCAAGTCAGAGTTATATCCAAAATCCTCAGCTTTATAATAAGGAGTATTCCCCTCGTTTTCATCTATGAAATAGGGGAAAATGTTCGGGAATAAGTTAAAAGAGTTCAAATTATTTAAGAATGTACTCATTTTAGTAGATATTGGGATACCTGATAATGTTAAGTAGCTAAGAATTTGCAGATAGTTCATAATGCTTCAGAGAGAACTTGGACTTGGATTAATAAAAGATAGGATAGCAGCAATAGAAATCGAGGCCTGGACCCCAGTTGCAGCTTGTGATGCAGCAGCTGCAACAGATGGTGAATAAGGTGTAGGATCATAATAATTTAAATATCCAGACAGTTCGGAAGAGCTCAAGATTCCGTTTGAAACTGATCTAAACTGAGTTAAATTCAATAACTTAAGTGCAACCAAAGCACCCTTAGAAATTTTATCATTCATCACGAGCGTAATATAATAGCAAGTGCTATTTACCTGCTCAATTTTGAAAGAAACTTCTCCTTGCTTTTCAATAGTTATGGTAACGTCATTTTTAGCAAAACTATTTGCAAGACTATCTGAAAAGTTCAGATAAAGAGAGTTATCTGACAAAACAGTGAGTTTTGCTGAAAAAGGGATAAAAGTGCAGGCTATGGTTCCATTGTATCCTAAATTGCAATAGCAGAGACCATTTATTAAGCTGGCGTTTTCTACACAAGCTGTGCAGCTGGTAAGCGATTGGCAAATTGTGCATAAATTTGGGCATGAGTAAAATGTTCCATCAGTCCCTCTAAATCCACCAGGCGGAAGCGGAATACAAGTACTGTTACTAGAGGTATCTAGCACATAATTTTCACCACATATGCAAGATTCAGGATTAATAGCATTTTCTTTACAAGATCCACATCCTGAAGCTGAATAATCTGTGCAGGCATCACACAATAGATTATCACAAAGTGAGCACGTGCTTTGTTTATTTCTGCATGATCTCGTGCAGCTTGTGCTACACAAATTGCATACATTATAGCTAGGACCATTTCAATACTCATATATTCTACAGTTGGGGATGCATATCTGGCTTGTAGGGCAAACACTGCAGCTATCAGTGCAAGATTTAGAGGATAGGCTTGATAGTGAAACTATTGTATTAAATATTTGTATCGAATAAATAAATCCTTGATAGAAATTATAAGCAGTCGATGAGCTCATTAGAGCTCCTATAACTATTGTAGTGAGAGGCCCTATATCAATAAAAGCGCCATATTCGGTTGTCGTTGATGAATCGGATAAGCCATCGAGGTAGCTTGATAGTGTATTATATCCACTTTGAGAGGTCTCAAATGTAAACATAGCATGGCTCCATTCATAATATTTAAGCGAGCTTTGGGAAATATGTAAAAACTGAGACGAGCCAATAGTAAGTGAAATTTCAGGCTTGCTATCAATTAATGAGATTGAATAAAAAGACTGATAATTATCAGAAATAATATGCTTTGACAATATTGAAGCAGATGGCGTTTCAGTATTTAGTCATATAGAAATTGTGAAAGGAGATGAAATCACCAGTCTTGGTGATGTGTAGCTTGAATACTCAGGCAGTCTTAATATTGAAGACAGGCCATTAAATCAGAACCCTCTTAGATATAGCTCTTTCCCTTGAATAGCCCGATAGCGGGATGAAGCCAGCCCGCTATCGGGCTATTCAAGGGAAAGTGCTATAAGCAGGAATTGGATCATCAGCTTCATAATCGGGATAAAATTGTTTTGTTGATCCAGTAACTGCTGGGATCGAGCTTGCTTTATCACAGACGACTCCTTCAAGTGTATTCAAATCCAAATCAAAAATTTTTACTTTGGTTAAAACACATCCTGATGAAGATTTAGAATACCCTAATGGGCAGCTGGCCATACAAATCCGTGATGCCATATCAAGACCATCAACGCACGTTAAGCAGTCTAAATATGTAGATGATGTGCAGGTTTTGCAAGAAGTATCGCATAGATCGCATTCCTCATTATTACTGTTTCAGTAGTATCCTTCATTGCATTGGCAATTTGAGCCGACTAAGGCAGCATTTGTTTTGCAGGTCATGCAGGTGCCTGTATAGTCATCGCATATTTCGCATATGACATCTTGGCAAAGGTTACAATTTTTGTCCCCTCTTACGCAGCCGTGACTAAAGCATGCAGGCAAACAAAGACTGCAGCTGCTTCCATCCCAAAAACTGTTTATTAGGCAGCTATCAAGGCAAGCATTTGAATTATCAATCGGGCATAATGAGCAACCATTGCAAGAGCTTAAAGTCAAAGAGCTCGATATTGGAGCATTATAGACTTTTAGATCTCATAGAAATCCGAAATAAAATGAATTTAAAGCTAGAGAATCGAGGTGGCAAGCCCCAATTGTTAAGAAAAATGAACTTTGTAAATCATTCAGCCAACTTGCACGCAAATTGCTTGAAGTGTCTGTATATGTATTTGTAGTTAGGATAATAATTTGTTGAGGAGTTGCACTTATAGAAGAGACTGCTGAAATAAAATTCCACTGAGAAAGATCTACTTTTAATGATGAAATAGAACTTGTATAAGTGATTGTAGAAGAATCTTTTAAAGTTAAAGTAAGTGATGGAAATTGGTTGATCAATTCAAAGCTCATATATTTTGTAAATAGTCCACTATCTGTTTGCTTACAAAAAAGGGCTCCTGTCGCACTAATTGGCATCACTCAGGTTGATATTACAAATTTTGGGGCAAAAGTCAGCAGTGGTGAAATTGTGCCTGCATAAGGAGGCAGCTGCATATAAGCAGAACCAGAAAAGTAATACCCTCTGTATATAGCTGCAATCGGATCGGTCACATCATAAGTTGGGTAAAAACTATTATCTTTGCCAGTGAGAACTGGGATTTTTGATTCTGAGTCTAATATAATATCTTTTATTTGATGAGGCTTTAAATTAAAAACAAAGGAGTTAGTGAAATCCGTATCACTATCACATTTGCTGCCATTTATGATATAGCCTGTAGGACAAAAGGTTATGCATAAAGACTGGATTAGATAATTACCTGATATGCAAATAAGGCAGCCAGTATATTCAAGAGCTGAACAAGTCGAGCAAGCAGAGCTGCAAAGTTCGCAGGACTGAGAACTGGAGATCCATATTGCATTTGAAAGGCATTTACAATGGCCTGCTAATTTATAAGCGTTTGTGATACAACTAGTACATTCCCCTGAAAATGTAGTGCATGAGTAGCACTCATTATCCCTACAAAGTCTACAAGTTAAGTCACTAACACAGCCTTGATTGCAGACTGATAAGCAGGCTGAGCAGCTATCTGGATAATCATTTAGGCCACACCCACTTCAGCACTGATTGTTAGAAGGGCAAGCAGAGCAACCAGTGCAAGAAGTAGCATAATCATCAGATTGATAAAAATAAGAATTATAGATTTTCAGCCGATCTAAAAAACCATAGAGTCCATTGCTTCCAAAATTTTCATCACTGCCAACATAAAGTGTCCCAGACAGGGTGTCTTTGAAATAAATTAAAGATACAGTAGTAAATGAATCAGAATTTACTGCATTTCTATAAATAGTCAGCTTCGTTTTACCATCTGATTGAACTTGTCCAGTAAAGCTCAAAAAAGTTCAATGATTTAAAATATTTATTGTCGTGGACAAAGATTCAGAGGGTTAGGATTATTAAAAGTCAGGTGTTCGCCATATTGGTGACTGCGTCATCAAAGACCTCTCGCGAGGGAGGTTCTTCTACCGCTTTTCTACTCCAGCTCAGAGGATCTATCCAGGTGGATGCCACTCCCGTACCTTCTGTCTCCTCCTTGCAGCTTCAATCTTGAGTGCTTGTGCATTTTTGCGGTCTTGCTATGGGCGATCGGAGTAGTTATAGTTCCATGAATCAACTCATTGGAGTCTGTTGGGTGCTGAAATGCTTTCCTTCCACAGCTACAGGAAAAAAGACTACTCCTCTGATGAACTGGGCGAATCCCCCAGTTCCTCGGTAAGGAATGCCCATGGGCCCTCAGATCAAAAAGGATTAGTTGAGCACCTCAATTTCCAACCACAGTTAAGCAGCCAAAACCTACCCGGATACACATCTCTTGGACATGCACTTGATTCTCAGCTCAGAGTCCGCCTCAGTTTGCCGTGGCCATAAGGTCTGGACTGCTGCACGCCAAGTGGGCAAATTGGCACGTGTCGCCATTTTAACGTGTTTAGATTCAGGGGATGAATCAGAAAAAATAATAGAAAGTGCAATATACCCTGATGAGTTAATTGTTATTTTAAGGATGTCAGTCGAAGTATATTTGGTCAATAATATTCCAGACGAGTATGATTTAATCCAAACAGAAATTGTAAATGAAGGCGCTATCATGGCTGAAGAGGATAAATAGCTCGTTTGATTAAAATAATAGCCTCTTTTATAAGCAGGAATTGGATCATAAATATCAGATCAGTCAGGATAAACGTTTGTATTTTTTGAGCCTACATTAAAGCCAGAAACCGTATCCAGCCGGATCTGATCAGTCAAATCTAGGCTAAGAGCTAGATTTGAGAAATAATCACAATTATTTGTGGAAGAATTTGCATTATACCCAGATGGGCACTCACTTAAGCATTGGCCAGTTGCTGAGAAGGAAAAAAATCCCGAATAGCAAGCCGTACATTTTTGATAAGTTGTCTCTGTGCATTGTGAGCAGCCAGTTGAGCATGGATCGCATGAGCATCCATCTGCTGAAAGCAAAGAGTCAGAATCGCATGCACATGTAGCACCAGAAGCATGAGCAACGCACTCATAGCAAGTTCCTGTTGTAAAATAGTTACACTTGGTGCATAAATCATTTACACATATATTGCATGAATTTGCTCGAGCGCAGCCACTCGAGCATGTGCCCAAGCAAGACTCACAGGCAGTTCCATTATAGTATTGATCAATACTGCATGGTCATAAAGTGTTCGCGATCCCTCCAGAAAACCCGTAGAGATTATAAGCAGTGCTGAAACTTGTAATTGTAACTCCTCAGAGCTGAAAATAGCTAATAAAGCCTGTAAAATAATGAGTGCCATCTTTACCTATATAGAGAGTTCCTCCTGATTGAAGTCTAAATACATAATTTGTGACTGAAGTGGCTGTCCCAGCTACATTATTTAAATATGGAGTAATAGTTGAGGCTTTACTTGAAAACCCGACAGAGTATGAAGCATATGCCCAAGTGCTTGGAATTATAGTTTGAGAAGCAGAATAACTAGCATATGTTGCATCCCACATTTGCAGGTCAAATGAAAGAGTTCCATCAGAAGAAAGAGAGAGCCTGCCTGTACTGTGGCCAATGATTGCTCCACTAACTACGTACACCCACATCCCCATACTCCATGTGTGGGATAAATTTATTGACCCTGATAGAAAAGCACTACCATTGAAGTAAAGACCTCGGTTTTTTGCAGGGATAGGATCACTTCCTTCTGGGGAATTCCAAAAGTTATAACTAGAAGGGCTTGTTGCTGTTATTAGTGCACCATAGCTTCCAGCAAAAGTTGTCATAAAATCAGCTGTTATAACAGCTGAAGAGACAGACACACAATTTCCGAATCCATATGGGCATGCATATAAGCAAACGCCTCCAATAAGAAAATAACCAGTTTGACATGCCGTATTTGACCATGTCTGAGTGCAAGCACTTGCCAAGATGTCACAGCAATTCGGCAAAACACCTGTGGAGCAGCCTAAGCACGTAAATGAGGAATAAGCTTGGCAAGAACTGCAATCTACTACACTACATACAGAGCAAGTAGTTGAGGTAATGCATCAAGGCCATGTCGAACAAATAGCTGGACAATTTTGACACGACGAACCATTTCAGAATTGATTATCATAGCATTCTATAGTGATTGGAGAAGATGAATAGCTAGTCTGAGAGTCGCACCTAACTTCTAAAACAGCCAAAAATCCCCGAAATGAGTCATTTCCTCCTCCTTTCCCAACTGTTCAAGTATAAGAATTGCTGTTTGGAAAGCTTGCCTCTACACTACTAAAGGTGGTAGTCACAACTGCAGAACTATTCATATAAATAACAACAGTGAGAGAGCTGCAAGAGGTTTGGTTAATCCTGAAAGTCATATTTTGCCAGTTTTGAGATGAACTAGTGCTGCTTACTGCAGTTATTAAAGTTTCACCACTCCCAGTAGAGCTTTGGACAATAATCTCAAATTTTGGGAGGTCAGGGTTAGAGATATAGCAGGAAATATAATTTTTTGAATTATATGATACGACTAAAATTTGTCCATAAGATAAAGGTTTTATTCAAAGTTTTAACATAAAATAAAGTGATGGGATATGGCTTTTGTTGCTGGTAATGCTTGATGTTGTCGCAAAATAAAAGCCGCGGTCTAAGGTTGGAAGAGGAGAATTTTGGGTCTGAGAGTTATATGATATTCCTCCAGGATTTTCGAAAAGTTCAGATGAGTCAGAAGTTGTTGCAATAGAAGTAAGTGTCAAGTCTTGAATTGGCTTAAATTGAAGTCTGAGCACAACTGCACTTGATGACGACGCTGGCGCTGCACAGTTAGTATTGCTGGAAGTGCATAAATTCGAGCTTGCAGTAAAACGGGAAGGGCAAGAATCTGCACATATTTTGCTATCGATCAAGAATCTATTAGAATTGCAAGCTGTACAAGTGACAGATGAAATAGTGCATGTGTAGCTATTCATTGGGCAAGTTGCGAGGTTCAAAAAGGCTAAGCTGAATAAAATAAAAAATTGGATCATTTTATATATAATTCAACAAGACACAGCAATCAATATTAGAGATGAAAATCTGATATTAAATTAATTAATATTGAGAGCTGAAAAGAAGGACTATTTTTGTCTCTTTTATAGATAAAGAATTATTTTAATCCACTTTTTATCCAACCTCTAGCTGATAAATCTGAATTAATTTTTAATTCTATTTATTATTTTTAAAAAATAATATTTATGGTCAAGCAAATGAAGCTAGCCACGTCGCGATTAGGCTCATTTAACTAATAGAATGTCAGTATCCTCTATATAAAAATACACTGTTAGGATTATAACATATATCCTAGTCTGGTGCTTGCTAATAATATATGACAGAAACATTAAATAATAATTCAATCCAGTCTCATTCAGATGAGACAATTCAAGATTTTAGAGATATGGGACTTAAAGAAGATGTCTTAAGAGGAATCTTTTCTGCTGGCTTCGAAACTCCTAGCATTGTTCAGCAAAGAACGATTAAAATAATTGCCAGAGGTAGTGATATGATCATTCAGTCTAAGTCAGGAAGTGGAAAAACTACAGCACTTATAATTGGAATGCTGCAATTAATCAATCCAAACATTAATCAGCTACAGGCAATAATTTTGGAGCCTTGCAGAGAGATTGCAAAAGAAACGTATAGTCAAATAACTAAACTTGGGGAATATGTAAATGTCAAAGCACACTCTGTATTTGGAGGCATTTATTATCGTGAAGATATAATCGTGCTTAAAAATTGCATTCACATATTAGTTTGTACCCCTGGAAGAATGCTTGATTGCCTTATAAAGGGCGTGATTTCTGCAAGTGAAGTTAAAATATTTATTTTAGATCAAATTGATGAGGTATTCGCAAGGGGATTTAAAAATCAGATATGTGAAATCTTTCGATTTCTTGAAAGTGCCCAAGTCTGCTTCTCTTCTTCAACAACAATATATATGAAAAATCCAGTTATAATCACACTAAAAATTAATGAATTGACCCTGGAAGGAATTAAACAATATTACATACGATCAGAAAAAGAAGCGAAATTTTCTATTCTTGAAGATCTTTTAGATGCAATGCAAATATGCCAGGCTGTTATTTTTTGTAATAACAAAATATCATTAGAGACATTAGTCCAAGCATTTCAGGATTCGCATTACAGTGTATCATTTCTTCATAGCTACACAGACGATCGTCAAAAGGAAGTTGCTATGAGAAATTTCAGAACTGGGTCAACTAGAATACTTATTGCAACTGATTTTCCATTCATTTTTGAAAATTATATTACTAGAGTGGGAAGATCAGGAGCATATGGCTATAGAGGGCTTTCAATTTGTTTTATAACTCAAAGCGAATTTCAGTTTTTAAAAGAATTGGAGAGTCATTTTTCAACTATTATTGAAGAATTGCCAAATGATGTTTCTAGTTTACTATAATCTTTTTTCTCTAATTCTTATAATTAAAACATCTTGATATTTTTGATAATTTTGACTAGAACAAATTTATTTTATAAAAAATATTATAAAGACGGAGACATGAAATATGATGATACCATGCTGCATAGTTGGTACTGCTTGAAGTGCATAAATTTAAACTTGAAGGATAAAAGTCTGCGCATATTTTGCTATCAATCAAGAATCTTTTAGATTTCAAACTATGTAGTGTTAGAAGAAAGATGCTTATGCACCTATTTATTGGGCAAGTCCGAGGCTCAAGAAACTTAAGCCGAATAAAATAAAAAATTGCAGCATTTTATTTATAATTCAACAAGACACAGCAGTCAATTTTAGAGATGAAAATCTACTATCAAGTTAATTAATTTAACATTTAAAGCTCTTATAAAATATGCATCAGTCTGATGCTTGCTAATAATATATGGCAGAAAAATTAAATGATAATTCAATCCAGTCTCATTCAGATGAGACTGCTCAAGATTTTAGAGATATGGGACTTAAAGAAGATGTCTTAGCTCTCACCCCTACGTGAGCGAACAAAACCATTGAAAAAATCCCTATTTTTCCCAAAAACCCACACTCTGCAAGGAACAAAAGTCTTGTTAATATAACAATATTTTATGAAAAAGAAATTAATATTTAAGTGAAAATTATGATAATAAAATCTCTAGATGCTTGCTTATTATAAACAGCTTGCGCTTTATAACATAAATTTTACAAAATAAATAAATATTTGCTTTCCATTTTTTCGAATTAGGATTATTTTAATTTTCGTAAAAAATTTTTTCTATAAAATTTATATACTACAAAAAATTTAACCCTCTGTGAGTGGACAAAATTTTTTTGTTCGCTCACCGAGGGGGGGAGTAAGAGGGATCTTTTCTGCTGGCTTCGAAACTCCTAGCATTGTTCAGCAAAGAACGATTAAAATAATTGCCAAAGGTAGTGATATGATCATTCAGTCTAAGTCAGGGAGTGGAAAAACTGCAGCACTTATAATTGGAATGCTACAATTAATCAATCCAAACATTAATCAGCTACAGGCAATAATTTTGGAGCCTTGCAGAGAGATTGCAAAAGAAACGTATAGTCAAATAGCTAAACTTGGGGAATATGTAAATGTCAAAGCACACTCTGTATTTGGAGGCATTTATTATCGTGAAGATATAATCGTGCTTAAAAATTGCATTCACATATTAGTTTGTACCCCTGGAAGAATGCTTGACTATCTTATAAAGGTTTTAACTCCTTCCCTTTAAAGAGAAACAATTTTTTTTTCCAATTTAAAGAAAGAAATTTAATAGTAACGCTGACTAAGATGGACTCAGAGGCTTATTCCCTTTAGAACAGGTAAAGCCATCCCGATAAAGCTGAAGCAGTCCCTCTGTCACTTTTGAAGTAGGCCTTCGGGCTAGGGGATGCCTGCCGAAGAAAAAAATTTCTTTCTATCCTGAGGAGGTTTTCCTATCCCTGCCAGGCAGGATAGACAGGGTTTGCGTCCCCATTTAGTTTTTGTTTATCAAGACTAATGGGGCATCCGCAATAGGTTGCTTTAACCTAGGGAACTATTCCTTATGTTAGGCGGGTTTACGTTAGATACTCAGGCTAGGACTAGTCCACTTATGGCCTTATAACACCTAACTTAACTTGACTTAGAAAGGATTTGATTTCTGCAAGCGGAGTTAAAATATTTATTTTAAATAAAATAGATGAGCTACTCACAACAGGATTTAAAGATCAGATAATTGAAATCTTTCAATTTTTGCCTGAAAGTGCTCAAGTCTGCTTCTCTTCTTCAACAACAATACCATCAGACGTGTCTGAAATGGCAGAAATATATATGAAAAATCCAGTTATAATCACATTAAAAATTAATGAATTGACCTTGGATGGAATTAAACAGTATTATATTCAGTCAGAAGTAGAAGCTAAATTTGCTATTCTTGAAGATCTTTTGAATGCAATGCAAATATCTCAGGCTGCTATTTTTTGCAACACAAAAATATCTTTAGAGACGTTAGTTCAATCATTTCAGGATTCGCATTACAGTGTATCATTTCTTCATAGCGACATAGACGATCGTCAAAAAGAAGTTGCTATGAGAAATTTCAGAACTGGGTCAACTAGAATACTTATTGCAACTGATTTAATTAGAAATTTTATTGATATTTATCCAAGCGTTTTCATACATTATGATTTTCCATTCATTTTTGAAAATTATATTACTAGAGTGGGAAGATCAGGAGCATATGGCCATAGAGGGCTTTCAATTTGTTTTATAACTCAAAGCGAATTTCAGTTTTTAAAAGAATTGGAGAGTCATTTTTCAACTATTATTGAAGAACTGCCAAATGATGTTTCTAGTTTACTATAATCTTTTTTCTCTAATTCTTATAATTAAAATATAATGATTTTATTATTAACTAGATCTAATTCTACAGCATCATTATTTTTGATTTTTTTAAATATTTTTGAGTGAATCAATGCCTTATGGTTTTCTCTGCTTACTGAAGATAATGACCGGATTTAGATAGCCTCATACTATTTGATAAAATACTAAAATATAGCTAAATAAATCTCGGATTAAAATGAAAAAAATAAATTTAAATTAGTAAATATTTGAACTTAAAAGCCTTATTAGAAAGTTAGAAGTTTAAATTATTAATGATATCCTTATAAACCTTATTCCCATTTGCAGCACAATTTATCTATAGATTCAAACTGATATTCGTATTTGTAATTTGGTAGATCTTCTCTGAAAACTATTTTAACTCTGCGAGTAGGAGTAAATCTTGTTGGACTCCAGCGAGGATAATCAAACTTATGAACCTTTGATAGCACTTTATGAAACTTTCAATCATACCCTATTCTTGGAATTCCATCTTCGAGATTTCCATAGCCAACCTGGTGCTTTTTTACTTTTCTTCTTTCCATCGTAAGGAGAAAAATTGTCATCAGAGATGGCGTTGCGACAGCAAGGAAAAAATTTCCTAAAAATTTGAGCGGTTTGAAAAAATAAAACGGCCCTAATGCCAAGGGGCCGCAGCTGGCAGTTTTTCCGGGCTCTAGTACTTAACGCTGCATGAGCATGAAGCTGAAGCTCGACTGGATAGGGGCTAGAATAAACCCAATTTTAACTCTCTCTAATCATAGCTATCTCTCTTTCTCTTTCCCATCGCAATGATTTCTTATCTGAAGGGCAAGATTTTACGGTTTGGTTAGTATATATTCCATACACTTTATCCCTCCTCATAAAATTATTAGATATAAATGGGAACTCAATTCATAGATTTTAGTTATTTCGGGTGTAATTTTGATAGTAATTGACAGATAAATCAATTCAAAAATAAAAATTCTAACTATATCTTTTTCAAATGATATAAATTATAATAGCATAATAGCTTAAACGATTAGTGTTAAAATAAGAATTTCTATGCAAAAAAGAGTAAACGTTAAAATAGGGAAAATTTAGTTTGCCATGAAAGTGGCTGTGATAAAAAAATTAAGTAAATTTGCAGATTAATATCTCAAGATATTTTAACTGGCAAAGAGCGTCTCAATGCACATATGGAATCATCAATCATCTCATCATACACAATCAATTAATATTGGAATTAATCAAATGACTAGAGAAGTGCTTCTAAACTACGATAAAAGAAAAAGAGAAGATTGAATAAAAAAGAAAGAGATTTTAGCAAGAGCCTATAAGCTCGATAGATTCAAAGTGAATTATGAACTAAGAGTTAGAAAAGGCTAATATTAATTAATTTTGAAAACAAGTGGCCACATATCTATGACAGGCACCTTCTGAATAAGCCATGGCTTTTGAGTTGTGATTATTGCCCCACAATAGAAGTAGTCTCATAGCAAATTATTTTTTTAAATATATAATTATTATAATGACGACTTATTATAACCAAATTTTATTCTAAATCAGCATTTTTTGGAGTAGTTCAATACGGTCTCGGCCTAATACGTCGTTAATAAAATTGATATCTTTTTCAGAAAGATTCCATTCATCCCCAGTGAAAATACCACTTACTTGATTTTCTTGCTTCAAATTATAAGCCCTATTAAAGTCCTGCAAAGCTGCTGCTTCTTGTCTGAGATTATTAAATACTCTAGCTCGGTTGCAGAAGTACAAAGGATTATTGGGTTCAAGTTCTATTGCCTCATCATAACATTGTATTGCTTCTTGATATCTCTCTAAAACATAAAGAGTGTTACCTTTATCATTATAAAACTTGGCATTTTTTGGCTTGATTTTGATTGCTTTGTCATAGCTTTCTATTGCTTCTGTATATCTTCCTAATTCATTTAAAGCATGCCCTTTATTATGGTAAAAACGTTCATCTTTTGAATAGAGGTAAATTAAATGATCATAGCATACTACTGCTTCGATATTTCTTCCTAATTTTTGAAGCGCAATTCCTTTATGATAGTAAAAATCAGTATTAGCTGGATCGAGTTTGATTGCTTCGTCATCGCATTCGATTGCTTCTAGATATCTTCCTAAACTAGAAAAAGCGTTGCCTTTATTATTGTAATATAAAGCATAGTCTGGCTCGAGTTTGATTGCTTCGTCATAGCACTCGATTGCTTCTAGGTATCTTTTTAAATCATAAAAAGCGTTACCTTTATCGTTGTAAAAGTAAGCGTTGCTTGGATTGAGTGTAATTGCTTCGTCATAGCACTCAATTGCTTCTAGATATCTTTTTAAATCATAAAAAGCGTTACCTTTGTTATTATATAAATCAGCATTGTTTGGATTGAGTTTGATTCCTTCGTCATAGCATTCAATTGCTTCTAGGTATATTTAAATTTTTAAAAGCGTCGCCTTTTTTATTATATAAATCATCATCGTTTGGATTAAATTTGATTGCTTCGTCATATCATCCAATTGCTTCTAGATTTTCTCCTACCATTTTTTAGGAGGTGGGGGTGTCTGTACTTGACCAGCCGTTTGATAATGAACGGAGAAGAGTAAATCGTATAGAGTATTGCCTTTTAGATTTCATTCATCCAGATAAGATGGATCGAGCCTAAAATTCTTGATATTGCATTCTATTGCTTCTATCTTTTTACCTACTCTTCTAATTGAGGCATGCTTATTATAGTAAGCAACATCAACAATGATGTTTTGATCTAAATTAAAATAATAAAATTGTTTACCCAATATATAAATAGGGTGTTATTTAGGGTGTTAGGGTGTTAGGGTGTTAGGGTGTTAGGGTGTTAGGGTGTTAGGGTGTTAGGGTGTTAGGGTGTTAGGGTGTTAGGGTGTTAGGGTGTTAGGGTGTTAGGGTGTTAGGGTGTTAGGGTGTTAGGGTGTTAGGGTGTTAGGGTGTTAGGGTGTTAGGGTGTTAGGGTGTTAGGGTGTTAGGGTGTTAGGGTGTTAGGGTGTTAGGGTGTTAGGGTGTTAGGGTGTTTAGGGTGTTAGGGTGTTAGGGTGTTAGGGTGTTAGGGTGTTAGGGTGTTAGGGTGTTAGGGTGTTAGGGTGTTAGGGTGTTAGGGTGTTAGGGTGTTAGGGTGTTAGGGTGTTAGGGTGTTAGGGTGTTAGGGTGTTAGGGTGTTAGGGTGTTAGGGTGTTAGGGTGTTAGGGTGTTAGGGTGTTAGGGTGTTAGGGTGTTAGGGTGTTAGGGTGTTAGGGTGTTAGGGTGTTAGGGTGTTAGGGTGTTAGGGTGTTAGGGTGTTAGGGTGTTAGGGTGTTAGGGTGTTAGGGTGTTAGGGTGTTAGGGTGTTAGGGTGTTAGGGTGTTAGGGTGTTAGGGTGTTAGGGTGTTAGGGTGTTAGGGTGTTAGGGTGTTAGGGTGTTAGGGTGTTAGGGTGTTAGGGTGTTAGGGTGTTAGGGTGTTAGGGTGTTAGGGTGTTAGGGTGTTAGGGTGTTAGGGTGTTAGGGTGTTAGGGTGTTAGGGTGTTAGGGTGTTAGGGTGTTAGGGTGTTAGGGTGTTAGGGTGTTAGGGTGTTAGGGTGTTAGGGTGTTAGGGTGTTAGGGTGTTAGGGTGTTAGGGTGTTAGGGTGTTAGGGTGTTAGGGTGTTAGGGTGTTAGGGTGTTAGGGTGTTAGGGTGTTAGGGTGTTAGGGTGTTAGGGTGTTAGGGTGTTAGGGTGTTAGGGTGTTAGGGTGTTAGGGTGTTAGGGTGTTAGGGTGTTAGGGTGTTAGGGTGTTAGGGTGTTAGGGTGTTAGGGTGTTAGGGTGTTAGGGTGTTAGGGTGTTAGGGTGTTAGGGTGTTAGGGTGTTAGGGTGTTAGGGTGTTAGGGTGTTAGGGTGTTAGGGTGTTAGGGTGTTAGGGTGTTAGGGTGTTAGGGTGTTAGGGTGTTAGGGTGTTAGGGTGTTAGGGTGTTAGGGTGTTAGGGTGTTAGGGTGTTAGGGTGTTAGGGTGTTAGGGTGTTAGGGTGTTAGGGTGTTAGGGTGTTAGGGTGTTAGGGTGTTAGGGTGTTAGGGTGTTAGGGTGTTAGGGTGTTAGGGTGTTAGGGTGTTAGGGTGTTAGGGTGTTAGGGTGTTAGGGTGTTAGGGTGTTAGGGTGTTAGGGTGTTAGGGTGTTAGGGTGTTAGGGTGTTAGGGTGTTAGGGTGTTAGGGTGTTAGGGTGTTAGGGTGTTAGGGTGTTAGGGTGTTAGGGTGTTAGGGTGTTAG